CAAGATTGAAAATGATGAGTGATAGTGACTTTGGTTGTATTTTTCTTCTACTAGCTTGCATTTTTTTTCCCGTATTTTCTTTCTCTCCTCCTCTGCTTCTACAGTGTTGCAATGTGATTGAAAACAGAAGAAATGTAAGAAAAAGAAAACAGAATTGATAAAAAAGAATTAAATAAAAGATTACCTCAATTAAGTGCTGCTCGACGACATTGAGATTGAAGATATCATTGTTGCAATGAGGACACAGAAATGTCATTCTTCAGTGTCTTGCTTTTGAGTGGCTATACATCGCCTCTTTGTCATCTAAGGACGCCGGATAGTTCACACAGAGAATTTTAAATGTCATGGTTTCCAAGAGCATGACAGAATGATTTCGAGTGAATTGAGAAATATATATTGTGAAGCATTCAACTTTAGTAAGATAGAGTCTTAGAGAAGAAGACCTTAGATTTGATGAATAAAGTAAGATTAATCAGAGATTGAAAATGATGAGTGATAGTGACTTTGGTTGTATTTTCTTCTACTAGCTTTCATTTTGTTTTCGTAATTTCTTTCTCTTCTTCTCTACTTCTGCAGTGTTGCAATGTAATTGAAAACAGAGAAAATGTAAGAAAAAGAAAACAGAATTGATTAAAAAGAATTAAATAAAAGATTACCTCAATTAAGTGTTGCTCGACGACATTGAGATTGAAGATAGCATTGTTGCATGAGGAAACAGAAATGTCATTCTTCAATGTCTTACTTTTGAGTGGCTATACATCGCCTCTTTGTCATCTTAGGACGCCGGATAGTTCACACAAGGAATTTTGAATGCCATGGTTTCCAAGAGCATGACAGAATGATTTCCAGTGAATTGAGAAATATATTCATTGAAGCATTCAACTTTAGTAAGATAGAGTCTTGGGAAAGAAGACCTTAGATTTGATAAATAAAGTAAGATTAATCCAAGATTGAAAATAATGAGTGATAGTGACTTTGGTTGTATTTTTCTTCTACTAGCTTGCATTTTTTTTTTTGTATTTTCTTTCTCTCCTCCTCTACTTCTGCAGTGTTGCAATGTAATTGAAAACAGAAAAAATGTAAGAAAAAGAAAACATAATTGATAAAAAAGAATTAAATAAAAGATTACATCAATTAAGTGCTGCTCAACGACATTGAGGTTGAAGATAGCATTGTTGCAATGAGGACACAAAAATGTCATTCTTCAGTGTCTTGCTTTTGAGTGGCTATACATCGCTTCTTTGTCATCTAAGGACGTCGGATAGTTCACACAGGAAATTTTGATTGCCATGGTTTCCAAGAGCATGACAGAATGATTTCCAGTGAATTGAGAAATATATTCAGTGAAACATTCAATTTTAGTAAGATAGAGTCTTGGGAAAGAAGACCTCAGATTTGATAAATAAAGTAAGATTAATCCAAGATTGAAAATGATGAGTGATAGTGACTTTGGTTGTATTTTTCTTCTACTAGCTTGCATTTTTTTTCATATTTTTTTTCTTTCCTCCTCTGCTTTTGCAGTGTTGCAATGTGATTGAAAAAAGGAAAAATGTAAGAAAAAGAAAACAGAATTGATAAAAACAATTAAATAAAAGATTACCTCAATTAAGTGCTGCTCGACGACATTGAGATTGAAGATAGCATTGTTGCAATGAGAACACATAAATGTCATTCTTCAGTGTCTTGCTTTTGAGTGGCTATACATGGCCTCTTTGTCATCTAAGGATGCCGGATAGTTCACACAGGGAATTTTGAATGCTATGGTTTCCAAGATCATGACAGAATGATTTCCAATAAATTGAGAAATATATTCAGTGAAATATTCAACTTTAGTAAGATAAAGTCTTGGGAAAGAAGACCTTAGATTTGATGAATAAAGTAAGATTAATCCAAGATTGAAAATGATGAGTGATAATGAGAACTTGTTGGTATTTGTTAATTTTGAAGAGCAATGTAAGTGACCTCAATAGGTTTTTGTTTAGCAACTCTATCCAAATAAAATATCAATGAAAGTGAACTTAATTAAGCTACTCAAAAGAATTTATTAATTTTATATTTTTCTAAAAGTTACTTCAATAAACTATTTAGTATAATATATCAAACTAATTTTTTTTCAATTTATTTTTTAAAAATTATTATCAATTATATAACGTAAATTCCCATATAAAAAAATTTGATATGTACTATTAACTTGGTTTTCATGTTGTCCTCTAAATTGCTCAGAATGTTTTTTGTACCGTAAGAGAATAGTGGAAGAATGTAAATTGAAGAACTTATGGCAGTTTTGTGGTTTGGTGGTTTATATTTATTTGGTTACTTTGTAATGAGATGATATTGAAGCAGAGGCATTTATTTTGGGTTTATAATTGACTTGATAAAACTAAAATTTGTTTCTTGGTCTTGTTCTCATTTGAATGATTGAAGTTATAGTTGAGTTTAAATGTTTGATTGATGTACACGTCGATCCATCTGGGTCTTCTATAATTTCAAACAATTGACAATTTTTAATGATTTTTTTTATTAGTTTGGCTTTGACTTAGTTATGAAATGTATATTCATGAGTTAAAAGAACTCCTTGTAATTTTAATTTTTTTTCTTTATTAAGAAGTTACTTAGCCTATAAAAGGAGGAAAAATGAAATAATTTGAAAGATAAAAAAGGAGCATAGAAAGAAAGATAAAGAAGAGTCAATAAAAAAAATTTAAATCAAGAGAATTAAAAAAGATGAGTTTTGAAGAGTAAATAATTTTTTTTGTTTAAAATTTTTTAAATAAAGATAGTTAGTAAATGAATCTTTCACTTCTCTATCTTATTTTCCAAAACTTAACTCTGAACAAAGCCTTAGATTATTTCTATATATTTTTCCTTTGTCACTAACACTCAAACATAGAAAAATGATACATTGAAAGTAACAAAAGAAATATAATTTTCATTATTTTTTATAATGATATAAATTCTTTAGGAGTAACTATCATTTAATGCATATTTCATAAAAGGTGTTTTATTTTATTTTTTTAAATTTAAACAATATATGAAAACAAAAAATGTAATTACCTCTTAAAAAGACTAAACCAAACATAAAAAGGAATTATGACGGTTTAGGAATTGTTAATGATTTTTCTTTAGGATGTGTTATAACTTTTCTTTTAGTAGTTATGTGACTTGAAATTCAAATATTATTTGATAATCTTAGAAATATTGTAAATTTTAGGTTTAAATAATACATATTTAATCCTTATTAATTAATATCTGAGTTTAATTTACATTGAGTTTTACATGTATTTTAATTTCTCATTCTTAAATATATAATATACCTTGATATGCCTTTTTTTTTATAAAATCATATATATCTTTCTTATTTTGTAACATATGCTTTTAATTAGTAATCTAAAAAAGGTCTTTGAATTTTTAATTATTATAATTAATACTTAAAATTTATAATTAATATTATAAACATAATAAGATATTTATAAATTATTATTAATATTTCATTAATTAATTTATAATTTTTAAAATTTATATTTTAAGCAGCTAATTTTTTATATTTTAATTTATAAAAATTAATATTTTTGTCTTCTAAGATTAAAATTAGTTTCAATTTTGTCTTTTAACTTCATTTCATTTTTAATCAGTTTTGTTTGATATAACAACGTCAAGTCTCTTAAAAATATTATTTAATTTTTAATTATAAAACTGCTATATTATGTTTGTTTTATTTTATATTTTTAAATATTTATAAAGTAAAAATAAAAAATGATTTATTTTCACTATTTTTATACTTAAAATTTAAAATAAAAATATTATATATCCTTATATTTTTTATAGTACAATGAAGTAGGTTATTTTAACTCGTTTATTCTCTGTGTATAGGTTATAAAACATAATAAAATTTAGTAACAAATGTCACATGCTAATGATAAGTAGAAGTTTTAAAATAATTTGATCAATTATTATTAAAATATTAAAAGTTCATGTTTAAAGTAAAATAAGTCATAAATAGTCAATTTAATCTTTCATTTCAGTCAAAGATCACAATTTAAACATATGGAATAACTTTCCTGAATCAAGTTTAAAAATCATTAAAAAATGGATGTTAAAAATTAGAGTTTAATAAAAATAAATTTAATCTCCATGCATCTATCATTTTAACTTAAAAATTACTCAAAATTTTTTACAAGAAAAATACAAAAAAATTGACATATATGTCAATTAATTTCAGTAGCTAATAAAAAAATTCAATAAAACTTAATGTCATGACTAATTTGAAAGAAAAACTAATATTAAACTTAAAAAAGAAACTCCTAATTTTATCGCTAATTTATATTATTTTATTACAAATAAAATATTTTTTTAATATTTTATATATGCTCACAAACATATTTATAATACAGATCCTCCAGCAAAACATATTTATAATCTAAAAAAAAAGGTATAATACAGAGATATTTGTCCGAGTTAATTTTTTATATTTATATTTTCATCTAGTTAGTAAATAATATCTAATTAATTGTGCGAATTATTATCAAGAAATAAAATTTTTATAATATAAATGTATATATAACTTTCAAATAATTTTTTATAAATATCATAATTTATTCATGTTTCATAATATAATTTATTTAAGTCAATTTATATAGGTGCAAAATTTGCAAAAGATAAAATTTTAAAGGTGCCACCATATTTGTGGATTGTCCATTTGAGATTCAAGTATTCAGATCGAACGGTGAAGATGTTCTCATAATTGCTCGTCTTATTGACCACGTCATAGGGTTCTCCGACGTTGTAGGGCACGGTCTCACAGACCTCTAATCAACCTCCACGTGTACCAAAAGCACACTCGCTCCGGCACCTTTTCCGTGTAACCGGTCCAACTTTCAGTTCTAAAGCCGCATTTGGACACTACGTTTCTGAACACGGATTTGGCTTATCCAATCCCGTCCCAAACCGAAGCTTCCAAACACGCCGTTAGCTTTAAAAAGTGAAAACGAATATTGCACGTTGTAGCATCATTCCTTTTTCATTTCTGTTGCTTCACGTTTTAAGAGCCCAAAGCTAATTCGAATTCGGATCTTAATCTTCACTTTGTTCTTCGATCTCGCGAACCAGGTACACTTAGTTCTCATTTTCTTCTTCGTTCAGAAAGTGCGAGAACTGTTCAGAGACTAATTTCACTTAACTCGTTTAGCGGGAAACCGGATTTTCGATTCAGATTAGATCGAATTAAACTAATTCTGAGTGATTTGAGCTTAGTCTTTGTGCTCCGATTGATCCGCCAAACTGTGGAAAACTCAAACGATAAACTGAGATTTGAAATTTAGATGATTCATCGTGAATGTGCAATTTATTGCTATTTGAATGACAAGTATGTGGTGTTTTCAGTGAGGTGGAGTTTCAATAATGATGGAGAAGGCAGATTCTGTGCAGAAGCTGTACACGCGCATGCGACTCTGGGAATTTCCGAATCAGTACGTGATTGAGCCGACGGATGGCTCTTCTGGTTCGTCTTTGGCTGTTAATCGGATAGATGGCTCCATGAAGCTCATTGGTTAGTTGTTTCCTTTGCTTCTTCTTCGTGCTTTGATTTGTATATACAACACTCTTTCGCTTGTGCTTTTTCTGTTGTTCGTCCTTGATCGATCTTAGTTTATTTTATGTATTTTGCTCCTCTTTTGTCTTGCTTTGACAGATGAGGTTCCTGAATGCAGCTCCCCTCGAGTTCCAAAGATTTATACAATTTTTGGTGTTGTTGGGATGTTGAGGCTCTTAGCTGGTGAGCAATCTCTTAGTCATGATTTGATGATTCATATTGTAGACGTAAGTGATTATTGTATGTCTCTGTTTGTAGACGTAAGTGATATTGGTATCTGTTTTTGAACATCTAGTTTACATACCTGACTTCTCTCTGCAGAATTCATTTATGCATTATTTTTCAATATTATACTTCAATTTGAGCAATCATTTTGGTATTGCTAAATTTTACTATTCTCTTAGGATCGTATTTGCTGGTTATAACTGAGCGTGAATGTGTTGGATCTTACTTGGGGCATTCAATTTTCAAAGTTTCTTCATTGAAGGTTTTTCCATGTGATCATTCTCTTAAAAGTACCACTGCTGAGCAGGTATGTTTGCTACAGCTCCACTTATTTCCTATTTCATTCTATGTTCACTACCAGTTTGGAACTCATAATTGCTCTACCATATTTGGCAGAGAAAAACAGAGATGGAATTTTCTGCACTGCTAAATGTTGCTGAGAAAACCTCTGGTCTGTTCTTCTCATATGAAACTAATTTAACTCTGAGGTGAATTTCTTTGGATATATTTATCAGTTTTACATTTGTATTCATGACTAGAACATGATATGGTTTTATTTTAATTCTAAATTTTGCTTCCTTAGAATATTGAAAGAGAAGAAAATACCCACACATTACCCCTTGGATTAGTAGTTCAATCATACAACCTGTAAACCTATGGAAAATGCAGTTTGTCCCATTTTCATTTATTGAAATATGTATAATTTTTAGCATGACACTTAAGATGGCATTGTATCATTCTGACTTTTAATGGCTGCTATTAATTCGTGCATGATAGAGGCTTCAGCTTGCCTAAGTAGCATTCATTGAAAGTATCATTACATAGGAACTGTGGATATGAAATTCTTTAATAGAAATATATTTGGCCATATTAGATGTAAACTTCATGTACTTAAATAATATGCACTTGTATTGATTTTTTTTTGTATAGAAAAGGGTTAGTTTTGCATTTTTGGAATCAAACTTTAGTAGACTAGAGCTTCTGCTCATTGCAATCTTGATTAAAAGGCATTATTTTAGTGGTAATACGGATTATCACTTTCAAGTTATAAAGGTTGTAAATAACTTTTAATCTTGAATGAAAATTAAGTGCACATTCTATTTTAAAAAGAAATTATAAATGTTGCTTGTGCCAAAAATGGTTATCACATATAGGTCGACAACTCCCTTTTTGTAAACAACATTTCTATGAGGAGGATTGTGATCACTTGCTGCTCTGATGAGTTTGACAATTATGGACTTCTGAGTCTCTGATTGTTGATGATAGTCATTACACAATTAGGGTTGCTAAAAGTTTTTTAAAATCTAAACGATGCTTTGTGTTGTTTTACTGTCCTAGTAAAATTTATCTTGAAATATGTTATCTATGTATATGAATTGTGAAATTTATTATATTATGTTCTCCAGTGCACAACGATTGAATGACCTGGGTGATGAATCTATGTTGCTTCCTCTTTGGAGACAGGTATTTATTGCCTATTTTGTTTTGCCACTATCCTGCTAGTATATTTTTGAAAAAATTATTTTTAAAAATGGTGCTGATGCCACTGTAAAATCCCCCTCCCCATTGTTTGTTCTCAATCTCATTCCTGAGTGATACTCCATATGTCTATCTATGCAAATCTCCTCTCTGAATTGCCTCTTTCTGCAGTTTTTGATTTCCCCTATTATTCTGCTTATGCTACTAAATTATTGATCACAGGCAGAGCCTCGATTCCTATGGAACAATTATATGTTAGAAGTTCTCATAGATAGCAAGGTAGGTTTGTGAAAAATTTATTTTTCACTTGTTCAATTTCTTCATTACTTATACATTTTGATATTACTAACCAATGAATGTGCTTGCTAGCTTGACCCATACTTGCTTCCTGTAGTCCAAGGCAGTATCCTTATCTGATTAACTATTTTGCATTGTTATCATGCAATCAAGTACCTGTTTTTTTTTAAGGTTATCCTTAACAAGTAAATAGGTTTTCATCACCTTCAAGCAGCCATTGGGAAAGATATTATTGACATCACTTTGATTGCAAGAAGATGCACTAGAAGAAATGGTATTTGAAGTTTTCGAAAATTTCTATTTATTTCCACAAGCACAATTGACAAAAACGTGTAGTTTCCTCAGTCCTCATGTTAATACTACATTTTGAAAAGTTTTTGTATAAGAAAGCACATGCATAACATTTGTGGTTGTGGTTGCTTTTACACTTTAAGAAGGTCATTGTCATGTTTTATTGGGTGGTTGATTAATGGTACAAATACAATTTTATTTGTTGAAAGGAACTCGAATGTGGAGAAGAGGAGCTGATCCCGATGGCTATGTAGCCAATTTTGTGGAAACAGAACAAATTATGCAGTTTAGTGGGTATACTGCTTCATTTGTTCAGGTATTGCTTTCTATGACCATGAACCCATTATATGGTGGATTTGCCATGCAACACATGAAGTTCTGATGTCTTAATTTAGAGGAGTGTCCTATTCTTAAAGAATGGCTGATGTTTAGAAATAAGTTGACATTACCTTTTGCAGTTATAGGGCAGTTAACCGTGAGATAATTAATAAACAATTTATGTCTAAAAATCATCTTGCTTGAGCTTTTGCAGGTCCGTGGTTCAATTCCACTCCTCTGGCAGCAAATTGTCGACCTCACTTATAAACCAAAGTTTGAGTTATTGAAAATTGAGGAAGCTGTGAGTAGTTGTTGGTTGTATTTTTTAGGCTTACATGTATTGTTCTATGTGTATTTCACTTACATTTCTCTGCTCAAGTGCAGCCACGAGTTCTAGAGAGGCATTTCTTAGATTTAAGGAAAAAATATGGGGCTGTATTGGCTGTTGATCTTATTAACAAGGTAAATATTCTTTCATTGCTAATGAATTGAGAATGCCTGTATTTACTTAATGATACTATTGTATGTAATTACATTGTAAATTTTGTATGCAACTGTAAAGCATTCCTGCACCCCATGTACACCTACCAAAATACTATCGATATGTGCTGTACATGTTCTTGAGAATGTGTGATAATGTGCATGGAACTGTTATGTATCAGATGCATACATTTGAATCCTCTTCTATCTCCTTTGTATTTTTCAGCACGGAGGAGAAGGGCGACTGTGTGAAAAATTTGGTGATACAATGCAGCATGTGGCTAGTGATGATGTAAGGTAGAAGTCTCTTTCAATTAACTTTTAGGTTGATATAAATAAATTATTTTGGCTTTTTTGGTTACTCATGCAGTTATTTATTTGTATTTTGTAGATATCTTCACTTTGATTTTCACCATGTTTGTGGGCACATTCATTTTGATCGTCTTTCAATCCTTTATGACCAAATTTCAGATTTTCTTGAGAGAAACGGGTATGGAATTTTTTATTCGTTAAGCTTTTAGATAGACTTTTTTCAAGAATTAATTAATAATTGAAGTCATGCTTACATTGATTGGTTTCATCCCGGGAGCTATTTATAAACTACTAACCTTTCAACAAATTCCAATATTTTATATTAGTATGTTCTGTTAATTTGGAACTATCTGCTATAATTACTTGAACACTGTTTAAGCATAGTATCATGAGCTGTCTAACAGACATGTGAAGCTGTTTTTCCTAGAAAACTGCCTTAACCATTTTATTATGTTTTATTTATAAAATCTTGTACTCTACAGTCAACACTAACTGAAATATTTAAAAATAAAAATCTGAGTTGCTTTTCTGATTTGGGATTATAGATATCTTCTATTGAATGAAAAGGGGGAGAAAATGAAGGAGCAACTTGGAGTCGTTAGGACCAATTGTATTGATTGTTTAGACCGTACAAATGTGACCCAGGTTGGTTGATTCACTTAGTTAGGTGTGCATCCCTCTGCGTTTGTGACACCATGTTCCTGCTTCCTAATGTTGAAATATTTATGCAGAGCATGATAGGCCGACATATGTTGGAATTTCAGCTTAGAAGGCTTGGTGTCTTTGGTGCTGAAGAAACCATTAGTTCACATCCAAATCTGGATGAAAGCTTTAAGATCTGTAAGTGATATTATGTGCTTTGAAATGTAGATATATGTTATATTATGTAGTTATCTTCATTTGGTACATTAAAGTTTTCACTGTTTCATAGCACTTGATTTTAGATTTCTGACTTATTCTCTATGGTCAGTGTGGGCTAATCATGGGGATGATATAAGTATTCAATATTCAGGAACTCCTGCTCTAAAAGGGGACTTTGTCAGGTATTTTTTGATGAATCTTCTAAACCTTTTCATGTTCCTCACATATAATGAATATTGAGAAATTATTAACCCATTAAGGTTTTTCTTTGTTGAAATTATATTTACCATGGAATAATTTTACATCATTGGAATATCTTGTATTATATATTACCAACTATAATTTTATTGTCTAAAGCAGTAATACTGTAATTGTGTATTGTAAGTAGTACTAGTAATAGGCTAGGAATTTAATCTATGGCTTCAGCCTTCATTGCTTTATCATTTTGGGAATTGTGCAACTTTTGTGCATAACTTTTTTTTCATGTTAATTTTTTCACTTTTTCTATTGACTGTTTGATTACATCTACTATTATATTCAATTTGAATCACAAAAAATAAAAAAATAAAAAAATAAAGTTATTATGCAATTGTTTTATACTTCAAGGTTGAATAATTCCTGAGATTATGATAAAAGAGTCATTATCTTTATAGTTTTAAACATAGTTATCAATAGCAGCTGCTATCGCGGTGCAGTTCCGCTGTGGCAATCCTGTAGCATCGTGATTTAGTGTTGCAGTTGTCGCGCTGCGAATAGCGGCCGAAAATAGCAGAAATTGCGGTTGTAGGGGCCGCTATTCTATTCTCCTTAAAAATTCTGAATCTGTCCTTTGTTTTTTTTGACATTTGGGGCTTTTAAGGGGGGCAATATTGGGATTTCAGCCCTCTTTTATTTTCTGAATCTTCTCCCTCCCTCTGGCAGACTCTAACCCCTCAGCTCACCTTTCAAATCTGTCCTCAGCTCTCCTCTCATTTCTCCTTTCATTTTTTCTTTTTTCTATCTGTTTTTTCTATTTTTTTCTCTGTTTTGATTCCCCTACTTTGTTCTGTTTCAAATTTCAAAGCTTCAAGTAGAAGCAATGGCTGTTCCTGCACGCTTTGCTTTTTGTTATTTATTTCCTTCTCTAATTTGAGTTTTCCTTTTTTGTTTTGTTCCAAATTTGTATATTAATTTTATATTTTTCAGCATGTATGTGTGTGCATTAAAACTTTAGAATAGCGGTCATCCCACTGTCGCTATCCTAACTATAGCGTTTTTGAGGTTAGTCGTTCCCTGCTGCTATCTGGGATTGACTACTATGGTTTTAAATATGTTGCTATTATTGTTTGGAATTTAACCTTTGTGCCACCTCCCCCCAACCACCACCTTTTTTGGGTGAGATGCAGATTTGGGCACCGCACAGTTCAAGGGATACTAAAAGATGGTTGCAATGCTCTTCTACGATATTATTTAAATAATTTTAGTGATGGAACAAAGCAGGTTTGTGTGGCTACTCTACCAGTCTACCTATTGTGCAGAATCTTTTGTTGTATACTAGTTGATCATAAGTCACTATCATCTAGGTTTTGTCTTTTGTATATTTGATTTGTCCCTTCTGCATCCTAATTCACAGCTTTTTAGAGTTTGTGCTGCTCTATGATATAATTATGCTATACGAGATACTGACTTTTCATGTACATATTTTACTGTGGATCATGTTCTTAAGATAGTTTCTTCAGTATGTCCTTTAACACTGGCCGAGTAAATCTAAAGTAAAATAATATTTTTAAAGGTTAATTTAAAGAATTTATTGGTAATTGATTTGTTCTTTTCATGATTTTTTTTTTACCATGTGAAGGATGCAATTGATCTCCTGCAAGGACATTATATAGTTTCTGTCAGCCGAGATACAGCTGCCACTTCTCAGAAAGGAGGCCTTGAAGCTATAGCTGTGAGTACAGTTTGGATGGAAGTCTTTTCCTGAATGAAGCTTAAGGCATTGAATTTGGTTTAAGAAAATTTTTTAGAAAGCTCTCTCTCTCTTTCTCTCTCTCTCTCTCTCTCTCTCTCTCTATATATATATATATATATATATTAACTGCTATGATGCATGGCTAAATTCATACTGATTATACTTTAATTAATTGAAATATAATTTTTATGGATAAAGCTGATGTCTTTTAAGGAAAAAATAAATAAATGGGCACTTGTTTACTTTTTATTTTTCAGTATTTTGTGAGACACTTTTTCCTTTTAAGGCTCATAGAAAATTGGTTCTAACCCTATAGAAATGTAGTGGGTTCCAATGGGCCAAGGGCATGAAATACTTGTAACCAAGTGATTCATGCTTTATTTATTAACTCAAACTGCCTTTGATATTCAAATGAGCAACCGGATATTCAGTCAAGGAAATGTTTAAATGATTGTGTTGCTGGATTTGAAGATTGATGCGGATAATTAATGTAAAATGCTTTGATTAATGCAAATTGATATTAATATTACTATGTTTTTGCAGTCATTTCCTCTGGCTTTGGCTCTGGTTTTGACCGGATTTCTTTTTGCAACCATGTCATTGAGGCAAGGTGAGCTGGTTTTTGTTTGATTCTAAATATTAATTTTTCACTTAAACTAACAAACAGACACACAAACGTGTCAACGGTATAATATAAGGATAGAATCAACCTTATAGAGATCTGTGGTTTCAAACCCACTATCTGCCTTTTTCATTGTTGGAGCAACAAAATTAGGCAGTGACTATGAAGAGAAGGGAGAAGAGAATATAGGAAATAGAAAATGTTTGGGGCGGACCGGGGGTGGGGGTGGGGGAGTTTAGGGAGAAATAGAATAAGTGGGAGAGAAGAGAGGGAGAATCGAAGGGATAACCACTCGATAAAAGCAGAGAACTAAATCTTATTAGTTAGTACAGACCCTTTGCTGGACACCCATTGTCCTGTTTTAATTAGAAACGATAATCATTTATGACCAAGGGATGCTTGCCAAAGATACTGTAATAGAATATCCTATAGCCTTCTGCTGCAAAATTTTCTTCCCCGGCGTTTCTAAATATTAAAGGAAAATTTGTGACGTGAAATTTGATGAGAATTTGTGTGCTTATCTCCTTGCTGACATGCATGTACTGTTAAATGACATATAATTATATATATAGATTTTTAAATATAAAAATACATATCATTATATATATTTATAAGATCAATTCAATTAATAGATAACTACTTCTTTGAGTATATTGACTATTGAAAAATTATATTTATTTCGGTAATATATTTGTTTTAACAAAATTAGTTTCCAACAACTAATTAAAAATATCTTTATTACGTACAAGAAAAATATAACATATTCATTGAAGTTATTTATTTCCAGTTCCCCTTTCAATCAAGTTCTAAATCCCTTCCTGATTCAGACCAATGACTCCAGTTTCCATAAGTGCTAGATTGATGAACTATGTGTAATTTGGTGTTGAAATCTATGGCTTAAGCATTGAGCTTTTGTTCATTGTTTCTGCAGTTCGATATGATTTTCGGCACTTCTTCTTTTCGCTAATGTGGGCGGGCATTAGTATTGGTATAGCAGCATTTGTGAGGGCCAACGGCCGTCTTTTCTGCAACAGACCTCGTCTACACAATCCTCGTTGATTACTTATACAAATCAGTCTGAGTAATTAGAATTTTTTTTGTGGAAGTATCCAGCTTCTGTCGCAGTAGTCACCAGCAGAGGTCTTAGTTCTACATCTAGATCACTTTAACGAATTTAATATTTACTCCAGATATATATTATATAATCCTCCTTGCTGTTTATTATATTTATTCTTCTTTACTAATTTTTAATCATTGTAGTTTCCAGATATATATTCATATAATAGTCCAGTCATGTTCCATTTGTGTGATTGCTGCTTTACCGGTGTTTCATAAGCACCGTCTCCTCCTTGTATATTTGAGTTTTATTTGTGCCTTCTTTATGATGGAATCATTTTAAGGTTATTAGGAAATACATTGATTTTATTATCATCTATGCTTTTAAGCAAATTTATAATTCATGAAATCATTTTACATTTTTATTTCAGAAATCAAGGTTATTCCATATTTGCCTTAGTCAAGGTCGTGCTTTTTGTGCGACTCGACCTGGCTTTTTAATGTAGTTATAAATTATTGATCAAAAAGAAGGGGGAAAACACTGTAAAATCGCCTTAGCAGATGTCTACTACCCTGGAGGACTCCGAACTGCTCAGCATGACCACGGTTGCTTCGGTAGGATTGACAACGTACGGAAAGGACAATGGAATCGAATGGCAAAGATGTTGATGTTTGAATGTTTAAAACAGGGGATATTTACAATGATATTGTCTAAAGGTTAAATGTTAAATATCGGGTGTTTAGAGTGTGTTAAATTAATTCCGGCGTAAATTTATTTTAATGCTACAAGTTATAATTTGTACTTTTAATAAGTTTTCAAACGTACACTCATATTTACTTCTTGGATAGAAAATTATGTTTATACATCTCCATTTTGAAAAGAAATTTTGTGCAGTCTGCATGTAAAAACATTGAAGGTATGCTTGAATAGGCATCGGTATTGGAACAGGCAATCTTAATAAATAGAAAAAAATCGGTCTTGAAAGTCCTCCTCGAAATCATCAATCCATCGCTAGCTGCCTGTGATATTGATGTCAGTCCAATATTCTGCTTAGACCGTGCAGTGCAAGCAAATACAAACATTTTACCTATGGTTTCTTTAGCCGTTCAGTTCCACTAGTTTTATGTGTGAAGAAAGATGTTCACTTCGCTCTCTTTTTACTGGTTTTGAATCATCTACAGCAAACATTGTTTTCTTTTATCTCTTAAATTTTGACATGAAGTAAATTTGTTTTCAAGATTTGTAAACCATAACATTGTTTTAATTTTTCAACGCCTAAAACAAATTGGTGAAATTGATAGGATTAAGCATCATCAACCTAAAGTGTATTATTAGGTTTGAATTGTGCTGATGATTTGTAAGTGTAAACCCTCATTGAATCTTATAACATGTCTTGATTGATCATGAAATAAAGCAATCTCTGTATCACCTAAACTTTTCTTTATACAATAAATCTTTTATATAACATGTATTAACCCTTGACCATGAATGCGCTGAGGTTTATACTTTGCCTGGAGTACGGTCAAAACAAAATTTTGGGTGAAGTCGTTGTTCACACTATAAAACAACTTTTCAAAGTTCAGAACATGGAAAAGTTAAATTGCTAACTATTTGAAACCAATAGTCAGCTTTCCTGTCTCATTCACAATTTTGTGAAGGATTATATTTATATCTGCCTTTACCCACATTGCTACACTGGTGTTCGCATCCTCCTTTCTACTTTCACTACTTGGATGGTCAATATTATTTTCCTCTCGTTGCGAGATGTAGGCCTTTTGTTTTCATTAATACAAAATTGATATAAATGGGGGCATTCGATATCAAATAAACGATAAATAAACCGCCACGGTAGGCAAAATTACTGGTATCAATAATGAAAGTGTGTTCTTAACAAATAATTACATTTAAAACATGATCCATAACGCAAGGTTTATTGATATTAACTCGTTATTTCAGAACCTGCCGCACCCCACAAAGGAACACATTACAAGTCATGATTAACAAGAAAGGTTGATATCTCAACTCCATATGTGCATACATCTAGTGATATGTGACGTGATATAAAAAGAGAGAGAGAGAGAGAGAAAAAAAACGAGATATAAGAGAAGTGAAGATATATAAAAACCAAAACTCAACAAGAAACTCACACAGACAAAAGTAGAAAAGCAAAATAACAACATAATAATAAAAGTTTAGAAGAGAGTGATCCATTGCAATTAGAGTATGTTTTCTAAGAGGCTTGAGGTGGATAAGGAGGCCAGTAAAGATGAAATTGAATCTTGTAGACAACTGTAGGACCCTTTAGATCAACAGGATAAGACGTAACATAGCCTTGCACAAACAAGAAATCTTCAGTGCCTCCTACCACTGGATGATCTGAACGCTTGATGTTATTTGTGCCTCCCACAATGGAAACTGAACCCTTGCGACCCTTCACACGAAGAGTTATCTTGGCAACAGAAATGCTGCTAAACCCATCAAGACTAGAGGTGATGGAACTTCCTTCTGCAGTTCCAACTTCTTTGGAGGATCTATTAGCTGTGACAGTCAAAGGGTCCTGAAAGACAAAAAGGGTACCTAAAGGGGTTGTTGTTTCAGTTATTTCTTCCCCTCCTTCCAGTTCCACTCCATTCACAATGACATAACCTGTTTTGTTTATGGTTTCATGTTGAAACAATGAGAAGTGAAGGGATTTGTAGGGGTTGGGGCGGTGGCGATTGTGGTGATGGGAGGAGCCACAAGTGCCCTCAAAAGGGATCATGGCCAAAAGCAAAATAGCAAGAGCATAGTTATGCCAAGCAAACGCCATTGTTAACTTTGTTTTGATCACAAAAAAGGGATATAATATATCTCATTAATTATATGCATGGCACATGAGTACGAGGTTCAGATTTATAGCGTGAAAAGTTAGTTTGTAGAGTTCAGAGCGGTGTGTCGCATGGTTGTTGATGGCATCAATGAAAATGATGGCTTAGTCATTGAAGGTCGTTCATTCTTGTTCTATGTCTATTGTTTTTTATTCAGATGTATGCATAGTGAAATTTGTGTGCATAGAAGACCTTGTAGTTGTAGCATAAGTGTTTGTGTGTCTAGAAACAATGTAGGAAGAGTCAAATTACTTGATCCGATGCATTTTGATGTCCCCTTTGTTTCGCACAATTAAAAGCATGTGATCATATGTCTTTATTTGCCATTTTATTAAGTGAATTTTGGTAGGATGCGTCTTTCGAAATAGAGCAGCGACGTAATTAGTTGAGTGGTTAGTGGATCACGCTACTCTACTATAATAAATGTGCAACTAAAATTTCATCACTAATAATATTGAAAACTCAATTCAAAAATAATATAGAAAATTCAATTCAATTCTAATCATTAATTTTCTCTTGTCTAAGAAGAAGGTAAATTGAGTCTACTGAGCGAACAATCTCTGCCTTTCACACCAATCGGGTAAAATTATTGCCTGTAATATCAGTGGATAAAGTGGGCAGCAACCATTTTCATAGTTTACGAAAATGTAACCAATTTTTATTAATTTTAACTGAACAAAGTAAATAGGTCGTATGTTTTATTAAACATAATTCAGTAATTTAGTGTATGTTTAGTTCAGCCTATTTTGAAAGTATAATCGCTTTTTTTCTATTTTTGTAAGAGTGTATTTAAAAAATAAGAAAGTATATATTTCTGTAAGAAAGTAAATCCAACATGCATTTAAAAAAAGCTCATGCAAATTGATCAAATTTTATTAAAAAATATATAATTTGTTTAAAACAATTTGAGTTGATTTAAATGAATCTATTTAAGAGAATAAAGTTTGTCTATTTTTTTTATTCTTAATATTCAAATTGACTTTACTTAAACTTTGTTTGAGAATTTAAAGGAAAAAAAAATTAAGAGATACAGAAGAATAAGGGGAAAAAATATTAACAAAACTCTTGAATTTATGAAAACTTGAAAAACATAGGATTATGAGAGTTTTAAAAAGTTTATAAAAGTTCTCAATTCTTATATTTTAAAATTTTTAAAATAAGGGCTAGCATCATCTAAACTTTTCTTTCCCTTTCTTTCTTTTCTAAAATTAACTTTCAATCAAAGTCTTAAAGAAAAATAATCTCTTTACCACTTAAATTATTTTAATAAATGTATACATATTGTAATTTTGGAAAAGAAAAAGTAAGATAAATATTTTATATAAATACCATAGACCTGGGTTAGCGCCTTTGATTTTATATGATATACAATGTTGAATTTTGACTATGATTAAGAATCTTCGGTAAACTAAATTTTCACGCAGTGGAAGCAACATTGACATATTGAATTATTTGTCAACTATCACCATCAGTAAGAATGACTATGGTCGCACTCGTCATATATTTGTACAGTTTTTTTTTTTAATTGGTTTAACTGATATAGATAATAATTAAGTTATAAAAAATCTAAAAAAATAGTTTATTATAGGAACATATTTTCTTTAAACACACATCAACAATATATACTTTAACTAGCAGCATAATCTATTATAAGTTAGGTGATTTATAGTGGGAAAGACAAATGACTAATAACTTAATTAGTCTATAATGAGAAAGATAACACGACTAAGAAATTGCTGGCGAAAGGCCCAGATCTACCCAACAATGCAGCATGGCCTAAAAGTGGCTATAAACTAAACGAGTTTAGGAACAAAAAAAAACAAAAATTGACGCCTTATTCTGTAAAAGAAAAAAAATCCTCAGTTAAACTAAAGCGAGAAAGCAAAAGTTAAAGTCAGGGACACCCTAAAGTTAGCAGTGCAGTTGTTAAAGCTTTATAGAGATATGTTCAAAAGTTTTGAATGCACCTTTGCATGTGGGAATCATGAATTCAAAAAGAGAAGGGCTCGCTGTCAATTTTCATCATTCTCCCATTAATTTTATCCCAAACGTGAGAAGTGGTAGAAATTTGAAGACTTTCTGGAAGGAGCATCCTTGATTGTTTAGCTTTTGATTTGGACTTTTTGCTTGTATTCCGAATATAGACTTAAAAAATAAACTTTAATGATTTTTTTTCCCAGTTGGCAAAATTTAATTGGTAGAACATGAAGACAAGTTATAAAGTGGGATGGGTTTAGAAGATTTCAACCTACGTATAGTTTATTTGAATTAATTCATTTTATATTTAAAACATTAATTAAAAGTAACTTAATATATTTTAACAGAAAAATTATTACTTACTGTGCACTAAATTCATTAAGAAACTTCGCCACTCTTTAATTGGTTTAGAAAGAGTGTTATACGGTGAATTTGAGAAAAAATAATTTCAATTTTGCACTATAACCAAGTGATCGTTTATACTAAATAAAAAGTGATAAAATAATTTGACATTTATTACATGTATTTTATTTTTATGAAACTAAATAAATAAAGTAAAACTTTGAATTCTTTAATAAATACAGAAAAAGGGTCTTAAAAATCACGCTTTTAGATTGATCCTACCTTATTTTTCCTAAAGGGTCCTGATGAGTTTTAAAAAAAAAATTCTAAACCGCTAAATCGAGATATATATTCCCGAATACTCTACAAATATCACTACACTAAAACAAATTAACAACACATTTTCCCACTCCACCTAACAAAATAACCTCTCTTTGAAAAATATTTCTATTGGGTCATGTTGCTATGATCAACCTCAGTTTCTAGTTAACTTACATTTCATTCCTTGGCTGTTGGAAATTGTTCATAGCTGCTAACTTAGTACGTTGTTTCTTGGATGCTTTCATTCTATGCTTGATAATACCTTGAATGCCTTCCAAAGTGTCCAAAACATCTTCCATAGAGGGCCGATTTTTAGGGTCATTTTGAAGGCATTTTAGAGTGAGTTGTGCTACTTTCAATGCTTCCTTGGATGAATACTGACCCTTTATTTTACTATCCATAATGGTTTTCAAATTTCTTTTATCAGAGAGAGAAGGCTTAATCCATTCAACCAGGTTCTGCTGCCCATTGGGGCGCTTCGTGTCAAGTGCTCTCAACCCTGTCAGCATTTCAAGCAGAACTACACCAAAACCATAAACATCACTCTTCACATACAAGTGGCCTGTTGAATCATGACACAATCCTTAGCCATGTTACAAAGAAATAGCATTGTTCTCAACTTCAAGTATATTCACAAAAAGCAACCATTTACGTGTGTGTAGATATGATGATTACCTGTTGCCATGTATTCTGGAGCAGCATAGCCAAATGTGCCCATGATCCTTGTAGTTACGTGTGAATCTTCCCCGGAAGGCCCTGATTTAGCCAAGCCAAAATCAGAAATTTTGGCATTGTAATCCTGCAAAAGAAACATTTGGTTATCAAAATATGTGATTTGTAGATTTAGTATTGTATATATAAACAATAAAAAAAAAAGGGAAAATAAACTTTGCATGGAAACATTTGTTCATCGACCATACAAATACATGGAAAAATGCTAAACCCTAAACCCATGAACTGATATTAAACCTTGTTGCTTTAAATCAATATTGTCCATAAAGTCAATAGATTTACTTCAAGAAGTCAATGGGTCTGGTATTTACTCATGGGAAAAGATAATTTTGCATTTATCAGCAAAAAATGCAAGTAAAACTTTGGTTAATATAACAATGATTTTTCTAACGTGCGTGAAAAGATACATGTTAAAAATTGAAAAGAATAATATTTTATTAAAAATTATAATATTCAATATTATTAAGGTATTAAAATTTATAATATTTTATGATTTTTAATAAAAATATAATATACATAAGTTCTTATTTTCTACGCATGCACTTAAAAAAATGATAAAACAAATAGAGACCAAATTCATAAAATTGCTTTAACTCATTTGGTTTAGCTTCCACCTCTCGAGATAAGGGAAAATGTGTAAGACAAACATAAAAAAGAGCAACTATGGAAAAGTAACTCACCCCATCAAGTAGTATATTGGAGGCTTTGAAATCTCTGTATATGACTTGCTTTTCTGAGGTGTGCAAGAAAGCCAAGCCCCGAGCAGCACCAATAGCTATTTTGATTCGGGTGTCCCAAGAGAGTGGTTCCCTGCTAGCATTTCCTAGTTGCAAACAAAGACAAAGAAAATGAGTTAAACTCAAATCCATGGCCAACAATATTTTCTTATTCATTTGAATTGTCTCAAGTTCATACTCCCAAAAAGATGGTTCTCCAAGCTTCCCCTTGGCATGAACTCGTACACAAGGAGAAATCCCTCATCGCAACAGTAACCCAATAACTTCACTAGGTTTGGGTGAGAAACCCTTCCTAAAAAGTTTATTTCCGACTGCATTTTCATATAAACAAAACGAGAATTACAAAAGTTATATAAACGCAATATGACAATTGAAAACATTACAAAATACTTATTTATGTCAAGAATTAATATCCTTTCTCTGTGTTCTATAAATCATTTATCAATGCATCTGTTTACGTACACTAACTTGAAAAGAGAGAAAAAAAAAATTCCACTTTTTAAAATGGCACGTTCCACATATTTCGGCCAGTTAAACTCAAACATTCATAAACAACAACAGGTTCTTTTTTTCCTTTTCATTTCTTCTTTAACAAAAAAGAACAATAATAAGTTCTGCAGTATGAACAATACTTAATATACGTCGTTGAATATTTTAAAATTTTTTGAAATATTAAATCAATTTTAAATTTCAATACAGTAAATATATATTTTTTACAATAAATACTTCAGCATTTGCCTGACTTGACAGGTTGTTATCATGTTTACCGAGTTTTTCCCACGTGATTACCCTAAAAACTATTGTTAAATGTATTTTACTTGAATTATTTTTGCCGTCAAACATTACTCAACTATGGAACATGAAGAACAGCTGTGGCTGTGGGGCTCCATAATCACAGCTATATTAGTTGTTACTATTATAAATAGTTTAATAATATTAAACTGCACGCACATTGAAAAAAAAATTCTTGTTTAATAAAAAATGTTAATCACTGTGTTTTAAGAATATTAGTTAAGAAAATATAAAATAAATATGCATATTTTATTAAAAATATAAAAATGCACTTATCTCAATATTTTATGCATTCTATTATGGTTAATTATTTATACATTTTTTAATCAACACACTTATGGCATTGATCAGAAGACACTTTTTTTTTGGTGAACATCAGAAGACCTTGTTTAATAATGTACTTGAGGTTGTATGAATCAATAGTTGTTTGAAATCGGGCTGCAATAAATTAGAAAAAGAAAGAGTACAGTGGTTAGAGGGGACCACAGCATCTAAAAGCAAAATAAGTTGAACATAATTACCAACCTGCCACTCTTGCAATCCCTGAACACTTTCAGGCTTCAATTTTTTGACAGCAACGACGAATCCAGAGCCAGGTTTTGCAGGTGCGAGTGTGTTGTGATCCAACCAACCTTTGTAAACTTTGCCAAAACCACCCTCACCAAGCAATAAATCCGACTTGAAACTTCTGGTGGCAGCTTTCAGCTCCACAAAACTGAACTCCTTCATCGTTTCCACTCCCCCAAACGCAATGCTATCAACAGTACTGGTAGTAATCGTTGAACCTGCAAACATATTGTGTATATGTATGACAACGAATAATCACAACAAATTAAAACAACCCAATTAATAAAGTGTTTTTTTTAAACTTGCCTGAATGTTGAGGTGTGTGGAGGGAATTAGCGAGTGGTTGGTGGCCAGCGAGCGAAGTAAAGTAGATACCCATCTTAATTAACCAACGATAATTGATTAGTTAATAGCGAAATCAACAAGCTCAGCAGCAATTAATGATTATGAATTGAAGAAGAGGATGAGAAAGAGAAGAAGGAAGTAGTGCATAGACATAAACATAAAATGGTAGTTAGATGTATCGTTTTCGTCATAGTCATACGTTTGACTGGTATTTATGTTGGCGCTTGCCATGTTGGCCTCGCGTTTGGGAGCAAGAAGCCAATAATGTTCGTTTTACGTACCGTTCCTTGAAATTTAGAATTTGGAAGGAACACGACCTTTTGCATAGGTGCCGCTTTGGACATTTAAGGACTCGTCTTCAAATGCATAATTACATTCCTTTGTCTGGTCTTCTACATAAGAGGTAATTATTGTTAACATTTTTTATTAAAGATTGTTTAATCAATAAATTTAGCATTTAAAACAGCATTTTTAATTAAAAACAACATAATTATTTCGTTAAAATTATAAAAGTGTTACTAATGAACGCGTAGATCAACCTGTAAAAAAAATTTCATCTTAACTTGTGATAATTTGAATCAACTGTATTGTTGTCTACTATAATTTTAACTGATTTAAACAAAGTTTACTCTAATAAAATATATTTATAATTTAAACCAAAAATTATAAAAATATAATCAATATTTTTTTAATAAATTTTATTGTTTGTAATAGTTTCAATAAATTTTAAAGACTATAATTAATAATTTTTCTTTTATTAATTATAAAAAATAGAATATTTTTAAATGTATTAGTTTAAAAAAAAAATTAAAATTTTTTAACATCAGCCTTTAATATTGAAGTTAAGAAATAAAAAATTATTTTTATTAAAAAATTGAGTTTATTACATCAAAGTTGAAAAATTGTAATAAACTAATATTTTTAGATGCTCAAAATTAGTCGAGGTGAAGTTAACAAAGTTTATTTTATTTTTTTTACTAAAACAAAGTTTATATTTTTATATCTTATTTATTATGATATTTGTATTAATGAAACACCTACTCATTATTTTATATACATAAATAAATATATTTATTTATTTAAAATATAACCAATTTGAATATTTTATATTTTATATATTTTTGAAATAAAATAAAAATTTATGACATATAACTATTTTTTATTAGTCTTAATGAATTAGTTATTTGTTTCTTATAAAAAAAATTGATAAAATATAATAATATAAAATTATTGAACTTAATTAAAGTGAAAAAATAGTTTTTTTTTTCAAATTTACTTAATCAAAGATTAATTATCATAACAATGAGAATTATTGATTTTTCAATAATTAATAGACCTTGCTAACTAATGTCCTTAGGATCCTAATTAATGAATTCTTGAAATTTGTTTTATTAAAAATTATGTTAAAATCCATTAAACATACAAAACAAAGTACATCAATAATATTTTATTTTTAACAAAAATCTTTCACTTTTAATTCTTTAAGAAATATTATAAGAGCAATAACTTTTTTTTCAACGCATGCATAAGGATACATAATAAAAAAATTAATAGATAATAAATTTTTATTAAAAATTGTAACATTTATTTATATTAATGCATTAAATTCTATGTTATCATGTAATTTTTAAAATAAAAATTATTATATGTAAGTTTTTATTGTGTGCTCTTAAAAATACATTAAAAAATATTAATTTTAAAGTCATATCTATCCTATATTTAATTGATTGATAGTATAAAAATGTTTACATTGATGATAAATTATAATCGTTTTATATTTTTAGTAAAAGTGTATTTGTCTGACAAAAATTCTAAAACTAAAGATTAAATATTTTTGTCATCCATTTTTATCATTTAAAATCATTTTTATAGTAATATTATACTACTAAATTTTACACTTATCTAATAATATTAATTGTTTATTTTATTAACATAGCCTTTATTCTTTAGATTTATTTTAATTGATCAAAAATAAAAAAAAATATTCAAAATATTCATAAAAATATAACAAATACTATTTTTAATAAAAAATAGTTTCAATTACTTAAAATCAAATTTAAATACTAATGTTAATGTCTTAATGATCTTTCTAACTTTTTAATATAGTTTTTTTTATACTTCAATTTGATACTCATTTTATATTTTATTATAATATTTTAAAAAAATATTTTTTTTCATCTTGTTTAATTTGGATTCGATCTAAGTTGCAAACCTAGATACGATAAGTGATATGGTAGGTAAGTCTACCGAAGATATTTTGTATATATAAAGACTTGAATTTAAAATCTTATTTAAATGATATGCCTTAAAACTTTTTCTAAATGATATTAAGTTGCTTATTACTCAAACTAATCTCTGTTGATAAAAAAAATTAATTTTTATTTATCAAATTACAAAACATCTACATTAACAACATTGGTGTATACATAATCATTTCTTATGTAGCAGGAAGAGAAAAGTTTGGATCATCTTCATTTTTTTTTCTCATAACCATCATAGTTATTATAATATAAATTTTATTTTAAATTTATTAATACTTTTAAAATTTTCTGTGAATAAGATTTTTTCTATTTCTAAATAAAATTGAGAAGATTCATTTTAGCAACAAAAAAAAAAGTGTTAATTTAAGTGGTTTTTTTTTTAATTATCTCTCTGAAAGTCTAAACGGTTGTCAAAGCCGGTCAGTTTCAATTGGCACTATTTTATTTTTTAATGTGAGATAAATTTTTTAGTCTAAGGATTAAAAAAATGAGTTAGTAAGTTAATAAATTAATATATTTAAAATTAATATAAAAATTGGCACATCAGTAAATTAATATTATTATACTGAATTTTTGTTAATGTTAACTTTAAATTTTAATATAAACGACTAATAATAATAAAATTTTATTAAAAAATATATTTATTATATTTTTATTATTTTAATATAATAATTATATATATTTTTTATTTATAGATGTTTAAATTTATTCTTAGGAGTTAAAGTAACAAAATTTTATTATATTAATAAAATTTAATGTGTAACTAATAAACATTTATATGTTATTTTAAAAAAATTAAAAAATGAGGTGAACTAACTAGGCAAGGCAACATGTAGAAAACCTTGGGTCAAGTCAGCACCCTAATGTGAACCAGACTCACTGGATCTGCACGCACTCGTCACAATCTTCTCTCTCCATTCATTTTATTTCACAAAAATAAAAAATTCACTTTACGTTTTTGGCCTCTTCCTCCACAGCTCAGCAACAGCAAGTGCCATCAGACCCCTCTATATAAATTTTTATACGCTTTAATGATCTTTAATTTTTAAAAATATTTTTTATTTATTTTAATATTTAAATTAATTAAATTAGTTTAACTGAAATATAATATTAAACAAAATGTATCATTAATAATAACACATCTTTTTATTTTTGAATAAATAATACATTTAATTACTTCAACTTAAATTTTTTATAGTATATATATTTTTAAATAATACTATAAACTGTTGAAACAAATATTTATTAAACAAATATAATCAGTGAATTTTTAAACACAAATTTTGGGCATTATACACATTCTATGAAACAAAGATATTTTTGAATAGAAAACAAAAACCTTGAACGCGTATGAAGGTGTCACAGTTTGAATTGTTATTAACTAGAATAATGCTACAATTATAATGTTAATAGTGAAGAAGCTGCACACCTTTCACATTGCAAAGTCAACGACTAAGTGCATGCACATATGCTTCAGACAATGGAAAAACAAAACAAAAGAAATTGTCATATTAACTTGCACGCTCACAAAAAGAACACAATCCCAAATTCTAATACAACTTTTTTTGTCTCTTTTATGCATATGGCTTCATTGTTAGTGTTCTTTCTCTGGGTGTTGACAGTCAAACCCACATGAATTATTTGACTTATGCTTTATTTTTCGGCTTTTTGGGGTATGGTTTCTTCTTAATTAATCAATTTGCCTCAGACTCTTTCTTACCTACAGTTTCTTTTAAAAAAAATTAGTTTAGTTGTAAATTTGTCCCTTTATGTTTTAAAAATGTTTACATAAGAAACATTGAAAATAACTTTTTTTTATTGTTTTTGTAAAAGCTTTTAAAATAAAAGCAAGATAGTTTTGAAAGCAAATATTTTTTTTTATATTTTTAAAAGGTTTCATTTACTGTGAAGTTAAGTTATTAAATATTGAGTGTCGGTGATAATTTTTTTAATATATTTTATTTGTAGTTTTTTAAATAAAAAGTTTATTATTAACAAAATAATATCTTTTATCATATTGTTAAATTTTGTATCGAAATTATTTTTTATTTCCTAATAATTTTATTCGTTGCCGTCTCACTAATTATGATTCTGGAATTAATAACTTATTCAAGACATATTATGCCATGCATGCATGTGATCCAAGTTTAGAATGCATGTATTCTTTCTGTAGTTATTGTTGTTTTTCATTTACTATTATAATCGTTGTTTATGATATCAGTAATCATTGTTATCGATGAAATTAACAAGTTTTTCAAATCAAAACTGTTTAAATCTTATTTGAGACAATGTTCCCAAAACGCTTAATTAAATGGATAATTCGCATTATTGTTCGATCGATGAACGTTCTTCCGTGTGTTTCGTTTATATTAAAGTAATTTTTATGCTGCTTTATAAATTAAAAAAAAATCATATTTTCTCACACATAAAATAATTATTACATTTAATTTTATATTAATGAATAATAGAGTTATTAATTTATTTAGAAAAGTATACATATTTTTTTTTAGTTTTCATCCAATTTAATTCGAATTCAATCCAAGTTGCGTACTTAAATAATATATGAGTTTACCACTAAAATTTTTTTGCGTACATAAAAACTCAAACTTAAGACTTTGCTTAAACAATGTTAAACCATTTGTCACTCGAACATTACTTAAACAAAATATACATATTTTTTAATCTCTAAAATACTAGAGTAATTATAACACTTAATTTTAAAAAGTTATACAATACCTTTTCAAGTTTACAATAATATAACAAGCATTTTATATTAAATAAATAATTTTTTTCATCTCAACCGTTTTTTTTCTTTTTTTTAATACACCCCTGAAAATTCTTTTTTTAAAAACAAAATTCATATCATAACAAAAAAAAATCATATGGTTTTTCTACGAAAGATTTATTAGTTTTATTCATAATTTCATTATTTAGCATTCAATTTAACTTATATAATATGACATGAAGTCGATGTAATGCTTTACATCTTTGTGCTTTTTATATTTAAAATTTTTAATTTCAAAAACACAATATTAAAACTTAAATTTTTATTGAAAATATGAATGATAATTATATCTTATATGAGTCAATTCAAATAGCATGCAAGAAAATAATAGAATAACCTAACAAATCACTACTAAATGAAAATAAGAACAATTTTTAGAAATTGAATAAATAAATAAAAGAGATCAACTAGAAAAAAATGAGTTTTTAGAGAGTCAAATTGTTATTTAAACCTATATTAATTTAAAGAAATAAACTTCAATTTTTGAAAGGTATCTGAAAACATTGATAAAATTAACTATTATTTGGTTAAAATAAATTAAACCAAACCTGCACTTAAATATAGTCAAATTAGATTAGTCTAATTTAAATTACCCAAAAATAAAATTCAAAAGTAAACCAAACCCGCTTAATTAAATTAAATTGATTATATACATGTATACTTTTTAAAAATAAAAATAACTCACGAATTCCCTCGATATGCAGCATTATAAATGAATCAAATTGCATTACTTAATTTAAACAATAGATTTGTAATTTTAACTTTCTCAAGGCAAGAGGATTTTTTTTCTCTAAGAGTGAAGAAAACAATTTTTATTTTATTGATAATTATAAAATAAAACTTTATATTTTCCTTATTTTCTGTTTTTAAACATGTATAAAAAATAATATATAAATTAAAAACAATAAATAAAGTAAAATTGAAACGATGTATTCTTCAAGCAAAATAACAAACTAAGCCAAACAGAAAAAGAAAAAGAAAAAGCTGCAAATAGCAATTAGAAAATGACATTTTAGCATGCTTGATTTTCCTTCTAAAAACAGTTTTCTGTTTTCTTTTTAAAAAGTATAGTATAAATTTATACTACATTAAAAAAAACAAAAACAGAAAACTGTTTTGAGAAGTGAAATCAAACATATCAAATGAAGTTGTTGGTAAGCTTGTCAAAAGCAAAAGCTAATGGACTAGACATATCAAATAAAGCATACACATTTCACGTTCCAAACACCATAATCATCAACTTTGAACGTAATCAATAAAAGTGACCATCATTTATGACTTTAATGAACAAAAAAGAAAACAAAATTGGTTAAGAATTTTTATTTTTTATTTTTTCTGAAAGTGTTATTTGTATCTCTTCCTGTGATTTTCTAAAGATATAAAAGTGCACAAACTATATGAGTGACTTATTGATCCGAGGAAGAAGTATCAATATTGTACGCATTCATTAGACATGACTCAAATGAAATTGAAGCTTTTAAACAGCTTTTTCACTTTGCATATGCCATCACACACTTGAAGGGAAGAAATTGACCGCTAGGAAATAATTTCAACTCGAGAATACCTCTTAGTTGCTTGTTTTACAAAACCGCCGAATTTCTAATGACCCAAGATTCACGTTGGATCAACTTGTAATCCTTTCCTCGTCAATATTTAGAGTCCTTAAGTCTCAACACATAATAAAAGTGGAGAAGCAATAATTAATAGAAAAAGGAACGGATAATTAAAGAAGAAAATTGAGCTCTAAATTAAGATTAATATAGGTTGCCTTTAGACTTTGCAATCTACATATAAGTCAAAGTAAATGTAATAATTTATGAAGGCCAAAATGACCAATTAGAAGAGAAGGTGTTTAGTTTTTAGTGTCTTTCTACAATTATGGTTTTGTAGCTGTTTTGACTCTTTAAAAGGTGCTATGTGTTGGCTACTGCAGAATTCTGTTTTTCAGTAGCTCTAGCTCTGTGTCTTCTCTTGAAAACATCTTGCCTGAATCTCTTGGTCTCACTTTGGATGTCCATGAAGGGTTTCTTCTCTATGTTTTCCTTCTCACTCTCCAACATCCTTTGCCTCTTTGTCACAGCCATGGCTGCTTCCTTGTCCTTCAATTCTTGGTGCTTTGCCTCTTCCTGCAGGCAGGTCTTCCTTGTAAATCAAGTCAATGTTTTCCAAAAATATAGGTACTTTTTTTTGTGCGTGTTGGAGGAGTTCCAATTTTAATATACCAAAGATTACAATTACAAGGTTGTCAAAAATTATTATTTTTTACTCAAAGGCACTTTAAGCTATGTAAAAAAGCATAACACAAATATTTTATTGATCACATACAGAAAAAAAAAATATGAATAAACAATGAAACATACGTATTATCAGAGCATATCAAATGAGATAGCTATTTTTTATATGGGACTGATAAGAATAATTTCAACTATTAGATCTTATTATACTTCAATTGTAATCATATTATAAGAATCTGCAAGACAGAACTCAAGATATTGAATGTAATATGTATGACCAACAACTAACAAAATGATGCAGAATAAGGGATAAAATTCTGGAGAATAATGCTTCAAAGTGCATTTTAACATGCTTTCAACCAAATATTCTTTGCAGTTAAATCCAAAATATTTCCATCTCTTCAAAACGGGAAAGCTAACTCTATGCGTTAGACTTCAAAGAACTTTTTAACTATCATGGACTAAAATTTCAAGTGAATGGAATATAGCAAAATTCAAGTATTCAACCATGTTGACTACAAAATGTTAGCACTCGTTCCCTCATTATATTTCAAATAATATTATTAGTTCAAGAGGTAGGTTGCATGCACTTTAAAATTGCACTGATGTTCAAATAAATAAATTTTAGTTCAAGAGATAGATGTAAATGGATAGAAGTTTTCTTAAAATTTGTATAATTAAAGGTCCATACAGAGTGCTAAAGTCATCATAATGAAAAAAGGTGAAGTTAGAACCTGAAGATCATGAATGAGACTATCAAGTGATTTGATCTTCCTATGAGGCCAGCGGGGAATACCAAATTCTCTGCACTTTCTCTTGAGAACAGTAAGCCCAACATTTAGATTTCTTGATGCTTCTACAATTGGCATACCAAAGTACTTGACCAAATCTGATAAAGAAATTTTTGCTACATGGTCGCTGGGGGCCCTCTTTTTCTTCTCTATCAAACCTGCAAACTCTTACCACGTATGTTAGATATGAATATTTGTGCATGACATAATTAACTCATTAGGAAGTTTCACACATGGGGCAGGAGAATTTATGTAAGGATGAGACAACAGATCTTTTTTTTGGCCTAAGACATATCCAAAAACTAGATTATGCTCTGAATGATCCAAGTCGAGACTTAAGGAGGTAAGGAAAATATCGTTTGGCAACATGTGTACTGCACTAAAATATATACTATCCATAATTCCTTTCTAATAAATGAGGTGTATACAGACAAGACTGAGCTACAGAACAAAATAGATAACAACCTTCAAAATTGGGAACAAGATATACATGGCTGGAGGTAATAATTTAATCCTCTAGAAGAGGAAAAAAATCAGAAGTTTTAAAGCCTAAAAAAGATGTTTCATCTTGTATCAGATACAGAAGAGGATTCGTATATTGGATCAGCAATTCAGAACTACTTTAGAAGTAGAACTGTAGACCCGAGTTACAGCAACAATATAGTCATGTCATGAGAGTCAAAACTTGGGAGATATTGTAACACTTAGGTTTCACCAAATGAATTTAAAGATTAAATATGTCCATATAAATATAACAGCAAAGAGCTGCAGAATGAACTGTGTCATTAAGTGCTAAATAGGTTATGTCTCATAGATAATTGAGAGCAGTGACTCTGAACCTGGTGAGCTTTCAACATCTATCTCATTGTCTGGTAACTCAGACTCATCTTCTTCATAAGGAAGACAGTTGAGATCCTGATCAAACACAGGCAAGATTTTTTGTGTAGGTTGGCTACCATTGCTGTTTCCTTGCCATTCTTCCCCCATAGAGTCTTGTGGTATATCTTTGTCTTCCACCCTCCAGTCTAATTTGTGTATCATATGGAGATCATTAAGCAAGTTAGGAATCATCTGAAGCTTTGGATTTCTGAAAATTAAAAAATAAGAAGAGGGAGTTAGACATACATAAGTTACTTTGTAGAAGTACTGAGAAACAAAATGGAGAAGCTCAGAAAATTTAGGACTTCTAAACGTGGTGGCATGGTCATGCAGATATTTTGGAGTCACTAAATGTTTTTATGATACAGAGAAATAGAGATATCAAGATAACGCTATTAAGGATATAAGCATGTCTTATCAATCATAATTATGCAATTGTAGACAATTTCATTTCTGCCAAAAGAAAATAGGACTGTTGCAGTTTGATGAAATCCAGAACTGCCCCTGAGATTTTGCTCCACTATGGACAGGAAGAAAATGAAATAAATGAGGTTTAAAATTCTGTAAAGGAAAAAACAATGAAAGGAAAAAAAAAATGTAAATATTAGATCATAGAAGAAAAATACAGGATGGTTTTTAGGATATTATGGATGAGAGAAGGAGGGGAACTTAAAATAGGAAGTTTACTGCTTTCCATCCCTTTCATGCAATTAAGGTACTAAGGTATACCTTCCTCTTAAATGGATATTAACAACATAGTTATGAAGAATACCTTCTATTTCTTTAACAACATATAGGCCTGTTTAGACAAACTTATATAGACAAGTACTTATAGGAAAAGAAAATTAATATGAAAAATGAATAAAATTTTTTCTTATAAATTAAAAACAACTTATACTCCTCAAGCGATAGAGAAGTTAAATGAGGGAGCTTCTAAAAAATAGAAAAGCATAAGTTATTTTTAACTTATGGGAGAAATTTTATTTATTTTACTACTTAATATTTTACTTATTTATTGAGAAGTTTATCCAAACTTAGCAATAATATATGTTTTAATTTCATCTTGTTTCACTTTAATTTGGAGATTGGAAGGGAGGAAAATCAACTTTTTATGAGGGGAATGGAGATTGGACAAGAATGCCAACTCTACTCCATTCCTTTTCTACAAATTTAAATAAAATAAAGCAATGAAAAACATATATTCAACCATTAATTCAGCATTGTATTCCTGATTCCCTTTCCTTATCAAAGTGTAAACTAGGCAGAATTTGTTATTCCTTCATGTCTCAGTAAACTAGTCATAAAAATATAAAATGTTTCCATGAAAGATAATTCTGAATGCCAAATTAGAAAATAGTTAGATGAGCATAGTACATTGTCTCTGCATAGGAAAACAACAAATTGTTATTGATAGAGGGCCAAAACTCTACATATCTGTGAATGCATCTTCTAAATTTGGGTGTATGGGGGTCATGCCTAGTTTTCACCTTAAGACCGAACCACTATACTTTTCTGCAAAAGCAAACTATCAATTGCTTCAACCAATAATGATATCATTAACCTATGCTTATTTCCCAGTGCAAACGGTAAATACAAAAACCTATTCAGGTCTGAAGCCTTAGCTTAGTTCTGTTTATTATGAATGTTACTATTAAAATAGGGACTTAAAAATTTATAAAGGGATATATTGTTTAAATTAAATATCACTCAATTGTCACTCCACTTGCTCCAATTTTAACTTTTCTGTACAAAAAAACTCAACTAAAAATAGGCTATGGAACAATAAGTGACTAATTGCCACAAATATAATGGATCTTTGGAACACTACTACTACAATTCTCTACTCCATCATTTAGGACTGTTATAGATGAATTTGGATCATGTATTAGTAGGCTAGGTTATGAGATGGAATCATGGAAAGAAACGGTTTATTGGGGAGTGACCACCGTTACTTGTCTAGAGGTTTACCCTTTCTATGGTAAAACAGTTTATCTTTCACTCTCACGACAGAAGAGAAAACAGAGGATCCACACCCTTATTCGTTATAAACTACAAATTTACAACACCAAAATTAGCTTTTGGTTAAAATGTACTTATCCATTCAAATTTCACATATTACAATATTTTGCTTAATGTGATTGATTTAAGGTAGGGAAATCTTGGTGGGACCTAAGAGCCAAGTACATAATCAAATAATCAAGTGGACCAATTCCAATTCTAATTTTCAAAGGAAAAGACAAGGCTAACTAAGAACAAGGACTGATGGCAAAGACAAATAGGGCAAAGCAGACATACCTTGTGACCATCAACAAGGATGGAATGTGGGAAAATTGAGGTGTGTGATTGGCATGAAAGGCAAAGATACAAAGCCACACTCCATTCTTGTACCCTTCATACACCTCAGAAACATGAGATTTCATCAATCTAAGAATTGGGGTAGCCTGCATTTCCTCATAGGAACTAGTCTCTGAAAACACAAACTCTCTTTCAACTTCTATTTCCTCACCATCCCATTGGCGATAGACATGCACGCTCCTGATCAACTCTGCAATTCACACCCCACAAAGAAAAAAACGAAATTTGTGAATCCCCACCACCACCCCACATTAAAAAAATCAATTTTTCCAACGAAAAAAGAAAGCTTGGGATGAAAATGACAAAAACCAAATCATGGGTCATGAGATGCATGGTGGGGTTGGTGACCTGGTTGGATTGTGTTGCTGAAGATTAGAAGGTTGGTGAGCAAAGAGGAATCCATGAAGAGGTTGAAGATGGCATGAGAATTGAGTAATGAAGCGTGGACTAATAGAAGAAAAAGAGTGAGGCAAAAACAAGCTTTTAAGTGCAAGTTTGCATGATCTTCCGCTTTTCTCGTTGGCTTCGGATCAGTTTAGAATCATGCCGAGTTAAAATAGGGTACTTTTCTTTTTAGTCTTTTTCTTTTGTCACCTGCTTAATCTCCTTTTTCTTTTCATTTATTTTTCTTCACCTTTTTTTGTTCTCTCTGTCAAGGTAAATCAAGTTTATTGTGTGCCTTGGAAATCAAAGGCCGTAACAATGGTTACGGTTAATATTATATTAATAAATGGTAAAATCAATCATTTATTTAAAAAATACAAATATTTTTTAATTTTTAAAATATTAAAAGAATTACATCATTAATTTAATATATATATATATATATATATTATCATATATATTTAAAATAAATATCAATTTTGAATTATGTCAATATAATTATTTCTCAATTAGTAATTTTATTATCATATTATATTCCTAATAAATGTATATAGAAAAAACTATTAAAAATATTTTACCGCTTTAATGCTTTATCTATAAAGAAAGGAGTTAATTCGATTAAAAATATAATAATAATAATAATAATAATAATAATAATAATAAAATTGGATAAAATAATGTAGAAAGTTGTCTGGATTGAATGCATCAAACCGGATTTTCGCAAAAGCATTTATTAACCGCTTATTTGTTTTATATTTTTTAATTGTCATAAACGCTTCTTTCCGGAGTCTTCAAATACTTTTTCACCAAAAACAGTCTTATTTTTATTTGCTGAAACGGCTGCCTATAAATACTTTAAGCGTTTAAACGGTTATATTATTATTATTATTATTATTATTAATGAAAAAATTAGTGAGTCTTTGAATTAGTTATAAAATATTTTTTAATTGTGTATTGAAATACTTTTATAAAAGAAAAAATTTGACCAAACCATTGACTACAAATATTTTACACTGTAAACTTAAGTGTTACAATGGTTAGATTATTATGGTGCGTGGTCTTTTTATGAAACAAATTACTATTTAAAAAACTAAAATTATTAGAGAATATATAATTTTTTGGTCATTAATTGAGTTATCAAAATGAAAGAATTATTAAATTAATGGTTTAAAAACTTTGGTGTGTTAATTAAAATGTAATATTTTAAAGTTTAGTTTTAAGTCTTTAAAATTTAAAATGTATTATGAATTTATTTCTGCCATTATGTCTATGTTTTGCTTTTGATGCCTAAAGTACAGATTATTTATTTGTGATTCTAAAATTATAAAGACCCAATTAAAATTTTAAAATATAAGAATTAAATCCAAAGTAAAATAAAAAAATTAAAATATGTATAATCTTAGTTAAGACCGTGTAATAATTGCATTATAAGTTCTATCTTTAAAATTAAATTTATCAATTATCCATAATTTAGGTAATAGTTAAAGACAGATCTTTGCTAAAACTAAATATAAACTAAAGTGAATTTTATTTTGTTTTAATTCTCATGTAAATGAAAACCAGTATTTAAGGACACTGGTTAATAAATTAAAAATAAAAATATTTATTAAAAATTATAAAAAATAAACTCACTTAGATATACATATGACCCACATAAAGACTATGTATGTAGTTGTATATAGGGACATCATATCATTGTCAGAATTTATCATTTAAATTATAAAATAATGTAACCTAAAAAAAAAGAAACATTAATAAATCAAATGGGTATTGTCAATAAATGAGTCTAATATAATAAAGGCCATTAAGTTGAGTATAAAATAATAAGAAGAGTATTAACTTGATTATCGCAACTATAATAACTAAGAAATATGTTTTCGCTTACTGGTACAGTTGTCTTACTTTCATTAAATATTCGTCTTTGAGCAATTCGTTTTCATTAATTGCTATTTCTTTGAGTCGTCCTTAACATAAAGGGATCCCTTCCCCATGCCAAAAACATTTCATATAAGCACAAATATTTTAGCACAAAACTTACATTATAATTCTTCTACTAATTCTCTAATTTTTTTTTAAAAATAAATTAATTAACAGAAATTAATTTAAATAACAAACGACTCGATATTCTTTAAGTAAAATTTTAAGTTTGAGTCTTTGTATCAATAATAAACTGTCATATCATATTTAAGTTCGCGATTTATGTTGAATTTAGATTAAAATATATGAAAAAAATAATAATTTTTTTTTAATTTTTTAACACATTAAATATTTCATTTTTTTATGTAATTTTTATAAATTTGTTTTAGGTTAATTTTAATATAAATAAAAATTATTATAATATCAAGAATAAAAATAAAATATTAAATATTTTATAAATCCACAAATATCAAATTTAATTTTGTTGAAGGGTTGATTTTTGTACTTGGCATATCATTTACTTGAGTTTTGTTTGTTTTAAATGGAATCATGAAGAAGGTGAATTGATTACAAAAATTATTAACTTCAACTATTGATTTGTATTGAGTTTAAATAACTAATGATTATAAAATTTTATTAAAGAATATATTTATGACACTTATAATCTTAATATAATAATTTTTTAGTAAAAATTTACTTTTTTAATTTTTTTTAAACTCAACTCTTAATGTTTGAAGTTAATAAAATTATTGATTAAATGAGTCGAAGAATCTTAAATTGATTTGGGTTTGAATAAAAAACATGTACAAACCAATTTAAAAATAAGAAAAAAAAAAACTAGTTGAGTTAGTTTAGTTTGGACTGCTTGATAAAAATACACACAACTCAACTCAAATCAAACCAAGCATTTTTTAATTTTAATTTTTAGAATATGACAATAAAAAATAGTTTTATTATGCGAATTTTCTTTTTTAAAGTGACGAGATGAATAGAATAAAATAAATAAATTTTTATTTACTATAAATTAAAATTGCATTTGTGCTCAGTTTTTCAATTTCAGTCTAAAAGTTAGTTATACATGTTTCAATTTGGCAATGTGGTAAACGAAGACATCGAAATTTTTGAGAAGTTGGAAATTTTGATAGAAGAGATGATCGGAGAATTGGAATGATCCGATACGCACCGTTTGATCCAGAAGTGACGACCAAACTGTGTCGCTTGTTTGAACCATTTTTGCTGTCACTCGGAAAGTCTTCAAACCCCTTTACGCTGAGAGAGTGCAACCAAATCCACGCCAAGCTCATAGTTTCCCAATGCATTTCACAAACCCACTTAACCAACACCCTTTTAAATTTGTACTCCAAGTTCGCTCACTTTCGCCATGCCCACCTTCTGTTCGACCAAATGCCTCACAGGAATGTTGTCTCCTGGACAACCTTAATTTCCGCTTATCTTCGAAATGGGTTTCTCCCAAAAGCCTTTGAGATGTTCAATCAGATGCGTGCATCGAATGAGAGACCCAATGAGTACACTTTATCTGTTCTGCTTCGAGCCTGTGCCACTCCTGCATTGTGGGATTTGGGTTTGCAGATTCACGGCTTGGTGGTTCGCTTTGGGTTTGAGAGAGACAAGTTTGCTGGGAGTTCTCTTGTTTATATGTACTTCAATAGTGGCAGTGATTTGGGGGATGCGTGTCGTGTTTTTCATGGATTGTTGGAGAGAGACCTTGTTGTATGGAATGTTATGATTTCCGGGTTGGCTCAAGTTGGTGACTTTGGCATGGTTCAGAGGTTGTTTTCTGAAATGTGGGAGATCCAAGGCTTGAAACCTGATGATAGTACGTTTGTTAGCTTGCTCAAGTGCTGTTCTTCATTGGAAGAGGTGAAGCAAATCCATGGGCTAGTGTGCAAGTTTGGTGCTGAAGTGGATGCTGTGGTGGGCAGTGCTCTGGTTGACTTGTATGCCAAATGTGGGGATGTAGGTTCTTGCATGAAAATCTTTGACTCCATGGAGGAGAAGGATAGTTTTGTTTGGAGTTCTATCATTTCGGGCTATACCATGAATAATAGAGGAGAGGAAGCTGTGCATTTCTTCAAGGACATGTGTAGACAAAGGGTGAAACCAGATCAGCACGTGTTGTCTAGTACTTTGAAAGCTTGTGTTGAAATAGGGGACTTGAACACAGGCGTTCAAGTGCATGGCCAAATGATTAAAAATGGGCATCAAAACGATTGTTTTGTCGCAAGTGTGCTGTTGACTCTCTATGCCAGTTTTGGTGAACTAGTGGATGTGGAAAATGTGTTCAGAAGAATTGATGATAAGGATATTGTAGCATGGAACTCTATGATCTTGGCTCATGCTCAACTGGAGCAGGGATCTGGTCCCTCTATGAAACTATTACAAGAACTTCGCAGAACAACCTCTTTGCAAATTCAAGGTGCTACTGTAGTTTCTGTTTTGAAGTCTTGTGAGAATAAATCAGATTTGCCTGCAGGTAGACAAATTCATTCACTTATAGCGAAATTAAGTATTAGCCGTCACACTTTGGTTGGCAATGCATTAGTCCACATGTACTCTCAGTGTAGACAAATTGGTGATGCATTTAAAGCTTTTGTTGATATTGTCTGGAAAGATGACAGTTCTTGGAGTTCTATTATTGGAACTTATAAACAAAATGGGATGGAATCAGAAGCTTTACAGCTATGCAAAGAGATGTTGGCTGATGGAATCACTTTTACCAGTTATAGCCTTCCACTTTGTATTTCAGCTTGCTCACAACTTTCAGCTATACACGTGGGTAAACAATTCCATGTTTTTGCTCTCAAGTCTGGTTACAGCCATGATGTCTATGTGGGAAGTTCCATTATAGACATGTACGCAAAATGTGGAACCATGAAGGAATCAGAGAAAGTTTTCGGTGAACAAGTAGAGCCAAATTTAGTAATTTATAATGCCATGATATGCGGATATGCACATCATGGAAAAGCACAAGAAGCCGTAGAAGAATTCAGTAGGCTAGAGAAGAATGCTTTGACCCCTAATCATGTAACTTTCTTGGCTGTGCTATCAGCTTGTAGCCATTCCGGTTATGTTGAAGATACATTGCATTTCTTTACGTTGATGCTTCAAAAATACAAGATTAGGCCAGAATCTGAGCATTATTCGTGCCTAGTTGATGCCTATGGTCGGGCAGGAAGGTTGGAGGAAGCTTACCAAATAGTGCAAAAAGATGGAAGTGAATCAGCATGGAGAACATTACTAAGTGCTTGCAGGAATCATAACAACACAGAGATTGGAGAAAAATCTGCGATGAAGATGATAGAATTGAATCCCAGTGATCATGCTTCGTATATTCTTCTTTCAAATATTTACGTCGGAGAGGGAAAATGGGTAGAAGCTCTTGAATGTAGGAACAAAATGGCCAAGATTCGTGTGAAGAAAGACCCAGGAAGTAGTTGGTTGATCTGAGGATCGCTAAGACCCAGTAAGGGATACGTCATATACTGATGACCCGCCATTATTGAAGTGCATTTTTAGAAAAATAAAAAAAATAAAAAAAAAAGTTTCTGAAAAGATGTACTGGCATACAACATAAACCTTCCTCCTGCTCTGAATGGGAATAACCGACCCAGACAATGTTCAGTGGTGTATAGCACAACCATGATATTCTCTCTCTTTTTTAATGGAAAGCACAACCGAGATATTTACTTCATCAGCGACTACTCCCTTTCTGACTGTAGAACTTTTTGTTCCCAATTTATTGAGGCGTCTAAATTATAGTAAGAGGAAGTGTTATTCAAAATTAAGTGCGTTCGGGCAGCCTACAATTTTTCTGTTAGATGCTGTTGCAACAAACAAATGCGTCCTAACTTCACACAATATTATACAATCAAATCGTTTTTAAAATACAAATTGCAGACGACGATGCAGGAATGTGAGCGCTGTACTTCTGCCTCGTAGCTTTAACTTCCACTGTTCTTCATCTTAAACAAAGGGGCAACTTTGTCCAACAAAAGCTCATGAGTGGATGGATACACAGCACTAAATCAGTTTGTATGCTTGACAAAAAATTTCAGAATCAGTAATTACATTTTTTCCTGTCTTGAGGACCTTTTTTGTTTCTGTTCACCCAAAAAACTTAGGATCTGTATCCTTTTACCTCCACAGTTAACAATTTTAACTCGCATCTTCAATTCTTGGGGGCATGCGCATATATTTCACAACTTCCTTTCTCACATATCCTGGTGGGTGCTGCAGTTCTGACAAAGATGCTCAGCCAGTTTGACCTTGCTTAACTCTCCATAGTTAACCCACTTTCATCCTCATCAATAGTATCTTCAGGTGCTGCGGTCTTTGGAAAGAATTCTTCTTCCGGGTACATCTGACCAAAAAGCTGCGAGTACCACAACCAAAAAAGTGAGTATCAGTGACAAGGCTAATAATTATAAAAAGTAGTAACTTTTTGGGGTCTTTACGCAGTCATTTTACCAAAGTAAAAGTGTGAGTGCAGGGATATTTTCCCAATTAATTTCCCTACTTTTTCATGAACAAAATGACAAGCAACTTATCCACAAATTAAGTGTCCAGCTATCTGGTTAACGGTAACAAGAAGTCATACAGAAATACTGAGAAATTTTATATTCCAAAATCCAAAATGAAGAATAATAAAGACATACCTTCTCAGTTGCATCTAAAAGGTCATTGTAGTTCAGACTTCCATCCGGTGTAGGAGTGGAGCTGATAAATTCAAATTTACTCTGAAAACGGAGGTAAAAGTAAATCCATAATCAAGAAAATGATGCCCATATCAATGTTACATAGGTTTAAACTTTGAATCACATCTATCACGACAAAATTCTAAAATACTGTCCAGTGGGCAGTGGTTGTGTTGTTTAAAAATGTAAGATACGGACTCCTTGTGGTCCCTAATACTTTCTTAATCTAAAAAATATTTTTGAAAAAATAGATAGATAAGGGGGTGGAGGTAATAAGTGTCATTACAATATGCAGGTAAAAGTAAACATAGTTGAAGAGATAAATCTGTGTAGTCAGAATTTAGATGCACACCGTAATTAATTTCTGAATATAAAATGCACTCCAGAGCACGATGGGTTTTATATCTTCACTATCACTTTGAACAATGGGAATACTTTCAGAGCTTCCAGATACAGGCAGTGTAAGAAGAGCATTCATGGCTGCTTTTAGCAACTTCTTTCCTTCATCAGCATCATTGCACAAAGTGGAAAAGTATGAAATAAAGCTGATAAAGATAAGGCAAACAGGTCAGTTTAAGTTGACAAGTTCACACAAGGGATATATAAATGTTATAACTAGAAGTTGACTAAGAATATAGTAACATAAAGAAGCAGATCATGAGAGCAACTGTCACTATATTGAAGCCTGCAATCAACATGCATGACACAGGGACAGGGAAAAGAAGCCTGTGAATTTGCAGCAAAAACCCAAACAATTTTTTTTTTGAATAAGAACAGCTAAATTACAAAAAAAAATAAAAAATAATTTAGATGCAATAGTAACTTCTCACACCCAACCAAAAATAAAACAAAATAAAAGAGCTAACTTTTCCTTTATTTTCTCATGATCCCTTGGTGGAAGAGGGAATGTCATAATTTCCACAATCATTTCTAATAATGGAGGTAAGCACCATTGGTGGTCATCATAATCATTGAGGTTTGTTGGAAGTTGTTATTACAAAGGGGATGTTATCCCTTCCATCCTTGTTATGCTTTGGCTATTGAAATTTGGAGTTTACTTTGGGAAATTGGAATATATAGATAGACTGGCCATGTGGATATCATTTAGCAAATTTGAGGCATAAATTACTGTCAGGGATTACAGCGTTTAGTGTGTGTTAATATTATGCAAAATAAGCTGTTTGAGCCACTAATTAATACCTTATGATTACCATATTCCAATCTGCACTCAATGATAAAACCAAAAAGTAAAGTTAAAAATTAGAAAAGATTTAGAGAAGGGGAGAAAGGAAAATTAAAGGAAATATAACTACAGAATAAGAGCAATTCGATGTTTATTTAGTAAAAACTTACGTTCCCTCAGGACAAACAGCAAGATTAGATCCTATCTGAAGAGCTTTGATTGATGTCACCTGTTCAGGATACAAAGCTAGAGAAATAGAGAAAAGGTTAATTTCTTGTATTTTAATATGCCTCTGTTACAAAAATGCAGTATTTAAATAGCTCTTACATCTAGGAGGATACACCACCGAGCAATTTGTTACATCTGGCTTAATGGAACTCCTTGTGATGCATATTCCCCTAGCCACCATTCCTTTAATATCTCTCTGATTCAACAATTGGAGCCTTTCACAGGGAAAATCTCTTGGAGACAAAGACAACGCTGATGGAATTGTCAAGGATGGATCCAGGATTAGTTGGTGGCTATATAAATCCTGACCCGAAGCTAATCTAACACCTTTATAAAGCCCGGTAACCTGCAATGGTTTAAAAATGAAAAAGATGAAATTCATTTTGCAATAATGTTCTTCAACCTCATTTCTTCTCACAAAAAAGTACTAAAGAACACAGCTCAAAGATATATTTCTGCACCTTATCCATAAGCAGAGAAATAACTGGCATTCTTAGAACCTGAATCACAAAAGTTTAAGATGTAAATAAGTGTATATATGGCCAGCAAAACAATAAACAATTTTTTAAAAACATTATGTAAGCAGGAAAGTAGTTAACAATGTCACTTAATTTGCCGACAAAATATCAGAAAATGTCCAAACACAAACATGAACAGGACAAAGATAAATGAGTTCCATCCTAACCTGAAAGATATATGCTATTTCGATGACAGAAAAGCACACATATAATGGCTCCACTAAATTGAATAATAATAATAATAATAAAGTATCCTCATCTAGCAACATTTGAATTCATCCCTTTTGCCAAGCATGACAAATTCCATGACAGCTGAACCCCCATTTCCTTCCATCACATATATGATATGATGGCACATAAAAGAGCAACAGTGTAAAAATGGAAGACAGAGATACAGACAATAGGCATTTAAAATATAGAATGCACATATAAAACAATGATTCTTTTTTATATATAGAAATGTATAAAACAAGGTTTAAAACAAAAATATGCAACCTTTAAAGAGAAAGAAGTTAACTTAAAAATTCCCCCAATAATAAATCCCATTCACACTTACATAAATGCAACCTTTTACAGCAGCACCGCGACAAAAAGCTTGTGGTAGTTCTCCTTCACCATAAATAGGATAAAGCAAAGCCCCAGGTGCACTTGGAAACCTGGGTGAACCAAGATAAGTATTTAAAAATTAAAGAGGATCCCTTAAATAAATAGTCAAGACAAATGTAACACATGAAACAACAAGAATAAGAAAATACCTTCCAACAGATGAGCTGTATTGAGCTAAACGATCTATTCCATCTTTTGTTTTAAGTAAATCTTTACAAACCTCATTATTGTCTTGATCGTAATCTACCATGGCTATAGCATACAAAAGAATCCTGTCAAAGATAAAGAGGCATTACCTTAGTGTAGTGACATAGGTAAACAAGTTATGCAAGCACTTTATACAGTTAGGCTCATGAAAGAAGATAATTCTATTTGTTAGCACAAGAAGATGGTCAATTTCACTTTTTCAATAATAATTAAAAAAATCTTTTGCCCTGTGAGACTATTTAAACATACAATCAAACAAACTGAGTCACTACTAAACGTTTTATGATTTTAACTGTTTTATCCAATTATCAGATTTCACTTACATAGAATACTGAAAGCAACAACTTTAGGGAGAGAGAGATGATTAATAAAATTCACACACGAGTCAAAAATCAATTCACCAATTATTGAAGGGAAAAATAAGTGCGCAAAAGAATCTTTTACATTATTCAGTTAGTGTAAGTCACAGTCTGCTTTGTAATTTGATTCTCATTTTCAAAGCAAAAAACAAAGTTCTCACCCCTATTTTTCTCATTTCCGAACTAGACAGAGAAACATAAAAGCATGACGATAAAACATCGGAGTAGAAACCATAGATTTCACAGTGATGAAATGAGAAGCAAGCAGGACAATGTTTTCCTCTGCGTTTATCTAAGTAATTTTTAAAATGCTAACATATTGGCATATCCAGTATGTCAGTAATCATCAACGTGAAGCTTTACATATTGGCATAAACATATAAACATTTTTCAATAATAATAAATTACTAAATAACTTCAAAAATTCTGCAAACAAGAATCAAACAGAGCACATTAACATAATCAAAGGATAATCTCCAAATCAAATAATCAAAAATTGAATTCTCACAAGCAAATAGAAATGGTAAATACGCTTTAATCTTAGGCGGCAACTTCATTTTCTCCAAGAAACTAACAAACGGACTCTCCATATCTTCCACCGAAATTTTTCCATCCTCATGATTCTCACCCAAGTGCTGCTGAACAAGCTTGAAGAACCTCATCAACTGGTTCTTCTCCTTCAGAGAAAGGTTCTTGTCTCTGAAAATCGCTCCACGCGAATCCGGCACGTTCACCAAACCCGCATTAGCTTCATACACCAAGCTCACATCGATTCCCTTGAACTCCAAATACTGTGCTGCACCTGACTTCAACAACAGATCGATCATCTTGTCCGCGCTGAACAGCGCCCTCGGTCCTCCCAAATCGACGCTGAACTTTCTCGAATTTTCGCGCAGAAACGCCGCGTCATTGTCGGAAGCGCACGAGACGATTTCCGCGTCGGAGCACAGCGGTTGCCGGATCAGGTCGATGACGACGTCGTCGGAGTCGCCAGGTGGGGTGGCGGTTACGGGGAGAGAATTGGGAGAATTGAGGTAGGAAGTGAGATCGTTAAGGGAGAGGGAGGCAAAGTGACTGCCGTAGAAGGAGTTAGGGTCGAGGTGGAGGACGGTTTTCCCGAGGGCAGATGCGGCGGCGGCGATAACGGATTCCGATAGGCCAGTGCCGACGATGATGAGATCGAAGTTGACGGGGTCAATGGGAGGGTAGGGAAAGGGATCATGAGATTGCGTCATGGCGAAGACGGCGCGTGGAGGATATTCGCCGTCTGTGCCGTGTAACAAATTGAATTGAATATGGTTTGGCTTGGTATACAGCAATAGTTGACTGATGGTGAGAATGTCCAACGAGGACGCACCCATTCACACGTCACGCATTTGAGTTATTCTATGGTAAATAAATGGTCTTATCTTTTATGATTTACATATTGGAATATTTGATTGATTATTTTTCTTATTTTTTATTTTTTAAAAGATAGTATTTTAATTTTAGTATAGTATATATTCTTTTAATAATTATTTACTATTAAAGGAATAATATATCAAATAAAAATTAAAATAGATAATAAATATCTTTTAAACATTAAATTTTATGATAAATTATAATTACAATTCAAAATAATTTCTATTTTTTAAAATATGTAAATATATTTATTAATTTTATTGAATCAATTTTAAATATGAAATAAAAAATTGAAATGTACAAAAAATAAGGTTTTCTTAGTTTTTTTTAATTTTCGTTAACATTTTGGTTTTTTTAATTAATTGAGCAGTTTGTATCAGTGTCATTATATCTCTAACAAGGAATCTTATTTATTTATTTTTAAAATTAATTATATGCGTTTTTTATTATTTAAAATTTTATCTAAATTTAAAGCTTAAATATCTACATAAAATACAGGTTTTACTCTTCTTCTGTCTACACATATGCAATAACTTTTTGTAATATGTTTTTTTGAAATTTGAAATCTTACAGACATGTAGATATTGTCAAGATTAAACAACTGAAGATTTTAAAATTTTGTGTGTTTTTTGTTTAACTTATTTAAAAAAATTATCGCTTGTTTTTTCCCCCTCATTTGCATCTCTAGTGAAATTTGACTAAAAAAATCTGCATCACCTCCTGTGACTGTTGATGATAAATTATTGAAATGAAATTTGATACCTCTATAAGTTCAAGTCCGTGACACGCATACACATTATTTTATGTTCTTTTGATCTTTTTTTATTAACAAGCACGCGATGAATAGTGGAGCTTTTAAACGTTGTCTACACTAAAACAAATTGAAATACTTACAACTGAATCAATTATCAAACAGATTGTGAGGGGGGAAAAATATAAGAACAATTTCCTTACAATTGCAACATATCTATTAAGCACTAACATCTTCATTCTACTATATAACCAAGATTTGAAGCAACTTGCAATTTTTTATAGCATTATGAATATCGATTATCTATTTGCTGTAAGCTCGACGGACAAATCTGCAGACCCTAGCAGATACTACTAACCAAGAAATTATCCCAATCTGCAATGATATAAAGACAATTAGAAACAACTCTCAACATCAAGTGCAAACACTTTGAATGCTAAAGGGGTGGGGGTGGGGGGGGGGGGGGTTTAAAGGAATCAAAGTTAATCAAATATAATTAGAGTTAGTGGGGTGTAGCTAAAGTATAATAATAATCATCATTAATTGAAAAAGTAACTATAAAATTTGTAAAAAAATATAGATACAAATATCCTCATATTTTATTCAATAATTAAGGTAAAGATAACATTGATTTATTTATATATATATATATATATATATATATATATATAATAGATTTTGTTTTTACATAATTTATTTATATTTTTATTTAAGTATCTTATTATATTTTCTTTATCAATATATACAAATTAATGACAAGTTACATTATTAAAAAAACAAATAATACATCACAGTCTTATCCTATTTTTATCACTTATTAAATAATAAAAATTAAATGTGAGTCATTAAAATTAAAAAAACCATATATAATATAAAATATGTGATTACTTACCAAGAAAAGGTAAGCAGTTACTTACCATGACACTGTTATTTTGGACTCCTCCAGCCTTCAAAGATAACAATCTCCCTGCAAAGAGTGCAAAATATGTTTCAAAATTCAAAGCAATAAAGATGCAATTTGTCTGTGAGGCCTTCATTTGGAAGAAGTAGAAATCTTTAAAATAATAAATAAATAAAATGATTTTTGTATTGGATGCAAAAATATTTGGCAGGTCTTGTAAAGATAAGTGAGAGGGTTGATTATGCTACCTAGTAAAGTTACATAATTATATATAATTGCATTACCAAAAGGTTGTACAAGTTGCTGAGAAATGCTAGCCACAGGAACACGCCAAAACCAGATAACCAGCACTCCATATGTGAAATACTACATGGCACAGCCAAAAAAGATTTTAATAAGCCTCCTGAAAGAAAATCTGTCGAAGAGAATGTGAAGAACTTAATATCTGAAGATACCTTTAAGATGAGCAGCACTTTTGAATATAAAACATTATCTTTGTGATACAAGTTCTGGTCTGCATAATAATTTAAACTATAATCTTAACAAAGTCGAGGGCAAGAAAATTTATTTTTAATTAATTAATCAACTAATAGAACAGAAAGGACATGAAAATTGAAGAAAAAAACTATATTAATGAAGAGGAAGATGTAATGAAATAAACTTACACTTTGAAAGTTCCTTCTCCTTGGCAGCTGCCAGCCTTTTGAGTTTTGCTGCTTGTGCAAATGTTGATGGCCTGAGAGGATAATTAAATGAGAACACACAAACATAAACTTTCCAATCATATCTTACATTCATCCCTTTTTCAGTAATCTCTACTCATGTTATTTTGTTTTCTTCTTCCTATTCACTTGATTTCTCTATGTGAATTGCAACATTTATCATGTGTGTTGTATCATTTGGCAACTCTGCAATGTTACATATGTGTGTGTGGTCGATCATTGAATGTTTAATGCTTAATCTAAAATTTTGTCTAAAGAAAAAGGACAAAGTTTATGTATAATTGTTAAGTAGTTTTGACATTATTCTCTAATAACATAAAGCATATGAATTACTTACTGTGACATTGAGCCTGCCTCCTTCAAAAGTTGTTTTATTTCTGCGCGTAATTGAATTTCTTTTTCATTGTCGGATCCACCCTGTTGAAAAATCATATGAATATAAGAAATTAATATAATCACAATAAGCAATTAATGTTATCTGATTGTTACGTTCGTGTACATGCTACAAGGCTTTTTATCTGTCTTTCTTTTTTCAATTGGTGAAGGAATGGAATTTCATTATCAATCCTTTGATTAATTAATTATGAGAATCTTAGTTGACATTTGAATTTAATTACAAGATTTATCACGAAAATAATAATCAGAACGGGGAAAAGAGAATGATACCTTCTTAAAGTGATCGAGGCAATAATATGCAAATTGAAAAGCAGCGACGATGAGAAATATGAGAGGAGCTGCAAACAACCTTTGATGTTCTTGGGTTGCTTCGTCTTCCATAATTCACTCTTCTCCCTGATTCGATTTTCAGCAAGATCAATGCACCGTGAATTTAAATACCCGAGAATTTTTAATTTTTTTTATAATCTCTCTCTCTCTCTCTCTCTCTCTCTCTCTCTCTCTCTCTTGTTTTTTAAATCTTCTGTTTTTTATGTGTTCAGGGAATAAAAATAGAAAAATAAAAGGAGTTAAGGCTTTCCATCTTTGAGTTTATAAGATTTAGCCAACTAGCTCCACTATCATTCCTAACTTATTTTTTATGTTTGCTATATGGAATTAGAGTTACAATTTTAAGTTTGATTTTGTCAAGATTTATTTGATTTAAAAATCTAATTTTATTTTGAGGGTTGTAACTAAAAGTAGTGATGGATAGAATTGTATCAAGTAAACATAAATATTGTAAGGTGGGTCACAGCAAAAACTTATTCTAATATTATTTTTTAACTTATACTTTTTATTAAAAAAAATTAATATTTAATATTATCTATATATTCAATTATATTAAACTCGAATATTTTTAATAAAAAAAATTATATAAAGTATTAGACAGGCAATATATTTTTTATTATATGCAATTTTTTATCATATAAAGTTTTAGACAGAATAAAAAAATGTAATAATAATAGTAATAAAAAGTAGTGAGCAACATATTTCTATGGCACGAGAAAAAAATTAAAAATAATAATTTTATAATAATTTTTTATTAAAATTATATTTAAGTATAGAAGTGTAATAGATATTTTTTTAAAATTACTATTATTTGATGTTTGTTTTTAATTTTAAAAACAAATAAATAAATAAATATTTTTATTTTTATTTATGTTTTAAAATTTTTTTCTTGTTATGTTTTGTGTTTTTGTTGTGAGATTAAGTTTCCATGAGCATTAGCTCAGAAACAGAAACAATGGCTGGTCCCGGCAAATGTTTTCTGGTGACGGGTCCTCCTGTGAGTGCAGAGTCATTCCCTGAATCCCAATCCCTTTCTCTGTTTATTGATTTTGATTTGATTGATGATTCAATTTCAGGGTGTGGGAAAAACCACTCTTATTATGAGAGTGTTTGAGTCCCTCAAAGCCTCTAATCCCACTCTCAAAGTTCAAGGCTTCTACACTCGTAAGCAATTCCTTCACCATCTCATCTTTTCATTTCCCAAAACCAAATTCATGATTTTTTTGTAGGTGAAATTCGACGCTCCGGTGAAAGGGTTGGTTTCGAAGTGGTCACTCTCGATTCTCGCACTTGCCCACTTGCCTCTGTCAACGTTTCAACGTACAATTCAATTCTCTCCACTTCTTTTTTTTTTTTTCCCGTTATTTTTCATGCTAAGTTAGTTACTTGGGTTTGTTGCATTGCACGCCATAAAGATTCCATTTTTGTTTTTTAGCAGAAGTAGTTAGGACCCTGGAACAACATTATTTGGTGTTTTTTGTTTGCTAAATTGTGTTTCTTGGTTATGCTGCTCGTGGGTATTCATTTTTTTCAAGGATAAAATGCTGGCAGGTTTTTATGTGATTGTAAATGCCACTTGAATATCATTGGTTTCACTTGCCAGATTGTCCTGTATTTGTCATAAGTTAACTTGGTTACTTGTAACAGTTTTTCTAATGTTTACCCGAAATTACATGTTACAAAACATTAAATATATCCTACTATATGCATTAAATGTTTCTTATGATTTTGAGATAATACAGATTTTCTATTTTTAACTTTTTAACATGTGTTTTTGGACACATTAGAAAAAATGTTTGATTAAAGGGTGTTATATTTAATGGCATTGGCTTTGACAGCCCTGAGTCTCTCAGATGGCCTAGTGTTGGCAAGTATAAAGTTGATGTAGCATCTTTCGAATCACTAGCACTGCCCGAGTTAAAGGTCAGCTTGCTTTCTTGATTATGTTTTTTTGTGCATTTTTGTTGGCTTTAGTTAGAAAAAAAAATAGATTACTGCATATTTTGCTAAGTATTTATATATCACCCCCCTTACATGCTTTTCAAATCTGTAATACTCTTGAAACTGTTGGTGGGATTTATTTTCCTGATGTAGATTTATCATTGAGGATATAATTTATATAAAAGATATTTTTTGCCATATCCCATGCATTAGCTCAGTTTTTGAGGTTTGAAGACACATTCTCTGACTAGGTAAAAGAAGACACTGATCTCTTCATCATTGATGAAGTTGGTAAGATGGAGTTATACAGTTCGTCATTCTTCCCTGCAGTTCTAAGAGTTTTGGAATCAAATATCCCACTTTTGGCTACCATTCCAGTTCCAAAATTCGGTAGAGACATACCTGCAGGTGATTTTTCCATACTTTTACATCTCCACTTCTCAAATGTTATCTATTGTAGGAATAAATTTCCTTTTCTTGATTCTTTAAATAAACAAGGTAGGATAAAATCTGTCACAAGACCTTACAGTCATAGGCATGAAGCTCAAAGACCTGTTGAAGATGTTTGGAGGATTTTGGAACTCTCTGGCTAATTGCTTTGATGTACTTGTAAATGACTAATGTAATCAATTTCTGCAGTTGCAACGTTGCGGAATCATGCAGGGGCAACTTGTTTTACATTGAGTGTTAGTAACAGAGATGCTGTTAGAGAACAAATACGCTCACTATTGGAAGATCTGTTGATAAAATACTAGTCACAGCAAGTCTGTGGTCTGAACTCATAGTGTGTATAAGTTTGAAAGAGCAAATCTTGTTGATCCAGTGTTAAACTTTGTTAAATGAAATGAACATTGCTGATACGATGGTGTTAGATGTCAATACACTTGTGGATAGTAATCTGGATGGTATCTTTTAGTTTTTACTTTGTCGCGTTCAAGAGTTAAGACATTTTAATCATCCAGTTTATATATTTAAATAGTCCTTGGTTCAAATAATTCTTCCAGTATCATTATCTTCATGATATTTTAAGTTACACATTTCAGAGCAAATGACTATAAATGTGTTGCGGGTATGACAAAGTTTGAAGAACTGCTGCTGTATTTTTTTTGTAGACAATCTTCTGTGCCTTAGGGGGGCACAAAACAAGCATCTTCTCTCCCTCATCCACATAATGCAGTAATGAAATAGTTTTATGTGAAAAAAAAAAGCAAAAAAATAGCACCAAACAAATAGAACAAAAATGGTTTTTCTTTCAGGAAAATTATGAGTTTGAGAGTTAGTTGAGCCTTAAATAACCAAGGAAATGGAGGACGGATTCAGTCGTTTGAGCAATGTTAGTAGTATACATGATTTATCTTAATAGTATTTTTGTAATGACTTATTTGTATGTCTGTATTATGGACAATTTCTTCGGCAAGTAAAGAAATATGGAGAAAAGTGAAAATCTCTATCCATTTAATACATATTTGATGTAAACATTACACACTAAAAATCCAAAACAGAATTATTCAAGCAGGATATCATGCTGCTTCCAGAGTAAAACGAAGTAAGAATTCAACATAGTTGCGAACCAAATGACATAAATTATTAAAAAGAATATATGTGCAATTAAAAGCTTAAACAATTTATGCCTAATAATAATCAATTAACTAATAAACCTTATCAACTATGTCTACACTGCTCAGTAGTTCGCTGCATTTGTTTTGCCAATGATGAGAATGATTTGGCTGTATCTTGCATATCTGTAGCACGTAGGTTGATACCCTGCCAAGTTAGAAGATTGGTGAACAGATAAAGTCGAGAATTTTTATTTTTTTTCCAATTTGTCTTGTGTGCATTGGCATAGGATAACGGCATCCTAACCGTGTTTTTTCGTTTTTTCTGTCAGCACAAAAGATACCTGCAATTTCCTTGTGTTTCCCTGGAGCTTGCTTTGTGCCAATTTAGCAATGCTTGATTCCTGTAGCGCCATATACATTGATTCATGTTTGCACTCATTTCAGCATAAAAATAAAGTAAAATACTGAAGCTTTAAACATATGGAAATTATGCCCAATTATACAACGATCATAATTACATATATCGTGGTATCCTTTTGTTTTAGGTAAATTAAAAAATTAATATTAAAACAAATAATTCCTTTATGAATCATGAGTAGTTAATACAATGACATATGCTCTGAAGTTTCGCCAAACATTTTAGTGCTGGAAGGTAACTACTCCATCAACTTTTTGCATGCAAGTAGAGATGTGGCTAAAATCTATTACGGACATAAGAAGGAATGAAGGATACAAATTCAGTCGTATTCTTGACACTTTTATCATTTTCTTGAAATCAATGGCCATTGGACCCATCGTTGGAAGAGCTTAGAGGAAATTAATTTAAATTTATGAAAATAATTAATGATTCTATTATGCTTTTTTTTTTTTTTGTTAGATTTTGAGTTTAAGCATTCACAGATTAAAAAAATTTATAAAAAAAATATACAGTTATTACATTAAAATTATAAAAATATAATAAATATTTCTCTTTCTAATAAAATTTTACTATTATTAACTACTTTTCTTCAGTGTTGAATTTAACAAAATCTTTTTTTTTTTAACTTATTTCAATAAGTTTGTTAGTGTAACTTTTATATTATGATCAATCTTGATCTTCAAAATATGTTTGCATTAACGAATATACCTAACACCTCCAAATTAAAAATTAGCAATATGGTCTAGGCAACACCTTTCGCCTGTGAAGAGGCACATATCATGCCATGCTTGTGAATAAGCATAATGAGGGTGCATATGATAGATATATTCTTACGTTGGAGGAAGAAAATCCATATTTCTTCTTGATTTGATCAAGCGCACCAGCTTTTTCATCTTGTTGCCCTTCCTTGTCTGATGCTTTCTGGTTGTTGCCCTTGATCTCTTTCAATCTTCCTGTATATTGGATGCTTAATTAAATTAGCTACGTTTAGGAAAATCATCTTCAGTCCTACAGAAGACAAGTGGGAGATTGAATGTTCTTAAAATGCATTGTTTAATGTTTCTCTTTGGTCACAAATTGTAGTTTACTATATTCTAAGAATGCAGTTTTAGTTGCCAAAGTTGCTCAGTTATTATAGGAGGCTAATGCTCATAAAAGAAATTGGATATACAAATTACAAAAAAAGTAGCAAGATGGTATACAAATGGGTAAAATTTTCTTTATTATGATTTTAATCAATCCACCTTGTTTCAACTTCAAATGCCTGAGTGAAGGCAGTGTCTACATGCTGAAAAAGAACAAGAACAAATTTCCCAAAAGACAAACTTATAGAAGCCTGGTTACTCTAAGAAAGGTGTTTCTTTGAAACGAAGTCCTACATTTGTGCTTGTCCCCTTTTGGTAAAAATATCCTACTCTTAAATTGGTATTCTTCCAAAAGAATATAAACCATATACTTAAATTATATAGCATATTACATGTTGAGGTATTACCTTTTTCACCTTTCCTCGATGGATATTGCCCAGAGCATATAAAATTAGGGTTAAATAAGAGAATCTCATCAATTGATGTAAACTCATCAAGCGTTACCTCTGTTCTTCACTCAACAGGGTTTGTTCTTGGCTGACTTTTGTATTTTGCCACAAACCAAATGGCAAAAATACGAGTGATCAAGACATTCTGTCCTTGGTATAAATCCCCTATATTGGCTCATGTTTCATTCCATCCATAGTAGTTCAAGTGCTTATATCTTAGGTCAAATGAACATAAGGAAAAATAATTTGCATAAAAGTGATCTCATTATCACAAACAAACCTTTTATAGACTGAAATTTGTCTGCCAATTTCTTCTTATTAAGAGCTCCCAATATGCTTTTTTCTTTGCATTTTTCTCCGTGATCCTCTAGGTCAATGTCATCTATATGGGAGAAAAAAGAAAACCTTAAATTGGTGACCTCAAACCCAAGTGTCCATATGTTGGAAAATACATTATAGGAACAGATCACCAATAAGAAGATAGCATGCATTCCAATACACAAAAGACAAATTCCATCTTTGTTGGCCAACAGTTTTAAGCAAATATTCAGTAGCACATATGAGGCATTATTATACCTATGTTTAATTCAAGCTGATTTTCATCCATAGTCTGGTCATCATCATTGCTACCAGCACATGCAAAGTTGGCATTTGAGAATATTGCTGACAGTTCCCGTATACTTTCTTTAGGATCTTCTTTTTCCACGAGGGGTACATGCTTTTCTTTACTGCCAGTAAAATCTTTGATTATTGAGCTGAATATACCCTGGAATGCCCAAAAAAAGACCAAATGTCTTCAGTCATAAAGATAATGGATATAGTTGGATAAGTTATTAAAATGTTAATTGTTTACCTTTTTCTTTTCCTTATGGCTGACAGGGATGGGAACAAACTCTTCTTGTGATAGCATCCTTTCCTTCCTATAGATGCAGCTAACTGAGTCCAAAAGCCTAAAATGAAGTCAAGCATTATGTAAAATGAGACAACAATCTAGAATTATCACTATCACTTTTCATCCTCAGTTGCCAATACTAAAAGAAAATAGTAAACAAGATAAAAAGGCTATAAATATCTTTCACTGCGGGAAATATAGCAGGCAGAACAGTAAGATATTGATAACAAGATTCCCAATGCCATTGTCCAGGCTTATATACCTGAAAATATTCCTTTGGGCCAACAATGAGACAACAAAAATTTCCTGGTCACCCTTCACCTGTACGCTGACATTGAGTTAGTTTGATGTCATTAATATATTTTAAAATTTGTTGTGCTAGTGAAAGATATAGTCGATACCAAAACAAGATCTCCTTTGGATGAACAACATATCTGGCTGTCAGAATATGACTTCAACTTTGGAGGTGAATAATTGAAACCTCTAATTGAAAATTCCACTATAAGAGATAACTCTGGCAAACACCTAAATTGTCATATGTTTGTGTTAAATCATTAAAGAAAAAAAGTAATGCATCATGAAGTTGACATGATGGAAGACTGTTAATAAGATTTATTATACTTGACGCTTCATGAATATGAGTCAAGATCTAGCAGAAAAAGTGCAAGAATCCATAAAGCCAAATCCACTTGGTGGGAATAAGGATTGATTGTAGCATTTTTTCTTAATAAAAATATAATCCTCAACATGGGGATTGAATTACTTCAAACATCAAAATGTTGGTAAATTTTCTCCCATGTTAATTGTTCTATACCCGTCAATTATTTTTCTGAAAGTATGGGCAGACTGAACCCCTACCTTATTTCTACTTTCCCGCTGGTGAAAAGGAGTATGAGACTGATATCAGAGAGCCTGTAAAATGTTGATGCCCAGCAACAGGAAGAAGAATGAAACTTCTTTTTGTAAAGAACCTTTTTAATTCCCTGAAACATATAAGAATGAGCAATTGCAAGCATAAGTTAATATTCTAGTTATTCATGATTCATCAGTATGGACAGAGTAGGCAAAAGAATATGGATAGAAAATATTACCTGTACAGCATGCACAAAAGAATAGACATACAAAGCCTTCTCAGAACACAGCAAAATGTACAATTGGTTTGTTGTTGCATCTTCAACATGATTCCCTTTTCTCAAGTCTGATCCATCTTTTTCAATTGAACCTGTGATTGGTTCACCTTGCCCATCTGTATAACATAATAGAAATAGTCTTACTCTTTTCAATCAGATCCTTCACTGTTATAAAAAAATAGCATTGGAATTTGGATCTTAAAGATAATTAGCCATTAAGATCATTTATAACTTATATCAATGTGTTTTTACAACTGATCATTGTTTCAACTGTGCAAACTCTTACCCAGCACCTGCATAAATATAGCTTTAGAGGGCTTTTTAGGATGAATAGTTCCAATGCTCAGTGAGTTTCCAGTTTCACCATCTAGAACCAGAACAGATGAGTCCTTTGTTCCAACTGCTAAAATGTTTTTCTCAAAACCACGCAAACTGCAGGTTTTGAACTGCAGGCAGACGATACCTGTGGTAATTTCACTTGCAATATGTTTCTGATATAACAGAGATGGGCCATCTATGTTAATAACTGAAACCTGTAACAAATTGGTGCATTAAACGCAAATTAGCTTTGTGAATATGATAAACAACTATACACACTAATAAAAAAAGAGCCTAAAATCACACTTCCAAATTTAAAAAGAAAAGAAAGAAAAAGCTAGAAATGTATCTTACATTTCCTTGGTCAGAACCAACCGCAAGATGCCTTGACCTGGGATCTATGTTCATACAAATTACAGCACCACTAATCTTTACAAGTTTCATACTGTGGATTACATTATCATTCCCTTTCTTTGAACCTCCTGTAAAAGAGGAATGGAAATGCAAGTCTCTATCAACTAAATTGAGAAGTATGTTAGTTGTTTAATAATAATTGGTAAATTAAGTATCATGCAACACAATACCAGTAAGAGACATGAAGCTGTTGGAGGCATATGGTTCAGGTTTGAATTTATAGATACGAACCTGTAGATCATGTTTCTTATCATATATACAATAAAATAAGCAAGGTTGACAAGAGAAGAAAAAGGAAAACATCACATTTCACAAAATTCATAATTGAATGAACCTCACCATTCCACTTTGGTCACCAGAAACAAGGACAGGAGAATTGCTATCAAAATATAATTCCGTCAAGGGTATACCACTAAAAGAAAAATCATTTTCATTCTGCCATAAGAGGAACGAAACAAATAAAAGAATAGTCATGTATAAAACAGAAAATAAATGTTTCATACAGTTCTTAAATACATAAAAAATGAAAATAACTGCCTTTAATCTCCCTATAGCTTAATTGCTTAAACTCAAACAGAAAATAGCATCCTTGATGATGCTAACCTTTTTAATAAAGGAAAGACAAAATACTCATTTTATGGGAATTTTTTGTCCAACTAATATTTTCTAACCACTGAAAAGTAATAGAGCTAAAGTTTGGACACAAACTATAAGTGTTTCATATAAAAATATTACCTGTTGCTTTAATTGCAAATTTGGAGTGAAAAAGGGACATGATGCATCCCAAAAAGTTATGGCTCCATTGCTATGTCCAGTTATGTACAAGTTTTTAACGTTTGAAAATCCAGTGAAGTTGGAAGAACTCAGGTTAATCCCATCTTTGTGATTGGTTTCAATGGGAATCAGCGGTGGATAATTTTTTACCAGCTGACTGTAATACTGTGACACCAAAAAGAAAATAAATGTCAAATAAATAAAATCGTATAAAAGATTTAGATTGTCAAAAAAAAAGAAAGAATCTTGCCAAAAAAGTTTCACAATCCCATTACCTCATCTTGAGAACTAAACACACCGGGATTGTTGGATATGAATTTTGCTGTAGTGATGCTTGAATCTGCCAGTGGTAACTTCACAACCATTTCCTTTGGCAGTGAGGGAGAGGACTTAGACTGGCTTTGCAGATACCTTTCAATCAATCTGTCATCATAAAGATATACATGACCTGATTTCCCTAGCAGAAGGAAATAATTTTGTCTATGCTTGCTTTGTTCACTTGAGGTTGATATGATCTCCATGTCAACACAGGCTTCAGACATATGAAGTCCCAACTTAATTGTGCGAGATTCTGTATGTTCATTCAATAACACTACCTGCTTCATATAAAAGATATTACTAGTTATTTTAGTCACCAATTAACAAATTAAACCCTGCTCGAGTTCATTGAAAATTCAGTACACAATAAACAATCTGAAAAACACAAATTCATGTAAGTTGTAATGGGTGAGCTTGAATTCGAGCTTTCTTTCTTTGATAAAGAGAAACTATCATTCATTATTACCTCATTATAAAGAAAAATAAGATACATAAATGGTCAACCAAGATTAAATGAAGATATATTGTTAAATGATGCAAGAAAAGTATCCAAATACCTGCAACAAGTTTGAAGGAGCATTGTCAGAAACTCCCATGACATAGAGTCGACTAGCCTTTCCTTCAGCATAAATCCATTTTACTGAAGCAATGGAACTTTTGTCTGATTTATATCCTAAGTTAAATTTGAACCTGGGAGTGCTTTGATTACTATAATTAGATACTAAACCATTTCCTGTGTTTAGAGAAGGGATGCTCCAAATGAAGAGTTCTCCATTGTTGTACCCTACAACCACCTTACTTCCCAAAGGACACACCCAACATGCAGAAGACACTTTCTTTGTTTCATTAAACAGTGGCTGTGATATTTTTCCGCCAGTTCTGACAATGGATTTGCTTTCTCGAATATCCCATAATATTATTAAGCCATTTCTAAAGATTATGAGAACTCTGCATTTAACACATAAGAACAGAAGTTGACATTTGTCTACCAAAAATAAATTTGATTAAGTAAAAGCAAGCAACGAATTAATTATGTCATATAGAAATTTCCTATGGCTGGTTTTGTTCATATCACCTCTTACTTTCGGCTGCTGGTTGAGGCAATATGTGTGTTACAACAGTATCATCAGATTCTTCAGTTGAATTTCCTAAAAAATTAATAAGAAACTTAAAATGGCAAGAAGATATATCTAAGAAGGTGCTTGTTATTTTATAATATTTACTTATTGTTCGAATTGAAGCTGGTTTAGAGAATCAACGACGTAAAGCCAAGATTTACATGTAACAAGTGAATGGAAAAGGGCACAAAAAAGACCAAATCTCACCATAAGAAGCTGAGAAGGGTATAGTGTATTTCATCCGTATCACATGCCATGGTTCTTGATCAAGCTTCAATACTGAAATATTACCATTTGAAAATCCAACATACCTGCCAATGCACATACATGTTCATAACTTTTGGTGCTTCTTCAAAATTTAGTTTTTTGATAGTTTATTTCAAAGTAGACAAATTACTTACATATAGAGGCTATGTCGAATGACTGAAAAACAAGTGATTTCTTCTTTAACAATGTACATATCAGACAACAATTTTTTGTCCATGTCCCAAACCTAAATATGAAATATCTTTAGGCAATAAATTTTCTGAATAACCTGTGCTTGAATATGATTTAAATAAAATATAGACATGTTGAATCTTAATAGTGAAACAGTCCCTAGTAACAACAACATGTAAAGGCAACTTGAAATACATAAAAAATTTGAGCATGATCATAGGTATACTTGCCTCAATATGGTTATTGAAAGTGACATTTATAAGGATGCCCCGGTTTTGAATGAACTGCATATATATTAAATACCATAGTATTGTTAAAACATGCCTCTTTGATATTCATAGAAAAAGACATCAAGGAAATCAATGAGCACTTGAAATGACAAGACAAAATTGGCCATGAAAAAAGAGAAAAAGAAATATAACCTGCAAAAACTTGCTAGGAACCCGTTCACTGGATTCAAGTAGGACTTGGGCATTATCTTTCCCAAATAGTTTAATCCTCCCATCTCTTTAAAAATAATATAAACAAAAATCAGTTTCAAGTATAAATTCAAGAAAATATACTTTAGTTGTAACATTTTCTCTGCCAATTAGATCTCAGAAAGGTGTAAGGGCAGTCTTGATCACAAATTGACAAGGGTTGAAACTATACTTGGTAGAAAGAGCCAGTAACTTCTGAATATTGTCATAGGCAAACTTAGCACCTCCAGATGGTATCCCTTGGTGAAAAATCAGACGTGGATCTACATCACTAGCTTTTAACCCATCTGATGAGTTTCCAACAGGCTGCAACACAAATTAACAACTGGGATTTTTAGTTTCCTAGTTGCATGTCATATTTCTGGATAAAGTTTCCCGAATTTTCTTAAATGTGAGTTATGTAAGTATTTCCTAATTATAATAAAGTTACTAGGATGTTATTTATTTTGCTAGATACATGGGAAGAAAGAAGGACAAATTTTTAATCAATTAATCATTAATGCATGTCAACCTTGAGGAAAAATTATTAGATTGTCTGAATTTTCGTGATCCGGATTACTCATATTAAATTATGTGGATAAATTTTTAATTAAAAAAACAATATTATTAATTATAACGTGAGTAATAGAAATTATATGATTTCAGACAATTCTAAAATTACTCTAACCTTTCCACATATGACCCACATTGTACCCTTGACATAAGGACCTCCCAGTGGAAGTCTAGGGGGTAAGCCGAAAGGAAAAGAAAAGAAAAGAAAAAGAAATTGAGATGAATATTTGTGAAAAATAAATCGTTACATCCAAATTCAAAATGAAATTATTTTGAAAAAACAAAGGAACATGCATTAAATTATAGCACAGGCAAAACTTGTATGGCACTGCCACACTGCCACTATTGTTCTGAAATCTGAGATTCCCTCCACCCTCGGGCCTTGGATTCTTGCCGGCTACTAAAACTCAACATTAACGCCTTCTATTTTTGCTTCATCCACCTTTGTTAGGGTCCACACAAACACCTTAATTATTTGGCCTATGCTTTAGTGATACCGTTTTTCTTTTTCCCCATATAAATAAAATTACTATTTGACATTTGTGAATCATAATTAAGAATTTCCCCATATCCATAAAAAAAATTGTATCATTTTTGTTTAATCAGCAATTCAGCGTCAGTAGTCTTGGTTATGAATAAAAAAAATGATTTTATTATAGTTTAGATACACATTATCACAAATAATTAACTGCTTTATCGAGGAAAAGGAATTGAAATCGCTATAATTGCATTTGCACTTTTACTTGTTATTTAAAAAAAAAAAAGGTTCATTTTAAGCAACCTTTAATTTGTTTGTCTTGGGTTGGTAAATAAGACAAGATTTTATACTATCTATATTTGCATTGTATTAATGAAAATATTCGATGAATAATGCGCTATAAAAAAAATACTGTTTCTTAGCGAAACCAGAAATGGAATAGCATTAAGAATTTAAAATAAAATATCAACAAGACCAAAAGAAATTTTAAAAGATAACAATATACATTATACATATGAAAATAGCAAAAGGAATTTGCGTAACAATAAGATAGAAACAAAAAGTCCCAATATATTCAACGTGTCTGTTTATTTCCATTTCAGTTTTATTGCAATTGGATCACAACGAGTGAATTTTTATCATTTGCGAAACGCAATACACCGAAATGTAAAACCAAATGCATCATAAAACGTTATTTAGTTTCTCTTCGGAAATCTTAATTTATGAAATTGAACAAAACTTAGAAATCTATTCAAACTACATAAGAAAAGCAGAAACTAAACTCTCATCGCACGGAAGGAAGCAAAAAGCACTAAGCATATAAATAGAGTTACCTTCTTTATGGATGCTTTCTCCACGAACTTCTTGACGAACATGATTGAAGGATCTAAGAATGAATTGAAGAAAAGAAAGAGAGAGAGAGAGAGAGAGAAAGAAAGAAAGTAGGTAATGTTAAATGTGCTTCGTGATAACCGAACAGAGAGAGTTGTTTAGTACTTGAGAATTAACACACAACAGTTTCTCTTTCTCTTATAGGATTGAATTGAAAGAAACGAATGCACATAGCAGACAAGACAACAAACAAAGGAGTTCTCATACGACAAAACAACCAACGGTTAGGATCTTACTGCTATTGTGAAAATTTGTGTATAAAGAGAATTATTTGACTTGTTCCTTACCCTCCCCTATCAGACAAAAGCCAGATACTACTCATAAACTAACATTTGAGAGTGAGACCATCACTATTAAAACCATGGAACACACATTAATGTTGTTAAGGAAAAGGTTACCGTCTTTTTCACACTGGTTACGTGGCATCAGAGGATTTCCGTGTGGGACCCTTGCTATTATTGAAACGTACGTGGCACCACCCAAATCAGTTTGCTTCTTTTAATTGCATTTTCATTTTCTTTTAATACTAAACTAAATCAAAGGTTCAAAGGAAATTAAATTTTCCAATAAATAAATTATCTAATAATTCCTCATAAATTTTATAAAAATTATAATGTTTAATTAGTAAGATTTTTTTATTTTGATATTTTCTCATCCATTGTTATTATTATTCGTAAACCTTTTCCACAATTATTATAATTTACTTTTGTTGCTAATTAAAACTGTATACTACATAAAATATATGCTTAATCACACGTCACGTGTTTAAATTTAATTCTTTCCACTTTATGTACACAACTATTGCAAGAAATCTCAACAACTTTATTATTAATAATTAGCCAAAAAAATTAAAAAAATATTAGGCAACAGTCAATACCACGACATCACCATGACCGAAAAAGAATTCCCATTGAAGTGCCTTTTAACAAATTGTGAGTTTTTTAAAAGTATATAAATGTCTCATACATCAGCACCAGTGCACCTTCTCACCAACCCCCATTGAGATAGCAACGGAAAACTTTATATTAAATGGAAATTGAAACATTTCCATAAGTAGGTAGCAGATAAGCTCATAAGATAATCCATCAATAATATCTGATATGATAAAAACTAGAGAAAGGGTGCCGGCAAGATCGTATTCGTATACACCAGATAGATACATGGAGTTCCAAATGGGGCCAACACGTAAAGGACCAATCATGCATGATTCAAAATTGGCCCAGATCCACCAGATTTCAACACTAGATGAAGCAGAGTGACCATCGACCATCGAGATTCAACTTGTTAGCTACACTTATAATTGGGCTTTCTGCCCAAGCATGATTGGGCCTAATTTCCCTAGCTGAAATTTGAACCAACGGGCACAATGATTAAGAATTAGCAAGTCGAGGTAGGTATGTGTCTGCGAAACATAAGAGAAAAAAGGTACGTCCCAGTTAAGAGGAAAAGGGAGAGTTATGGAGGCACGTGACGTGAGTGTGGTTAAAGTTAGCTAAATGGAATAAATCTAATGGTCCCCAATTGAAAGCCAAATGATTCATGGTGATGGATCACTCTCATTCTCATTCATGGTGAAGAGATTTTTATATTTCTTAAGGTTCTCATTCTGATGCACATGAGGGACGCTTTCAACATAATTGGGATAAAGAGAGCCTTTACAACCTAAGTCCTATTGGCACCATTATCCTCTGTGAGTTGTAAGAGATTGGGCTCTCTTTTGTATTACCTTTTTCATGGGGAATCACACCACCAACCATCCTTGTTCCTCCTTTTAGCATCTATGCTTTATTTAAGATACAACTCAACCCCATTTTGGGCCATCTATGGCCCATTAACTTCTTTTCTTTAAAAAGTTACTAGTAAAGCTATCAGCGCCGACTACTCTCACTCAGTAAGTGATATGTTTTAGTGAGTTAAATAAAAATAATAATAATTTGAGCTCGCAAAATGATGTTTAAGTTCAGTAAAAACTTCATTTTTTAGAACCTTTTGTCTGTTTTAACAGGTTAAGTTTGTATCAAGCTTAATTGAATCGTTTAAAAAATTTTAATTTAATTTAAATTCAAATTTTAAAATTTTAATCTTATATTAGGTAAACTTGGGCCGCTTGCCTAGTTATTAGCTTTTACAATTAATGTGTGTGTGTGTGTTTTTAATTAAACACAAAACAGTTCCCTTAACTCCCAGCGTCTCTCCTTTTACATGCCTCTTTCACTCTATCCAAGAGAGAAAGAGAGGTGGAGGATTCATTTAATAAATAAGTTTTAACAAACGTATTTTGTTTAATATTTTTTAAAAACATTATTTTTTATTAACTTATTTGTCATATTATATGTTGTTATTAAATATATGAAGTTCATAAAATTTTATAATATTTAAAAATTAATTTGTACTTCTTTAATAAATTTATATTTTGATATATATTATATTTCAAAGCTAAAAATAAACGTCAATTATAAAACTATAGCTTATGGATATTTTATTTATCTAAAATTTAAGCATACGCAATCATCAAAATAACGTTATGTGTTTTAACAGTTAAATTTGTTAGATTCATATTCTATAGGTATGTGTGTATGAAAAATAAAATTATATCATTTTTTTTACGGATTTGCAAAATTAAGAATTCCCTAAAAAGATTAAAGAAAAAGGATTTGGATGTTAAAAAAATTAAATTTTAGAAAATCAAATACGAAAGTGTAACTGTTGATTAAAAAGTTAACATTTGAAATTACGATAATATGTATAATAGATTATTAAAAAATTATTTCATCAATTTTTAAAATATTTTATATAATTTTATTTCGTTTCTTTATTTTTCTTTATACATATCAAAGAGATTTTTTAATGGACCATGAATTGATTGTTTTAGTTTAGAGTACAAGTTTTAAAAATTATTAACTCAACTCTCAAAAAATGTTTATTCTTTTTTCTGGTGTAAACGTGTACGTCTTCTCGCTTCTGTAAGCTTTCAATCTATAAGTAGTTTGAATAGCGCATTTAAATACACAGTTTTATGTTTATTTCCTTATCATGCGCCGGTTATAAATGAAGTCGTAAGAGTAATAATTAAGGTATGGTTCTTTTACATGTATGCTGAGGTAATTTAAAATTTTTTTATCAGTATTGTATTAAAAAATTTAGACCAATAAAAAAAATATTTATTAAGTTAAAAAATTTTATTATATATAATTTATTTAAAGTTATATTATTTATATTATTTGTTATATAATTTTATTATTATATATACATTTTTTATTTTTTTATATTTTTTATAAATTTTTAATTTTAAATAAAATATAATTTATATTAAATTTTTTATAATAAATTATTATATTTATTATATTTAAATAAATTAGAAAAGCAGTTGAATTTTTGAATCAAAATAAGATGTAATTAAAATTAAATTAACTAAAATTTAAAAAAAAATATTATATTGATATATTTCTATATTCTTAATTTTATTATTATTAGTATTTAATTATTTAATTATTATATTAATATATTATGTTATAATTATTTTTTATTTATAATAAATAAAAATTGTTTAAATATAATTTATATTTTATTTGAAAAAAATAAAAAATTATTTAAAAAATTATTTAAAAAATTATAAAAAAAATTAAATATACAATATATATAACTTTAAATAAATTATATATAATAATTTTTTTAACTTAACACGTTTTTTTTTATTAGTCTAAATTTTTTGAATACGGTATCAATAAAAAAAATTTAAGGTATCACATAATTTATTTATTTTTCTTCATTAATCATATTCAGGTGAGATAAGCATTTTGACTCTTGGAAATTTTTACACAATATTTATTATATTATTTCTTTTTATTAGTAATTTAAAAATACATATAAATATAGAGTAATATTAATACCAAAACTATGATAACCAAACCCAATTAATATTCTGATACTTTGGAATCCAAACAATAAAAAAGGCTCTGTATGTTGTTGCCCTTTTGTGACTCGTGAGAACCAGGAATTTGGCCAACTTTTTAGGATTCGACTTTGTCTGAAAAGATCTTTCAGCACGTTAAGATTGACATAAAGCTATCTTTTTATTATTGATTAATTATTAGAAAAATTAAATGATATCATTTAAATATATTTGTATTTATACGATTTATATATTCTAAAAGGTTCATAAAACATTTCATACATCTCAAGAAATTATATTTATCTTCTTCCTTCATTTCAACTGCATCTGCTACCTAAACCTTTAGTTAAGAACCGTAACTACAAACATCACACAGCAAAGCTACCTATGCAAATTAACCCTCGAAGTTTCTCACCATGCCTTGTGTATATTTACAAACAGCAAGACAAAACGTGAATACAAACACTAAACATGTACTCCAAAAGTCACACAAACACTCTTTGTGATTGATGTGTGGGTTACTGTTGGTAGGGGTTGGGGGGTTTGTCCATGATAGGTGGCTGTGGTCTGTGGAGTAGACTCAATTTGGCAAAGCAAGCCATCAATTTTCTAGTTAGTCATCTTAATTTGTTCAGGTGGTTTAGTAATTCTGAATTAGTCATCTTAATTTGTGTTTAATTTCTTTGTTTTTTAAGCAACGGTAGTCAATGAGATTGAAGTATGATTTGAACAAATGATTCAAAAAACTTTTCAATAATAATAATAAGCACATTACCATCTCAGGATTAAGTTCAAAAGTGTGAAAACTCATCGATAACATCGACAATATTATTAATACAATCATGTCATGTTCTCGACAAGTAGCAAGAAAAAAAAATCTCAACTTAGCTTCAAAAAGATTTGTTACACTAGTTTCACAACCGTGCGAAAAATGGTCGCACGAGATGCCACTACATGAACTATGTTTATTCTAATTTTTTTAATTTTATAAAATGCACATCAAATAAAATTATAAAAGAATTGAATAATTTTATTTAATAATAAATAAAAAAACTGCCGTTTTACCAACTCAAAGTCGGCGCAAAGTCAAAAAAACAGTTGGTGTTGATATAGTAGTATTTTGATGTGGACAGTGGAGAGCACGGGAGAGAAAGGCGCGTGACATAGAGAAAAGAAAAGGACGAATAAAAAGAATCCAAAATCCAGAGGGAATGTGATGGTGAAGTCGTTTGCTCTGCAAAAAGTCACAGCTTTTGTATCTCTGTCACCTCTGAGCTGTCTTCTGTTAGACTGTTACTAACTAATCGCATCAATAATCAATTTCTACCATTTCACATAACCTAACAATATTCGTTTTTTAATAAATCCTTTTTCTTATTTAATTAAATATCATTATATCATATTTATTTAATATAAGTATGAAAAACGTTTTTTACTTAGATATGTGTTTTTCTACTGGATTTGTATTTTAAAATGCTATACTGTAAGTCATTTCGCTATTTCATGAGTTTTACCATAGTGTTACTTCACTTAACTTAATTTAATATTAATAATTTTTTTCATTTTTTAGTACATTTTTGGATTTTTTATTACATAAATGTTTCGTTTTAGTACACTAATTCATATGAATAATTATATAGTGTCATTTATTCGTGTTTCATTTTACAAGTTTGATAAGATATATATAAAATATTCAATTTATTTGATCACATGAAAATACATCACTAACTTACACTGTTAGTTACGTAACAATATGCTTAAATTAAATTCATATACAAAGCAACAACTTCACCCATAATCCAGAGACGTAATAAGAATATATTATTTCATATACTTTTAATTATTAAGTAATTTTTAAAAATTATAAAAATATAAATAAAAATATTAAATTAATAAGATGGCTTGAATTGTTTATAATTTAAATTTAATTAATAAATAAAAATATATTACTAATTTTTTTGGTTAAATATCAATATTTTATCAAAGATAAATTTAGAGTACAAGAGAGTATTTTAACTCTTACAATTCTAAAGAGAATTAATAATATATATTTAAAAATTATTAATTTAATTCATATAATCAATCGATTTTTTAAAAGTTCTGCTCCAAGTCACTGTCAACAATGATACTTAATAAAATTAAATATTTTATTAATATTTAACACACTATTATTAAAGAGAATCTTATTTCAAGTCAAATTATTTATACTATCATAAACCATACTATTATAATCCTTCTCAATTTTTTGTACGTTGTATTTCACATATGTTTAGTAATATTTCATACAAATTTTTAGATAAATATAAATTGATACTAAACTATTCAAATACTATATACCACAATTTTATGGAGATATACAGTATAAAAAAAATGCAATGTATTCTCAGTTTTAGTATCACACAATCCATATACTTTTAAAGGAATCGTTTGGTCAGGTTCTCATATTATTTATTATATAAATAATTTATAAAATTATCTGAATAAACAAAAATTTGATGGTCTTTATATGTTTTTTATTTTATATTTATCTATGAAAAGAAAATACTAATTTAGTATATATATATATATATATATATATATATATTAAATTTTTTTTCATTCAATCTTCATGACATGTGGATTACCTATGTAGATTGTTTGTAAAGTTAATGATTTTTTCTAATATTACAAATATATTATGTATCTTATTTTAAATTTAATATTTATTTATATTTAAAAAAGTACACATTATAATAAAATAATTGAATGAAGTATATATTTATTTTATTTTTATAAAACATTTTATAAAGTTAATATATTTAATACTTTTAAATTAATAATTTGATTAATTAATTTCATATTTTATAAAAAATATATTAAACAGTATTTAACTTTGATGCGGAATATCAAACGAATTTAATTCTTACTAATAGTATAATTTTTGTTGTTATTTTATTATTTAATCATGACTTATCACGTTATTTAAAGTTATTTTTTATAATGATTGATTTAAAAATATATTTATTATATTTTTAATCAATGGACAACTATAAATTCAATTTAAAATTTCTGTATTTATAATATGACTTATTTGAGAATATCTATTTATTTTTAATGAAAATGAAAATAATAAATATAAAGTATTTAATTTTACCTAAAAAGACTACACATGCAGTGAATTTTTATTTTCCAAAATGAGATCAGCATGTCACATCTAATCAGTAAAGAAAATATGAGAAAAAATTTCAGTGCTGTCCATCAATTTCCAAAGTGAGAAGTAATCAAAGCCAAACAGCAACAGTAAAAAGTTGAAAATTATAAACAAAAGGAAAGGATGTATCTATTACATCTTTTTAAGTTTTATTAACATTTTCATTTAAGAGTCTTTTATTTAAAAATAATAATAATTAGATTCATAATAAAAAATATTTTATATAAAAATTCAAAATAAAAATAAGCACTAAAAATAGTAAAAGGACTCCCGAAAAAGGCTTTTACAGATGCTATTTGTCCACGACCTCTTTCTCTCCATTCAATTTATCTCTCTGAATAATCGTTATTGATTATTATCATTTTCTCGTATACCTCGTTGAAATTACAATTTTTCATCAAACTATCTTATCACATAAAAACAGGAACAACATCGAAATAAATATTTTACAAGAACAGCACAGACAATTTTATAAACATCATTGCATATTGTCAAAGTTCACTTATGATATACTTTAAATTACCAAGTTTTTTAAGTACGTACATACATAATAACTTGTTTTAAAAATAATAAAGTTTAGTGTATTAATAACATCAAATAATATATTTTTAATACAAATTTATTACTATTTTAATTCGTAACATATGTTTTGTAACGTACATTAAACAAATTGTAAATTTATATTGCTAAATTAATATAATATTTATTATGTTTCGATTATATACTATAATAAATGTTAAAATTCTTATTTCAGTTTCTTAAAGAAGATAAAATATTAATCTGGTAGCTTTATCCTAACGAAGATTAAAAAAAAATAAAACTAAAAAGAGACAAGCCTACGAGGCTATTCGTAGGTGCTATGATTCATAGCCACTTAAATAGCATAATAAACACTACTGCCTGCAAAATTATGAAAAAAATAGTAATAAAGAGAAAGGAAAAAATTACGTGAGAATGATGGGGGAATAAAGAAAATAGGCTTCTCTTTCGCTCGTTGCCTTTTCATCTGTCAGCTTCCTTATTATTATTATTATTATTATTATTGATAAAGTTTTACTCGTTGGGTCTCTTCTTCTTTATACACAATCCCAGTTTCAAATTTTCTACTTTTTCGTTCTACCCATTACAATTTTTTCACCAAGTTTGAAGCTTTGCTGCTTTTCAACCAGACCCATCTTCTCCTTTTTCATAATGCATGATTGATTCAGAGCTAATGGTTTGCTTCTTGATAAGTCGTTTGTTCTGAATCTTCTCATCAGTCACTGGTATGTTCATTTATTCTGTGTTCTTCTTATATGTGTATTCATGTGTTCGGTTTCAGGGAAAAGCTGTGGGAAATCGATCAGTGAATCATTTGTTTAGCATAAACAATGTTCGTTGTTCAGAATTCTAAGACTTGTTCGGCTCCTGTGTTTTTCTCAGCAACCTGCTTTTGGCTTTTTCTGATTGGTTTTTCATGAGTGAATTCTGAAGATGAAACTGTTTTTGAGTTATTTTGGAGTTGTTATACCAATCGAAAGCTTCTTTCTTTTTTGGATCAGCATTAAAAGCAGTTTTCACATTTTGCTAAGTTGACCTGTTCATATGAATCTTCTAACATCTTATTGTTTTATCTAACACTGCAAGATATTGCTCTGCATGCTTTTCCAATACTAAAGTGTTCATATTGATTGGTTTTATGTTAATTTTGCTCTGTAATCTACATAAGATACGATTAGTCGTCCATCTGTAAAGGCATTATAATACAAAAGTGCAGTTGTTGAATGTGTGTGATCACAACATCTGAATTGGCAAAGAAGCATATATGCTCTGATGTGAATCAACCAATTGGTTGATTTTTTTCCCAAAATTCTGAATCCTTCTACAACTTGGCTAGACGTACGGCCAGAGTATCACTAGTCATCATCTGCTTTTTTTTCCCTTTTCTTTTCCATGGATTGATTGGTTTCTATTTTTTATACATCTTTTCCATTTTAGGCTTTAAATGAAATTCAGATCATCTTGCGTTTATTATTACTATTATTTAAGATGTTATTACTACTTTTGGAAGGTTGAACCATCAATTTTATGTTAGAGATTGAACTTCTCTTTAACTTAATACCTGATTAAGATGTGGCATTGCAGGGAACTAACTACAAAGGAGTATTATGATCATGCAAAAAGAAAGACGACCAGTGAAATTTTAGCGGAATGAGACATGGAAGCTGAAATTGAGGAGATGAGAGTCTTTTGGTAGACCCTCTGTCTGTATGGGAGGCTTATTACACTTTTTTGATTTCAATCAAGGGAGGATGGCCAAGAAAGTCCATGCTCATAAGAGACATCATGCTGGTAAGTGTTTTATTTCTTTAAGAAAAACTTCACTGGTGCTGTGAAAGATATTCCTAGCTTTATGTCCCTGGCATATTCATTGAGATCAGACACGCTACTAGGAAGCTCAAATGTGTACTAATTTCTTATGATTCATTTCCGCAAGTGGAAGACCTCTAATAGCTACTTTTCCTTTTCTTATATTAGAAAGGTCATTGATACGATGAAACAATCTTTAATAAGATGATTGGTTTGTTACAACTATGAAGATATCTTGCTTAAATTCTGGGTCTTTCCCCTATTTTTTCTCATTTTTTGTTATTGTATTGTGTGCCATGCAGGCCTTGAAGCTCCTCGCAATAGTCTAGATCTGCAAGTAGAAACACCTCAGAACTACTGTCCAGAAGGAGAATTACCAGTAAGTTTCTCTTCACATGTCATGATAAGGATACATAAGCACCGTCATATTTCCCCTCTAGTCCTGTGTTTTAGGTAACAATTTAGTCTTAAAAAGTATTGAGAATAACCCCTGAAAATTGGCTAAGAGTTTCATGAATTTGATTGATTTTCCCTTCATTTAATTGATTAATAGCAAAGCTTTAAGCACAGTTCTGAGTTTTAATATTACTCTTTTCATGCTTTCATTATACTTTTTAACCAGTGTGTGTGACAATAAACTCATGATACTTCATTTTCTATTCCTGTTTACAGCAGCAAAATTTTCTTTATTTATTATCTCACAATAACATGTTTCATCTCCTCATTCTTGAATTGAATTATACTCTGATTTGAATTTTCAGTACAATTATCAAGTAGAAGAAGAAGACAGGTCTGAGAATAAACCCTGTTCAAACGTGGGATCAATGAAAAAACTGATCAATGAGGAGCTATCCAAACGATCAAGCACCAGACAAAATGCACCAAGCCTTGTGGCAAGGTTGATGGGGATAGATATGATGCCATTAGACACTAAATCTGTTATTCCATCAGATAAAAGAGTGAGTGAAAATAAAGGGAGCAAGTTTTCAGACAAAGGAATGAATCGAAGGGGTTCAGCTAGTTGGGGTTCTTCTAACTTTAATTATTCTAGCCAGATGGAATTTGATTCATTTTATGAAGTCATAGATGATGATGATGATGATGGATGGAACCGGAGTTTTGGAGAACCAAGGCCGCGGGAACATCCTCAGGAAGAGGAACTCCAGAAATTCAAGAAAGAGTTTGAAGCATATCAAGCAGCAAGGTTTCTGGAGTGTTCAAAGGTTGCTGAACTTGTTCAAGAGAACCTGAACAAGGAAAAGGTGGCACATAATGATGCAAGTTATCTGAGAGCAGCAACAGGTAAATTTGCAGAACTTGACTGCCACTCTTTCAAAACTGAGCTACATGACAGTTATGGTTCAGAATATCATGGTAATATGGTGAAGTTAATCCCCGCTATGCAAAGGAAAACCTTTCCTTCTAGGAGCAGAACACTAAGCAGAGACTTTGAGGAGTCCTTAATGATGAAATCTTCTAATAGATTAGGTACATCTTCTCCCACTCGGATAGTTATCTTGAAGCCTGGTCCTGATAGCATTTGCAACCTTGAAGAGAATTGGACAAGTTCAGCAAGTACTATACAAGGGAGAAATAGTATAGAAGATTTTCTTGAGGAGGTGAAAGACCGTTTGAAATGTGAACTGCAAGGGAAAAATGTCAAAAAAGGTTCTGTGGTTCGAGGAAGTGGAATTGAGACACCTTACAATGAAAAACCACCTGATCCTAAACTAATAGCCCGTCATATAGTAAAGCAAGTCAAAGAAAGTGTAACAAGAGATGCTGACACAAATTTACTCCAGTCAGGATCAATAGGATCATACAAAAGTGAAATGCAGTTCAATGGACCAAGCTCTCCAGAATTTATCAGTAGAGATACCAGGAGGTTCTTGTCAGAGAGGCTAAGAAATGTTGTAAAAAGTGAAACTCATGTTCCTGAGGGGAAATCAAGGTCACTTTCATTAGACAATCAAAAAGTTATGCTAAAGCAAACGGGGGATGTTATGAAGTATGCAAAAAACTGGGAAATTTCCAAAGATGAAACAGAAATACAAACAGGATCTTTTAGGCATGAACCAGATGACAATATATTGCTACAAAAGGAGTTGTCCCCTAGGAACCTAGTAAGATCCTTGTCTGCTCCTGTATCACGGTCAGGAACATCATTTGGGAAGCTTCTTCTAGAGGACCGCCACATTTTAACTGGTGCTCATATTCGGAGGAAGCTTGAAGCTGTTGAATCTATGCCTATTGATGTCAAGACACGGAAAAAGGATAGATTTAATATTAAAGAAAGAGTCTCCAATTTTAGATATAGTCTTGCTCTTAAAGGGAGGCTTTTTGGCAAAAGGGTTCAATCGATGGTGGAATCACATGGCAATGAATATGGTCCCATGGCAAGAGATGTCACAAGTGGACCAACAGTTCTCATGAACTGCGGTGAGAGGCATGTAAGTTCGTCACATTTTTTTCCATTCTCCACAACTACCCTTGTTTTCAATTATATTTTATATATAGCTGTTATCACCATATTTTCTAAATATGCTCTATAGGAAAACTCAACTGAGGTACCTCCTAGTCCTGCATCTGTGTGCAGCAGTGTTCATGAAGAATTTTGGAGGCGAGCTGAATATTCAAGTCCAATGTCAACTCCTGATGTGTCTTCAAGAGATGATAATGTTGTTCCCCAGATTTTCAGAGATATCAGCTCTGGCTTGAATGGTATGAATATGATACAATTCTAACTTTCATGCACTGAGCAATGACTTCATAGACTTGATTCATGAAAAGGCAGTTTATTTCAATTTTACTTAGAATTTAATCTTGGGATAAATAATTAGCTTCAAGAGCTATATAATTTATTTCTGTTATTGCAAAAACGTATCAAAACTTGGATTCTGTTTTCTTTTTTCAACTTTTCTTTCATTCACCGCCTTTGATATGAGATGCAATCTTGGTTTCTTTTGATACATCTTATAAAACAAATTTTAAAAACTGTGTGTTAAGTTTGTAAATTGGTATAATTACAGAACAAGGTTAACATAAAAAAATACAGACTCTTTGCTTCAGTATGGCTACAATTAGCTTAGTAAAACTTTGTTAACATTATGGAATTGGATTTGGATTATGTGAATACTATAGACAGATTCAGAGGGATTAACCTGTGATTCTATTTGATTTTGGTGTTTCAGTTTAGAATGTGTAAGAGAGAAAGAAAAAGAACCAATTTTCTTTGTACTCTTTTTCTCAATACTGTGTACATCTTCCCCACTTTTCTTTTAGACGTCAAATTTGTGCTGATAGATCCCTTTGCTTGTTGATGTGACAGAGCTAAGGAGACAACTGAATCAACTTGAGTCTGATGGTCCTGAGGACTTCACTATGAAACAGGAGTCTGTTGAGTCTGAATTAGTGCAATTAGAGGATCCAGCAGAATCTTACATAAGAGATCTCCTGGTAGCTTCTGGTTTGTACTTTGGTTCATGGGATAAATCTTTATTAAGAGGGGACACATTTGCAAAGCCAATTGGCAAATCTGTTTTTGAAGAAGTGGAAGAATCTCATAAGAAATTGGTCAAGGAAAACGATGAAAGTTCTACAAAGGGTCAGAATGAGGGTAGGCTAGACCACAGGGTTTTGCTTGATTTGTTAAATGAGGCACTTTCAGTAGTTCTTGGACCACCTTTGACATTGTCTAGATTCAGAAGGCAATTTAGCAACTCTTCCATGTTGCCACCACCTTGTGGAAAGGAACTGTTGAACTTAGTATGGGACATTATCAGCTTTTCTTTATATCCTCCATCTGATATATCTACTTATTCACTTGATACTTTGGTGGCTCAATTCCTAGGATCCATCCCTTGGTTTGGATTAATAAATGATGAGATCAGTACATTGGAAAGAGATATAGCATGTCTAATAACTGATGATCTGGTTGAAGAACTCACAAAGGATATGCTCTAAGATGTAATGAGAAGCATCATTTTTCATGACCATTGTGACAACAAAGAATTCTGCACATGGAGCAAGGCTTACACATGATTACCGAAATTGGAAGATAACCATCTAATTGATATAGCCGTGTTAATTTAATACTGCATGAATATTGTGTATATATATAGGAATTGGTGTGTTTGTAATATAGAGGCATTGAGTTGCTGTAATACATACTGTATATGAGTGTTATGATTTGTTAGGTTATTTTCTTCAAAGCAGAAAAACAATTGATTATAGTATTTTTTTTTTTTTTAATTTTTGGAAATGTGTTAAAGTTGTTATTCTTACGGAAGTCAAATACCAATAATGAATCATGGGAGAGTGAGAGGCATCTACTTGTACCAAATATCATGAATGAAAGTCAAATTTGATTCAGTATTGTTATGATATGGTAATATATTAATACTAATAAAATGTCATATACTTGTGTATTGGACAATAACGTGTTCCATTGAGAAGTGGACTTATCTGGATGTTAGACTTGAAGAATATTACTTTAAAATGCTTATATTTTACTTTTTCTCCTTTTTAACCAATCAAATCACCCTCTTTTTTTAATCTTCCAAAAACAATATTTCAGAAGGTAATATTCATTTATGAAAACTAAATTTCAAAAGTCACTGTCAGAATTTAATATTTGATTAAACTTAAGCAATAGTGAAATATTTAACACACCACTTTACATGTTTATTTGGTAGACCTTTCTATATGTGGAAATCAATAGAGTTAATTTGCATAATCGACCAATAACTCCCTAATTTTTGCAAGACTCCATGTTATAATGATTTATTATATACATGTGAAGTAGATGCCAAGATATTTAGACATGGACTAGTGCGAGACCCAGCACATAAAAATGGTAAGGTGTAATATCGAGTTCTTCAAATGATTAACTTGACAGGTGTCTTATTCATAACCTTAACTCCCCACTTTTGTTATTTGAACAATTAAAAGTTAATTATGTAATATTTTTTATACACTAGTTTAAAAAACATAATTGGTGCGAGTTCCATAGGTGGCTCCATCAGCTTCTTTAGAATTTTTAGTTTATACTAGTTGAACATGATCCTTAAAAAATTATCCATTTACAACAATTGTGAAGGAGACATGTGTGATGTTAATTGCAACTTTATCTATCTTTTATTTTCTAATTCTCAAACTAAAATTTTGTTTTGATTGTCTTGCAATATCAGTGAGACAAATGAACTGTTGCGGGGCCTTAGATTTTTGGGTGTTGGAAGAGGCTGCGCAGAAGCACATGTAAGGAAGCTATTGTCAATTGGTGTGTTGTGTAATGGACTATTCCGTGCACAGCACTAGCACATGTAAGTTTCATCATATTCATGTTATCAGTTAGACATTTCTTTATTTTAGAATGATTGCAAATTTGCAATTCATATTAACAAATTTTGTTTCAGGAGCAATTTGTTTTGGACTCACGCGTAGTAATACAAATTAATTCTTTTTGATTTATTAAAAAATAGGTATTTTGCCTGCAATAAGAAAAAGCAAGATCATTAAACTGTCATAACTAAAATAACTTCTAAAAAAGTACAATCAACAAGCTAACAACCAGTTTTCTATTTTTTTTAAAAATAAATCATATGCCAAAATAATTAGCAAATTACATCAATTTAAGTAAAAAATATAAAATTAGTAAAATATCACAGTTTTTTTTTACAAAAATTTTAGTAAAAAGAATTGTGTCCCATTCTAAGTCAATAGTAAAGCATTAAGATAAAAAAAAAAAGTCTATTTAAAATATTTTTTATAAAATAGAAAATAAAAATTGTAATAATCAAATTGTTACATCTCAAACTTTTAAAATATAAAACTAACAAGATGTAACTGTCTAATTTGTAATAGAATATAAACTAAGTTTGGATAAAATTTTAAAAAAGTCTTTGTAAAAAAAAAATAAGTATAAAAATTAAATAACTCTCATAAGTTTTAAATAATTTATACTTTTTATTTTTAAAAAATTTTAAGAAATTATCTCATTTATTTTTTTAAAATTAAAAAAATTATTTTTAATTTATAAAAAAAATTACTCATTTTTTATACTAATTTTTTTTCTTTTATAAAAATTTGTTTAGAAGTTCCTAAATTGAACCATGATATAACATATAACAATTTTTGAAGAATAATATATATATATATATATATATATATATAATTAAAAAAATAAAAAATTATTTTTGAAAATAGTTTTTAAGAATTTATGTTAACAAATATGTTTTATTTCTAGAAAATTTATTTAGGGACATAATGTTGATCAAAGATATTGGCATTAAGTCTATTGGAATATTCTCACAATAAACAATATAGAGGTCTTAGAGTTACAAGATAGCACGACAACTCACATAACTCTCTTACCTAAAAAAATTTGTGTGAGTTTTTTCATTAACATGGATAAATTGTGATGTCGACGAGTCTTATTCCACAAGTATCTTAAAAATAGATTCATTCTTATGCTTCAACAAACACCAATCTTTCTTATATATGACACAAAGTGATTAAAACAAAGATACCAGACTTTATCACAATAAAATCATTTTTGGTCACACATACAATTTTTCTAAGTTGTATACCTTAACATTTACAAGACTTAATTTTCAAATTCTCCTACATGCTTAAGGTGTTGTTTGGGCAAGAAGGCAACTATTCTCAACCGCCTCAAGTTATGCTTGGCTTAATAATCATTATCATTTCCAACCCACTACACATGTTTGAAAACGACTTTGGAAACTTCATATTCCTAAGAAGATTTGTTTATTTCTTTGACAAACTTTACGTGATACTCTACCAACAAATAAGCATAAACACACTATAAGCTATCAAATCTGCTAGCTACCCTTGATGTTCTTACTCTAATGAAGATTTTCTCCGCTATCTCAGGGACTCTCCACATGCCAAGGAAGCATCACTAAGATTGAGTTTTGGGAGCCAATGTCACTTTTCCCCATAATAATGTAGGTTCTTAGGCCATCTCCAGCAGTTGTTTCGTGCTTAGTTTCTTAAAACGAGACGAGGAACACTGCGTTTCTTTACTGTTGGAGTAATATAACGTAACATTTGCGGTTTCTTCATTAGAAGATGTGTTTATAATATAAGGAACGATTTCTTCTCTTGTGTGGTCTCATCTCTATGGCGATACCTTTGTCTGTTGTGCCCAGCTCTTATAGGAGGAGCCGACGATCCTCGTTGGAGCTTCTGAGAACTTGCTTCAATCATCGTGGAGCGTAAAAGTCACCGTTGTGACCCTAGGGATTAATGGTCAAAATTGTTGTGATGCATTAATTTGTGTTGTAAAAATTTAAGTCCAATTTTACTTTCTAAATAAATTTGCCGTGTAGGGGATTTGATACATAAATGAGTAAAAGTAAAAAATATATAAAAGGTGAATTTTTTGGAGTTTATTATCATTGAAGTGAATTTGGATTTCAGTTGCTCAATGGTAACGTGACAGTGTAGAAACTACAAAACACATATTTCAATGCAGAAAGAAACTCTCTTAAGAAATCTCTATTGGAGATGCCCTTAATTGTTTGAAAATGCTTATTCTAAACAAAAAATTCTCTTTTTTCATGAATTTTGTGGCTTTTGCATTAGAGGAATAATTACATTTTTCAAAGAAAAAATTGATTGATCCAAAAAATTTTGTATAAAATCTGCATGTTGTATTGTATAATAAAGTTAATATTTATTTCTTTATGAAACTGATAGCAAAATGTTATACATCAATAATGTTTGAAAACTTTCTAAAAATAACGTTATTAACCTCCATGTGAATATCAATTTTACTTCACACACCCGTTCCCATAGGCTTAGGAGGAGTTTTTAGATATTATAATCAGGATTGACTATTTGGTTTCAATAGTTTTGATGAACATGATGACTCAACCTTAATTGAACTTCTTGCTATGTTTAATGACTTGAAATTAGCTTGAAACTTCAACTATAACAATTTAATATATGAAAGTGACTACAAGAAGATTATAAATACCATAAATTTTTATGATACTTCTTCGTCATCTTTATGCTCATATAATTTTAGATATTTTTATCTTGTTTTATCAATTTTGGAATATTAAGATTTTATTTGCTCATTGATAAACCAATCAAAATATTTAGCTCATATTAATTCTCTACAAAATGATTTTATGAATATTTTGCATGATCTATAAAATGATGTTAAACATTTATTATACATAGAGAATTTTTATTCTATGCTCTAGGAGTCTAGTTTTATTTTCTTTTCAATTAATAAGAAATATTTTATTTTTTTACTTGAGGTTTAGACAATATAAAAGGGATATTATTTTATTATAAAAGATAAAAAAATAAATAAATAAAAGGACTAAGTAATAAAAGAAATAAAAAAACGTAAAATGAAGTATACAAAAAAGAAACAAAAGAAGTGAAAGTATTATCTTGGATGCTCACTCAATCAACAAACACAATCTGGATTTCCTTCATCACATCACTTATTTTCTCTCTTCTTGAAAACCCTGATTCATCCCTCGCCGTTCCCTTTCTCTATCTACTTTTCAGAGTGGTGTTTGGATCAGGTACTTCTGGTTCTATTTCCTTGTCCATGCTTCCGACTTTGATCCTCAATTTTCTTCAATTTTAACCATTTTCCATAATTACATTTAATCTGATTCAAGCAGCGTCATGCTTTCTAAATTTAATTATTAGCGTATTGGAAATGGTGGCGTGTATATATATGAATGAAAACGAAACTCTGTTATGCATGGCTTTGCTGCTTCGAATATACCTGTCTCAATTCAATTTTTCAAATTGCTTTCGTTTTAGGTAATGATCTTTTGTTACTTACCGAATTATGCATCCATAGGCACGCTATGTTTCGTTAGAGAAACAATTCACAATTAACGTTTTCTGTTTAGCTGTTCTATTTTTTTTCTTCTTCTTCGTAGGGAAATCTAATTGATATAAATTGAATCGTTTGTGCTAGATTTTGATTTTGCTCCCTTTTCTGGTTAGGAACCAAAGTGTTGGAATGGGAGAATATGATGGCGATGAATCGAATGGCTTTGTTCCTGACATCCGAACAAAACACCACCACCACCTTGGATAGGTTTTTGTAGGGTTTGATGAAAATCTTGTAGGTTTTCAGATTCTTCATTTGATACGTTTGATTTGTGTCCCTGTTGTATGATTGTGAATGGATTTGAAATTTAATTCATGTGAAGATTTATTCATTTTTTTTCTGAGAATTGAATTGAATTGGATTCAATACAGGAGTATGGAGAACATGTGTTATAGTAATTGCAAATTTATCTATCTTTCATTATCTATTTCCCAAACTAAAATTGTGTCTTTGGTTGTCTTGCAATGTCAGTGAGTCAAACGAACTTTTGCAAGGCCTTAGAATTTTGTTGTTGGGAGAGGCAGCGCAGAAGCACATGTAAGCAAGCTATTGTCAATTGGTGTGTTGTCTGATGGATACTATTCAGTGCACAGACATGTGAGTTTCATCATATTCGTGCTATCTACTAAACATTAGTGTCTTTAAGAATGATTGCGGTTCATACTTGGAGAATTTGTTTTGGAAGCAAGTTGTTTGAAATTCATGTGATTAGTTTGGTTTATTTTAAATTTAGAAAGTTTTGAAAAGAAATAATCATTTCTTTAAATTTAAATATTATCAAATATATATTTATTATCTCCTTTAATTAAGAGAATATTACTTTTGTCCTTTTATAACTTCTTGTATTTTGTTTTACTTCATTTCAATATCGAACCTTAATGTCAGACTTTTTTCTTTTCAGGATGGTCAAATTCTCAATAAGCAATGCCAGATATACTTACATCCATGATGAGAAATATCCCTCTAAGGATGTTGACATACACCATATAGTTTTGAAGAGGAGTAGTGCAAAATATCTTTTTGTGTATGCCACAACACTTCTTGTATTAGTATGTGCCTTGTATCTCTATGTTCTTAAGGTATGCCTTCAACATTTTTGTTTTTCAGTGACTCAAATATTTTGAAGATTTTGTGACTTTTACCTTTGTTTCTTTCTTTTTTGATTGATTATATCCCTAATATTAACAGGAAAAGTCAGTTAGTATTGTGTATTACAGCTTGCTTTTTGACATGTTTCTTGTCAAGTTGTTTCTTCTGAAGCCTATTAAGAAAGGTGAGGACCTGCCTAACAGGGCTGGTGGTGCACTGAAAGAACTGTTTTTTTTTTTTTTAATTATTATTATAAGTAACCAGGAAAAACACTGGCATAATGCTTGTTTTAATTTGAAACTTTTTTTTAGTCATTTTCACAAAGTTTGCTATTTTTCTTGCAGAATCTGTTGTGATTATGCCAGCTTTTGGAGTGCAGCTTGAGACTCACTACGTAAGGTAATGTTATCTAAAAGAATTTTGTGCTCTATAATTGTTGTCTTTTGACAAAAAAAAGTTGGGAACTTGGGATAGTGGAATGCTGGTACTAGTTTAGGGCCTTTTAGGCTGTTCACGCTAGAGAAAAAAAAATTGGATGTACTTCCCTAGCATGTATTGTATCTTCATTATGAAAATATTTTTACTGCAAAATTTTGTTTTTAGCTGCCAAATCATATCTTGGTTTCATCTTTGTTTTTTCCATTTTTGTTATTTAATACTTATTTTGTCTTTGGATACATTGTTACAGTGGAAAGATCACGCGATGCTTTGTTCCGATTGACAAGATTCTGAAACCTATTCTACTAGAATGTGTGACTCCAATGACTTGTTATTGGACTCTATCTTTAATTGTTCGTGAGAAATCAGAAATGGTGTTAGTTTTCAAGGTAGTTATTTTTCATCTCACTAGTTTTCAGTTTCCAAGAACTTTGTTCACTAGGTGCAGGATACATATTAAATATGGAAATGCAATTGCTTGCTTTTCGAAGGCTAAATATGTTAAGAATTATTAGCCGAATAAGAGGCATTTAACTTTTGGTTTTACACCAAATTTTGCAGTATTTTACGTATTAACGAAGAATCTCTAAATTTGATTGCTAGAACTTACGTCCGCCAGTGAAAATGCTGGTCCATGTCTGGAAGGCCCTGTGTGCCGCAACTGATAGTAAAGAGAAGACTTGTATACAGACCGAGTGAATAAATTGACAACCTATACTAGTTCTTGACCCCATAGATTTAATCGCAAGTTGATAGTTCGAGACGTATTCACAATCACCACGGCAAGACATCAATTATAGGCCGATTGACTCCGCTTTCTGAACTGCAAACTAAGTAGGTACATAAAAAAACTAGGGAAGAATTTTGTATTATGATTCGGGACTGCTAGAACAAGTGCATTTCCGTCTCAGTATTCTGTAACTAAACGCAGGTTCAAGCATGATAGTGAGCATGGCCAAGCTTGCACAATGCATCTTTGTGGATTTCACAGCGCTAAATGAATATTAATTTTAGTTTTATACACACACGGTGCATTTAATGATAAATAGTTCGATTTTCTTCTTTAAGACTTCATCCTTGCCTTCAAATTCGATCCATTTTTATTGTAAAACTAAAATCAATCAAATTCAGTTAGGAACAAAACATTCACTGAAAATGGCGTTTTCAAGCAATATCGATATAACCAACTGTAGTAGGTGGCCTCATTATTTTTTAACTCTCAATGTTGTTGTACAGTCGAAGTAAAAAGAATGATTTTGCTGTGGAGCATGAACTTTGTCAAACTCATGTCACTAGTAACATCTATAATGTATTCATGGGTCTCAACTTCCTTTGGCAGAACATAAGCGCTGTGCTGCACGCTCAACACATATTTTCTGTCTATGTAATCCATGCCACTCACCACTTGAGCATTCACTCATTAGTCCAAGCTTGGCTATCTGATTATGCAGTGCCTCCAGGTTGACTAGAGGAACAGTTGTTGGTCTCCCATGAGCACACTGCACAGAAAATTCCTCAATTTGTCATGCACCCTGCTATTCCTCTTAATACATACACAAAGATGGAAACAAATATCTTACTTGGAAACAAAGTGAAGTATGCTTTAGCTCTTCAACTAGAAGGGAACATTCAGATGGTAGCAACGAATCCCCAAACATAATAGCACCTTCACAAACAAGCATTAACATAGTTAAAGGAATATTGCTGAGTATGCCCTCCCAAAAAAAGCCGGAAAGAAATCTGTCCGAGGATGAACAGTTTGTCAACAGATGGGGAGTTCTCATGCACGATATTGATAAAATAAATTGACAATACCATATAAGTTCCAAAACTAGGGAGTCATTTACCATTAACAATGCAAGTCCGTCGGATTGTTAACAATCCCACGTTGCACATAATATATACAGAGGCCTCTTTGTTTAAGAAATGATCCTTTTATAGGGAAAACATGTAAACACAAGAAGGATTTCCAAACAGAGCATGCAATTAGTGTAGCTAATGACGTTAGTCACATACCTCTGCAAGCTTTCAAATTTAGCAATCGTACGACAGAGGGTGGCATTGTTGATGATCCATTAGTGTCAGCAAGCTGAAGGCAATGATAAATAGGAAGTTAAAAAAGCGTAGAATGGCCCCTTTCTAAAAGGAGATAATTTAAATTGAAGAAAGGGCTATGATCAGGACTTTTTACAACCTGCTGAAGATATTCTAAAAGATCAACGTCATTTAAATTGACACCTAAAATACACGGTACCTACAAGTAGTTGTAAAATAATTAACATCAGTGATATGGAAAACATGCAAGGCATATATAGCACTGATTCAATCATTTGTGGCCTGTTGTTGTAAAATAAAAAAGACTAAGGTTTTCAGCTAGTGAAAAAAGAAAAATTGAAAGAGAAAAAAACCGCAATAAGTGTGACAGCCATTTGTGGCCTGTTGAGGATATTCAAATTCCTGCAAGGGCAATCAAAATTTTAATTAGAGAAACCCCGATAACAAAAAAAGTAAGTTTGACATAACTTATTCAATCATTTAATTGGAGCCCAATCCCCAAACTATAATTTAACTAGTAGGTAGGAATCTTATATGATCTGATATGCATGACCTGAACAAATAAACAACAGACATCACGAAATCCATGATACTGTAACATTAATTATCTCCCGAGTTCTGAAACCTTTGGTCAAGGTATGTATGTAATTTCTACAGGGAAGCCATAGAGGTATACCTTCTAAATGATTCAGAATTTTGAGCATGAATGCTGCAGATCCAGCCCCAGTGTTTAATCTGTTCACTATAACTATGTAGTAGTTGATAACCAATCTCTGGCAGTGCCTGTATCATGTACATTGTACAGGCAGTGTAAGAATTTTAAGACTCAGAAAACACGTCATATTTTCACATTAAATCCTCTAATGCAAGCGATGCATACCAGTTCCTGTTCAGCATCTAGATAGGTGATTGCTTTAGCTTCACCAGATAATACCTGAGTATTTGACTAGTTTCATAAGTAATACTAGAGAAATATTTCTGATGTATTCAATATGAACAAGTTTACCTTTTGACGCAATTCTTCAAGTCTGATTCTTTCATCTGCAGCATGCTGTAATAAAAGAACTATTGTCTATGTTACCTGACTAAAAGGGAGGTTCTCACTGTTATGGAGAATGGGTATGATTGTGTGTTACCACTTAGCAGGCATTTCTTTCTTTCTAGCGCATGTATTTATTTACTTACTAATGTATTTTGTAATAATCTAAAATCATGCTGGGAAATCCAATTGTTCAATAGTGGCCTCAATGCATGTAACCTATAAAAGAAATTTAATCATATCGCTAGTGTACAATAGAAAAACCTGATCAATAATAGCAAGAGTTCTGCTCGCCACAACTGGAATGAATTTTTTGTCCACCTGATGGAGAACTTTGGCATCCTCGAGACATTTCTTACTGATAGTTTCTGGAATCAATGAATCTCCAGCAAGGTGCAAGAACCCAGAAGAAATGTCAAGTATATTGATTTCACTTTGAACATTAGCCAATTTATAATTCTTCTGTGCAAAGGTCATACTAATAGTCAGATCAACCCCAATGAATGTCTTTTAACAGAATAATATGCCTCTAAATATTGACAACGTAACTGTAATTTCGGGAGAGCAGTTCCTCCATTTGGACCCATAATCTATGGAATCTTGTACTTCCTTAGAGATAAATTCTGAAATACCAGATATAATAGGTTTAACAGGAAATTAATAGCTGAATGATAAGACAAATCTTTTTAAAATTGTTCAACAATAGATCATATCAACACAAAATAAATTAAAAGCACAATCCAACTAAAACAACAGTGAACTTTTTCAGTTTAAAAGATTGTGTGAATAACAAAACTTCCAAATTTCTTGGCCTTCGTTTTTGGCAGAAAATGCTAAACAATAAAGAGAAACACCCAGCTTTACATAGCACAGATTTGTAGCAAAGAAAATTATTTTAGAATTAAATTAGTTGCTTGAAGTAACATATAAAGATAAGCCAGCTACAAAGCAAAAAGTTTTTTTTCCCTAAATTCAAAGCTGAACAATAATCGACATGGTTTTGAGCTAAAACTTAATATTTTGAAGGAGCACATCTTGTCAGGCCAGATTGAAGTTTTGCTAACACAGAGAACTCACCCCTAGATGGAGCACTGTTTTGAATGTTGAAACTTTCAAATCCATCAACCTTTGGAATGTCATTAACCTGCATATTTCCCAGAACCTCTGAGCTCTGTTTCACATCAGTTCTATGATAAGGGCAAAACAAGGGTCAGTAAGAAATTGTTCCCAACAGTTAAGCAGCTTAAGGTTCAATAAGATATTTTCGTACTTGGATTCCTGCAAAAAGAGTTCTTCAGTGCTTGGGTAAAGAGCATTGGGAGATTGTTGAGGATATTTAAAATTACTAGCTTCTGCAGATTGAAAAGTATCATTTCATTAAGTGCTATTGAGAAATGTTGCTACTTATAAAAAGGGAGCAATGGGTTATAAACAAGGATAGAAAATGAAAAACCTTGATGATTGAAAGCAGGATTGGATGCTCGGTCAATCTGTCTTTTGGCAATCATTTCTGAAGGATGATTTAAAGAGAAAAATCTCCTTTTGCTTCTATGAAAAGGAGGAGCTGAAAAACTTCTTCTAGATCTTTCATGGTTCTCCTCCAAAATTGGATTTCTAAAATGATTCCTTTTGCCCTTGTTTTTGTCAGGTTTATTGCAGCTTTTAATGCACAACTCAGACAACGGCCAGTCTGGCTCCTCATTTAAAATATCTGACCTTGTAGAATATATATCACCAAAATCAGGCCAGTCGACTAATCTGTTGAATATTTCACCACAATCACCAGCATCATCAAAATTAAATCCAGTATTTGCAAAATTTGATGTACAGTGATGTTGGTTGGCATTCTTCGACATATTGTAGTTGAAGTTGCATTCATTTTCTCCATCATCAAAAAGTTTTGTACGGTGGATCCTTTTATGTCTAGATACTCCTCCAAGATAATCATTAATAAGAGTTGTATGGTAAACACCCAATGCAGTTGTTTGAGATGAGGGTTCCTGGTAGACAGGATGCCATTCAGAATTTAATAACTGGTCATCAGACCCAGAGCTTCCTATTTGTGTTTCCAAATAGCATGAATCTGCAGGGAGAGAATTTTCTTTGGCATATGCTCTAATAATAAAATCAGAATCTTGAGACATCTTTAATCTTTTTGCAACTTCTGGGCAGGGATAGGAATATAAATCCTCATCCCTTCCATAATGCTCCCCCAGATTTTGCTTGTTCCAAATACTATCAGGTTGGAGTTCATGTTTGTCATTTATAAACAAATCCTTCTCATCCAGAATGCTTCCTTCTTGTGTAGAGCATCTCCTTAGAAAAGGCTTTTGCAAATCTCTGTTAATATTTACAGCAGAATAGAATCCATTGCAGTCATCAAGTAAATCATGTTCAAATGATTCACTGAGCACATCAGCTTCTACTTCATGGAATTTTCTTCTGTGTGAAGAACTTGTAGCATTACATGGTAAATTATCATAGAATTTTTCTGCAGCAGGAATTTTACCATCATAAAAGTAATCTCCTTGCAACAAACTATTATGCTTTCTCATCACAGTGGGCATGCACTGGGTATGCGAACCATCCAATAAATTGCCAGAATAACCAGTCTGACATAGAAAGTCTCCCTTACTCTTTTGCTCTTTGAACACTGCAGTCCCTTTATGCAAGTAACCAAGGGAGGTTCCAGCACCTTCCATGTTGGAGTGGTGAAAGTTATCCTCAATTAGCTTGTCCGAAGCAGAAAAGAAGAGATCTAGGTAATCCTCACGATTTTGGCTACTAAATTCTGATATATCTGCATTAAAGATATCTGACAACAATGTTCAAATGTTTAAAGAGAAGCCATACCAAAATGATCCTCTGTAGCCTACAAACCATTTATGCATTTTTTTTCTGTAAAGTTTATTGTTTTTATCTTGAATATACAAGATAAAGAAAGGCAAAAGTAAATGTTAAAAAATGATCAGATATTCAGATTTAATTAAAGTAACTGCAAAGGAAACTGTTTGATCATCAAAATTACAAACTTTACCTGATACTCCTGAAATGATGTTGACATCTCCTTTCTCTGGTTGATCTTCTTGCACAATGAAAGTGGCTTGATTGGACAGCTCTCCTGCAAGTACCTCAGAGATAAATAGAAGCATAAAAATCAATAATTTAGTCTACTAAATGTCAATAAAATGCAGTGAGTGTATACCACCTATATTTTCCTCCCAGAATTGTTTGAGAGCCTTCTCAATGAAGTTTAGTATGGGAGTCCAATCCTTAAAATGTGAGGGGGAAACATAAAATCAGATTCATATGTGTACAGTTCTGATAAAATAATTCGTAGTGAAATTATAATATGGGAAACAGAAACTCCAAAATCTCTGCTAATTGTTCCTTGCTGGTTTTAAATTACACCACCTAGAGTACATGAAGTATTATATTATATATACAGAAGCCTGAATCTAGACTAGACCCCTACTAAATTCATTTACAAGACATCAAGCAAAAAGTATACAGTCACAATTCAAGGAATTACTGATAATGTAAGATAAAATGAGTCATGAAAAGGGAAGCCAAACAAAACTACCTTGAATTTAACATAAGTTTTTGATGGCTCAAAGGTCAAATCATACAACGATCGGGGGCAATTTAAATTCAAGATATAAGCTGGGCAAGCTTGAGACCTAGTTCTCTTCTTGTTGTGGAACTCATTATCAGTATTCCATGAGTCCTGATTCTCAAACAGAATAGCCAACTGATTCACAAGCTTATGAATAGGGCCCTTGCAAACAAACTGTGAATTAACATCTACCCATGTTAAGGTCAACACTACAAATGTTTAAGGTATTCGATTCTTTCCAAGCCTCAACAAGTCCACTCTATACCAACAATACACTATCTAAAATTGTGTAGTCACATGGATACAGACATACTGCAAGGCCTGCAAAAATGCACCAAAAGTTTAAGGAGGGGACCAAGAAAGAATCTTCACAAAAGTTAAGGGTAAGATGAGATAGATGATTGAGTTTCTATATTAGTAATATGAATCACCTTCATGTTCAAAGTATTGCAAGGACTGGATACATATCCAGAAAGCTTTATTTTATCATTCTCAACTTCTAAATTGTGAAGAGAGCTTGTGACCTCCACACCAAAGCCACTGGTTATAAGTGACAGGGGAGAAGAAGCAGCATGTGTGCAAAAGAGCTCGTCCTCTCTACATGTAAGGTATAAAAAATGTTAATAAACCTAAAAAAGAAGACAACTAGTTTTTGCTGGGAATATACCTTTCGATATCAACAACTCTGAAGGAAATATTTGGGTGTACAAGTGCAAGCCGCATTACACATTTCTTGATTGATTGCAGTACCTTATTGGGGCTTCCAATTCAAGGATGGAATTCATCAGTCAATCCAAAATTTTGAAAATTGAAACAGAAACATAGTTTTTATACAAGGTAACAACGACTTCAGAAAACATATTACTTGTGTGGCAAGGCAAGAGAAATAAACCTGGATTGCATGTGTTTTCTCCGGACTGGTTGGTTGTAAAATAAATCACGAACAACAACTGACAGAAAAAGGGCCTTAATTAGCAATAAATTCATTGCACTAAACCAATGGAAAAAAATTGTCATCATCAAGAATTTTTCAAGCCAGATAAATGCAACAAACATGAGCAGATATTGAAGATTGTGCAGTGTGATAGAGAAGTTATGAGAGCAAATAATTTAATTGCAAGCAAAAGGAAAGGTTGAATACTGAATGGGGGGCGGCAGACAAATTAAAAAAGTGTCTAATATATCCATCAAACAAGAAAAAGATTTCCCTACAACAGCAATCAATGGTCCCAACCAAACAACCATTGCATTCCCGATATGTGATTTGACAAATAAAGCTACAAACTTATAGCAAAAAATGAGTTGTTATAAGGATCTAGCTTTAAAAAAAATTGAGCAACAATTAGGCAAGGGGTGCTTTCAGGAAATATCACATCTGCAAAACTGGCGTCCAAAATGTTCCTTCCATTAGTCAATCAAAAAATATCATAAATAAACAACAGAGAACAATCAAAGTACTCTTGCAGAAGTCTGGAGATTTTTCCATGAAGATGATTTTGAGCATAGCTCCCAATTCATAAAATGAAGCAACACCAACTGGTCAAAACATAAGTTGTAACTGCAGTATGTATCAACCAACCAACTACAAAAGACTACATTATAAAAAAAATTACTGTATAATTCAGTTGTTCAAAATTCAGATGGCAATTGTCTTTTGTGAAAGAAATGATGGAGAGAAGGTTAAAAAAATCCCATTAAACCCTAGTTAAATAAAAAAACAGAGAAAAACTGTACATTTGGACAAAGGAAGAAAAATAGAATTCATCCACAAATAAATGAAGACTAATGTACCTCTACTAATTAACCAAGAAATGCAGCAGATTTATGGAAATATCAGCTAAAGGATTTAACTAAAGAAAAAGCTTATGTTGCATCCATATCTCAGGGAAACCAAAAGCAAAATGATAGATCTATAAACCATAGAAAATTATCCTGAGATCTAAATTAGCTCAAATCAAAAGTCTGAAGACAAAAAGGAGGGTTAGTGCAAGAAGAGGACTTCAATGACTCTAAATCTAATACTATCATGTAAGAACCCTGCAAATTCAGGGGAAATGATTGTCATCTGTGCATTAATAAGTTTCATTCCCAGACATACAGAAGGAAAAAATGCAACCGTTAGATTCACCAAAATTACCACCTGTTGTTCCCACTTCCTTTCTGTCATCATCAATACCAAGATATAAACACTTGCACCCCTGCAGCCAATATAAAAAACATAAGCCTAAATAAAAATTGTATCAATAGCAGCTATAATGTGATTAATGTGATAATGTCTACCAGAATAAAACGCAGGAAGTCATTCCCACCTTCAATACTTTTTGATACCCATTTGGCCTTCCATGTGTTCTTGTCACAATTTCCAATAAAGAGATTTCGGAAATGGAAGCTAAAGCTTCCCCACGAAAACCAAAGTTTTCACTTGTGGCATTCAGGTCAGCCAAATTAAGAAATTTTGATGTTGCTGCATTGTTCAATGTACATACATAACATTATCAATGGCAGCAAGGAAAATCATTCACGGAAGATGAAAAAATAAAAAAGGGATCCCTTTTTCTCATTTTTTATGTAATATAGCCTAATAAAAAGTAAAAACCCACTCGTTGTAGCTTTTTGGGTGTTGAGTTTGACACACTTCAACAGACTGAACTAACTGGCCTGATCACTTTAGTTGTATTCATTAACTAATATGTTTAGAATCAAGGAACAAACAATCTCGGTTAATATAATCTTGTAACAGCGATCCCAAGGATTGCTGCATATCGGCCAATTTCTGAAAACAGTTATGGAAATTAAATTATATAATAACCTATGATCACCTCCACAAAAAAAATTTGCACACACAACGGGCAAGGTTACTCCGATGTCTGGCTTACCGCATAGAAAGAAATATATCTCATAATTAAGGACTGTTACTAAGTAGGAAAATATTCAAAACCAATAAACATGTCTATTGGTGGCCCTTTAAGTACCACATATCTTTCACTACACAAATTTGTTTAAGAAAATGAACATAACATGAGACTGCTGCGTTCAGAAAGCAAGCACCAAGAAAACGTAGCATGGAGCCACGTCAAATGCATAAACTCTAGTAACAAGTTCACAAGGTATAAACAAAATGAAGAAACACACACCGTATCTCTCTCCCACCAATTCCAGTCCATCTCGAGTGATTCCACTTCCTACAAACACATATATCGAAACCATAAAGAGAGACCATAACAAAAACGTGCCATGCAACGCAAAATTTTGATTATGAAGAGATAAACAAACATTTACATAAATAAAATAACTAAAAATTTACCATCATCTACAACTTTCAAATAGCAGTTCCCAACACTAACAAACACCGATACCTGAAACAGAAAACAACAGAGAGTGAAATGATACAATTCCAAGCACTTGCCTCTTCTCTCTCTCTCTCTCTCTGGCCTGGTTGAGTGTTGACAACAGAGAATATATGATAATAGGATATACCTTAGTAGCACGAGCATCGAGGCTATTGAAAAGCAGTTCCTCAACGACACGCGCGAAATCGAACAAGAAAATGCCAGAACGCACCGAGCTACGAACAGCCTCTGGCAAAGGCCTTATGCTCGCCATCAAGCTCCACCACTGCGATTACGATGAGCATGCCCGATCCGTTCCTCGCTTCACCGTGCAATTTGAATGAGAATATCAAGGGTTTCTCGTCGACGGCGACGTTTGATCGGGAAAAACCTCAAGGAGAGAGTCACCTTGTTGCTATTTTCGAATCCTGCACAAAAATGGCGGTTTGCTGCCAACTGAAACGACCAGGGAAGGGTGCCGTTTATATATGAGGAGGGTATGATAATCTCACCCGTCCAAAATTTTGCCTCAGATTCAGACCGTTGGATCTGGAAGCCTTACATGGAATCGCAATCTCGTAAGAGATCTACCTCTTTAGTCTTTACCTCAGTCCTCCAAACTCCAATACGTTTTGATTCAGATTTTTTTTTTTTTTAAGATTAACTATTTTATTTATAAATTAAAAAAATATTTTTTTTCAAAAATAATCAGTTAAGTAAGATCTTCATTATAAAAACATATTGAAATATACCAAAAACAATTTAATACATTTTTTTAATTTAAAGAATTAATTTAATAATAAAGTATTTAAAAATCATACAATGACATATTGAAAAAATAATGTCATTTTTTTAAAAATAATACTCTGTGATTTTCTAAATTAATTATACCGTGAGATTTTACTCTTCAATTGAAAAAATTTTTTCTTTGAACTTTTGTGGAATTTAGTCTCCTAATAATAAATAAACATTGTATATGACTATATTCAAACAGAAAAAAAAAACGTATTAAACAAATTAACTACGAGTATATTAATACACTAAAATTTTACTTAATTTTAACAATTTTCATGCATTACGGAGTTATTATGAATTTTAAAATATATATAAATTTTAAAATAGTTTATTAATAATAAATATTTTATTATATTAAATTAAAATTTGTTTAAAATATATAATATAATTTTTAATTGAATTAAATAAATAAAATATAAAGTTAATACCTAAAAATCTATTTATTTTAAATTATTCCTAAAAAATCATTGTAAAAAATACGACTCAAGAAATATACATAAAACTATACAAATATAAGGAACATGTTGACATTATAAGTTGTTGGAATGTTTCTCAACCTGAGACCATAATTTTAACATGGCATCATAACATAAGAAAAGTGTTTTGGCAATTGTGCTCAAGGGATGCTCACTCAACAACTTTTGAACAATGAGGTTTCTCATGGATTAAATATTATTAATAATTAAAAGAAATATATTGTATAAACTAATAAAGAAAATAAAACAAATATTTCAAAAAGTTAGTAAATGAGATGCATAATTTTTTTTCAATTATTATTTTAAAACATAATACTAATATTATGAGTCATTTTAAGTTAATAAATATGTACATGTACGTAAATTTAGTTTCAGGTTAAATTAAAATTATTTTTGGAACACTATTTAAGTTGTAATTCTGTCGAGTTAAAGTTTTTTTTTTTTTTCCACTATGAAATCATAGGCAAGTTTTTTTTAGCACTAGTGACAAGACAAGCTGATTCTTTTCAAAGTAACATATATTTGTCAACGAGAATCAATTTTAAAGTGGCGTTTGAAAGACATCGTCCCTAATTCTATAACTAAGAATATTTTAAATATATATTTAATTATGTTTTAAAACATTTTTATTCAATTTAAACCAGATATTAATTGTAAGAAATGTATGTAGTTTAATAATTATATGTGTAAAATTTATTTTTTTGATATAATTTTATTTAATAAATAATATATCAATTATTAGTAAATAAATTTATAGTTATTTTAAATTTATAAAATTTATTAAACTTTAAAATATTTATAAATATATTTTAAATTTTTTATTTACATTTTTTAGTTAAATAATAACTGTATTATATATTTATCATTAAAATACATTATTTAATGAAAATAAAAGACAGCTCTAAATTTTTTTCTGACCGTAACTATTAAAAAAATATTACTTGAAATAGATACTCAAATTTTATAATACAGAAATACATTTGGTGTTACTTTATGATGTTTAGAAAAAACTATATTATTTTTATATCAATTTTAAAATTATGTCAAATTAAAAACTATAAATTTTAAATATTTTAATAGACTTTCAAAAATACAAATAAACATATTTGATACACCAATTAATAATTTTTTTGGAAAATATTATCAACTCGCATGCATATAATTAAAATGTAATGTTATCTTGATTTTTTAATAAAAATATTTATTATTATTTTATATAAATTACAGAAATATTTTTCTTGATACTCAAATTGAGTCTATAAATTAAATTAAAACAATCATATGGTCGGTATTATTCATTTTAAAAATTAAAAATAATTGCTCGAGATTTAACTCTGGCAAGCTTCGATGATTCTGGTTGCAATAAACTGTAAGACGGAATTTGATTTCACAAAATTCAATAAATATACAATTTTAAGATAAAACGTAATATAATATATATAATTTATAATACATTTGAAATGTTTTAATAAATGTTATTTCACATATAATTTTGAAATATTTTAACATTACTAAAAAAAATAAAATCAAATGAAAATACTAATAGAAAAGAACAATAAATTCCATTGACAAGAAATAAAGCGTTGCAGTAAATCTTACTATTGGGTGTTGTGTTGACATAAATATCTCGAATAAGTCATTATATTCCTTTTGAATGCACCCTACCGTGACCCTACGATGTTGTCATCGTGAGTTTGGTCAAAAAAATATATAAAAGACGATAGTTAAAATAAACGATAACAAATAAACAAATATTATAATAAAAAATAATGTTCAATTCATAAAAGTAAATTCAGAATAAATTAAGAAAAATAAGCATTCAAACTAAATAAACTTATTTATCTGAAAAATAAGGAATAAAAAAACAAACTTATCTGAACAAGATAAGTGAACTAAAACAAATGAAAGAAATGTGGACAGCATGGTCACTCTTTTGGAATTTGCAAGAAGCAACAAACAATGAAAAAATTACAGTTGTTGAAAAATGGAGATAACAACTAACAACATTACAATGACCCAATTGACCAATTTTGAAAGAGATTAGAAATATAAACTGAACAAGTTGAGCAGTGATATGCGTGTGTGCGAGCGAGCGTGTTTGTGGAGAGAACTAATCCAAATTCTTTCACTTTCTAACATCTCTCGTGAAAAATAAAAAACACAAACAGCACAAAACTAAAAATAGAAATAAAAAAAATTAAAAAAGAAAGATCTTCGTTTTTATTTTCTCACTCACTCTCACGCACGCACGCCCTGGATTTTCTTCCCCTACATCTTCACCACCATCACCACCTATTTTCTCTCTTCTTGAAAACCCTAATTCATCCATCGCCGTTTCCTTTCTCTCTCTACCTTTCAGAGTGCTGTTGAGGATCAGGTACTTATGGACCTCCTTCCTTGTCCATGGTTCCAACTTTGATTCCCAATTTCGTTGAATTCTCACCGTTTTCTTCCATAATTCCGTTGAATCGAGATTCAAGCAGCGTCAATTCTCGATTTCATTGCTTTCTAAATTTAATTATTAGCGTATCGGAAATGCTGACATGTGTTTATACGAAGGAATACGAAGCTCTGCTATGCATGAGTTTGCTGCTTCGAATATGCCTATCTGAATTCGAATTGCTGTTATTTTAGGTTCCTGATCTTTTGTTATTTACCGAATTATACATCCATAGGCACGCTCTGTTTGGTTAGAGAAACAATTCACGATTAACGTTTTTTTGCTTTGCTGTTCTGTTTTTTTCATTTTCTTCGTAGGGAATCTGATTGATGTAAATTGATACGTTTGTGCTAGATTTTGATTTTGCTTCTTTTTCTGGTTAGGCGCCGAAGGTTGGAATGGGAGAATACGATGGTGATGAATCGAATTGCTTTTTTCCTGACGTCCGAACAAAGCGCCACCACCTTTGCTAGGTTCTTGTAGGGTTTGATGAGAATCTTGTAGGTTTTCAGATTTTCCATTGGATCGCAGATGTTGAATTTGGTTTGCCAGTTAGATCGGGAAATAAGAGGAAAACGTTTGATTAGTGTCTCTGTAGTATGGTTGTGAATGGATTTGAAATTTAATTCATGTGAAGATTTATTCATTGTTTTCTGAGTATTAAATTGAATTGAATTGGATTGGATTGGATTTAGTAGAGGAGTATGGAGAACATGTGTGATGTTAATCACTTGGATACTGATGTTCTTTTACCTCCTCGGAAGCGCCTTCTTGCTGGACTGAAAAAACAGAGCTCAGATGGTGATGCTGCTGCATCTCCATCTCTAGTTGTTGCTTCTTGTGTTACAGTTTCTGAGGTTGCTTCCTCTTCCTCGTCTTTGTATTCCAGTGAGTTTGAAGCCAGGCTTAAGAATCTGTTGAGTTCTCATTCCAATAACCCTAACCTTACCCCTGCGGAGGTTGTGGAGGCTTCAAAAGCTGCAGCAGTGGCTGCAGCTAAAGCTGCACAGGCTGCAAGAGCTGCAGCCGAAGAAAAGGCTGAAATTGCAGCGAAGGCAGTTGCTGCTGCCAAGAGTGCTTTAGATTTGGTTGCCTCTTTCTCTGAAGAGGCAGTGAGCATAAACAAGGAAAGGATTCTGAAGAAGAACAAGCTTAAGAAGCATCTCCCAGTTCATCTCTTGTACAAAAAATATCAACCAATTGAAACTTGTGGGACGGATGAAGAGTTGGCGCGGAAGTTGCATCGAGCCATGAACAGTTCTCCTAGAATCTCAAAGAATTCTCCAAATTCAGAGTCAAAAGGGAGAGGTAGTAAACACAAGAAGCCTAGGAGCTCTTCCAGTTTTGAAATGACTGAGGTTTCTGATGCCGGTATGGCACTGGGACAAGATTGCTTATCTTTGAACAATGGGCTTGCAGTGGTGGGAAAGGTTGATTCTGAAGGCTCCATTCAAGAAGTATGCTCAAGTAAGGAAGATAAGAAGGGATTCAGATATGATAGATCTAGCCAAATGGAGATAGATAATGGGGAAGCAGAGTCAAGCCAGTCAAAGGAGAAAATTTCTGAGGATCTGTTTTCCATGGGTAAGAAGAGAGGAAGGGTGAAGCTAAAAAAGTTGCCCTTAAGCATTTGTGCCACCAAAGAACGGGCACAACCAAAGGAAAGTTTGACAGCTAGAAGTTCTCCATTGACTGAGATGAACGCTGGCAATCATCCTGTTGGTAATATACCTTTGTTTCCAGTGGAGCCATCCAGTGACAGAGTGATACCAATTGAGGCTACATCAACATGCAAATGCCAGGAGTTCAAGGCACCAGCTTGTATCAAACAAAATAAAGTTGTGCAATCGTAATTTTCAGATTAAATTCAGATGACTGGGTGCTAGTACTACTACTGTTACAGGAATCCATAGCTCAGGTAGAAATCATGAAGTTTTTTTTTTTTTTTTTTCTTTTTTTCTCTCACATATATGCCATTTCCCTCCCTTCATCTTTGGTTTTGTAATGGATTTGCACTGACTAAATGTAAATTTAGATTTTTAGTTGTTTGTACTACTTCTTTCAGTTAAAAGTTGTGTTTAAGGTTAATTGACGGCAGAGCTTGAGTTTAGATAGGAAGATGAAATGAATTGAGCATCTTTTCCATTGTGCTACTTGTTCCATCCCATTTGTACTGAGAGAATAAAAAGAGGAAACATGTTGGTCTTCTATTTATGCTTCTAGGGCTTACTGTAGATTGTTCCTTATGCTCAAATGTCGTAAACAAATGCTGATGGTGTTTTTTACTTGCTGAGTTATTATTATATGGTAATTAATAGTTTACGAAACGAGGATTCATTAAATAGAAATTTAGAAGCTGCTCAAGATATTCTTAGTAATAAATTAATTGTTCGATGATTAACCAATTATGGTAAACATAACTTCTTTCCGGCATTAAATAGGTAAGTTACGAAATCTTTATTGTAACAACTCTTTTGGGGTATTTACCCAGTACTTTTTCTGTATGCAGTCACTTATTACTTGCTGATTATAGTATTTTAAATTTTTTTTAAATATTTATAATAAAATCAGCAACCAACTGTATTGACAATTCCACGAGGGTTTCGGCAAGACAACTCCCATGCTTCTGACAGCTATTATTAAAGTAGTTAGTGGCATTGATGACTAGTCTTGGCATTTTGATTACTTGATTGGAAGGGAGGTTATGCGCTTGTCTATAATACAGAAAAGAACGGGGACTGCCGGTCTTAGTTTTCACTGTTTTGCTTATCTTTGCTTTCTTATTAGATGGTTATTCATTGGGCGTGCGAAAATGAGTCTAGCTTTAGCCTGAACTTGGTTTAATATTTGGATTTGACTTAGTTATGACTCGATTAATGACTAAACTAGTGGTAAAATTTGATATTCAAAATGTATAAATTCATGCATTTTATATATAGCTAAGTTATAAAATTTTAAAAGTAGCAAACTAAAATTGAAGTATGAGTTAAATAATAACAAAGTATAATGTTATTTAAATGATATTTAAAATAATACGGTGATATTTTTTTTTTATAATTTGAACAGATCAACGTACTTTCGGTCAAGACAAATCTTATACCCATTGTTTTTACAATTATTGTCTGTTATAAACCAAATATATGCTATAAACAAAACGTAATTGTATTTTAGAGAGAGAGAGAGAGAGAGAGAGAAAGAAAACAGTGGATTTAGGAATGAAGTGGTGAATGTAGAAAGGGTCCATGTAACGAAAGTTGGCCCGGCTGGGTTCAGACCGTTGTGTCCGTACACAATTGATGTTATCCTGACCAAACCCAATTGCTTATGTTAGCAATAGTTTCAACTTGGAAGGATCCATATTGCTGACATTATTTCAAACCAAAGTAAGATTCTACTGGACTCCTACTTCCAGTTTTATGTTGAAAGTGCGAACAATCGGTCGTATATCAATCTAGTTTCAGTATTTAAATATTAAATAATTGTAACATTATATGTAATATTATCTAAATTTGTTTTTGATATAAAAATTGAAAATACTCCCCAAATTTAAAAATAAAGGCTTTTATCCTTTTATTTTTGCTATACATAAAATATTTCCCATTTAATTCTCTATTGTTTGCGAGGCCGAGTTCCACATAACTTATTTCATATGTTCATACTTATTGAAAAAGTCAGCTATAGCTTCATGAAGTTCAAAGAGCCTACTTATGTCACATAAATGAGTATATAAATGCATCCATTTATTATTAAATAGTGAGGCGAAAAAGGTGTGGCTTGACACTTCTTTATAGTGTATTAACTCCATGTATAATAATAAAATTACTGGAGAAATATTTAATATTATTCAATGCAAAGAATTAATGATATCACACACACATATAATTACAAAATTTATAACAAACATTTAAATAAAACCAAGTTAAATTGATATTCAATTGTTGATTACACGAAAAGGGGGAAAATTATTACTCTTTATTCATTACCTACCATATATTTCCTTTTGTAGATGAGAATTCATCTTTATTTCATAAAATAACAGAGTGGGTAAGAGAATTATTGCTCATGTACGCATAGAAGACTAGGAACTGAGTGTTTCTGACTTTGTTGCAGCACGGGTAAAAACTTGTTTCCCGGCAAAAGCAAATGGGAATGGGTAACAACTTGCGAAATCCACGTGCAGTGACTTGAGTCACTGGTAAAATATGTGTCGAGAGGTGGTGCCTTCTTACTTCCCAGTCAGAAATCTTTGCCTTTGGATAAGCACATCCTACACCAACCCTAACCTAACCCTAATCCTACGACATCTCAGACTCTGAAATCAAGTCAGATTTATCTTCCAAGAATCAATATATCTTCTTTTTTTATTAAAAATTTGACAAATATGTTAAGTATGCATTCTAAAGTTCTGCCTTTCACTTTTATTAACCTAACCCTATTTCTATTTTTACTGCTACGAAAGAGGCTAAAATATATGCATAAATTTTTTTAATTGTATCATTAATTTTTTAATAAAAGTTTAAAATTTTATTTTTAAAATTTTCTTTAATTTTTAAATAATATAAATGTTTTATTTAATATATTTAGGATTTTTATAATCTAGATGTCATTGATGTTACTTTAATAAATATATAACAATTTATTCGTTTAATTTAAATGATTTTTAATTTGATTGGATTTAATACTGTATTCATTATAGCAATCAAAATTAAAAAATATTGTTAGAATAAAATAATTATAAAATTGTAAGTAAAACGTTTTTAATATAATGTATATAATAAAAACTTTCAATCTAATATTAATTTTAAGATAAAATTACATAATAAAAGTTATTTAATAATATAAAAACGAGTATAACTGATACTTGTATAATTAATTCATCCTCTCTATATATACACACACACACACACGCATGGCATGGCTTCTATCTGTGCTACCATCATTTCAGTTCAGCTCTATTTAACCTTTAATGCTTGAGCTGACCCCAAACAATAAAAAAGCTTCAAATGCTTGGAGAATGCACCAATGACCATGTGAGTTTGAAAATAAACCCTGCTTCTTTAGAGGTTTTAGCTCACTTCAAAACTTTCTTAGCATTAACCCAGATAACTTTGTTGTTGACAAAATGTTAAAAGCTATAAAATGAAAAGGATTTAAGGACAAGTGGCTCATCCTCTTGAAGCATTAGCCATATTAGAATCCGCAAATTCATTTATCCTATCCTTGTATTTTATTTGTTTTATATTATGAAATGTACCTTCAATGGGTACAAAGGAAAAAGTAACACAAGAATTTTGAATGAACATCAGGACTTTCAACATGTTGTAAACAATATACACGCAAATTCTGCTGTCAGATAACTTTGGAGGAACAAAATTCTTTACTAATTTACATCTTTGTAGTCAATAATCCCATAGAAAGAATCTTATTAAACTTGAACAAAGTAAGAAAAAAGAGAAAAAATCACAATCATTAGTTGTTGGCTTTGACTTGAACAGTGTCAAAACAACACATTTCTCTCCTTCATTTTCCCACCCTTACTTTAAGGTTGCTCATTCCAACTTCCACTTTTTCTACATTAGATTCATTTTTCATTTCCTTTGGAGAGGACTCCTTGCAGTTCAGCCATGGGTGTTGCAGGCATGATCCGGCAGTTGGTCGCTTCTCTGGTGCGAAATCAAGAAGTGGTAATAGAAATTCTGAAAACTCGCGAGCATCGTTCACTGAAAATTTATATCTATCAATCAACAATTTGTCAAGTGGCCAATATTTTAGCCTTCGAATCCTTCTTAGATCTCCATGCCTATCAAAGAAATCCTTCGATTGAGCTCCACCAGTAGCAATCTACAACTCACAAGCATTAGATAAGCCAGAATGGTTCTTCAACAAATAATATGAACAAACAATGGGAGTGTACTCACCTTCCTTGGCATCTTTCCAAGGAGCTCCATCATAAGGGCTAGGTGATCCTGAAATAAACAACATGCAGAGTCCATTATTCTAGAGAATTGTGTTCAACAATCTCAAGTGACCTATTACAGTAATGATCGTAGAACAATGAATGATTCTAGATAAATGTTACATTGATCACTCCCTGTAAAGGTATTATGTATGGTCTGGTGTCATGACAGAAGAAATAAAATAAAATAATTCCAGCACTTGAGACAAGTTATAAAATATTACACTCAAATTTATTAAATCAAGAAAAATGCAAAAGATGCTTAGTTAAAATAGTGTAGAAAATCTGTCAACCTGGCATCTAACGTACCGGTATTACAAAGCAGTTCAATGGATTCTATTCTTTAAGTATTTTTTTCATTTTTCATATATTCCACAATAAAAGTAATGTGTATTTATAAATATTAATGACAAAAATTAACATGATCCAACCATTTTTTTCACATCATTTCAGATAGTCATATCTCATGCCCATTATCATGTACTTTACACTAAATAGAGGCCAAATGCCTAATCTTATCCCAAGGAAGTGTTGTGCCAAAGGAACCTCCTTAGAAATATTGACAGCTACACTCCAACCAAATGCACCCAAGTGTAGTATAAATTGCAAATTACCAAAGCTAATAATCAAGAATAAGTTCAAGGACAGAACACACCCAAAGCTCCTATAAAAAACTCATTAACCAAGTCATTAAACTAAGTATATATAAACTCACTTTTATCTTTCAGTAATGGCAAGGAAATCTAAGCTAAATAGTTCATGCAAGAACATTTACCATAAATTATACTTGCATTAGATAAAGAACGTAATTAAATCCTTATAGTTTATCAGTGTGAAATCATCATACCTCATCCTCACTAAAACCTTGTCCACCCTTCGGTGTAAACAACATATCTCCAGTGGCAAGTTCAAAAGCAATGCAAGCAAAAGACCACATGTCAACAGAGAAGGAATAGCCAGCCTTCAGTATAACTTCTGGCGCTCTGTACTGCCTTGTCTGTATTTCTTCTGTCAACTGCTTATCAGCCCAACATGCATTTCCAAAATCTACTATCTTGCATCTCACATCAATCCCATCAATATTTCTACCAGTCTTTGCAACATCTCCTGTTCCTCCCATTGAAGTTCTTCTTCCAGATATCTTAGCAACTGCTCTCCTTGCTCTCCTCTTCAACCCTTTCTCAATAAGACTTGTAAATCCACCATTTATGTTTCCCTCAGGCCTCTCTAGAATTGGGGAGATTCCGGACCTAAAAGGGTCTTTGCCAAGATCAATGGTTGAACATAGAAGAATGTTTTCCGGTTTTAGGTCAGCGTGGATTATACCAAGTTCGCTATGCAAGTAATCCAAACCAATCAAAATGCATTTGCAAATCTCTCTAACTTTATTTAATGGAAGACCTTTATAACGGTTATATTTGATCAAACGAAGCAAGCTATCACCAAGAAACTCAAGGACCATGCAAAGATGCTGCCCATTTGGACCAGTGTGCTTAAAGTGATCAATTAATTGGATGACAAATTTTGAATTTGATGGGTCCCCGTCAGCAATGGATGAAAGAACATCAATCTCATGAAGGGCAGCCTGAACAAACTGGGCCGCACTTTTCTGGATCTTGAGTGCAACATATGACTGAAAACAGAGTCTTAAAATTAGGAAAGATATGAAAAACATATACTGGTGCACAAAAAGATAACAATAAATTATCATTGGTTGGGGTAAAGCTAAACTCAACTAGAATACATAAGCACAACAAGAATAGAGGTTTTTGAATTAAACATTAAACATGAACAAAGGATGAAGTTGGAAATGGTTCTTAGTAACAGTGCCTGGAAGACTGTTGTCTCACCAGAAAACCAGCCCACCTGGATAAATGGAGAGTGTCATAGTGCATATGCTGCACAAGTTAATTTTTTAATCTTGTTCATTCTTGTGGTTTTGCCCCTCTTTTGCATATAAATTCAAGCACTAGCAAGATTCTACAAGTTTTGTGATTTATGGTAGCAAAAGCCTTGGATCCATGAAGATACTGATTACTCGCACATCTTAACACCCGGTTCAGCTGAATCAGAATTTTACTACAGAACCACAATTATTACCATTCCATATACACCTCACTTTATACTTCCAACAAAATTAAATATATGCATTAGATGCAAAAAATAACTAACCATTACGGTTACCAAGGTGGTTACTGGCTGATACAGAAAAGCATCAAATCAGTAAAAAGCACCTCAAGCCAGTGAAGGCGTACATTTGTTACCCCTCTGTATACAGACAAATCTACACAAACCAGGTGGTCACATTTTGTGAGGACCATTTACCATTTTTTTGCAATTCCAACATGTAAACATATTTTTTTGACACATGTTGAACAAAAGAAGGGTTCACAGTGGCAATCAATATCAAGAAGCAAAATAATCTCAAACAGAAAACGACATGCAGTATATACAGGGTGTCAGAAAGCAAAGAAGAAGAGAAGATCTTGGAAACTCCACATCATTTAAGGCAAACACAAACGTTCACAACTCCATCCCTCACGGAGATTCCAAAATCCATTGCATAAAAAAAAAAAAAACCAATAAAATCTCCAAACCCAGAACACACCAATCACAGCCCAAAGTCAATAATAGTGAAATAAAAGTGAAGGGAAATTAAAAACAACGCCCTTTATAAATTTGTATAAACTAATTAAAAAACATTTAAAGAAAAAGAATAAGAAGATGCGGATGAAACATACACTTGTGTTGGTATCATAAGCAAGCCACACGGTGGAAAATTGACCCCAACCCAATTTCCTCTGAGCTATATACCTGCCGCCGGCGAACTGATCGCCGACCCTGACGGCGTGGTACCCTCCCTTCCGGTAAGAGTCGAATCCCTCGTCATCTTCCTCAGACCCAGATGACGATGAGCACGACATCACTCTCTGATCTATTCAGATTCACCAAAACCTTAAAAAAAATCTGATTTTGCTTCCAAATTTTGCTACTGTTCCTTTTTCTATTCGACAAAAGCTGATTTTTTTCTTCTCTTTCGATTTATTTGTCCTTTCTTTACTCAGAAATTGCTTGGACGTGAAGTCTTTGTATTTTGTGATGCGTGTGGGTGGATTTCTCTAAATGAAAATCACGTACGCGATACTCTCTTCAGATCCTTCACTTTTTTTTGCTCTCTTTTCTTCATGTGATGTTAGCTGTGAACGTGGGTCTTCAATTTTTCATACTCGTCTTGTTTCATAGCCCACCTTTTTATTACGTTTTTACCCTCCATTTTGCTCGTTTGTTTATCTGTGATGTTGACTATTTTGGGGATTTAATATTTGGGACTTTTTCTAAGTGAGGTGTAGTAATCATATTTTTGCAAGAGGTTATGGGTGGCTGTCCTTTGTAACATCATACACCTGCATTTTTTTTCTATACTTTTATGATGAACTTTTTTTAAGGGTTCCCAAGCAATGGGCTTGCTAATCATGAATATTTTGAAGAGTTAAAAACATTGTTTTGTTTGTTGGAATTGAACTTTTATAGATTTGGTTTTGACATATGATAGGGTTTCCTAAATTGTCATTGAAACGCAGGGTACTTGCTAATACGTTTTGCATAATCACGACAAGTAGTCTTTGCCATGGTTAGAAAATATACCTCCAATAAAAAAATGTGTTGAAAAATATAGTCTGGCTTACCATCAATAGCAATTTCAATGTTTGAACTAAAAGTTCATGTATTAAATTACGTGTTTTCTTTGTGTTAATAAGGAACTATTTCGTGCTTATTATTCTTCTCATAATTGAATGCCAATTACTCATTCAAGGTCAATCTCTTTCTACCTGCTCATTTATGAATAATACCAACATCTTTCAACCTGTTCAGTTAATGCCTAGCTACAAATATGTAACATTTAACCAATAAGCTACAATGGCCCTATATAGTATCTCACTTATCAAGAACAACACTAATGAGGATCACATTATGAGATATTACAGTTATCGCTCCCTTTGATGCATAGCATTTCAGTCTCAAAAGCTTGTTATTCAAAGTGTTTCATTAACTCTATCTATTTTAATTGTCGTCTTTGTTACCGATGCTACTAATTTAGGTGGCGAGCTCTTAAACTTTTATCAATCATTTTTTTTCTCCTTAAGATTTCATTTCCCCTATGAAGTTTCGCAATAAATATGACTGTAAAAAGGAGTAATTAGTCTAAATCGCAGATTAGTTTGTTATAAATTCCATATGGAATAAGCATAAGTAAATGGAAATATGAATCATGTTCTAATTATATAGTTTGCTATAACTAAACATAAAATCACATGGAAAGTGATTTGTAATTTTGGAAATAGGATGGCCCCAAAGTTCGACAAGAAGAAGAAAGCATGAATAATATAATGAGGGGATGGGGGAGATGAGAGAGTATTTTATACATTATAAGAGGGTAACTTATACCTTGTTATAAATAAAATTACATGATTTGTTAAATGAGTTTTAAAATAGAAAAGACACACTATTATACATAAATACCATTAGAGTGTAATTTAAATACATTATCTTCCATCTAATTGTAAATTCTTGTGTTAATAAGAATAATTAGTTTTTAAAAACTAATACATAAATAACTTTAACATTATTTTTGAATCAAAATATAACATATATAACAATATATATATATATATATTTTGGAGGTGTGTCATGAGGGTTTTTTTCTTGGGGTCATGGACCGCTGTAGGAATTGAATAATAGAGATTGCTTTGTAATTATCAAATGGATATTGAGTGGCTACCTTTCATTTTTGGCCCACATTAGGCCGAGGTACGCCTTGCGATTACAGTGACATCGACATCGTGAGTACAAAATAAAACAACGAGATTTAGAACCTTGAATTCGGTATTGTAAAATGTAACAGGGTTGGTTTTGCAGTCAACAAAATCAGGTGATAAATGCAGTATTTTCAAGTCAATGCAAAATCTAATTCAAACACTGATTTAGAACTCAAATTCGGTTATTGCAAGAAGTAGTAAATACTATAGTTACCAATCTAGAGTCATGGATCAGATCATTGAATTGCCTACTTGCCTGCCTATAGTTAAATCCAACATGAATACATGATAAAAGGTGTTTTGCAAGGCACCAAACTAATTAAAACTAAAAACTTATAGTCTCCATGTAAAGGCATATGGTATGAATGAAGGAGGAAAATTCAAACAAGTAACTAATGGAACATTTCTCAAACCTTAAACAAAGGTTCAGGTACATAGGCACAGATTTCCTATTTTGCTCATCAAAGTTGGCTGCAATTTTTACAACAGAAGAGCAGCATACAACACAAAGAATGGGCAGCTTCAACTATAGATGGTCATCACCAGATTGTGCAAGCAAAACGCTTCACATTAGCATCAAATCCATTCGAGAATTCCTCCCAGCCCAATTAGCATTTGGAGGGAAGAATCTCTACAAAGCAAAACCAAGTCCCATAAAAAAACCTGAGTGCTTCAAATTTAACTTGTAATCAATCAAGCCGTGGGGGAAACAATCTCCATAATGGAAGTGTAAGTTCCAGCAACAGCAATAACAATCCCAAAAACCACAATAGCCCCATCCAACACAACACCCCTCCAACCCAACTCCTCCTTAAAAACCAAACAATGAAACATAGCAGGCAACACAAAACTAAGAACAACACACACACTACTTCCCACCAATGACAGAAAATCAGCAAAATTTGGCACCAAAAGCGCCACCAAACTTATCACCAACACCATCAACCACCTCATCCACAAGCTATACCTAGACCCAGAAAACCTTCTCTCAACCACCTCATAAACCGGGTTCATCATCAAAGGAAATGTGAAGAACAAATTAATACAAAGTCCAATCTGAACCAACCCACTAATCAACCCAAAACCCAAATTCGTAGTTATAATATCCTTAGTCTCTTCCCCAAAAGCAAAGTAACCCAAACACCCAAATAACCCAAACAACACCGAAATAAAACCCATCCCAAAGCCCAAAACTTTCCCGAATTTTTCCTTATCCTTAGCCTCGGATTCCAATGGCAGAACCATTCCAATTCCTTCAAACGCATAAACCGCAACACCGATTCCATAGAAAAACACAGAGAAGCCCCGGAAAGTCTCTAACGCAGGCCTATTCCTCAGGAAAACAAACACGTCATCCACCATAACGGCAGTCTTCGCTGCAAGATCAACCACGTCAGCGAAAATGCTAAGAGGAGCCAAATTCGTCAACGTGCGAATCGAATTCAACCCTAATTGAAAGGGAAAGCACCCCCACAGGAACAAGACCTTAGGGCTCAAACCGAGAACAACCGGCGCCGTTTCGCCGGCGGCGTTGCTCGTGAGAAACGCTAACGTGGTGGAGATGAAGATGAGGTAGCTCACGCAGAAGCCCGACTGAGAGAGCACGATCATGGCATCCACGGAGAATCGGCCCAGTGGGCCGCAGACGGTGAAGCCCAGGTCACCGAAAGAACCGATTTTGGAGAAGCCCAAGATGGACTCGAGTTTCCGGCGCGTGTGGACGAGTAGCATCATGCAGTGGTAAGTGAGGTATGCAACAGCGAAGAGCATGAGAAGGCCCATGGCCCAGCCCGTTCTCTTGAAACTGTAAGGAAGTCCCAATACACCAGCCCCAACGATGGCGATGAAGATGTTGGCGAAGGTCTTGGGTTTGGAGGAGAGAAGGGGTGGCTTTGCAAGAAGAGGAGTGTCTTCTCTTGGGTATGGTGGTAGGGAATACGATGATGAACCTGCTTCTTTCTCAAACCCCATTTTGCTTCCAACTTCCGAGTTCTCAATCTGAATTTGATGAGCAAAAACGTGTTATTGTGTTTTATGAGCTTGGGAGAGGTAAGGCAATGGCATTATGGTCTTATATATTAATAAATAAATAATGTGTATTTGGGTACTATTCTTTGTAGGGAATTTAGAATTCAGATGGAACTTGCCAATGTCCTTCCCTTATAGCTACTTTGGACTATTCTGTGGTGATGATTTTCCCATTTCAATCTTCATCTCCTTATAATATATAAGTAAACTAGTTGGACAAAATATCACTACTTTAGATAACCCTGGTCAAGTTGCTTTTAATATGCGGCGGCTATGGCCTAATTTTATTTTGGTCTTGTGTGTGTGGCTTTGTTGTTGATTTATTTAATTTTTTTAGTCATAATGATATTATTTTATGTTTACAATTTTCTTATGATTATTAAAAAATGGTGGCATTTTGTTATTTTATTAAAAATGATACTTTTAAAAATAAAAAATATTATCTCACTCATATGACGGGTCACGATCAATATTTGTTATTTTTTTTAGCTTAACATATTTTTTAATTAATATCTTCAAAATACTAGTTAATACATCTTATTTTTTGTGCCTTAATTATGAAAACTTTGAAAAGAAGGATAATGCACGTGTTATATATATATATAATTTTTTAAGAGTCGTGTTACATTGTTATCGCTAATTTTTTATACATGTCACGTTTGTATATTTATTTATTTTGTAATAGAAATCAATCTAAAATCCTCGGCGGGGGACCGTAATAGCTGTGTCACTTGCTGCCGAAAATACTGCACCGGTCCAATTAGCTGGTTGAAGTATCCCAAAAAACGGATAGGGAATAATTTAGAATTGAGGAAAAAAAAACGCTTTATAAGAATTTAAGTAACTGTTTTGCAAATAACCATTTTATTGCATTTTTTTACGTGCTGATGACCTGATTCGTGTTGTGGGAAAATTATTGTGAAGTCTTCGCGTATGATCCGTGACAAATTAAAAAAAGAAGACGTGATAGAGAGAGAGAGAAATAGAACATAATTGATGTTGCTAATATCTTACAATAAAACAGATACACACGCTATAAATATTGTCAGGGTAAGGATTTTTCATTTTTGTAACCATTATTATACTATTTGCACAGCAACCATCATAATTTTTTCACAGAAGACCAGCAGACGTCTCAAGTTTTGTGCAAGATATTCATGATCGGTGTGGTAGAGAGTGAAGATAATTTATTGGATGTTATCTTAGCTTAGCAAAAATCCAAATATCCATAGTGTACGACACTGACAAGCCAACAACACTTGCCTAACCATCGCCAACCAAATAGGTCAGGTGTGTCGGTGTACTTGTCGTTTAGCAAGAAGAAACCGTGAAGGATGTAACTTCATGCAACAGGCTTATACAGATACCCAAAAGGCAGGTATTGAGCTTTGATCTCTGGTTGAATCAAAGCCTTTTGTGTTAAGCTTGGAAAGTAAATTATGAATATATTTTTGGGGTATTGGGAACCAAGATAATTTTAGCCTACAGTCTATTATTAGAAACAGTGAATTTTGTAGAAGACAAATAAAAAGATATGGAGACCCATAACCATTGAGATAAGGTGTGCAGGAATTGCTTGGTGTTAGATTTAAAACCATGGAAAGTCTACATCAATTGCCACTTAATAAACCATGCCCGAATAACTATCAATAGGTGAGGAAGTATTAAGGGTGTGAAGCTGATAAATTGATTGTGCGGCCAAGTTTGCATAATCAACCAGGGTACTAGAGTATGTCATCTATATTGAGCATATTCTTACTCAAATATTTTTCTTGACTCAAACTTTGTAGCAGTGAATTCCAAATAAAAAGGTCAGGAAGGATACCCTTCTCTACCATTTCTAAAAAGACCTGCATGGCTTTCTGAAGTTCCCCTTTCCTACATAGGGCATCAATCAGAGGACTATAAGTTTCTGTGTTGGGGACACAGCCCCTTGCAGTGATGTCTTCCACCAACTTCAAGGCACTCTCAACTTTTCCTTGTTTGTAAAACTCAGTGATGATAGCATTGAATGTAGATGGAATGGGAAAACAGTTATTAGCAATCATTTCATTCATCAGCTCAACTGCTTCTCGGACACTACCTTCTTGGGAAAATCCATGAACAAGGCAGTTATAAACTAGAATACTTGGAATTCCACCTTCATCAATCATCTGATCATACACCCTCTTTGCATCCTCTACAGTACCCTCCTTGTAGTGCTCCAAAATCCTAAGGCTTCTGCCAACAGCTCTAGGGAACATTTTTCCCATCTTTGTTAGAAACTCAGCTGCTTCATCAAAACGATTTTGCTTAAATAAACCATATATTATGCTATTATAAGGACTAATGTGCCCTCTAGAGCCTTCTTTGCTTTCCTCCATTAACTCCAAAATAGAAAAACCATCTTCAGTTCTACCTTCTAAACACAAACCTCTAATCATTGTATCAAACGTAACAAAGTTCCATTTGATCCCATCCGTTTTCATATCATTAAAAAGATCAAGAGCCAAATCCAACATCCCAGACTCACAAAAACCAGATATTAATACATTATAGGTGTCTACATTGGGAAGACAACCTTTACTCTCCATCTGCTTCAAAAAATGAATCCCAACTTTCACCTTCCCTACTCTACAAAACCCCCTTATTAAGGTGTTGTAAGCCACAACATCCAGCGAACCTCCCATGCTCTCAACTCTCTCCAAAACCTCAGCAGCCTCTGTTACACGGCCAGCATTGCACAGAACTTCCAGCACCTTAGTAACAGTCACAACATCAGGCACAAAACCCATGCTAAAACTCTTCTCCATCAAGACAAGAGCCTGAACGGAATTCTCTTCCTTACAATACCCAGATATCAAAATATTAAAAGTAACATCATTGGGCTCTTCCATCTCATTCATCAAACTCCTAGCCCTCCCAACTTTGCCATTCCTAGAAAGAGCATGGAGCAAGGTGTTGTAAACCACAGTGTTTGGGGCAACCCCTCTAGACTTGATAAGTTGCAAGAGCTTAAATCCTTCACCAATCCTATTTGTGAGGCACAGTCCTTTCATCAAAATCCCAAAAGTGTAATCATCACCTTCAACACCACTTCCCATCATGCTCTTCCTGTAAAACTCCCTAGCTATATCAATGTCTTCCTTCACTAGGACATCCAAAATTGAGTTGAAAATCTTGAGTGAGGGATTGGCATGAAACTTGTACGCCAAGTCAACAACTTTAATGACACTTCTCATCATCCTGGCACGGCCGAGGCCGCGGATGATGGTGATAAAGATGTCATCTCCGGGAGGTGCACCAATTGAGTTGGGCATTTCGTCGAGCAGTTGCTTGACGGTGTCGAAGCGGCGAAAAGAACAGAGCTTGTGGATCAAGGCACGATATGTGGATTGAGAATGGAGGAAATTGGGGATGGTGGAGGCCCATCTGAAGGTTTGCAGCGCCTGGGAAGCGGATTTCTGGTCTAGAATCATCTGCGAAATGTGTTCATGGCTTGGTGCAGAAGAAGATGATGAATGCGTTTGGGAATGGCAATTGCATATATAACATGCATAAGGGGTTGAGAAGGAGGTTTTAGAATATGGCAAAGCCTTGCAGAGTTTACGCATTTGATGAATCATGGAGTGGCAGCTTCTACCATTACTCACTCAAAGTTTGTATCATACAATAGAATAGAATAGAGATGAATGCTATATTCCATCGTATAAACTTTAAACAAGGAAATGGTTTTTTATTTCAATTTTTTATTTCTTTTTAAAAAATTGTGCCAAATTAATTTTTTATATTTTTAATCTAAAATTCCTAAATCCTCATTTAAAAAATTATAAATTGAATTGATTAAATTCTTTTCTATTCAAATTTAATACAACCAAAATATCAACTGTCACTCAAAATCATTAAAAAGATTCCTCTTCCAACTCTAATTTCACATCTTTTTTTTTTTTTTTGTAAGTTTCATCAATTGTTCAGCATTTTTTTTTTACTTTTAAAATCAATTCATTTTTCAATTCAATTACAAACCCTCTAACATAAATTTTTTAGCATCTAAAAAACTTTCTCAGTCTGAAGATTAACAAGACTGACATTCGTAATACTTAATAATCACGTCAAATTTTTATCGGTCAAACTTGGGATTTATTTTTGAGATTTTTTTATAGTAAAATTATATATATATATATATATATATATATATATATATATATAATATCCAAATAGACCCATGTCAATTTAATTATTAAAATAGACCCAAAATTTTGACCACCCAGCAAATCGAATTTTGAGGTGGTTTTTATTTTTTTAATTTAATTTAATTTAATTTTATTATATAAAAAATACCTAAATATTTATTATAAATATTATTATTTAAATTATATTTATATATTTTTATTTTGTTAAAATAAATATTCATAATATGTTATTCTAATAAATATTTATAAATATTTTGTTAGTTATATATAATAAAATAAGTTTTATTATTTAAATTATGTTTATCTTTTCATATTATTTAAAAATAAATAAATAAATCATAATATTAATTTTAAATATTTATTAAAATTTATTTGACATATTTAAGATAATAAATAATATTTTTGCTTTTTCTTATTATATTATTTAATATAATTTTATTTTTTAAAATGATATTAATATTATATTCTAAAATTATATTTTTGGTTATTTAATAGTATATTTTAAAAAAAAATTAAAATTAAAATAATAATTTATTTAATATTATATATTTATAAAATAAATAAAAATATTAAATAATAACTAGTTTATTTATTTATTTTGAGATATTAATCTTTATTAAAATTTATACATAATTAGTTATTTATAAAAATGTTATTAATATTAATAAATATAATTAAATAATATTATGTAGATATATTATATATATAATTATATATTTAATATAAATTATAAATATTAAAAATTTAAAAGTTGAAATAACATTCATAAAATAAAAAATGACATTAAAAATTTTTTAAAATAATAACATGTCTTTCTTGTGTGACCAGGGGTATAACAATAAATCAATAGCGGGAACTAGAAGTTTGAGTGATGTTTGGACATGTCTTTCTTGTGTGACCAAGGGTATGACAATAAGAACAATTTTTTGCCCAACTTTGTTGTTTTCTAATGTCAATTTCTATTCTTATCCTACTGGACTTTGGTCGACCCTTTGAAGTTCTTTTCAGTTCTAGATTTGCACACAAAGTTGGGCCTGTGTAAGTTGGCCAATAGTCTTTATGTCTGAGTTCTCCAAACTGACCTTCGTATACCTTAGAAATTTGTTGTAAGGTATACACGAAAGATATGTAGATGTCAAAGTTGTGGTGTGTGTAAGCATAAAACAAGTACATGCGAGCATGGGATGTGAACTTTTTGAAACTTGCCACAATCACATCACATTTCATCTAACCGTATTGTAAATCTTTCTACGGCTACGCTCTTGTACCAAAGTTTATCTATAAATATGTTCATCCAAGGTCACATGTTTTCATCCAAACTTGCATCCATCTTTGTTTTTCGTTTCTCTCTGTCTTTGTTCCCATTACTAAAAATGTTATTCTGGAAGCAAAACGAATACAGGTCCGCCTTCTTTGGAAGAATGGTAAGTTTTACACATTACCATTATTAACTGAATATGTAAATCAATATTCTACATATAATGTTACTAATTTATTAATAAATGCAGGAAACTGAAAACATAATTTCTTCTGTCATTCAATGCTAGAACGCAGTCCTCTAATTGTTCCTATACTTGAACAACTTGGTTTTGTTGGGATAGTAAAGCTAAAACATCTTAAGGTGGATCACGCATTGATAACAGCTTTGGTCGAGAGGTGGAGACCTGAAACTCACGCATTCCATTTTTCAACAGGGGAGTACACCATAACTCTGGAGGATGTTGCACTTCAACTCGGGCTAAGAGTTGATGGTTTACCAGTCATTGGTTCAACAATCTTTGACTAGGAAGAAGTGTGTGACATATATCCTGGTATCATGCCAGTCAAGGGAGAGTCACTTATTGACTCTATGCTAAAATTAAAGTGGTTGAGAGACAACATGTTGCCATTATTAGAAGAACCATCTGAAGAAGAAGTTCACGCTCATTGTAGGACTTATATACTAGGTTTAATTGGAGATGTTTTGATGCTTGACAAAATAGGCAACAAAGTACATCTTGTCACACCCCAAAATTTTCTTACTTTTAAGTTAATTACTAATTGTATCAACATAAATAAATTAGAATTAGATCATATATATATATAATTAGGAATTAAAACACACTTAGTCAAATTTACCCAAAAAATAGACTAATTAAGGAAAAACCAGGTACGAATTATAGTGGAATCTAATTTTTATAAGAATAATTACCCAAAAAAAATTTTGTTTTTATAAATTTATACTATCTTAATTATGTATTACAAAATTTATAATCAATTGTGGAGAATAAAAAAATAGAAAATTAAAAATAAGTTACAACATTGGCCAAAAAGACCAAAATACCCCTAGATTAAGCCTAGAATGAAGACCCAAGTTGGGTAAGGAAATGATAATAAAAAATTCTGAAATTTTTATGGAAAATTATTAGGCCAAATGAGGTTGTATTCGTTCAAGAACCAGACCCAAACCTTAAATAGAAAATTCAAACCAATTTTTTCAAATTCAGCACTCAAAGTGGTGTAAAAAGGGCTAGGCAAATGGACCAAAACTTCCAATTCTGTAATCCTATCTTACCCAACCCAATTGGCATGGTTTTGGCACGAAAAATAGACTAAATTTATCAATAATTGGGCAAAGTATCAGCTGAAGTGAAGGAAACCAATAAGAAAGAAGACTTGGTTTACTAAAATTCCTTGATGATGGCATAGGGTCAATGGTTCAATCCCTAACCAAGGAAAACTTAGGTCAACTAGATGACATCACAAGGGTCCAAAATATCCACTTTGAGCATGATTATTAGGGACCACTTTTCACCTTGATAAAATCCGAATTTAGGAAAGCCTCCAACAACAAAGTTACTCCACTTTAACCTATATAAATGGTCGTGAACCCTCTGTCCCATAAAAACTAAGAAAAAAAATTAAAAAGTATTCCCCAAATACAAGGCCTAAATTCACATGTAAATGGAGGAAATTGGAAAATCTAGCCAAAATTCCTAAATCCAGCCAAACCAAACTCTTCTATTCACCTGATCACATCCAACACATGCTAAAAATAAACCCCACTACTCAGCCATGTCACTCTTCAAGCCAACAAAATAGGAAAAACTCCAAAAACACCAAATAACCCCACCACCAAATTTAGCAAAAGAACTTCAACATTTGAGGACCTTTTTGGACAAACTCAAAGCTGACTTGGAAGGGCAGTGAAGAGGCTCAAACCAAACCAAGAAAAGAAGAGAAAGAGGAGATCAAAACACCCTTGTAACCTCACCCAAAAAGGCAAAGACAAAATCAAGTAAGGGAGGGGAGTATAGTTCATAAATTGGGGGAATACTTTTGCTAATTAATTTTGAGTCAAGGGGAACCCTTAACCCCTTATATTGCATGAAAATTTCGTGGGTATAATTGATATATGAAAACAAAATTTACTTGCACAAGAAAACCCAAGAAAAATGTTAAAAACAACGAAAACAGAAAATTCTACAGAAAAATCTTAACCAACTGTAAGTGGGTATTTTAAGGAAATTTTATTGATGAATTTGCTTGTTATGTGTTATTGTTATGATATTAGGCTGATTATATGTGAATCTATGCCTTGAAATTGATTGAGGGTTTTGTTAAAGTTTTTCGTTTATAATCAAGAGTTTTCTATCATAAATTGTTTACTATTTCTGTAAATATTCTTTTGATGCATGATCTGAGTTCTAAGTTTTTGTTTAAGTTTTATATGGCATAAATACTATAAAATTAGTGAAAATTTCGTGATTAGGCTTTGGTAGAACATAAAAATGAATTTTCATAAATTTTTAAGAAGATTTACGGTTCTAAAATAGTTATAACTGTTTTTGTGTTGGTTTTTATTTTTTTTCAAATTTTTAAAAATCACAAAAATTTTCCTAAGATATTAGCTTGTATTATCATAGTATTCTTGATATTTTGAATTTATCTTGACTTGAAATAATATTTTAAATGTATTTTTAAAGATTTTGAATGAAAGGGAAAAAGGAAAATGATTTAAAAGTAGAAAAATTACTAAGAAATAAGCTTTAGACTCTTGGAAAGTTTTTGGAACCTCTGAAGTATAAGAATCATACAAATATTGACCAAGATATGAAATTAAATTTGAAGGATTGGACCTTTAGATGAGAATATACTATGATTGGACCATAAATGGACTTTAAGAAGTTTAAATTAATTAATCACATGAGTAGTAGGACCAAAGGAATATTTTTTACCACATTGAGACCTGGACAATGACTTAGAGGAAAGGGAAAAACGTGCTGGACAACCTGACTTCTTAAAGTTTTGAAAAAAGGACCTAATTCCAATTAACATAAAGTAAAAGGACTAAACTACAAATAATGTAACATATGAGAAAACCTTTGCAAAAATTTTTGTTAGTATTTTATTCATATAGATAATTAAATTTTGAAACTTTTCCCATTGGTTTTATTTTATTTGGATTTAAATTGTATTAGTTATGATTTTTCTAAAATTCTGATACATGAAAATAGTATTCTGGAGGTAGTATGACTTAATTCAATTTTGTTTTAATATCTCTGTGTAGAGTTATTTTATCTTTATTTTTTTTATTAAAATAGACTTATTAATGAAACAATTTTCACTTTATTTGGAATTGAAACAAAATAGATATGAATTTTTGAATATTATGATGTGTGAAAATGATTCCTGAGAACAACTCACTTTAAGTTCCTTTATTCTTAAAATTCATGCATGATGTGATTTTATTTATATTTTTTTACAAAAACTATACTTCATGAGGAAACCATACTCACTGAGTTTACTTAAATTGGAGTTAAAACAAAATACTTATGATTTTCTAAAATTTCTGTTATATGAAACTAATGGTTTGTGCATATTGCTGAGAAACTTGATTTCAATTTTAAGGATATATATGGCATTATTTTATTCATATTTTTGCATGAAAATAGATACTATAGGGAAAATATCTTCACTAGTTTGATTAAATTTAGATTTAAAATAAATTATTTATGATTTTTATATTTAATTGATTCTAAGAAGTGAGTTAATATGAGCAACAGAGAATAATTAGGACTATCTCTGAGATATGAAAGTGATAAATTTCTACTTGTATTTTTTTGTGAAACTATATAAGCAAAGTGAAAGAATGCCACTGATTTCATGAATTTTGGTGGTGAATTAAATAACTTATGATTTTTTATATATATAGTTGCAGAATTATGCTAACCCGTGACATGTACTAATAAAATTAAAGCACGAATTAATGTATGTAAATAGTTTGAATGTGAAAGAATTTTTACTTCGAAATATACATAATACTAAAAATAATCTCACTAGTCTTATGTGTTTTGGAAGAGAATTGAATTTATTACAAATTTTACAATTTACTAGATTCTAAAAGTGGAATCATGTGAGCAGTAGAAACAAACTAAATTAAATGTTACTTTCTGTATAAAAATTATTTATGTGCATATTTTTTTGAAAATTAGACACTTAAAAGAAATAAAACCTAAGTGATTTCATGATTTTTGGATTTTTATTGAATTAGTTATAAATTTTACAAATTGATGCATGAAATCTGGAAAATAATTCGAAAATAGCTATGTCCATAAAATGAATTATTCTCTTGTTTTAAGGGATGAATGATTATGAAAGTGTGTATCCAATGGGCAGATTAATGGCTAGAATTCATTTTGTGATTATGAAACAGTTCATAAGGACAGTGGTTGAAAACGCCAGGTATAGGTGAAGGGTAAATAGTGTTGATTTTACCATAGGGGATAGTAAGGTACCCAAGTCCTAGCAAGAGACTAAACCTATTTAATTTGTGGCCCAGACAGTGGGAAATATGCTAAACTATCTTGACATGCACTAGGGCATACCAAGATTGGTTAGAGTGTGAGCCGCTATGAGTGACCATAATAGAATTTGAGCATGGTTGCTCGGTTCCCTATTTGGGATGTTGTACCTATGGCACTATCTGAATTGCGGGTACAAAACTCCCAATCTTCAACCCAGAAAATTAAATGAACAATTAATTACTCCATGGAGGAAAGAAATAATACGAATAAAGTACTATGAGATGCTTATTCATAAGTTATGTAGTGATTATATTTATTCAGCAATTAGTATCGCCTTATGAAATAATTTATGAATAATTTACTCACCATTTCTTTGTTTGTGTCTATTAACTATGTTATGAATGTAGAATGAGTGCTGGGAGTATTCCTATTCCTGAGTAGAACATGACTTTTTAGTATGGGGTCAGGAACGTGGAGCCATAATAATGCTAATCAAACTATTATCTTTACAGGTTGTGTGATACTAACTATTACTACTATTAACAACCCTCATATTGCTCCTATAATTATGTAGAGTCCTGCTAGAGTTGAGATTCCCTACCCCATGTATTGTGCAACAGCTCCAGGCCTTCATGCTGATCCTCCTCTAGATGGATTAGATGATTAGAAGAGATATCTGCTCGTAAAGAAAAAAAAATAGTCGACAATGGGGTATATGTAAATTATGAGTGCTTATGATCTTTTCGCCTGACCTTCATTTTCCTTTAGTTTGTAAAATACTTGAACAACCTAAGAAAGGCAGGAGGTCTGTATTAAATTATCTACTGTTGAACAACAACTCTATATATATATATGTAGATGTGCATTATGTGTGAGATATATGTCTTCATTTATGTTTATTGAACATGTTAAATTTATTAGAGTCTCTAAGTTGAACATAGTAACATAATAATTGGGATGAAACTGTTAATAATAACGGGGACGTCTCACATCTTATGTATTTAACTTTATTAACTAATCTTAGAAGAATAAGACGATATAGTTGGGGTTCTGCTTGTTTAGCTATGTTGTACAGGAAAATGTGCAGAGCCATGAAAGTTGGTTGCAAAACAATGGGTGATTGCTCATCACTATTAATATCTTGGGCATGGTATCGCATGCCCTATATTGCGCCAATTTTTAGTAATCCACCAACATACCCTCTCGTGTGCAGATGGAGCGGGGTAAAGTACTAAACTTTCGAAATAAACCTCATAATGATGTTGTGGGATACAGATCAATGTTATCACATTCAAGCTAATTAAATAACTCTTCATATTTATTTTCTTATCTTTTACACATCATCTTAAGTAACAAAGTTAAATATATTTGTAGTTTTTATAGGCATCATATCAAGACTTGCAAACATTAATACCCATGAATGTATATAGAGATGTCCAACTGTGGACTTTATGTACCGCCATCATTTGTTTTGCAATTGTTGAATGACACTAAACAGGCAGAGTCAAATTACAGTTTCGTCTCTTCCAAGAAGTCCCTTCTCCATCGAATAATTTGAATGACCTCTACAAAATTGACATGAGAGAAAAATAGGATGAAAATTGGGTTACAAGACATGCTCAATGGATCGAGATATGGAACAATAGACGTGAGCTAATAATAACGGGTCATCCAATACAAGACCCATTGTGTCACACATAAGAATATATGGAATGGTACATTGTCAATTCCATCTATTTTCTATTTGTGCTACTACTACTACAAGATCTAAGGAGGAGCGACCGACAACTAAGGACTACCAACACATTTGAAATCGGTACGACTTCCATACCGTCGTATAGCAAAACTGCATCAATTCCTCCAAACATTACGCCAAAAGCAAACATAATCAACATAAGACATTCGTTTGCAATAACATTGAAAGATTTTTTTACAAACTTATTTGGAGTTAATTTTATAACTTCATCTTCAGCACAAACTTACATGCAGTCTCTTTACCAACCAGATTTTGCTAATGAACCTGATAATTCATCAAATGTATTCCAACAACTAGACCTTCATGATGATCCAAATCCTCCACAAGTTCAACCTGAAATTCTAGAGTAACAACCACAACGACGAAACCCATCACGTCACAGACGTCACCCTCGTTGTTGAACTAGCCACCATTACGGAGATAGTTAATTATTAATGTTATTATGAATTTATTATTATTTTTATTAATGTATTTTGTCTTCATTAATGTTACTTTAGTAATATGAAAATGTTAATTTTAAAATATTTGTCTCAACTATAAATAATTAACTTATAATTTAATATTTTATTTACTTTTTAAAAATAAATTTTTTATTCTCAAATAAAATTTATTAAAAATTATAATAGTAAATTTTTAGGATATTAAAAATTATAATATTAAATAATTTCATTTTTAAAAAAATAATTTAATTAAAAAAAATGTATTCAAAATATCATTTTATCATACTAATATTTCAAAATATTAAGTCAAAATTACATATTTAAATAAATAAATAAACAGAATAATATTTAATATATTTATTTAATTTTAAAAAATATATTTATTATTCTTTAAGTATAAATAATTTAAGCATTAACATTATTATCTAAAACAATATACTTATTATTTAAATATTTTAATTAGTTTTTAAAAATTTTATTATTATTTTTTAAAAATATTATTTATTTATTTAAATATGTCAAATAAATTTTAATAAACATTTAAAATTAATATTATTATTTTTATTTTTATTTAATTTTAAATAATATAAAAATATAAACATAATTCAAATAATAAAACTTATTTTATTATATATAACTAACAAGATATTTATAAATATTTATTAGAATAACATTATAAATATTTATTTTAACAAAATAAAAATATATAAATATAATTTAAATAATAATATTTATTTTATTATATAAAAACATAAAATACAATTAAAAAAAAAACTCAGAATTCCCTGAGAACTGAATTCTGGGTGGCCAAAATTTTGGGTCTATTTCAATAATTAAATTGGCATGGAGTCTATTTAGGTATTTTTTTAATTTTATTTTATAATTTTACTGAAAAAAAGTCTATTTTTGAATGTTTTAAGGTTTTCTTGAATATAATATGTATTTAACGCAGTCAATCCTTTCTAAGTGTCGTGATTTGTTTTTTTAACAGATACATCCCAACTATGAGCTGTGAATGAATATTATATTATAGCTTTATAAGAAAGAGTATTGAGTTTGTTTTTCAATATGCGATGTGCACAAGTGCCGTTTATTGTGTTTTTCTACCAAAGGTAGCATAATAGTAAGAACAGGTCAAAGACAACAGTTAGAAAATAAAGAGAATGTTCCTAACAAATTTACAACAATGACTTGAAAAAGTTGAAAAAGATAAAACTAACATGGAAAAAAATACAAAGCATTTTTACTTCATAGTTCTTTCCAAAGGACAAAGAAAGTTTGCCGTTGTGTTGTTGTGTATTTGTTGTATCACTTCTCGCCATAGAAAATGGGAAGACTGGCTGAAGGAGACTTATTGAGAACCAATTCTCAAAAATTGGACTTCGAGAAGCTTGTTGTGTATACAAGACCAAAAGTATGTGTAAATCTGGTTGGGTGATAGTTCTTGTAATAATCATATAGTACAAGTGAAGAAGCCTTGGAATTTGATTGGAACTTCCAAATTGGAGCTGTTACAATATGTGTAACAACATTATGGTTTTGACATTTGAGGAAACATTAATCTTCAAAGGCAGCAGGCGTAGCAGTTAATCAGAAAAATCCCCATTGAACACCCAACTCAATATGTACAAATTACTAACATGTTTCGTTCATCTATTACTCAAGACACCCTTGAGAAGGTCAAGGCCTTCAGCAGAAATACTCCTCCTTCTATGTGATCTAGGAATTTCAATTTTAGGAGGTGGATCATTGGAGAAACACACCACAACCACTGTGAGATTGTCACACGTGTTGCGTTGGAGGGCCTCGGTTACAAGTACCTTAGCACATTTGGTGGGATCGTTATGCTGCATGAGTTCCTTCCTCACCATTGTGACAGCACACTGGCTACTCATCACATCCCATAATCCATCACAACCCATTATCAAAAACTCATCTTCTTCTGTTAGGACAATCTCCTCTAGTTCGGGCTCAGAGCTTAAGGGGCTCTTAGAACCTTTAGAACCTTTGATGTGCCAATCTCCAAGAGCACGAGCCACTGATAGTTGGCCATTGAGGTATCCATCATAGATGACACCACCCAGTTTCTCAATTCTTAATCTTTCAGAAGTGCAGTTTGGTTTATGGTCTTTAGAAAGTTCAATCGCTCTGCCCCGTTTGCCCAATACAGCACGAGAATCTCCTGCATTGGCAATTAGCATGGCCCTGCAAAATAGAGAGCATTAGTACAATTACTAACGACTAGCATACATGAACAGTGAAACCTGTATGCAAGTAGCAACAGTGCTTATAGATTTGAATTGATGATTATATGAACCTCAGTCCTCACCTTCCCAACACAAGGGCTACCAAAGCAGTGGTGCCTGAAGAACTATCAAGAGCACTAGCATCTCTAAATGCAAGATCAGCCTTCACAAATGCACTCTTAACTGCTTTTTTAGTGCCAGATGAGAAATGGGGATCCTCCACTATGAACTTGAGGATGTTCATTCTGGTAAATGATGCCGCATCAATACCACCATGTCCATCAAATACCTGTATATAAACCTCCATTAGAATCTAAAAGGCATGTGAACGACAACCAGATTCAAATATTAATCAATGCATATAGCCAACTAATTAATTCTACAAAATGAATTTCCAGTGTTAATTGTTATAAATCTTAGGCCTATGTGGTTAATCAGTGATAGGAAATTCATTTATATCTTGGAAATTGCCCCACTTATGAAGAGAATTGGCTCCACTTCGTTTGGTGAATAATAAGATTGATCTAACTCAATAGGAAGAAACATACCCCATAAAATGCTGCAGGAGAATGAACGTCTGCTTCTGGACCAACACATTGACCAAGAACATCAACACATATGAACTCATCCTCCATATACTGCTTTGGACCTTTATCAGAACAGCTTCCAGATCGCAATACAGGTGAAAACTCTGATTTTTCTTCTGTGCTTGATTTAAGGCCAATAAGATTAACATTTGAGTCCTAGACAGAAGAGAATAATGCATAATTATTGGTTAAGAGAAACAAAAAATAAGGCAAAAAAAACATTCCACAATTTGAACAGATGAACAATCCATTTTCTTTCTATGGAATTAAAACTGCATTTCTCTTTCCATGATTTCACATACATGGACATTCTACTTGAAAGTTGAAACAAACTGGTCAAAAACAAGGATATGAACCAATAAACACAGGAAGTGGTCAAAACTTCAATGGTAAAATGCCATGTTACCAACTTCGAAGGAAAATTATCCTAAGGCTGCAGTTTCTATAATCATCTAAGAAAACCAATAGAACCTTCGTTGGCATTTTGCATCTAGCTGCAGATTCAGTAGGATCCTTCTCTCTATTGTAATACAACAATTAATAAGTCCTGGGAAAATAATATCAAAACAATAACTGAGCAAATAATATATAATAAGCTTCCCTCTAAGTCCCAAGTTTCTTTTAAATTTCTCTTTAATAGACGCAAAATTATAAGCTATGTAAGTTGCACACATTTGGGTCAAACTCAACGATAGTATCTTATTTTCATCTGGGACATCTGAAAAAACATAGAGTAGACATAAATTAATACTCGAGATTGATTTTTTAATCAAAGAAAGAAGGGGGCAGCTAGTTGTTCAGTGCTACATTATCAATCAAACGGACAGAATATACATAGATGCTGCAAAATCCTTCAGCATATTCATCTATCCTCACCAAATTAACAAAACAACTTGTTTCTCAACAATCAAAAACAACACAGGCATTGAATAACCTAGATAATGTGGATGATCATGAATAGAAAAACAACATGCGATTTCATTTCAATTTCATGATACTAACCGGTTCAGCCAACCATGAAGAACTACTGGAATGGCGCATAACCGAAAGGTCCCTTGGAGGTTTGCCAGCATTAGGATTCAAATTACCCAGAGTATCACCATTCTGATCCTCCATGGAACGGTCACTATTACCCTTGGGGCAGGGACACCCACCACCCATTATAGCTGTTTCAGACATGTAACCAGTTCCTGCTGCCATCCTTGACCCATAACACAAATCTACCAATAAGCCAAGACCCCAACAAAACCAAAGCTTCAAACTTTATCTCTCTCTTACACCAAAACCTTCTAAAAATTGTTCAAACAATCTTCATAACCGACAAAGAAGCCATTTTTAAACAACCCCAGAAGATGACACAGCGAGAAGCAGCTATTCCAAACGTGGTTTGCACATGATCCAATAAAAAAAAAAGAGGCAACACTACTCAAAGCTCATGCCAACCCATGAACGTGAGAAACACAACACAGATCAGAAAACGAGGTTATTTTGCAACCAACGAGAAAAGGGTAGTGTGTGTTGGGTTGTACCGTCGACAAAAGCAAACACATGGTGGTGCCAAGCTGGGAGCTATGCAGCATTAGATTGAGAGCAGAAAAACAAAGGGAAACAGAGAGAGATAAATGGATATGAGAGAGAAGGGGGAACCGTTGAGAAGTGGCAGGTAAATTATATATTATATAAACTGATTGGCAATTGCAAGTTTTGCGCTCGTCATTGTAGCGCTTCAAATTGAAAGGGAGATTAAGGGACTCACATGTGGCTTCTCCTCCTGCCATTTGTGTTACCAGTTGACCATTTGCATTTAGAGCACTCAACATCTTCCTATCTATCATCAAATTATTAATTTAATTAAAATACACTTATTTATACTGTGATGTAATTTAAATGGTCTTGCTACTGTGTTGATTATGAAATTAAATATGTATTTTAAAAATAAAATACGTTTGATTGAATTAAAAGTTATACAAATTTATTAATTATATTTTTTTGAAAAAAAATGTTTTTAATTTCTTAATTGGTGTCTATTTGCTTAATTTAAATTATGATTTTTTATATGTGATAAAGATACTTAATAAAAAGTTAATAAATTGTATTTTTTTATTAAGAATATTTATATTTTTTACTTTTTATTTTTAAAATATTTTAATTATTAAATAAAAAATATTAAAGATATTTTACATTTTAAAATTAATAAATGCTTTTTTAATTTAATGATTTTATAAAGTATTAAGAGAGTAGTTGGATGGGTACACGGAGAATGAAAAAACAAAAACAAAAACAAAAGATGGGTGCATGGGCTTTGTTTTTTAGTTTGTTCCAAACCTCTTTCTTTTTTTTTTTTTTCTTTTTTGGTTGATAAGTGAAATAGGGTTAAAGTTGACCCAGAAAAAAGTAGGGTTAGAGCCTAAACAAGAAATAGTATCCTCTGAAAACTATCCAATAGTTTTTTATTAGAAGTGACAAAAGTTTGGGTACGTTCAATTTCTCTGAGTATAAATTTTGAATAAAATATTTTAACAATTTTTTAAACAAGAATATTTAAAAAAAATTAATTTTCTTTCTTATTATACTAATTTATATGTATGGACAAAAATAAAACCATATTTAACATGTTTAAGGAACCTTATTATCAATTAATTATGTGTTGTGTTGTCAATATTCGTTTTCTAAGTTTTCCTGATCAAGCCAACTTAAAAAGATAATCATCATCAATTGTTAATTGAAGAATATCCTCAGTGCATACTAACAAAATCATTTCAATCAATAATTTTAAGAAATATTTAGAATCAATAGATTTATAAATAGGTATTGATATAACAAATTAATTTAAACTTATTTATAATATTGTAAAATATAATAAAGATACACATCTTTTAATTTGATATTGGTGACGATGAAAGTGGAGCATCATATTCTTTGAAACATGGTGGTCCAATATGTAAAATGGATGAATTGATAGGCATGTTTATCATGTTGACTTTTGTTACTTCCTTTAAAAATGAGCATGGTAGTGGTATTATTTCAACTTTTAATAAAATATTTCTATTATTATTATGCTTGAATTATGTATTTCTTTTATGATGGTGTAATTTGTAATTGAATGTTTATACTTTTTAATATGAAAATTAAAATAAGAGCCACGAAAAAGTACCAGGAAGACGAAAAAGTAGTAAAATAAAATAAGATAAAGTTTATGTTAAAAGTAATATATATTTTTTTTTGTCATGAGATTAATTAAAAGGTTATACATTTGTTAAGAAAGGTTACCACAAAAAGAGGCAAACTCTATCTTTATGTTAAAATTACTTAAAAAATTACTGACTTCAAAACAAAAGTTATGGATTTTTTTTATTAAAAGCTATGAAATTAGATAAAAATAAATTTTCTGTATGCTTACTTTTCCGAGGGTCACCGTAATGAATTATTATTTTTATCATAAATATCTAACTTACATTATAATCTGCGTGTATATATATATATATATATATATTTATTTTTAATCATAAATATTTAAATAAGATATAATAATATTTTTTTTATTTTTTCAATGATAATAAAATATTCTCACTTAATATGCTTAATATACATATGTTGCTAATGGACCTAGATCCTTTACAGTCTTAGTCTTAGAAAGAATTATAGCATGTAGTTTAAATTCGTTTAAGTGAATTTTTAAAAAAAGTAATTTTGACTTAAATAAAAAAATTATTTAAACAAATTAAGTAAAAAAGTTATTTTTGCTTAAGTTAGAGAATTTTCTTAAATTGAAATTGAAAAAAAATTTAAAATTTTATATTCTTCTTTAAACTACAAAAAAATTGAAAAATATTTATGCATGATCACACTTTATGATCATACAACAAAAACTTAAGTATTTTAAAATATGTAATAATGCAACTATTTCTTAACCAATTTCTCAACGTTATTATTTGTATAATCTTTATTATTATTCTCAATATTTTAACTTGATTCTAAATGTTTCTATCTCACTAATGTTTAGCATAAATAACACACTACACAATACATTTAGAATATTTAATTGAATGATATATGTAAGAGTTTTTAATAACTAGATAGTCATTGATGAGAAATAAAGGTTCATTGAATTTTTTATAGTTTAGAAAGAAAAAAAATAAAGTTTTTTAAAAAATTTTACAATTTTAGCTTAAGCAAATTTGCTTAAGTGAATTTTTTTTATTTAAACTAAAATCACTTTTTGCTTAATTCGTTTAAATAAATTTGTTTCACTTAAGCGAATTTAGACTGCAGTTCCTTTTAAAACTACAGAAAATTCAAATCCATTACTAATTTGGCATATTTATTAAAAATTTGTGGTATAATATATGTTTAAATTAATTTTTTGTAAGTAGACTTTAAAAACTATATTTTTATTAAATAATTTTATTAATATGTAAAATAAATTATAAAACTCTTGTGATTAAATACACTTTATACATCTTATGAAATCACCTTAAATAAAAAAACATTGATTTATTGAATGGATAAAACACACAAGGATTTTTATCTCTACTGAATAAAAATACTCATATGAAAATTAAGATCATTACATCTTATAATAATTAATTAAAAAAACATATCTATAAATTATTTTAAATAGTTGATAATATAAAATTTTTATACCAATAATACATTAAAATTAAACTCAGATAATATAATTTTATTAGCACATATACAAACAAACAATTAATATTTACAACATAAAATCATATAATTTTTTAATTAAATTTATGAAATTATTATTATAGTTCATATAGTTTGAGCTAACAAATTAAACTAAATTGTTTGCAAACTTGAAACCAAAAAAAAATAAAAAAATTTGTTTGCAAACTCTAACTAAACTCAGTCTGAGTTAGAGAAATGATTTATTTTAAGGATACAAATTACAATAGATCTATACAAGCATAAACCACTGCTCTCCACCCAAGACACTGTCAACTAAAGAAAAATATAAATTTATCATTAAATTAAACCATTCTCACATTACTTTTATTTTATATTAATTAAATAGTTATAATATATCAATAATTTAGCATGCCTTTCAACCAAAGATACAGTTAATTATTATATACACAACTTCATAATGTATTAGGACTTACTTAAATTATACTGAAAATCCTTTTCCAACTTGCGTTTTAATATAAAATTCATAACTAAAAATAATAAAAACATTTATTTTATAAATGATAAATTAAAACGTGCAAAAGTCATGTTCAGTCTATGAAATTTCCACATCATTGACACCCATAATGTCATAACCAATGATGTGTGATTGTGTGTCATGTTCCAGACTGAGACCCAGCTTGAAAGGGTCCCCATAGTTCAGAGGTTCAAATCATCTTGTTGCCTTGTGCAGATGTGTATAGTGACAATTGTCTTCAACTGTTTTGAGGACAGTTTCCCACTTGAGGCTGCATTTCAATGTCTAAGATATTGGTGTCAAGGGTCACTATTGCCCATCATACAAATAAAAAAAAAAAAATGACAAGAAGAATATACCCAGGTGTGCACCATTAACTTCTATGAACGATATTTCTCAGCACCAATTATACCATTAACTTTTTTGTCATTTTTTTGGTCAATTTTCTCTACTTTTCTTCAGTGCCCAGATTCTCCATATTGTATAATTATGCTTTTGGCATTGGCCTGCTCCTACTTTTTTGGTTACTTCATAGTTCATCCTATTGTACAACACATGGTCACTGGTTAAAGTTTGTCTTTTTGTTCTCCAATTGAACCAAGTTGCACGTTTTCTGCACCGTTTTGTTGCTACAATTAGATGCCATATCCTTTATAGTGAATCTACCAGGCATGTTTTCTTTTCATTGCAAGTAGTCCCACCAAACTTTTTGAGTGAAGTTCTTGTTTTCACATGTTGCTGTTTGTGTTGAAATCTGATGTTTCTTTGCTTTATTAGCAGGCACTTTAATGCTTTTTTCCTTCCCTTGTTGAGTGTGTTTTAGATTTGCTTTATATTTGTAGTTTTTGTTATTTTTTGGCTTTTGAATTTGTGAGCTTTACACTCTTTGGTTTTGGGGGTTATGTTACTATCTCAATAGATCCGCCTTTTAGGATCTTAATTTAGTACTTCTACTTTTTTTTTTTTTTTTAGAAAAAAAAAAATCTGGGGATGTTGCTTCACTTTGTTTGTTGAGGAGGGTGATCAATAGTGGCTATTGTTCTATAGGCAACTAATCCAACCATGATTGAAGTTTGGTTCTTGGCTTTACTGGTTCTCTCCAATGGGTTATCTTCAACTGGGGCTGGCAAGAATAATTCCACAAGACCTGATTTTGTAAATATTGGGGCTCTCTTCTCTTTCAACACAACTGTTGGTAGAAATATAAAACTGGCTATAGAAGCTGCTATTGAAGATGTAAATTCTGATCCAAATATTCTTGGTAAAACCAAGTTGAACCTCTCACTGCAAGAAGATTCTAAATATAGAGGTTTTCTGAGCATTGCTGAGGGTATGTCTTTCATAGTATCATCCTTGTTATGCGTTAAAAGCTTAAAAATAATCTCTCTCTCAGCTGCAGATGAAGTTACTTCTACTATGTCAGATTACAGTTTCTATGTGATTACAGTTTTGCAGGTCATGGCAAGACACACAGTGGCAATAATTGGTCCCCATAGCTCTGTAACAGCTCATGTCATAACTCATATTGCAAATGAGCTCCAAGTTCCTTTGCTGTCATTTTCGGCCTTGGATCCTACCCTTTCTTCACTTCAATTCCCATTCTTTATTAGAACTTGCCATAGTGATCTCTATCAAATGGCTGCAATAGCAGACCTTGTTGACCACTATGGTTGGAAAGATGTCATTGCTGTCTATATTGATGATGACAATGGGAGAAATGGAATTGGGGCATTAGGCGATAAGCTTGCTGAGAAGCGTTGCAAGATATCTTATAAAGCACCTTTAAGCCCTGAAGCAACTAGGGAGGAAATCACTAATGTGCTTGTTCAGGTGGCTCTGGCAGAATCACGGGTAATAGTTGTTCATGCCAATACTGTTTGGGGCCCTAAGGTGTTTAATGTTGCAAAGTATCTTGGAATGATGGGAACTGGGTATGTCTGGATAGCCACTGCTTTTCTGTCTGCTTTGATTGATATCTATAATCCTGTCCCTTTAGATTCAATGGATGAAATTCAAGGAGTTCTTACACCACGTGTGTACACACCAGATTCAGAGCTCAAAAGGAGGTTTGTTTCTAGGTGGAAAAACTTGACTAGTGGAAATAATGCTAATGTCCCTTTTGGATTGAGTTTTTTAGCTCTCTATGCATATGACACTGTTTATGCACTTGCTCATGCACTTGATGCATTTTTCAAACAAGGGAACCAAATTACATTCTCAGATGATTCAAGGCTATCTTTAATAAGTGGAGACAACTTGCATCTTGATGCTTTGAAAATCTTTAATGAAGGAAATCTGTTACGTAGAAACATTTATGCGATTAACATGACTGGTGTATCAGGTCCATTCAAGTACACATATGATAGAAACCTTGTTAATCCTGCATATGAGATCATTAATGTGGTAGGAACAGGAATTCGGAGGATTGGTTATTGGTCTAATTACTCTGGATTATCAGTAATTCCACCAGAAACTCTCTTTTCCAAACCAGCCAATATTTCCAGGGCAAATCAAAAGCTGTTACCTGTGATTTGGCCAGGAGAGACAGACCAGAAACCTCGTGGTTGGGTTTTTCCAAACAATGGAAGGCTCTTAAAGATTGGAGTACCAAAAGGTGTTACTTACCATGAATTTGTCTCACAAGTAAAAGGCACTGATATGTTTGAGGGATTCTGCATTGATGTATTTCTTTCTGCAGTGAACCTGTTGCCTTATGCTGTCCCCTATAAGTTCATCCCATATGGGGATGGTAAGAACAATCCTAGTATCACTGAGCTTGTCCGTCTTATCACAACGGGTGTGAGTATCATGCCAATAATTTTTTTGGGGGTTTGGATGTTTTAAGGAAATTTTCTGAGACCAATTTTCTTCTTCCCATGCAGGAATTTGATGGTGCAGTAGGTGACATTGCAATTACTACAGAAAGAACAAGGATGGTGGATTTCACTCAGCCATATATTGAGTCTGGTCTAGTGGTAGTAGCACCAGTTAGGGAGTCAAAATCCAATGCTTTGGCCTTTTTGGCCCCATTTACGCCAAAGATGTGGTGTGTCACGGCTGTCTTTTTCATATTAGTGGGGGCTGTAGTTTGGATTTTGGAGCATAGGGTGAATGATGATTTTAGGGGACCACCAAAAAAACAAGTAGTTACTGTTTTATGGTAAGGAAATCTGGTCTCTCTCCTCTGTGAATGATGATGCATGCAGTAGTTACTAGGAGCTTCCAAATTTCCTTTTTTAGTTACTTGTATTTAGGTTTGGTTATGTTTTATTAACTTTTGTCTGTGTTGCGTCTGGCAGGTTTAGTTTTTCAACAATGTTCTTTTCCCACAGTAAGTGCCAGTTCTGTCTTTTATGACATCTATGGTCAAAGTAATGGCTTCCCTTTGATTAATCTAGTGCTTGTGTCTATACCATGTAGGGGAAAATACAGTGAGCACACTTGGTCGTTTTGTGCTGATTATATGGTTATTTGTAGTTCTTATAATCAACTCAAGTTACACTGCAAGTCTAACCTCAATCCTCACAGTGCAACAGCTTTCTTCGCCTATTAAAGGCATTGAAAGCTTAGTAAACGGCAAAGACCTTATTGGGTACACGCAGGGCTCTTTTGCTAAAAACTATTTAGTTCAGGAAATTGGTATTGAGGAGTCCAGGCTTGTTCCTCTAAAAACACCAGCAGAAGCTGCTAATGCATTGAAAAAGGGTTCCCAAAATGGGGGTGTTGCTGCTTACATTGATGAGCGTGCCTACATTGACATCTTCCTTTCAACCCGTTGTGATTTAACTGTTGTAGGTTCAGAGTTCACCAGAAATGGCTGGGGATTTGTAAGTATACTCCCGAGTAATAGGGATTTTGCTAACATGTGGCTTAGGACACTTGTTAAAGAATAAATAAATAAATATTTTTTGAATGTTTGAGATATAAATGTTTATAATTTGCAATATATAGTTTCTATTTTTAGTTTCTTAACCTTTATAAGGCAAATGTTAACAAAAGCCATATAATAATACTTGCATACAGTAGAAGTACCATCCTGACTGTCTCTAATCTTCCTTGAATTGTTCAATTCTTCTGGCCATGCATGATCATAAATAACAGCAGCTTACCTAGGGCCAATTCAAGAATCTACAGTACATTTGTATAGAATCATGCAATCATAAACATCAATGGCATCAGAGTACACATACAAAAGAGTGATATTTATGGGGGGTAAACAAAGATGTGATTTTCTTTGTATATTATAAGCTTTACTTGATCATTTTTCTGTGGATCATATTCTTAATCTATTTACTACTGGAATGAATTCTACATGTTATTCTCTAGTGGGGCAAAAATGTCAAAGGAAGTTATTAGCTTCTAGCATTTTACTATAACGTTTTATTACTGGTCTCTGGAATCTAGTTCAACATTAATATACCTACACTTAATTTTATTGGTTTCCATATTTCAAGTTGAGAGCTTATGGCAATCTCTCATCCTTCGTATTTTTTTCAGGCCTTTCCACGAGACTCGCCATTAGCAATTGACCTATCAACTGCCATTTTGCAAATGACAGATAATGGAGACCTTCAAAGGATCCATGACAAATGGCTTTTGAGTAGTGCTTGCTTATCACAAGGTTCTAAGCTTGAAGTGGAAAGACTCCAGCTTAAAAGCTTCTGGGGCCTTTATGTAATATGTGGGTCTGCCTGTTTGCTTGCACTTTTCATATATCTTTTACAGATTTTGAGGCAATACCAGAAGCACTATTCACAGGAAGTCGACTCCACTGAACAAAGCTTAAGATCAGGATCTTCACAACTAAGGACTTTCCTTTCATTTGTTGATGAAAAAGAAGAGACTGTTAAGAGCAGGTCCAAGAGAAGGAAAATGGAGAGGATCTCATACAGAAGTAGTAAGGGAGGCTCGCCCATCAACTCCAACAAAGGATATGCTTCATACAGAAGTGAATGTGCTACTGAACTCTGACCAATTGTATGCCTATTTCCTCCACATGATTCTCTAGCCTCATGCTAACCACGGGCCTGTTTGTGTTAGCATTGTCCAACTTTGGAAACGGATAAGTGTGATTCTCAATGGATTTTTCCTGGAAGAAAAAATATACTGTGGCTCAAACTCCACATGAAGATACTGCCAATGCTAAAACAATCAGAACACATCAACATTGCTCGCCATCCCTAGTGCAAGTAGTGAACTAGGATTTGCACTTTTGTTTTTGTTAGGAATAATATAATTATATTTTAAAAGAATTTATTAATTATTAATTTTATTACCCTAATTTAATTATTATTATTATTATTAATCATATCTTCAGTTGTATGTAACGTTTACTTAAGCAATTATATTGATTAAAGTATTTTAATCTTTTGAGAAAATTGCACGGACGATGTACAAACTTTTATTATATTTTATTTCTTTAGGTTATGAGTTAAAAAGTTTGCTAGTTCTTGAGAGCCTTGTACATTCAAATAAGAAGAGTCTGTTGTATTCTGAAAGATTTTCAACTACACCGAAATAATCCTTAAGGATACTGTTCTGCACGTCTTAGACTAAATTATTGATCAGTTACTTTGGGTCATTTTTGACAACAATCTTAACGATTTTGGCTAAATTAATAAATAATGAAAATTCCATCAACAACGCTGTAAATAACCATGAAAACAATATCAATATGGATTTACCTAATCCAATTGTTCCCGCAGTCAGCTATGCAAAACCTTTTCCAGACGTGTCAAAGATAGAAATGTTCTAAAGGAAAAACTTTAAACGATGGCAGGAGCGTGGTTATTTTGTTCTTGACCTGCATGGTGTAGCTCATGCTCTCACGCAACAGAAGCTAAATTCAAATGCTACCCCAAAATTATTGGAAGACTGGACTTCTGCTAACAAGGTTTGTAGACATACTATTCTCAATACATTGTCTAATGAATTGTTTGATGTCTATTGTTCTTATAAGAAAACCAACAAAAGTTGGGAGTCTCTGATTCTCAAATATACTGCTGAAGATGTCGGAAGAGAGAAGTTCATCATTGGACACTATTATAATTGGGAGATGAACGATGAAAAAGATATCAAGACTCAGATCAATGAATACAACAAGCTGTTGAAAGACATGAAAACTGAGAAGATTATACTGCCTGAGAATTTTGTCGCTGGACTACTAATTGAAAAATTACCAGAATCTTGGAAGGATTATAAGCAGCAACTAAAACATAAAATAAACACAACTGAACTTATCACCCACATTATCATTGAAGACACAAATAGGAAGGAACTCAAGGCTACAAGGGTAAAGGCATTGACATCAAGGACAAACATGATACAAGCTAATAACAAAAGGTACGACAACAAACCTAATCAAAGGTCTCATTATAATAAACCTTATGTCTCAAAGTGAATAATCTCACTTCTAAAATTGGTGGAGGAAGTTATTTTGTTTGTGGCAAAACAGGTCATCGTGCTACTCAATGCAGACACAAGAAGAGAAGTGACAATTCTCTAAAGCTAAATGCAAATTTGGTTGAAGGAGATGATGTTATAGTTGCGGTCATTTCTCAAGCCTTGCTAATGGCTAATGTGAGTAATTGGGTGGTAGACTCTGGGGCTACCAAGCACATCTGTGTAAACAAAATTATGTTTACTTCCTACAGTTCAGTGGGAGATGGAGAGGAACAAGTGTATCTTAGTGACTCAAGAACGGCTTAAGTTCTTGGAAAAGGAAAAGTTCTTCTGAAGCTCACATCTAGCAAGACCCTGACTCTTAACGAAGAGCTCCATGTGCCTAGTATTAGGGTGAACTTAATTTTTGTTAGTTTATTGGGAAAAGTTGGAGTCAAAATGTCTTTTGAATCTGATAAAATTGTGATGACAAAAAATAATGTGTTTGTGGGAAAAGGTTATTATAAACAGGGACTCTTTGTACTCAATGTTGCTCATGTTATCAATGAAAATATTTCATCTTCTACTTATTTGATTGCTATGTGGATATTTGACATGCTAGATTAGGACATGTTAGTGCTTCTTATATAAAGAAAATTCAATATCAAGGTTTGATTTCTGATTTTAGTAATGGATGTTTAAACAAATGTGAAATATGTGTGGAATAAAAAATAACTAAAAAATCATGCTAACCTATAGAAAGAAACACCAAAATGCTAGAATTAATTTATTCTGATTTGGGAAATTTAAAGCAAACTATGACTAGAGGTGGGAAAAAATATTATGTGACTTTTATTAATGATTTTTCTAGATATACCAGAGTATATTTGCTTAGAAATAAAGATGAAGTTTTTAACATGTTTCTTCTATATAAAGCAGAAGTAGAAAATCAATTAAATAAAAGGATTAAAAGAGTTAGATCAGATAGAGGTGGTGAGTACACCTTATTCAATTATTATTGTGAAAAAGAAAGAATTATTCATGAAGTTACACCTCCTTATTCACCTCAATCTAATGGCATAGCTGAAAGAAAAAATAGAACATTAAAAGAAATGATGAATGCTCTTTTAATTAGTTCTAAGTAATGGCATGATAAGTTCGACCAAACTTTAGTTAGTAATGATTTTTCTACTGTTGAAGTTGATAAATGTGTATACACAAAATTAAAAAATAGTGAATGTGTGATTATTTGTTTATATGTGGATGACATGCTTATTTTTGGTACTAGCCATGACATAGTGCATCAAACAAAATGCTTTCTTGCATCTAAATTTGACATGAAAGACATGGGTGAAGCTTCTGGGAGTTAAAATCTTAAGGAAGTGTGATAGTATAATATTATTACAAGAACATTATGTTGAGAAAATTCTAAATAAATTTAAATATTTTGATGTCAAACCAGTCAGTAGCCCTTATGATACTAACACCCAGTTGAAGAAAAATAGAAGTGATCCAATTGTTCAGTCTCAATAAGCACAAATCATTGGGAGTCTGATGCATTTGATGAATTTCACTAGACCTGATATTGCATATGTTGTATGCAAATTGAGTAGATATACTCGTAATACTAGTAATGATCATCGGGTTGTTTTGGCTAGGTTATTAAAATATTTGAGAGGTACCATAAATTATGATCTTACTTATAGTAGATTTTCAACTGTATTAGAAGGATACAGTGATGCTAACTGGATTTCAGATTTAGATGAGATTAAATCCACTAGTGGTTTTGTCTTCACCTTTGGTGGTGGTGCAATGACTTGGAGTTCAGCAAAACAAAAAATAATTGAAAAATCTACCATGGAATCAGAGTTTATAGCTTTGGAGAAAACCGGAACTGAGGCTGAGTGGTTAAGAAATTTCTTAGATAATATTCCATTAGGAATAAAGCCAACTCCTTCTGTTCTTAGATAATATTCCATTGGGAATAAAGTCAACTCCTTCTGTGTCTATACATTGTGATAATAAAGTGGCAATATTTATTGCAAATAATAAAATCTTCAATGATAAGAATAAACACATTAGGTTGAAACATGGGATAATAAAGCAGCTGCTAAAAGATGGAATTATATCCATTGACTATGTGAAATCAGAATTGAACTTGGCAGATCCTTTGACCAAGCCCTTGAGAAAGAAGTTAATAAATACCACATCGAGGGGAATGAGACTTAAGCTAATTTGATATCTAACATTGATAGTAACCCAACCTTATGAGTGAAGATCCCATGAAAAGGTTCATATGGTAATAACAAGTCAATTGTTAGTCTTGCTAGTACATTGTTTATCCTTTCCTATGATGTGAGAAATATGAGAAGTACTAGACTGCATTAACGTGAGGAGAAGTAGAAGTTTTTAATGAATTTTATATCCCTTATGAGTTGAGTATAAAGTGCAATATACACATGATAGAATTACCTATATGAGTGTGGAGTGGGGTTGCTCCTATGAGATGATAGCTTAGTTTCTAGAGCACTCATGAACATCCAGGCACGTGTATGGTGTAAATATGATCAAATGAGACTCTAATTTACATAAAAAAATGTATTGGTACATAGAAGTTTTACTTTACCAATTACATTGTTAATTAAGGTCCTATTTATCTAGGTCTGGTTCATAGTCCAGAAGACACCAGACTCGAAGCATTTACATTCATGATATAACCTAGTTTAAAATAATTTATTTTATTATATTATATTCTTTTGAAATAAGCGGGAGATTGTTGGAAATAATACAATTATATTTCTAAAGAATTTATTAATTATTAATTTTATTTTATTACTCTAATTTAATTATTATTATTAATCATATCTTCAGTTGTATGTAACGTTTACTTGAGCAATTATAGTGATTAAAGTATTTTAATCTTTTGAGAAAATTGCACGAAAAATGCACATACTTTTATTATATTTTATTTCTCTTGGTTATGAGTTGTAAAAAGTTTTCTAGTTCTTGAAAGCCTTGTACATTCAGACAAGAAGAGTCTGCTATATTCTGGAGGATTTTCAACTACACCGAAATAATCCTTAAGGCAGTGTTCTGCATGCCTTAGACTAAATTATTAATCAACTACTTCGAATCATTTTTGACAACAGTCTTATCAGTAAATATATATTGGGATGAATTACAAACGTTTGGTAATCATATGCAACACTTAGTTTCAATTTAGTCCTTATACAAAAGAGAGGTTTTTCATCAGTTTTTATATGTAAATTCATTTTTAATTCACTTCTTGCAAATTACAATTGTGATAACACTGTCATTTGTTCGACTTATATGGCTAATGGATTATAACATAATATCAAATTATGCTTGACTAATTTTGTTTAATTAAATTTTTATTTCGATATGTGATGTTCATTTTATATTTAGTCTTTGCATGAAAAAAGTTTTTTAATTAGTTTATGTTTGTATGTTCGAAACTCTTTTGAGGGTGCACAAAGGATATTTGAAGCCTAGTCATTTTGAGGTTTAAATATGTCCACAGTATATTTTATGATTTTTATCTCCCAACAATTTTTTTTCCATACACAGCCAAGAATTGAACCTTGATCAGCATGTTTAAGAGACTTGACTAATAGCTAGACATTAATGGTATTTGTATATGTGAAATTCTTCACTCTTCGTCTACTATCATGATTAGTAAAAAAAAATTCTGAAGTTTGTACTCCTTGTCTACTATCATAGATGGAGACTTGGCTTTTCAACTTCCGTTCCTTCAATAGAATAATAATGATAATAATGAAAGCCTAAAGTATATATTGTATTAGAAATGTAAATTCAGAATTGAATGAAATATAGGAGCACAGGGAAAATGATAGTTTTTCAACTTCTGTTCATTCTATAGATTTCTACAAAATTCACAATATATAGCAAAATCGGAAGAAAAATTCAAACATTTGTACTTTTGAGGTGTCATAATCATCGATTTATTTTGGTTTATAAAAAAATTCTAAGTTAACACTTTTTTCCGTGTAAAGTGGATAGAGAGAAGAGAGAAATAAGAAAGCGAGAGTGAGGGGGTAGGGAAAGTAAAAGATGTAATATAATGCTACTAAAAAAAAGAGGTGTGGTAAAAAATAAATGTAAAAAAAAAAAGTGAATTTAAAAATATAAGAATTCTTGATTTTTTTGCTCTAGCGAACAAATCTGTTTTCATCTCCATTTGTACTTGCATTATGACCTACGTAATTAGGGATGTGATATATGAGAAGTTCTGATTCATTTACAAGTTCACCATTCTATATGACTTGAGGGTAAAACTTTAAAAAAAAGTAATCGTTCGAGTCTCGTAACCCCTAGCCTTGTAAGATGCATTAATGTACATTTTAGCTGAATCGTCTGAACGCTACGTTTCATTGTAGCTTTGGGTTAGATCAATCAGTGGCAACATATGTACATATACTCCATTACATGTCTATGAAAACCTGCTGGTCAATTTATAAATGTGAACTCATCTTGCTCCATGTTGCAAACGGCCGTTCTTTTCCTTCTGATAAATCTGCAAGGCTAAGGCATTAAATGTATCTGAAATATCTTTGAAAACATTCATCGTCCTTGCAATTTTTGCATATAACTTTGTATACTTCAATCAAGAGCCTTGGAAACCGACTTGCAAAGTATTCATTGAATCCTTCTGGAACGGGTCCTATCAGTTCCTGATAAGCCAGCAATAAATAAATTATAAGCCATGCACTTGCAAAGATAACAAGCTTTTTCTTGTGTTGTCAGCATTAGGGTATATATATATATATATATAATTAATTAAATTCATATCCTTGAGATTTACTGAAATTGCATCAACACCCTCTCTTTTTAGACATTACACTAATCTCACTTAGTTCATAAAGAAATCAAGAGAAGCTTATTTAGTGCAAGTAATTTTGTTAAACTTTAGGTTGTGTTTGAATGAGGCATTTTAAAATTCCTATAATTCATGTATTTGGATAGTATGACAAAGTATTACTACAGAATTTCAATTAGATAATTTTTATGTGAAACAGAAAACATTTCAAAGAACTTGTTTTTATACTTAACTTTTTCATATTTATCATTCATAACTCCTCTCACACTTGACTCTTATGTATCCCTTATTATTGCTTTCATATTTTCTAAAATTTTAAAATCCTCCATCCAAACACAACCTTAAGGAATGTGTGCATAAGTTGCCTTACCATATAAGCTCATGTACTTGAGGATTGTACTATATATGTAATAAAGATGCATTTTCTAATTTTTATATAAAAGCTGTCACCAGCAAATGAAATAGGAATCATCTACCATAAATTCAAATTATTGATTTCAATGAAATTCATTATGGAAATTAAAAACCTAAATTCAAGGACAACTATAAAGGAATTATTCACTAATTCAATTAACAAAGGCAAGGACGTCACCAACACTGGCATTTCCCAATCCTCACACAAGATAAAATATGTCACTATGACCTTAGATGTGAAGTAAATACTATTATAGCAATCATTAGCACTATCACCTTCATGACGTGAAGTAAGGGTTAATATTTGGCTTAAAACTCAATACACAATAAGCTCAGACAGTCTAAATAGTTTTACAATTATGTTTTCTCTACTGAACTGAATATGCTTTTTAGATGACAACGGCCATTATGATAAAACATTAGAGTTCAGAGATGTGACCTAAAGTATTGGGTGGACATCTACGGTTTCAGTTGAAAAATAATTTCTGAAGGGCATGGTTTAGATATTGAATAAAATTTTATGATAGTTAATTGTGAAAAATAAAATACTTTGGATATTGCAAGGTAAATAATTATTAATTCTTAAAGTTATAGGCAAAAAATATTCAGGAGTCAATTGGGTATAATTGGTATTAGGGATATATTTGGAAATGTTGACCACAACATTTAGAGTTGATTTTGAGCATGAGAAGCTACATTTTTTTCCACTTCAGTTCAACATACTTATGGAGTACGGAATGAGCTTGATAAGCGTTTCTTGCTAATGCTAACTACCATGTTTGTTAAAGTAACATTGGGGTATTTAACATGATTCTAGATAATGGGACCTCTAAATTGAACAAACAGTTTCATGTGTTTCAGCTTTCTTAGACAGGCCTAATAAACAGAGAAAAAAATATATATCATGTGAAAATGCTAGTCCATGAAAAAAACCTGGATTTCTTGAGGCAATTCTCTATAATGATTTAGCTTGTTTCTCATGACCCTCAACAAGTCTCGAACGCTTTCGAAATTATATTTCCTGTAACGACCAATGTTGTTAATGAAAGCTGTTTCTAGCTTTTCATTCCATTTTGCACCTAAAGCCACCGGAGCAATGCTTTCTAATACTTTCAAAATATCAGAATTACATTCTCTATCTTCAAGTTCCACCCTGTCACTTACGTCACGAAGAAATGAAAGTTTCATCTCAGAACTCCAAAACAAAGGATGGTGCAACACTTCAATTGCCTTTGGCCTGACAGTAAATGAAATAATTTCTTCAATGAATTGCTAACTTGTAACAAGAGAAAACACAAACACAAATATATATAACACCATTCCCTCTAATCATCTCTCAGATCATAATTTATGCAATCAAATCTCATATGTCAATTTGCAATCACATGCAACATAATCTATCTGCTAAATTCCTGGGGATAATTATTTTGCAACAATCATGCTTTTGCATCCATGTGCAAGGAAAATCACCTTAGCCCCCTATTGGCATAATGTAAGCAAATTTTGGATCTTTTGAACAGAATAAACCACTTAATGCAAACCCTGCCTCACTGACTGACAAGGTCACACCACAACACAGTTGCACACATTTTTTAATAAATAAAGAAGAGATTCAACAAAATTGGGGGAGAGGGAGGATGAAATATTATCATGAGAATGAGAGAAGGCATAGATATAAAACACTGAAAATCAAACCAATTCATTGGTATAGGATGCATTATTGATTTTCCTTGCTTTAGAATTCATCCATGGCCCAAAAGCACCAAAATGAGTATCCTTACATGAATAATCATCTTGCATTGTCCTAACAGCTACTGGAATTAAAAAGCCAGTTGCACATGCACTGGCAGTTCCACTACATAGAGGTTTTCAGTAACATTCTTATAGATCAATGTAAATAAGTACCAGTGACAAATGTTGCACTGGATCCATAACAGCCTGCATAACTTTTTCGGCAGATTATTCATGATCATTCTCAATCATGACAGTTTTGATAAATCACATCATTTCCATTTCATCCATTCTGATCAATTTTAGGTTCAACGTAAAGTAAGTCTTGCTGATATCAACATATGCTCAACAACTCACAAATGCAAAATACTGATTATTGAAGATTTATCAAAATAGAATAATGCCCTTCCATTTTATTATTTAAAACATCATGTTGAATTGAACTTTGAATGCTAGAGGGGAAAAATCTCAATTGACATACTGTACATAGATAGCATTTAGCAAACTCAAGATGGATTTTCAGAGGCAATGGCATATTTACGTTTCATATGTGAACCCATCCTTTATACTAGAGTATTATGCACTATTAATGAATGTACGAGAGACTACGTATCCATTCTCATAAACTCGCATTGAATCAGAATGATATACCTTAGATCAGGGTCAGGGTCTAACAAACAAGAAATAAGATCCTCAGCTTCAGGAATGAACTCCACTAAGAAAAGATCCTTCTTATTTTTCACAATATTGGCATCGCGTTCAATACGTTCTCCAAATGGATGTCTTCCTGCAGTCATGCAGAAAAAGAGGACACAACCTAAACTAAATAAATCTACAGCCCGTGTTTGGCGTCCTTGAACAAGTTGCTCTGGTGCTTGCCACCCTGAACTGCCACAGCCTGGATTTAAGACATTAAACCTTATTATAAGATTAAAAATAATGAACCAATAAAGAACTGCATATTAACAAGCAAAATAAGACTAAATTTGGGTTTGGATTAGCATATTTTGTGTTCAGAAAAGCATATAAACAAAATGAGAGAATTTCAGTGAATGAGACAAAGCATATAAACAAAAAGAAAACATATAACCAAAATTAAGCAAAACTAAACACACGCAAAAGGAAGACTCTTGCACTTCAAAAAAGAATGAGAGAGAAAATGTTCAGTGAAAGAGATTTATAGATAGAGATCACAGGGGTAGAGTCATCTTATGCTGGACACTATTAGTAATTCATATGGCAATCGCTAAAAAAATGCAAATAAATTCTTCTACTCACCAGTAGCACTATGACCCAGAGAAGACATATCTTTGAGTAGGCGTTTGCTTATCCCCATATCGGAAAGCTTTGCACATAATGATCTTTCTTTGATTATCAAAACATTTTGGGGTTTCAAATCCCGATGAACTATTCCTAGTTCATGCAAATGAACAAGCCCGGAAACTACATCCCTGAGTTGCAATATAAAAAGGAAGGTCAAGATGGTGCAAACAAAAAATAAACAAATAAGTTAAAAATGTAGCAAGTGGACATTCATGTTTAAGATATCACTAAATGAAGACAACTATAAACCTCCAACTCCAATTGCTTGGCTCAGTTACAGGATTTCTAAGTGGAAACTAAATAGGATATGTCCTGTGTATTCTTATCTTTTTATTTAACTGTTTTCCATTGCTGCCATATCTTTTACTTCCATATCTTGCCCTTGTATCTTTCTCATCCTCTTGGATTCTCCTATTGCAACGTAATGCCCAAATTATTCCAGTCAATTATCTCATCTTCTCTTTATTAGAACATATGGCATAAGAATTATGACACATATTTTTCTTCAATAACAGTTCTCTCCTTGATTGCAACAATGCTCCTCCACATCCACCTTAACTAGGTAGATTTTCTTAGCCTATCTAAACGATCATATAAAAACTTAGCTTCTTATAGCTTATATATATAAAAAATTTAGCTTCTATAGTTTTATTTGTAATTGCAAAGCATTAAGTACATGCTAATCACATAAGTTTTTTCCCTAGTTGGGTACTATAACACTCATCCATGCATGGGGTATCTCACAGAATATGTATCAGAGTCTTCTTTTTAATATAGGAAATGTGATCATCGTAACCTTGCACATCATCCCGTAATAGTTCATTAAATCAATAAATGTTTTACATTTTACTAACCTCATCAATTTCTGCAATAGAGGTGATGGATAGCCCTTTTCTTTCCAAAGATATTGTATACCATCCCTCTCTGTCTCCATTCGAACATTTTTTAAAAAATTAGAATATTGGTCCTCGATAAATGCTGGGCTCTCTGATATATCAGAGTAAATATGAATTAAATCATCCAAGTTGCATGTACAACGCTCCAGAGCAAGGTAAACAAAATCATGATCATATTCCACCCCATACCATCGGACAATGTTTGGATGACGGTCAGATGCAATGAGATTTTGGATTTCTTTATGAGCGACATCATTATGAACCTGGACAAGACGTTTAACAGCAACTGCTCGGCCTTCATATGTCCCCTCAAGGACAACGGTACCGTTGCTTCCCTTAGCAATTTCTTTACTCGATACAAATAGTTTACCAATCCTGCGTCCTTCCCCTTTATTAAAGTACAACTGTGCTCCACTGTCAGTTTCCTTAAACGTCTGTATATCCTCTGCTGATGACAGATGTTTATCCCTTTTGCCACCAACGATATTATTCTTCCCTGACCTGCGTGGTTTCTTTTTCTTAGGAGGCAAACTTTTCAAATCTATCTTGCTGTTTTGGTCCTTCAATATATATTTACTTTTAACCACTAGATGGGGGTAGAAGATCCAAAAGCCTATTAAGGACACCATAACCAATATAAGAAGAAATAATTCCGTCGTCCATTCAATCACATTCTTTGGATCAACTTCCCCTGGTGCAGTGATCTCAACAAGTGGCAGAGCAACTGCGGCTGCATCATCATTGCTGTCATAGAAGCTGATTTTTTTATTCAAAAATTGCAAAGGTATATTACTATCAAAACCAGGGACAAATCCATCAATAGCAGACTGTGGTGCAAGCATCTGATTTGACATAGGCATTGGATTCACCTGATAACCCACAGATAATATTCCAGGGTTAGCAGTTTCTAACACAATATTCTTGCGTTGGCGGTAGACTTCATTCAGTTTTCTGTCTTGACATGCGTATGGCATAGCAAAATCTAAGCCACTATCAGAAGCATACTCATTCTCTGAATCAAACGAAGCCCTGCCAGATGGATTTTCATTATGTTGACAAAGTAATACAGCCTTAAATTCAGCCACTGCCATAGTCCACAAAACTACTCCTGATCCAAGACCAACAGATTGCAAAAAATAATCTGTCCTAATTATCTTGAGCAAGAACTCTGGCGAATTCAGCTGCATAGGATCAGCAACCTCATTACTCTTTCTACCAAGGACAGTCATAACACTCTGCCCATCACCACTCCATACTACAGGAGAAGCATGATCAACATCAGCAGCAGAGTAGCTTCGAACAAGCCTTCCCGTTTTAGCATCCACTTCAAACACAGTACTTCTTTTGGATCCAAGTATAACTGTTCCATCCTTTGTTACAGTAGGCGTAACAGCAACATAATCCGCCACCGATTTAGAGAGTTTCTGCAGGCACAAAAAGTCATAACATAACTTCTTATTGACTACACAGTGCAGTACATTGAAGTTAACAGGCACAACAAGTATCTATTCTTGAATCATGAGCAGTGTCAGTATTTGTCACTCAACTAAGTAATTGCAATTGAAAAAACGAAATAGCGAACCATCACAAATCAAAATGTTTCTAGGTCAAAATCATTAAAATAGTTGATCAATGTGTGAAATAACAATACCGTTTTACGAGAGAGGTTGTCATAAAGGATTAATTCCCAGTCATCTCCACATTCAATAAAGCCACTGAGTGCGGAAGCATTAGTGTTATCATTAGGGTTGTTGTTGAAGGGAGTATGATAGGAATGGTAGATTGAGGATCCAGTTGGAAAAGACCAAAACACCCTCCCAGAATCACTGCCCACCAAATAAATGGTTCCATCTAGGGCAGCGAAGAGTGCCGTAGCGGGTTTCCTGTTCCATGAATCAAAACAACTTCGCTCATATAAACATAACAATAACAATCAATAAATTGAAGCTCGGAAGAAAGAACTAACGGTGGAACAGAGAGAAGAGAGAGAGGAAATGGTTCGGGGAGAAGCGATAGTTGGTTCTGTGAGGAGGATGAATCAGCGGTGCAGCTCAAGAAGAAGAAGAGGATTAGAGCGTTCAAAACGCGAAATTTCATCTGCGTCGTTTGGGAAGAAGAAGAGGGAGAACCATCAAATCAGCGCAGTTTCATTGGACGTTTCTCTGAACCTGCGATGCGATGTGTTGAACCCCCAAACCTTCCGTCGAATGCAGAAACCAGTTTCAGGGTCGCACTTGCGTCATCGTCCACATTTTCTTTAAGCGTTGCCCATTCACTTTTCGCCACGTCACCGTGTCACGCCTCTTTCCCATTAAACGAAGATTTGATTCGATTATGATTTAACTAAGTAATTTCATTTAAAACATTTCGTTAAGTAAGTATACTTAATATTGATTCAAAAATCATATGTTGATTAAAATGATTAACAAAATATATTAAATACTCGGAGAAAGTTTTTGTTTGAATAGAATTGTATTTAATAAAAATACATGTGATTTAGAAAAATATATATATGTAAATTATTTTATTTTAAAAAATAAAAGTTTATAAACAAAATTTATGTTAAAAATTAGTGTTTTATTTTTAAATAAAATTAATCAAAAAATAATATTAAAAATAACTAATAATTTTTATACATTGTATGCATTATTAAATTAAAATAATATTTTCATATCAATAATTTAAAATATATTATTGTATGATCATTTTTAATTTTATACCTTTTAAAAAGGTAAGTATTAAAATTATTAATAATAAATATTTTATTACATTAAATAAAATTAAATAAAATTATAAAAAATTTAAATTTTAAAATTAAATTAAAATATACTTAATGTGAAGAAAAAATCTTAAATTGATAAAAAAAAAACTAATAAAAGCATTTATGCTTGAGAAAAGTTTTAAAAATATTATTGTTTAAGAATTAATACTTTTGAGTTATGTATAAACCTTAATTTTAGTATATTATTATTATTATTATTATTATTATTATTATTATTTATGAATCTAATTTTGATGTTTTATTAATATAAATTTTTCATGATATTGATTAATTAAAATATATTGTTGATGTGACTTTTTAATTAATAATTTTTATTACTACAATAATCAATAATTAAACAGCAGTGTAAAAAAAATGATTGACCTTGCTCATAGATATTATATCCGTATAAAAGTTATTTGCGATTGAGAAGTTTTTGGTATCATCATTTTCAACATTTAAAAAATAATATGATAAATATTTCCTGTATTTTTATAATTTTGATATAGTAAATACTTTTTAATAAAAAAATTATTACTTAAAATTAACTCTAAAATTTGATATTAGCATTTAAAAAATAATAAAACTTGTTTAACTTGAGTTTTTAAGTATTTTCATAACTTTTAAAATTTTATAATGTTAATAACGAGAGCTTCTAATTTCATTGGTAACAAAAGTTATCGAACAATACAAATACGATAAGAGTTTTATTCTGAAAAAAAAATTGGGACAATGAACTAAAAATAAATAAAATACAAAGAATCCAAATGGAAAAATAGTGATATGTGGACTTCTTCTTCTTTTTCAATGAAGAACTACATAAAAATCAACAACTTTTTTTCATCACCTAATATGATTTGTCCCTGTAGAAGGGTAAGAATAAGATGAATGAAAATATACGTATATAGGTACTAATGGCAGTGTCTTGGACATGATGGCCAATCATGTGATTTTCCTAACTTCTTTGTTGTCTGGCAAAGGTTGATATGAGAGCAAGCATTGACAAAATTCATATATACCATTCTTCTTTACTAGTCAGCAACTGAAGACACCTTAAGATAATACCCACAAGAGGAATGTTGACCATGCAGTGAGTGCTATGGCTGCAGCACTGTATGTCCACAAGAGTATAACTGAACACTCTTCATTTCCTACATCAAACAACTGAGCCATGGTACCTGCACAATTAATATTATTGAATTTTGAAGTTAGCAATATGGACTCTATTTGCTAATGAAAGATAAACACTTCAATTAAATTATATGAATACATGGAATGGAATCTAGTACTTACTAATGTTCATTGCTGGTGGCATGGCATATTGCATCACTAGCACGTATTGAAACAAAGGATCAATAGGGAGTAAACCGAAATTTGCTGCTGCTTTGACAATAAACAATCCAATAACTGGTAGTAAGAAAAGTCGAGCTATGATTATGCTGATGAGGGTCAATGGTTTGACATTTGATGTTTTCAATCCTGAAATTTCAAGACAAAGTTAGCAAAGCTTTTTTTGGCCATGATTTAGTAAAATTATGAAGAAAATGTCTATAGCAGCAAGTTTTTGTTTTACACCTTGAGTTAGGTTACCACCAAGCAAAAGGGTGATGCAAGGAATTGTCCCATTCCTGAAAAGCAATAAGTTCAGTCAGATAACTAGGTGTGTGTTTGGTTCAGCTTATTTTGAAGAAATAATTGTTTATTTTTATCAATTTTTTCAGAGAATTTTTTAAAAATAAGGATTATTTCTCTAAATTTAAGCATTTCCAAACGTGTACTGGGAAATTGGAGAAGAAATGGACACTGGAGAACAAATTGTCACATACCCAAGTAGTTGAAGAGTGTCTTGGATGACATGAAATGGAGCATTGTCTCCAACTATTAGGTTCCTTAGCCATGCAACCGCGCCAAAGAGGAAACCAAAAAACTGATCATGGAATATGAATGGATGTAAGCGAATGTCAAATTGCATCCAAGTAGCAGAAACTAAACCAAGAAACAAATCTAACAAAGCAAAAAGAAAGGAAAGCCAGTCAAAAAGGAAACTTACTGTTGCAACTGCGGGTGGTGACAATAGTTCTGCCAGAAAATGGCTCAGAACTTCTACCATTCTATACCAAAACGATTCTACCCCATTCTTCGATTCATTGGACTCATCTTGATCAATCTGAAAATCCAGATCCATATCCTTTTTATAAACTAGTAACTAGTAGATCATGTTTCATATAGATATGGGCTATGAAAAGTAAGGAGAGTACATACAGTGGGATTGGGTTCATAAGCTCTTTTCAACTTATTTCAATAAGTTTCATGGTCAAATATACATGTTACTTGTGTAAAAAAGTTTATCTATTAAGTACTTAATTATGTTGTGTTTCTAAATGCACCTTATACACACGTATCATTGTTAATTTGTTACTTGGAAAATTGTGTGGATAATGGCTTTCATATAGTTAAATTTTGTGGGGTTGTAAGAGTAAATGAACTGTTCTTTATTTTCAAAATCTTCCTACTGAAACAAGTGTAGCCATAGTCTAGTGCATGGGTTGTTGGGGTCATACAATTTGGTTTTCGTTGTCTCCAAAATAAGTCGATGGTGGCACTTCTATCATTGTGTCTTTATCCCTGAGAAGGTGAGTTTCTGCATTGGTATCAAAATCTTTGTTGGGAATCTTTACGATCTCAGCAGCCTCAAGAGCCTTAAATTTCATAGATCTGCTTCTTACAGTCTGGTAAGTGTAGGTCCAGATGAAGATGCCACCAAGCTATAATCAACAAAACAAAACGAGATAATAAGATACACTGCATGGTAAAATTTTATTGAAAATTGTAATAAAATGCATTAAAAAATAAAAAATATAAAGGTCAGTCAGTATAATTTTACATTTTGCAGCAAAACTATTTTTTTTATCCCTTGACTGAGGTACTGACTAGGATTTTCTTTAGTTCAAATGCAAATAAGATGCCTTACCGCCATAGAGAAAGATGCATAAGAGAGTGCATTGTTGCGACAAACATCACGTGCACCAAATGGGCCTCCTTTCTCATCACAGATAGCAGGGATGATTACAATAGGAAGGTTACCCAAATTTCCTGATCAAAGAATCGTTCATAAAATAACATTTTAGATAAAGGTACTCTAATAAAATTAAGACATGGGTTGGCACTTGGTAGGAGTGAAAAATTGAAGGATTGGAACTGGATGGGGATGGTGACATAAGTTTAACAATGTATTAAGGCATGCATCGATGTCTAAGTACATTGTCAAATTTCCCACCTTCAATTTCTCTATTCCTTCAAGTTTTGCTCTTGCTGAGCATACTATAACTTTGATGCTATGTTACCTGATGAACATGAAGCAATAATAAGGCCTTCCACTTTCAAATTAGGCTTCAGTAATTTTACAAGTAACCATCCTATAATCCCTCCAATTAAGAAGGTAAGTCCAACATTAACGGGCATAAACCACCTGTATAGAAGGGGTCATCAGGATCTGGTTTAACACAGTCAATCAATACAAATGAACACCTACCACTCCAGAAATTGATATGCTTTTTTCTTTTCTTACATGTATTCTACTCCTATTCAACAAACATAAGTAAATAATTCATGAATAATTCTTAGTTTTCCTACCTTTTATTCTTACGAATCCTGACATATATATATCTTAAGCAAAACATAAAAGTAAATAACAATAAAAGTAAAAAAAAAAAAAACTTCTAAAACAGATCTTTATTTTAGGCAAAAATGACCGTTTTTAGAAAAATTTCACTCTAATGCTGTAATTGCAGTTGCTATTTGAAAGCATTCTAGTTTTCAAATTTTGTATTCAATTTTGTGCAATAGCTCTAATTAATGTTTAGGAAAACAAATAAAGGGGTTCCAGTTTCAGCATTCCAGGCAATGTGATCAAATACAAAGCTCAAGGTTCATTCTCAGTTCTGCCTATGAATAAAAAACAAAGACACAAAATCATGCAAATCTTTTGAAAGTGGCAAACCAATTCATACATACCATGATATCATATCTTCAAGTGAAACACTTTTGGCAAAACTGGAAAATACAAGTGAAGGAGTGAATACGAGGAAAACAATCTGCAAAAAAAGGTTACTCTTAGATTTGAATCATGCAGAGTTTTTCCTGCATTTGTTCTCACAATGTATGTTGAATTTAGCATGAATTTTTACCCTGTTCAAGGCTTTCCGAGTGTCTGCTGAAAGAAGATTATCAAAATACCCAGTTGCCATGATAGCTCCCAGTGCACTAATAAGTAGTACTTGAATAACTGGCATAGACGCCACCTCCAATAGTTCCAAGAAACCCATTTTCCTTTTGTTTTTCTTGTGCTGATCTACTTCTTCTTTTAGCTGCTTAATACTATTGCTGGACTTTCTATAGGATGAATTAACAAGAAAGAATAGAGATGAGTCTCTGGAAACCAAAATAAAAAGTGACAAAGTGGGGCAGCAAATTATTAATTAGTGATGAAGAGGGGACACCAAGGTAGCAACTAATCACTCTATAGATTTACCATTCAAATTAGGAAAATATGTTGTCCAACATTCCTTGGGATGTAACACTATATCTTTTTCTATTAATTACTACTTTAATTTTACCGTAGAGATAATTTTTGAATAAGATAAACTTATCTTGTTGGTTATCAAATAATAAATTAAAATAAGATGTGATAATTTATTTTACCTTATCATCTTTTTCTTAATTACTAAATAAAATGAATGATTTGATTAAAAAAAGTAAAAAGAAAAAATGAGTTGTAAAAATAAAATAACTCATTGAAAGCTATATTGTAATGTTGGACAGGCATGATACCGTACATATATGTGTCTGTTTGTCAGTTAAAGCCAAACACTATAACCAACGCATTGAACCAATCAATGTGCATGTTTATTATGATGATGTCATTGCTTTGCTGCACATTTCTTTAACGTAGACAGGGGGGAGGAGGTGGGTGCATGAAGCTTTGATTTGATTCTTCTCATACCCACCCAAAGATCTAAGAGAAATAAAATCTTTTTTTTTTAATTGATGAGTAATATAATATTATGATATAGCTATGTTAAAAGAGATAAATATATTTTTTTATTAAATAAAAAATACCTTTACTTACTTATAGTTTTATTAATTTAAGTTGATAAAAACCAGAGCTATTGTTGAAATGACAGTGATGTGATGATGATCAATTATGAGAAATAATTTCTTCCACATGCATTATTGTTTTTACCCAATATTTTGACACTAGTTTGTTGCATAAAGTAGGTTCGACTACTATGATCCTTCTACAAGAACTCAACCCACCATGGACAAGTGAAAATACTGTAAATTTTACACGAGAAAATAATAGTTTCTTACTCTAAAATGCACATGTCAAGTACAAAAGTATAACCATCGATTTTAATCTCATTAACTAGTTATAAATTTTAATAATTTCATAATTTATCACAATCTGAATTCTGAACTCTAGCCTAATTCTAAAAAAATAACATGCAAATATGAAACTCATTAATTGTAGACTAAGTAAATTTTCTTGGTTAAAAACAACTAAGCAGTGAGTACATGTGAGTGAGCAAATAAATGAAAACGAGTAATCTCCAACTCACAAATAGGATTAATACTTACTATAACAAGCAATAATTTGTGTATGTTTTAATTAGTTGTACAGGTATTATTTCAATAGTTAAATATAGAAACAAGTGTTATGTTTAAATATTTCATGTAAAAATTAATTGTAACATATAAAATAAAAGTATTGTTGATGTGTATATTATTTATCTGTTAATAATTTCTCAACTTATTTTGTTATTTTTATTTTTTTTGCTATTAAATATGTGTCATTAATAACATCATATCTTTAATAAATTTTTAGCTTATGAAGATAGGAGTTTTAAAATTAAAATTTAAAAAAACAAAAAGATATTATTCCATATTACATGGATAAATGTTATAAAGAAATAAATTATTATTAATAAAGAAATTATATAAAAATAATAACCTTTACAAGATTTATTTGAAAAAACTAAAAAGAAAAAACTTTGATCTTTTAAAAGACTTTTTGCCTCTAAACTTAAACATATCTCAATGAACATATACATTGTCCAGATTTGTGAGTAGTATCTATGTGGGAATCGAGAAGGATTAGAATTCGAGCAAAACTAGGAAAGGGATAAGCATTAGAACAGAGACAAACACGATTCTTGCAAGCAGCAGCAGAAGATTTTTCTAGAGTTTCATCCCAATTCAACGTTTTGCAGATATACATCTCTTCCAAACTTTTTCTTCACTGATCACATCTCAGATCCCACCTCCCCCAAGTAGAAGAACTTTCTTCCATCTTTTGCCTTTCCCCCACTTGTCATTCGTGTCGTTTTGTTATAATTATTCCAAAAGTTGAATGATTGGTGCCAACACAAGAAAATACTTATCTGTAAATACTTTTATGTGAATTTCATTTTCACTATTTATTTTATCAAACAATTTATGACTTTTATTCGCTGTTATTATCACTAACATTTGTCTTTCTAGTGTTATTTTGTTTGATAGATTAATAACATTATAAAAAAAGTGGTGACAAAACTGCATAATCATTAATTAGATGGAATACGATGTGAACGTTGTCCAAAACATTATGCGGTGCAAAACACATCTGAAAACAAATCCAATGATTTCGAACCAACTACGTAGTACATTTTTTTTCAGTTCTTGTGATGACAATCCATTATTTACGTTAGGATTATACGTGTGGCGTACAAAATGATGAAATTTGTTTGAACGAATTTTATTTATGTTTTAGCAACTCGCCGTTCACGTATCTGCAAAGTTGTAGTTGTAAAGTTGTACTGTGATTGTATTATTATAAGAACAGGTTTCGTAAATATTTAGACTTTTTGGCTGCTACTATTATTATATGAGTTTGTCAACACCACCCTTTATAACTATATTTGAATTAAAATATAAAAATTTTATATTAAAAATAACTCACTTTTTATTATATTAACAGTATGGAAATATAACAAATATTTTTTAATAAAATTTCACTATTATTGATAGTTTAAATCAATCCTCAAATCTGAAATTAACATTTTTCTTGTTATATTCGAAAGAGACAACTTTCTTTCCCAATTTATCTAAGGCCAACGCGTTTTTAAGTATAGTTTTTGTTTTGATTAGTGGAGTTGACTCAGGCTTGGCTCTAAACTAACCCTGAATAATTTGGACTACCCCAATTAATGTCTATATTGTTTTTATTTATATAATTAACATATTAATATAGAATAATTTAGTTAATTCAACTAAATTATTATAAATGTTATCTTATCAAATCAAATGCAATCCACATTGATATTCCCGCAGCCTTGGCAGAGCAATAACATTGCTCGCTTCCATATGTCATTCACATAACATTATCACAAATATTTTATATTATACGATTTTTTATATAATTTAAAAACTTATAAATATTCAATGCAATTATAATTATTTAATTATATTTTAAATATTATACCATGTGTTTTAAATATAGTGAAACAATTAATAGAATAATAACAATTGTTTAATTATATAAAATTAAATAATTTTACAAAAAAAAAAATTAAACAGTTAAATTGATAATATCCATTTTTATAATAAAAGATATATTATTTTACTAAATTTAACCCCTAATATAATCATTTGACACGCATATGCATATCCGCACAGCTGGTAAGAGAAGCAATGAACATATCCAACCACTAAAAAAGGTTGCCCAGAAAAGTAGCAAATTAATGCTTAAATGCAAACCACAAGCCAAAGCATATTCTAGCTGGGTCAGCATCCCGAAAATAAGAATATTTTCAGCAGCTAAATTTTTCTGTGGAGTAGAATTATCATTTATAATTATAAAACTTATCTGACAGAAAAAGAAATGCAGAAGCCTTTGACATTACAGAAAATGAATCAGATTTTCAAACGGTAATTGATTAAGGATTACCAACTGATTAATAAATTTGGAATGGAAAGAGTGTTATAATATATACTTTTTAAAGCTTTGCATAGAAAAGTTTAAAACTACAGCAGGAATAATGAATGATGAGAGTGAAGATATATAATGCTAATGCATGTATGTTAGAGAGAGAGAGAGAGAGAGAGTAACGTATGAAACCTGGGAATCAGAGGCTCGGAGCTACACAAATCTTGAACCTTGGAACATGCAGAAGCAGCGAGTTTTGGGATGAAAGAAAGAAAGGGTGAATGAAGAAGAAGATTGAGTTATACGTGTTGTGTTCTTTCTTCTATATATGTATATCGGGAAAGAGAGAGAAAGTAAGATTGTTCTTTCTTTCGTCTAACTTTGACCAAAGCCAACAAGTCAATGTATCAATTTGAAATCGATAGCATATTAGCATGCATGTTCCCAGTTATTTTGGATTTGGATAACTAATCTACTCATCTACACGATTTCTCATATGGTATTTTAGACATTTTAATTGATACGGATTTATTTACTTTCATAAAACATAAATTCTTCGCTTAATAATAAGAATTGATAAATTCAATTATTCTCACAATTCCCAAACTATTACGATTACTAATTAAACTATTTCAATATGTTATTATTTTAATTTTAATTAAATGTTAGATAGTTGTTGATACTAATTTCTAATTATTGATATTCATAAAAATTATTTGAAAAAATAAAAATAATGACAATTAATCAACTACGCATATATATTTAAAGTGTAACTTTAATATAACATAAAAAAATAAAAACATATCAACTACCATTGATCTATGTAAGGTTAACTATGTTATAATATTAATATAACATAAAAAGTATTTTAATTTTTACTTTTATTTGTTAATTTATGTAAATATTTATTATTTATTATATTTTAAATATATTTTTATAATTATACATTTTTTTATTTTATTGCAAAATTATTTTAACTAAATGATTGATATATTTATGTAAAATTTATTAAAAATAATAATTTAATGATATATATTTATATTAAAATAATATTATTATATATAATTTAAATTATAATTAAATTAAAATTATTTAAATTAATAAAAAATAACTTCAAAATTTTATAAAATTAATCAGATTTAATTCTTGAACTATTTAATGGTCATAGAATCTTAAAAATGAAAAAACAAATACTTATAAATCATATTTAAGGAAAATTATTTAGAATTATATATATATATTGGTGGTCATAAAATTAAAATGGAATAATTTTTTTGTCATAAGTTATATTTAATATTTTTTTTTAAATCTAGTTGTACATAAAAGTGAAAAAGCTAATCATAAAATACTAAAAACGAAAAAATGCATTAATTATCTTAATTTATTAATGTCTTAATTTTATTAATTTAATACCTTGCCGATTAAAAATGTATATTAAAAACTAAAATATATTTAAAGAAAAAATTTTAAAAAGTAATATATGTGATAATTAGTAATAATATTTATAAAAATATTATTTTATATATTATTAAAATATTTTTCATTAAAAATGTAGGACCATCAATTGATCAATCAATAATTAGTAAATTAATTAAATTTAATGTGATAAAAGCAAGCACAAATCTATAATTCAAATATTACCTATACAGATTGAAACTAATGATTATAATATATATGAAAAATATTTTATTAAATTAATTATTTATCTTTTATTACATCGCTAAATAAGTATTAAATTGATCATCAAAATAGTTTTATATTCACTTATGTAAGTAATTTTTATACATAATTTATAAATTTGTTAATAGTAATTTTTATTATTTTACTTTATTTTTTATACTTTGTAGTTATGTCAGCTCCTAAAATTTATTTAAATAAACAAATACAATTTTTTAAAATTTTATATTTTTAGTAAAATGTTTAATTTTTATTTTTTAAAAATGTATCCTTCAACAAAAAAATAATATATTTTATATTTTTTCTTTTTTTCTGACTTATATGCCAATATAATTATAATTAAATAACAATAAATCATATTAATGTATTTTGTTTTCTTATTTATTGATTATATATAAAACATATTTTTTATATGTAAAGTGTAACTCTTTGTAATTTATTTTAAAGAAAATAATTTAATAAAAATATAAACAAATTCATGTAACGCGGGCATATTTATTAATGAGTAGAGTACTATTGTATATAAATATAACTTTTTAATTATTATATTTATATAAATAATAGTGTTCCAAATTGTGAATTTATCAATGAATATCTATAAGAATAGAATTTAAGTAGTAGAATAAATAAACTTGGTCTATAATAAAATGTATCTATGTATTAAGATCAAGCTGTAACTTTCATTGAAGTTGTCCAAAAGAGAAATCACATCGTAGTAGGGAGTCACCTACTTCACTGCTGGATACATACTTTGAACAGCTAATCTTATATACTGCATAAAAATGTTACAAACTGATATCATAGCTTGTTATATCATTATTTAATAATTATTATGATATTTTTGTCTTACATTATTTCATTTTTAAATGTTTCCAAAATTAATAACACCCATGTAATAAATGAAAACTTATTAATTATAGGTTATAGTTATAAGTGCTTAAATGATTATTTTTTTAAATCCCTCTAAAAAATAGTAAAATTAGGTGATTTTTTTTTTCAAAATAATAATATGTAGACGAACTTATTTTAAAAATCACTTTTTTAAAATAAATAAACGATTAAACCAAACACAATTATTTAAAAAAAAAAAAACTACAAATGATGCAGCTCTAAAACTGATCCAAGTGAATTTGTAAGATAACATTGATTACTAATATTTGACTTTATAACAAAATATTTTTTATGATTAAGCTTTGGTGTAGGTTTGAACAATGGATTTACATATATTAATGGTGTGGGAATTACCCTGACGGCAGTGAATGGATCTATTTAGAAAATTCCAACTCAAATATGAGAAGGAGTGCATTACTCTCTCTCTCTCTCTCTTCCTTTGTGTATTTAAATTCTAACTCAATTTGACAAAGTATAGTTCTATTATTTTATATTTTTTGTGATTATAAAATATTTTAACTATTAAATATTATTTTAGGAAAGCAACATTTAATATTTTTATAAAACAATAATACAATTATTAATATATATATATATATATATATATATTAACATATCTCTAATGACTGATAATAAAAAATCTATATATAATAATTTTTTATTAGAAATAAAATATTTTTATATGTTTTAAATGTATATGATGTATTTATTAATATACGACCAAAAAGTTAATTACATTTATTAAGGAAGATCATATGTGATATATAAATGTTGCAAAAGAAGCATAGAGCGATACCGACGTTGCATCACATTACCGCGATATCAAAATAAATAAAATGTGTTTAATATATATGACAAAAATTTAATTACATTTATTATTTTAGAGTTAATTTTTTTATATATATTTTTATAATAATTTAGAGTAACTAATAAAATATATTTAATATTTTTCTTAAAATATATTAAAAATAGATAAATAAAGGACAAGCCAACGTGTCAACAGCCATCAAAATTTACTAAAATAATTAAAAAAAAGAAAAAAAGAAGGGCCAATCAGAAAAGTTGCTAATTTTTTGGTGCTTTGTCAGATTGGATTGAATTACGGTGGCAGATGCAATGCAACGAAGAAAGGGCAACATTAATGAAAAGGAAAATGTGCGAAAACATGGGAAGAGATGTGTTTCTCATTGGCTGTTTGTGCGTACCCAACAATTTCTGACTTGGACCATGCATCATTGCATCTATAATCGTGGCAAATCTTTCTTCCTATACATGATTCGGAAATGTTTTTTATTTTAATTTTTTAACGCATATATAATTAAAAAAATTAGTATAATATTTTTTATTAAAATTATAATATTTATGTTATTAACGAGGATGAAACTTGGAATTTTTGGTATACATTTTTACACTAAATAAATTTTCACTTTAATTCTTTAAACATGTACTTTCATTCAAAATAACTTTTAAAATTAAAAATAGTTAATCACATTAATTCTTACAAAAAAAATATGTTGAAATTAAGTAATAAAGTGATTATTTATCATGTTAAATAATATGTGTCAGTCTTTAATTATCGCTATAATGACATTCAAATTATAAAAGTCTTTTATCTTTAAGTTTTTTAGTTGCATTACCACCTTTAAGTTATAAATATATGAGTAGACAACCTATTGTATCAATTAAGTGAAGGAGTCTCATATGTAAGACAATAAATACATTGACTATGTGAATTTTTAGAGTTTTGTAATTATTGATCACATTACTAATTAAGTTTCCTTTGAAGTTTTTCTATTGTAAATAAAAAAATCATTTATTTACTATAACCATGCTAATCTCTTTCTTGTTAAGATTAGCAGTAAAGTTGTTATTTTATAATTTTTTGATTCTTTAATTTTATTTGTAATTCAAAACATCGTTGAGACTAATAATGAAGATATTGTCGCAGTTTTCCTCAAACATGTTGTTTGAAATACTTATTTTATTATTCTTATATTTTGCAGTCTATTACAATAATGAACAAATGAAAGAAAAGAAAGCAAAATAAAAGATGAAGAAGAACTTATTGCTCAAAAATATTAAAGATTGAGAACAAAAATAAATTATTTTTGATAAATTTTAAAATAATATTGTATTGTATTTGAAATGAATTTTCATGTGTCATTTAATATAATTAATAATTAATTTTATTAATTAATTTTAATATCTCTCAACAAAAATAACTAATGGATTAAGTAAAATTAATTTTAGAGACTAAAATTTTAAATTTTAAAAAATAACTTTAATTAAGTTATATATTTTAAGAGTTTATCACTTTTATACCAATAAAACGATGAACTCACAATTTTTTAACACAAAAAATAAAAGAGAATATCACATCATGTGTCAATAGTAAAAATAAAGTTGTCTCTTCTACATGGATTCAACCACTTACATATCACCATGTGTTCAATTTAAAAAAAAAAATACATGTGCCATCCTTTCATTAATCAAGGTGATAATAGTCTTAAATTATGCAATAAGTATAATTACATTCACTTGTTACCTTATACATAAAAAATATTTTCTCAAAAAGGTCTTGAACATATAAAAAGTACGATTTATTTTTAAAAGAAATTGCATCACAATTCTATTCACATGAAAAAATATTTAACTAATAAAATAATTTTAAAAAATATTATTCTGATAAATTATTTTTAAAATTATTTTTTAATAAAAAAGTTGTATATATATAAAGAGAAGTTGAAAATAAAAAAACTATATATAATATTATATAATATATATTTTTCATGGTGTAACTAATAAAAATAGGTATTTGTTATCATATTCATAAATATAAAAAGATATCTTATACTTTTATTAAATCAATAATTATAATTATTTTGATATCTTAAAAATTAAAATTATTTATATTTTTAAAATGAATTACTAACTTTCACTATTTATTATACATGTAATATAATATTAATAGTAAATTATTATTGAGAAAAAATAAATTATCTTAACAGTAGAGATATAGGAGTTTAGTTTGATATATAAACTTTTTTAATGGAGAGGAGAAAAAAAAGAAGGGAAGTATTATATTGATCTCTTGTTATAGAATATTTTTTTTTATTTTAAAAGACATAATATTTTTATAATTTTTTTATTGGTTTCTGATGAGTCATTGACTCATATAGTAAATTGAAGGTTTATGGCACATTTCATTGAATTAATAATCTAAGTTAATACAAATTAATTAGAATATTAAATGGAAAGACGCTATTGCTGGAAATGTAATAAATTGTTCATGGTTTGTAATTATTTTTGAAGGGTTGAGAAGAAAAATTGCAATTGGATTTAAAAAGAAGTTAAATTGCTACACGACACATTTATGGACACATGCATTTTTGATTGTAGGAACACGAGTTTGACATAGCATATAAAAATAGAATTTTCTACAAAAGACAACGTCTTTTATTACACCTTTTAGACATAGAATTCTAGGTTTTTCATACAGTTTTACATACAAATGTCGTTCATTCTAGTTTTTCTTTGCTTTTGTATGGGATTTTGATGGGAAGTAGGGCTTCATCCCTCCATTCCTTTTGCTTTTTAATGGAATAGTAATGTCCTACAATTTATTTTCCTTATAATTTCTTTTAAGTTGAACATGAAGTTTATTTCTGCAAGTATTTTAGTTTCTTGTTCTTTCTTTCTGCCATGTCTTGCTAATTTTATTGAAGTTGAGAAATGATGAACTTAGTCTTTTACCCATAGCAATGAACTGAACATTAAATATAACCCATTGCAATTTGAATCTAACATATTTAATTATGAACTTAAGGCTTCTTTGTTTCTTAAAATTTAGAATTGATGAAAAGGAATTTATAACTGGAAAGTTGTAACCTTTCTTGGATTTGAGTTAAAAAGCTCATTATGGATTATCTAGGAATAGAAGTCTCTAATGGTGTGGTCATGTTAATTTCTAAACTTAATACTAGTCATCTTCTTGGTTACCTAAGGGATTAGGAATCTAGAACTGATTTAAAACCAATCAATTAAGGAATTAGTATTCAGTACAGTGAAAAATCTGAATATTGAATTGTGTTGTGGGTTACACATATTTTTATGCAAGGGGAAAGGATTAAGAAATTCTGAACTCAATTCACTTCTTAATTAATTAACTTCTTAATTAATTTACAACTCAATTTTGTTCTCTTATTTAGTTATATTTTGCAGTTTAGTTTTATTTATAATTAGTCTCTTACATCTGAATTGTTACTACCATTGTCAATTAAATTTTTCAGCACTTACGCTTTTACATTCTGCACATTATCTAATTTTCCCGTTTATATTTTTACTCTATTTTACGAGTCAACTAGTAATATTCTTGTAGTTTAGTATTTAACATTAGTCCTAGTAGACGATAAAATCTATTTTATCACTGCAAACGATTTGGTACACTTGCCAATATATTTATCAAGTTTCTCGCACCGTTGCTGGGGATTAATTGTTAATATCAATTGTAATAAGAATCTTTTAGCTTGGGTTAATAATTTTTGCTATGTTTTAAGTGTTCACAGGAAAACTAAAGTGCAGTAGAAAGGATGTTAATGCGAGGAGAGGACAAGAACAAATCTGCACTTGATTTATCTCCAAAACTTGACCAGCTTATTATTAATTTCAAGAAGAAAACTAAAAAGAGGGAATAGACTTCAGAAAAAAGAAAAAGAAAAACAAACTCAAGAAGAGAATTCTGCAGCAATGGCAGAAAATACCAATGAAGAGAGGAGGACTCTGAATGATCATGTTTGTGCAAGACCCTGGGGAAACATCACATCCATTGTCCAACCTCCCATACAAACAAAGAACTTTGAGATCGGACCTAATATGATGAGAGTGGTACAACAAGAGCAGTTTGTTGGACATCTTTTTGAAGACCCCATTTGCATATTCAGAATTTTTTGGCCATATGCAGAATGATTAGTGTGAGTGATGAGGTTATCCGTTTGTCTCTTTTTCCATTTTCCTTAAGAAATAAGGCGAAAAGGTGGTTGTTATCCCAACCTTAAGGAAACATTACTACTTGGAATGATTTAGAGACTAAATTCCTCACAAAGTATTTTCCAGCCTCTAGAACAACCAAATTGAGGCAAGAAATCTTGGCTTTTTCTTAGCAGAAAGATGAAACACTGCAAGAGGCATGGGACAAATTCAAAGAACTCTTGAGAAGCTACACTTGTCATGAATTACCTGAATGGCTTCAATTGAAAACCTTTGAGGCGAGTGGAAAGGATTAAAGAATTCTGAACTCAATCCACTTCTTAATTAATTTACAACTCAATTTTATTATCTTATTTAGTTATATTTTGTAGTTTAATTTCATTTATAATCAGTCCTTTACATCTGAATTGTTACTTCCATCGTTAATTAAATTTTTCAGCACTTACACTTTTATATTATGCACATTATCTAATTTTTTTCATTTATATTTTCACTCTATTTTACAACTCAACTAGTAATATTCTTATAGTTTGGTATTTAACATTAGTCCCAGTGAACAATAAAATCTATTTTATTACTGCAAAAGATTTGATACACTTGCCAATACATTTATTATTTTTATTATTTTTCACGAGAACTGGTTCAATGAATGTTTATGTTCAAAACAAATTCTAATATGAATTTTTTGTTGATAACAAAATATTATTATATTATTTTGAAATGTATTCATTTTTTAAATATAAAATTATTTATCAAATTATTATAACAATTATGTGAAACAAAATTAGAATAAGATAATATTTTTTATGAAATAAATATTTCATTGCTTTTAATGGGTTGATATTATTTATCAAGTAACTACTAACTTGTTTAGTTTTCTGAAAAAGATTACTAGTGAGTAAAAAAATAGTTTTTGAGAGTCTAGGGTAAGAGTTTTTATCATTTTACCTTAAGCTTGGTATAATATTTTACTGAAATTTAATTAAAAGAACATTGCAAGTACAATAATCTTTTATACTATAACTAATTATGAGCTGTTATAATATTAAAAGAGTGGACATGCTAACACTTTATAGGAGAGCTAAAAGATTCAAACACTTAATAATGAAAAAAATTATTAAACCTTAACTCATAAAAGTTGAATTTAAATATTTTAAAACAATAAATTTTTATTATAAAAAACATTCTATTAAAATCATAAAATTATAACAATTTTTTAACAAAATATCACTATTATTTATTGCTCAAATGAACTAAGATTAACATTTTTTTATAATAAAATTCTAAAAATTCGTATGATGCATTAAATGTAGGTACAAAAGTATGTCAATTATTGGCCAACTTTTTTTTTCTTTTGGTCAAAATCATTGGCCACATGGATCCACATCTCAAACTCCAGGCCACCATAGAAATTAATAATAAAATAAAAAAACACACACACACACATACATATATATATATATATATATATATATATATATATATATAATTTTTTTTTCATATTAATATAAATTTAAAAATTCTTACACTTGATCTGAATTTTTTATTTAATTTATATTTAAATACTTTATTAACTTTTAAATATAAATTAACTAAAAAGCTCTATATGAAATACAGTTGAAATGATTTTAGGAAATTTATGGCACCTACGGCTATGCATAATCCATAAACAACTATAAGGTGTTTTCAATTGCAAAAAGTAGTAACTATAAACTACCATTTGAATTTTGTACATGATAAATATACTTTTTAATAAATATTTTTTAGAATTTATTTTTAAGACATTTTAGAATTAATTTTGATATATATTATTAATGTAAAATATTATATGTCAATCACTTAGATAATTGCATAAATAAAATAATCATCACAATAACTAATAATTTTCAACGATATAAAATTATCATTAGATTCAACGATGCAAATTTGTCCGCATCAACTTGGAGGAAATGACGACAAATTTTATTTGTCGAATTCCATCTCAATTTCAAGCAAGAACCAGGATTCGTGACTGATTGCTGCTGTCATTTTCCCAAAACCATGAAAAAAATATATTGTAAACAATGAACCAATATAACAACAAATAGTTGAATCTGATAAACAAAATTAACTCCTGACCAAACTTAATATTTGTTGACCATCAAAAAGAGATGTCAAATTGGCTTAAATAATGTCAAAATGATTTAATTATTAGATGGAAGCTCCAATTTCCTCTGTGGTCACTGCAGATTCATTTGGCTCTTCATCTGCCCTCAATTGTGCAGAAACACCATCAATGGCAGAATTCAGCTGAGCTATTTTCTCAGTTAACACCTTCCGAGTCTTCTGTTTTTATCACAGCAAGAAAATAACAATAATTTCATTATACTAACCAAATGATAGCACAAGTTTACAGTCATAGTAAGTGCAAAAATACACTTTTCTCAAAAGGTTGTTTGTAAACATACAGGAGCACACACCTACACTATAGTCCCCGCTCCCTCAATTATTTTTAAATGTATACTGACATTATAAATTTGAATTTCATTACTGGACCTGAAGACATCTTTTATTCTTTTCTCCATATAATACCAGATTTAGCAGCACTTATTTTTATAATTTTCAAAGACTTTCAAAATTCTCTTTCATATTCGGATTTCTTTATAATATTTAAATTTCCTTTAACGTCAGGATAGGAAATTAAATTCTCATGTCCCAGATTTAATTCTTTTTTATATTAAAATTTTTTCCCTGTCTCAAAATTTAAAACTTTATACTCAAATTATTTTTCTTCAATTTTAAATTCACTATTTTTTCCCTAAATTTAAGCTACTTATATTTTTTTATTTAAATTCAAAAAATACATGTGCAATGCACAGGATACTTGCTAGCTTTTATATATTCCATAAGTTATGAAGATTATTCCACTACCCACTTGATATAATGATCATAGAGGTTAAGTTCTCCTAATGTTATTGTAACATATGATTAGATGATAATACATATAATTTACATTAGCAATAAATTAAATTTAAACTCATTAGCTTATGATATTATATTTTTATATGTAAATGTGAATATTTTACAAATATTTACTTGTGTGTTAGCAATGTCATATACTTAATATGGGCTCATACTGTTTCTCTTTCACACACAAATAAATAGTAACTGCAGGTATAATTCCTGACCTCCAGTGCTTTTTCTTCGTCGTACATAAATTTTGGAAGTTTCCTCATGAAATCTTTACTGTCAGCTGCAGCTAGTGCCCTGCTTATCTGCAAAGATAGTAACATAGAAGTCAAAAATAATCTCTTTTTGACCTTTAAAGTCAATACACAATCTTTCAATATAAAACAACATAGAAAATGTAGCTCCATATACATAATTCTGCAGTTTATAAACAAGAAATAAAAAGGTTCAGAATCTAGTTTCATCGATGCAGCTCTTTCTTTTCAAGCATATAGGGACAATCATATGAACAGACATTGATCAAACTGTGAAATGGAATACTTTTCTGATACCAGAGAGAGCAAACATAGAGGATAGAGCCAAGTTCAATGCAATTGTGTCATTAAAAAAACTGAAGAAATCACATCAAAATTTGATGCGTGTACATAATGAGGGGAGCTATCTAACAAACTTATTGCTTACAAGAATAAAATGATGGAAATTAATACAGAAAGTCATCAAGATTAATTCATATCTGATTTGAGCAAAACTGAAGTTTGACCAAAGTGAACCAAAACATATTTTTCCACTGACTAAATTTGGCAAAAAAAATTCCACAGTATGGGTAAAAGACACCTATGAGCAACAATCAATTATAAAAACAAGGGATAAAAAAAAGAGACCTTGTGAACTGCCACATGTAAAGGAAAGACTTAATAATGGATGGTGCTGGTTCTGAAGACATACCTGAGGTGCATAAACACAACCCAATGCTCCAACAAGTAGGCCTCCCAATACAAAACCACCAACAAAGATACTTCCACTACTTGGTCTTCCACCATCTCCACTGTTCTAACAGAGATTAGAAACACTAAGAAGTTAAAAGAATCCCATGAGGTGCACCAACCAGTTAAAATAATGCTTGTGCCAAGATTTTAGACAAGAAAACAACTTAAATGTGAGATGCAAGTGACAATCATCACACCATTTGATCACAAAACACAAAATAAAATTAAAACAAAAGTAGCTGTGGTTTTATAACATTTGTTGTAGCCAAACCATTTTTAGGCTTATGATCATATATGCTAAATAGACATGTATAAAATAATGCACCAAAAAGCAATGTCCTACTCCTACCCAGCTCGGACAATAAGTGGCCGGTTACGTGTTGCTTTAGCCCCAAAAGAGGAACCAGGAAAGTGTTCACTGGAACTGATTTTCAAGAAGCATTTATCCATTGGCTTCAATGAGGAACCTGGCGTCAAATAATTTGAATGTCAGATTTCCTAGAAATCACTAGAAAGGGGGCTATTGGATATGTTAATTTTTTTATTATTTACCATTTCTAAGTACAGTAGCAAGGATCAAACAAAATAATTTATTCCCATGAATTTAGCCCAAAAATGTTTTCATTAAGTTATTTTCCACCAATACAGATATAGAAATCTCTAAGACCTGGAAGAAGAAGAAGATTCACTCAAATATCTTGCCCAAGACTGCATCTCCTGACATCAGGATTATGTGGCGCTAAAATTACACTAACATTTACATTAACTTCAAAACACATCCGCAAAAGGCTAAAAAAAAAATAGTAAATACATGATTTGATCCTTGAAATATGTTATTTGTATGGTTTATTGATCATAAAATATTTAGCTTGGTAATAAGTTCATCCTACCAAAGTTGTAAACTTGCTAACAAGTTCATATCTTTGGGAATCAATTTGTATAGACAGAAACTTTCGGAGACCATAACAACAGAATTGCACAAGTAATGTCTTTCAGGGACCAGATTGTATATATTTTTCTAAACCAAAAATTAGAAAAAGAAGGCAGCATTTGTTTATCAACATCCTCCTGAAAATGAAGCTAAGAGAAATATAAGTTTAGTTCACATTCTCATCTTCCACCTGTTCATCCCCACCCCCAACCAAACATGCCCCAACATTAACATTGTCCCAACCAAATGGTCTGACTTCTGAGTTGATCAACCTTCCCCATTATATAGGAACCGAACACCGGGCAAAGCCAAAGTCACAAACAATTAAAAAAATTCCAAAAATCCTTTTTTTAATATGTAAATTTTCAATTGAGCCTTCAAAAGGAAAAGCAAAAGAGATTTTAGAATATTCGAGAAAAACACATCCACAAACAAACACAATAAACAGATAAAAGCTGCAAACTTTATAATCAGAATGGCATATATAATCTGAGAAGCAGCAATCTAAATGCGACCGAGAGAAATTTTGAAAAAAAAGGAACAGTTTTCACTTTAGAGTGGTGCCCTTTTCGGCAATGGCAATGGTAATAGAAGTAATCACCTGAGAGAAAGTGGGTCTGATGATTCTTCGGCATAGCAATGGAACTTGATAGAGCAGCCATTTCTGCAGAGCGAAACTAAAAATCTGAGTTTTTTTTCCTTCTTCTTCTGTTGTTACTTTGGTTCCTCGGAGAAAACGAAAAGGAAGAAAAACAGATCGGAATTTTTGGTTTCGAGCTTTGATAGTATCGTTTTCGTTTCGTTACTAACGATCGTAACGATGCGCATTCAGTTTAAGTTGGGCTCATGTCCCTTCGGCTAGGCCCATGTTTCTTTCTAACCAAATACAATAATTCCTTCTCTTTTTTTAAAACATATAAATTATTTGATTAATTTATTCTAGAAAAATTCACCAGTATTATTTAAAAAATTCATTAAAATATTTTTAATTTAATATACCTCTTAATTATTTTAATATGTTTATTTTGAAAAATTATAAATTTTAATTATATTCACAATTTCTTTGTACATTAAAAGTTATTTATTTTATCTCAAATACCGACTATTTATACTGTGTTTTAAACATTGACTGCCGGAAATAATTTTAAAAAAACATGTTCAGTTAATTTCTCAACCTGAATAAAATTTGTAATGTATACAGAAGAATTTGATATATTAAAAGTTAGAGGATTAAAACATGTATTTTAGTTAACTATTTTTATATAAGTTGGTGATTAATGATTAATTTAATAACTAATAATATTATTAAATACATCTCAAGTTAAATTTACACACAATTTTTTTCTTTGAATAAAATTAATATAATAATATTTGAAACTCGATTTAATTTATTTTTATTTATAAGAAGCAATATTCAAACCATTCTTTTAAACTTTTCAAGTTATGTAAACTAAACATATTTAACCATTAATTTCATTAACTTCTATAACACTTAAGCTTTATACTCCTTTAAATTATCATTGAATAACCCTCGTCAATTCCAAATTGGGTTTTCTAAAACTGGTTTATGTAAAGTATTAATTTTTTAGAGAAAGAGATTACATGATATTTTAATAGATATTTTGCTTTGACTAATTTCATGTGGGAAAGGTTGCAATATCTTTAATAAGTCTCAGTTCTGACCATTTTCAATTGTTATGAAAATCACGTTTTTCACTTTGTTTAAGTTCAATTAAGTATGATTTGGAACACTAGACCGCATAATACTCTCGTTTTATTTAAAGAATTGCAAGTAATTAAGTGGTTACAATTCATTCAGATTCCATCTAGTGAAGTTTGTATGTGTTTGGATTTTAAATATAACGTAGTATTGATTTGTTTTATAATAGATTGATCATTAACGAGTGATTGTGTCATGTTATAAAATGTTTATAATGTATTGATAATGTGTAAAAGCTTAAAAGTGATTGATTTTTCAATTGTTAAAAGCTTCGATTTGATTTTATAATTAAAAGTTTTAACTTAGTTATTTTAGAAATCTTGATTGTTGTGTCAATACATAGATAGATCACATAAACAATTAATTGTTACTTTTTGTATATTTTTTAAAAAAACAAAATAATATAATCTTACCTAAAATCAATAATATTTTAAGAAATATTAAATGAAGTGTATTCATTAATAGTTAAGAAGGAATCTTTAAACAAGAATATTTAGCCACTTAGTACTAATGTATACATCTTATTAATTTTACTAATTATTATAATAAAATAAATTAATTTCATTGAAATAGTTCTATCAAAGTGTTGAAGTTGTTACAATAATTAGATGATAATTAATTTTAAATAGTTAGTTAAAAAAAGGCAAATAAATAAGGGTATTGTTAAAAAAATAATAAAAATTTTAATATAAAAATAATTTAAAATAAATAAAAAAGTGATAAAAAATAAAAATAATTTAATTTTGATATCATTATCAATACAAGATTATCATATTGTTAATTTATTAAAATATATATTAGATGTAACACTTCGAATTTTTATAATATAATTTAATTATTAATATAAGTGTTTGTATTGACATTAAATACTGTAATATTTAATAAAATTTTACTATTTTTATTAATATTTACTAAAATACACAATAAGTAATTTTTTTTATCAAATATTATAACATTAATATTCTTAATACATTGAATATAAGAATATTATGTAATTTTTAGTTATAAATAATATATTATATAATTTTTATTGTATGTTTTAATAAAAATAATTATATATATATATATATATATGTTTATACATATAGTTTTTATTTTAGAAAAACTTTGTAAGTGTAGTGGTGGCATTAATATTTTATTTTATTTTCTTATAACAATCTTCTGTTCCCTCTGTGGATCCATCTGCATTATTAATTATCGTATCAAAACCCATGCATATAAAATACGTCAAAAGGAATTTTTCTCTTTTTTTTTTCTTTTAAAAAAGATTTATTTCAGCAACTAATATAAATAATTCAGCCAACCATTTACGAGTTCAAATATCGATGAGATTGCTTGATGACTATATTTGTTAAAAAATAATAAATATCGCCATCAACCAAGGAAAGTAGTGTGTTGGTCCATTTGAAATTTTCTTAATAAAAAGTAAAAGATTCTGCTAATTTATAATTTAAAAGTATCGTTTAAATACTTAATAAATCTTTTTTTATTATTGATAATATATACTTAATTTGGATATATTATTAATATAAAAATTTTATATCATCAACTGCTTAAAATATATTGTTAATATAATTTTTAAACTAATCATTACAAAAATTAATAGTTTTCACTAATTTATTATTTGACAATAGTATAATATACCATTTTTTTTTCTTTTTAAACTATTATGCTCAAGATATTGTAATTGTTAAATTCTCCTAATATAGGAAACCGCTTGTACCGTAAATTATACAAGTCTGAGACTACTCCAACGGCACATGTCTGAACCTTTCTCACCGATCTCTATAGACTCTGTTACGCGCTTTTGAAGTTCCTTCTATGGTTTTAAGAAACAATAGTGTTTATATATAAGCTCATGTTTCTTTTATTTTCTTCAGAAGCTGAGGAACACATGCATACACACATAAGTTGAAAGCTTGCTTGAACCTGTTTTTGAGAACCCAGTTTCTCTTATTCTCTTGTGACTTGTGGGGTGGCTCAAAGTAGTGGTCTTTGGTGTTTTTCTATATATCCATGAATAGTTTGGTTGCGTTGTCTTCATGGGTCTGCTTTGGAGGTTTGACCATGGCAGCAAGTGAAAGTAGTGGCAGTTCTAGAGACCTTGACCAGACACCAACGTGGGCCGTTGCTGTTGTTTGCACTGTTTTCATTTTGATATCCTTTACACTTGAGAAGAGTCTTCACAAAGTGGGCACGGTATGCAATTAATGAAAATTTAAACCTTTATTTTTGTATTTATTATCGTTATTGTTAGCAGTTAGTAATAACTCTTTATTTGTGCGTTTCCCACTGAATTCCACTGTTTCTCCCTCTTTTTTATTCATTGCATTGAAACGTTACTACGCTTCTCTCAATTTATGTACCAATTAATTTAATTTGGAAATGAAATATGAAAGTAATTGTTCTTTTTTTCCCTTGCTTGTTGAGTCTTGGTCACTGGACCAGCAGAGCTGAAGCTATGATATTATGTGCGTTATCATGTGTTTGCTGTTTCCTTTTTACTCCCTGAAAAGTTTTCGTTTGACTTAATATAACAGGGTATGTCTGAGTTGCCTGACAGAATAAATAATTCTTCTAAGAGAATTAATAAGATTTTATTTATTAAAAAAATATATAATTTTTATTACAAATGTTGTAATTCTATTAATTTGTCTAAGATGAGATTATTTGCCAGTTGAAGTAATTTAGACAAAACCCTTTCTTTGATATAAAGCTTAATTGAGTTATTAGAGTACTTTTTGTTCATTATTGGAATTCAGATACAATATTTAAGTGCTAGAAATATATCAAGTTGTTTAGCACCACAAAAAAGAAATAAATCAAGTTGATGGATTGGTTTACTTTAATTTGTCGTGGCATGATGAGTGTTTATCGGGATTCTTTTGTGTACTCTGTTCCTCATCCGTTGAAAATTTTCAGTGGCTAGGACAAAAGCAAAAGAGGGCTTTGCTGGAGGCTCTAGAGAAAGTCAAGGCTGGTAAGAATTTATTTTATTGAGTTGATTTGCTTCCACTCTCTCAGCATATAATCATTTCATCATAATTTTGTTTTGTCTATTTTATTCCCTTTTTTTTTTTTTTTGTAGAGTTGATGATTTTAGGTTTCATTTCACTGCTTTTGACTTTCGGGCAGAGTTACATTGTCAAAATATGTATTCCTGCAAAGGTTGCAAACAAAATGTTGCCATGTCCATATAAATATAAGGGTGCTGACAAAGCTTCAAATAGTGAAGAGGGGCATCATAGGAAACTTCTGTCTTATGAACGTAGATATTTAGCTGCTGATACAACCTCGTTCAAATGCAGCAAGGATGTATGATTGTGTTTTCTATTTCTTTTTCATTTATTTATAAATTAATCTTGAGTTGTTTGCTGTCATTTATTCTATGTTCATTTGTTAAAACTTTTAGGTTTTTCTGAGAGCAAAACTCACATGTAGAAGTAGTTGCTGTAGATTGACATAATTATATTTAGCACTCTAACTTAACGATCTTTGACATTGTTACTGATAAAGTCATCATAATGTAAAGTTAAATTTATAAGAATTAAAATACATTTAAGTTTAATATTTTACTCATTCAAAGTGTAGATTGGCAAATAAAAAACAATTGGCTGTCAGCTAGTTTATTTTATTTATTTATTTTATATAAACTCTTGCCTTGTCCCTCAGTTTTTAAGTTTATAATGTAAGTGTGCTGTAGGGTAATAATATTTTTTAACCATGATTTTCAGTATTTATTAACAGCTTTTTAATGCACATCCTTTATGAATACCACCTCTTCTTATAGTTATTATATGGTATTTGATTTATCTAATTTATTCATGTGAGCACAATTTTTGAAAAAGTATTTTCGCTGCCTGAGTTTATTTACAATTTTATTTGATATTATCAATAGCTTCTGCCTATAATTGTTGGTGGTTACAGGGACATGAACCACTTCTATCTGTGAATGGATTGCACCAATTACACATCCTCATATTCTTCTTAGCAGTGTTTCATGTGCTTTACAGTGCCGTCACAATGCTACTTGGTAGACTGAAGGTCTGCTATGATTCTTCTATGTTTTGTAGACTAGTTCAAATTGCTTTTTTTTTTTCCTTATATCTGTTCATATTAAGTATATTGAGTTGAGTTACTAACCTCATGGATTTTTCGTTGGTGTTGGTGTTATCATAACACGGAATTAAAACGAGGTGAATGAAATTGAAAATAGGCTGAAACCACTGTATTGAACAATTAAATACTTACTTAATAAACTTAACCCATGACCAAATTAAGATAGATTAAATTTATCATGGAGAAGCTAGAGGAAAACTTCAACTGGTCTATGCACAATTAGAAATCACCATATCAAAGGAAAAAATGATTTAAATGGTAAGTAAAGAAACTATTAAATTTCCCTGGACATTTAATAAAAAATGTGAAAATTTTAGTTTGGAGAATGGCCACTTACTAAACACTTGGCTAAGAACAGTGAAGGTAACTACTAACTAGATTATTTGCTATCTGTCAAATAATGTGTGGATAAACTTGTTGGAAACCATTCTTGATAATCAAAAGTTAATATGATGGTTGAAGAATTTTCTTTCTGCAGATTCGTGGATGGAAGGCATGGGAGGAAGAGACTTTAACTCACGGGTATGAGTTTGCCAATGGTATGAGTTCCAACAATGTATATGTTTTTCTTCTTCTAGTGTAAAAGTACTAGTTCTTCATTTTATTAGTAAGTTTTATCTTTGAAATATTACTGCAGGAAACCTCATGCCTTGTATTGGGTTTTCACTTAGTGCTTATATGTGCAGATGCTTCAAGATTCAGGCTTACTCATGAAACATCATTCGTGAGAGCCCATGCTAGTAGTTTTTGGACAAGGATTTCTGTCTTCTTCTACATTGTGAGCCCCATCTTACTAATTTGGTTTTATCCCCCTCTCTTATTTTGCTAACAAAATAATGAAATATGGAAAATGTTACTTATCAAAGAATGATCAACTTTGTGTTATTCCATAATTTATATTTCTCATGCTGATTTTAACGGGATGTTGTAACATATCTTTTATTTTCCAATTTCAGGGCTGTTTTTTCAGACAGTTTTATAGGTCTGTCCGCAAGACTGATTATCAAACTTTGCGCAATGGCTTTATCACTGTGAGTCATACACTCCTTATAGAACATGTTCTTTTTTAATATTGGATTTACCTTCCTTCTATATTGACGGTGAATTTTTGTATAGGTCCACTTGGCTCCTGGAAGTAAATTTAATTTCCAAAAGTATATCAAAAGATCCTTAGAAGATGACTTCAAGGTAGTAGTGGGAGTCAGGTAACAACAGTCTACAAAATGTATTTGCAACATTATATTATGTCTTATGTATGGCATTTCCAAATATTTGAAATGTGTTCTCACACTGCTCCATTATGTTGTTGACAGTCCTGTCCTCTGGGCATCAGTTGTAGTTTTCCTGCTCATAAATGTTAATGGTGAGTAACTATATATACTCCATCCACTCTTTTTAACTAGAAACAACTACCGCTATTCTTTTAGTTGAAATAAAGATATACTTTTAGATGCAGTAATTGCTAAATTCTTTTTAAGATTTGTATTAACGAGACATTCATTCCTTACCTATACAAGTGAATGTATTCATTCATTTATTCTATGCATCGCTTATTTGCTAATTACTTTTTATTGGTCTTGATAAATGAATTATTTGTTTTTTATAAAAATGATCGGAAGGAGTATTAGGAGACTCATGGATTTTATTAAATTAGCAGTTGAAAATTCAATTAAGGATGACAATTGGTTAATTAATATTATATTACTATATAATTTTCAGGATGGCGTACTGCATTTTGGGCAGCCTTTGTTCCTGTTGTTGTAAGCATTCTGTTCTTTGTATGAAACACTCAAATTGGTTAAGATCTACAATTATTAATCATTGAATTGGTTGCAGATAATTTTGATTGTTGGAACAAAACTTCAGGCCATAATGGCAAAGATGGCTCTTGAAATCACAGAAAGACAAGCAGTTGTACAAGGAATGCCTCTTGTTCAAGGCTCAGACAAATACTTTTGGTTTGGTCGGCCCCAGTTAGTTCTTCATCTAATCCATTTTGCTTTATTCCAGGTATTCAATGGGGTTTCCTTATAGCAAAATTTAGAACAAATGTTTTGATATGGAACAGGCAATGCATATAACTCGTGAGATTTGAAGTTGAATAATGAAACTTTACCTTGATGCATGCATATCTTGAGAACTTGTCTGCATGTTCAAGCAAATCTTATTCTTTTATCGAAGTTTAAATATTTTTGTATTCAATTTGAGATAATTTGATGGGTCTTCTATTAAAAATAATGATATGAAGCTGCCTATATTAGCCTTTGTGCTTGTGAGGATTAAAATGTTTATTTTATTTATTTACTAATTGAAAGTTAGCAACTAACTGATTTTCTTCTACTTGCAGAATGCGTTCCAAATAACATATATCTTGTGGACATGGGTAGTGACCCTTCATTTTATATCATAATCTTGAATATTGAATAATGTTTTTTTCACTTTGTTTTCCTAAATAATAAAGGGTCCAATTTTTTTATCTGCAGTATTCTTTTGGGCTGAAAAACTGTTTCCGTGCTGACTACAAACTTGGAATATTGAAAGTAGCTTTAGGGTAAGCTTTGATCTGAAATTCTATCGTCCTAAAAATGCATTACGTAATTGACTTGTACCTTTATATGAATATGTATTTAACAGAGGCTATCTTTGCCTTTGAAAATAATAGTAAAATTGTAAAAGGGGGAGGATTTATAGAACCATGATTGAAGCTTTTGATAATACCATAAATTAATCTGATTAATTTTCATGGGCTTCGCAGGACTGTGATGCTATGCCTCTGCAGCTACATCACCCTTCCATTATATGCTCTTGTAACTCAGGTATGCCTACATGCTTTTTTGTTTTCTTCAACTACTTTTATTAAATATTGGGCTGGCATTAACTTAACCAAGCCCAACAATACAACAGTATTGTTTATTTAAAAAAAAAAAACGGGTTTAGACAACAAAATTTAATAAACAGGGAAACTTATGAAATGACAGAGCTCCAATATAATTACCATGCTACCAAGGCAATTAGCATAAGCCCTCCTTATGTTCTGTAAGCTATTTTAATCAAACTATTCAGCTGAATTTTTAGTAATATTTTAAATGGGTAACCATAATTTGTTAAAGTAAAACTACCATTTTTGTTACCAAAGTTTTCTTCTCTAATGTTAAGTAACTTTTATGAAAAACAAAATTATATTTTATCATAGTTTACTTCACTTTCTAACATATATAAAAGTGTATGTTAAATATTAAATTAATAAAAATTTGTTTAAAGAATATTTCAATAAAATAAAAAATAATTAAGCTGTGAACAAGTTGATTAGCTCAGTTCAAAATTCAGAATTTTTAACAAACAAAAATTCAAGTTTTAAATTTTATTCATTTAAATAAGTTTAATTTTAATTGACTATTAGGATAAATATTTTTACATTACCAATTAATTATAAAACATCGTAGACACGACTTTTAATATAATCATTAAAAGAATTAACAATTATTAATAATATAGTAATTCATGATTATAAGACAATATAAAACACTTTTTCATTACAAGTGTATTTCAATTAAATTTTTCAAATATATATATATAAACAAACTTGAACTGGTTTTGATGGCTCTATAATAAAACACTATGGTAATCACCTGCAGATGGGTTCAACGATGAAAAAAGCAGTATTTGATGATCAAACAGCGAAGGCTTTAAAGAAATGGCACATGACAGTGAAGAAGAAGAAGGGAGCAGTGAAGTTAGGAGGAAAATCCACAGCAAGAAGCGTTGATGGAAGCATCAATGGTTCCTCAGTGCATTTCGCTGGTCCCACACTACACCGTTTTAAAACTACCGGCCACTCAACCCGCTCTTCAACATATGATGATGACGATCATCATCATCATTATGAATCTGATGTTGAGTTGTCTTCCATATCACCAACAACCAACCTGCTTGTAAGAGTGGATCATGGTCTTGATGAGCAACAAGCACAAGAAGACACACACCATAACCTTAGTGAGGGTGAAACCAATAGTGAAGGTGAATTCACATTTGTCAAACCTCACCCTGTGGAAAGAACCATGATATAGAATCAAAGGTTAACTCCATTTTCAATTTGTTTTTTGTTTTTTTGGTGGGTATACGGATGTCTTTTGTCTTCTTTAGAATTTACACACACTTTCTAGATTACGGTATTTGTAAACTTTGAGATGATCACTTCTGTACATTCTTGTTCATAATTCCCTTGTGGTTATGGAAACTTTGATTACCTCTCATCAATTCCATGCTTTTAAGATTGATACTTTTGATCCATGCTTGTGCTGAAGGCTCACGAGGAGCAAATGGATGAAATAAATTTTAAGTATATAAAATATAAACTAAAGAATACTTAAGAAAAGATTGATTTAATGGATATAAAATATTATGTCACTGGTAATTAAATTAGAATGTTAAAAATTGCAGAAGTTTCAAAGTTTTAGTTTTGAAAAATTTTAAAAATTTGTTAATTGATGGGCAGTTGTTTTATGTTTGTTAATTATGTTTGGGATTGTTTTTTTTAAAAAAAAATTGATTGAAAAATAAAAGGAAAGTAATTTTATAAATGAATTATAATAAATAAAAGGAAAGAAAATTGATTTTATTTGAAATAAACTCAAATTACAAGTGTCATAAAATGAAAAAAAATTGAGAATACCCATATTTTTTTTTATGTTGATAAAGCTTAATACAGCTATATAATAATACTTTAAACATATTCGTCAGAGATCAAATTCTAAGTTGTGTATGAAAAAACTTTTTTGGGAGAAATGAAGCTTACTTTTTTAGTTTTTACATCCTTAAAGGGATTAATTCTTAACTATTAGATTAAGAAATAGCCCTACTACATTAAAAAAAAAAAACCTCAATTTTTTACATGGAGATATATTATGTATAATGAATAAAAATATAAATAACTTAATTTGATACACTGTCAATATAACTTATCATCCAATATTATGTTGATAATTCACTTAATGAATTTGATTGTATTTACAGTTATACAAAATGTTAATTAAATAATATAATAATTAAGTTACAATGCAAATTAAGCCTTGAGTTTAATTGCTATTCACTATCAATATCAAATTTTTACAAATACATCTAATTACGTCTCATTATTTTATATCTTTTATCCCATCATAATTATATTTTTTAACCAATTAAATTTAAAAATAATTTTCAGTTTTCCTTTCTCTCCTCTCACTCGACTCAGTCTACCCATGGTGTCTCCCTAATTGAGTGGAATATTGGCAGCACAGGCTCACTCTTGAAAATACCACTAGTGGTTTTTGTTTGTGTATTGAATTTTGTTGATGCTCTCTTCTAGGCAAAGTAATGAAAATGCTTTGGTGGGTAGGCTCTTAATGTTTGTTGTATATTTATGATATTTCCATTAGGTAATCATTTATTTATTTTTAGGATAAGGTGAATATAAATATTCTATATATCAATACTATTTTGAGTTAATCTTGATGAATTTGTTGTTGGGGTTGTTTTCTTTCTCCAGAGTCCATTGAATGCAAAGCACAATTTATTTGTCCTTGAAATTGCCATTATCAGTGTGCACACACTTAATTTCTTTAATTCATTATCAAAATTTTTATAATGTCTTTCACCTTTCTGTTGACTATATATTTTGGCCACGTGTTATTTATTATATCGTGCAAGAGCTTAATGGGAAAAAAGTTCAGACACAAATTATTGGCTTTATGAAAAAGAATACCAAAAAGTTCATATAAAGAGCTTTGGGTGCTACTTCTTAGTGCCTAGAAAAATTCCACAGGTATTCGTAATAAGTGTGTGGGTGTGTTTTACATAAAAAAAAGTCCATGTAGTTATTATTTTTCTATTTACATGCTTAGATATTTGTATTAAGAAAAACTAAATACCATGGATTATGTGATATGGTTGATGGGAGTGAGAAAGCTTGAGATAGGGAATTCATTGGAAAGAGGGGAAGAACCTTGGCGTTTAGCAAGGGAAGAATATAATGATTATTTAATTACTTTCAAAGATACGAGGTGATGAGATACAATTAGATTCATGTGTAAACCGACTTTACATTAATACGATTTATGAATTAAACTATATCTTTTTTCTATGTTAGCATTTTAATCAAAATTAAATTTATTAATAAAAAATCCCTATACTTTATGTGCAGTTTTGGACCTTTTGGTTGATAAATAATGCAGTGCAAAAAATATTATTTATTAATAATTTAATGTTAAATTAATTTAATTACTATATATTTTTTAATAAATAAATATTATGAGTTTATATTACGTAATAAAATCAATATGTTAAACATTTGACAAAAACATATATAATAATAATCTTAATATTTGACAATTTTAAATTGTTAATAAATAATACATTTTTAATGTCAGTACCGTGCACTAATTTTGCTCAATACAAACACACCAACCTGTCTATAATGTCTTGTAATTTATGTTGATTCTATGTCTTTCATTCACTTTTGCCATAAAAATTAGCATTAGATTCTTATCCATGAAAATTCACATTGGTGGAATCGTCTTGAGTTATCAAAGACATGACAAGAACGTCTTATTGTGTTGACATTTTGCCGAATAACATTGAAATCGATGGGAAGTGGACAATAATTTGGTATGATGAATCGTAATGATCGCACAGATTAGATATCTTCTGCATTTTGCTACATATAAATCAGGGAAATGGAAAGGGTAGAAAAGGAAAGGGAACCATAATGAAAAGATCATCTCAGCGTGCGTTGAATTTTAAACATAATTTAGAGGACAATTAATCACATTAGATATTTATATGCAAAGATTTTAAAATTCCACTTTGGGTTTACCTTAAATGGTAATCAAAAGTCTCAAGTTAAATGGAACAACACGTTAAGTAAGTTGGGGGCTAAAGCCACCAAAGAAGACATTTGGGGTGGTCAACACTTGGTAAAGCTTATGAAGAACACTGTTCCTGTAATATCATGATATGAACTTGACTTGCTTACCCATGTCATTACCTACTTCTTCATTTCCTTTGAATAAATCATTATAAAGATACATCCATGTCCACACTGTTGAATGTGCCTCACAAAAGCTTCCAAGTGGCAATTTTTAGTCAAAAAAACACAACAGAGTTGAATTACAGGCAGGACCATGTAGCTTGGTGAGATGATTCTTTGAATTATTAAATCTCGATATTTTTAGAATCAACGATGCTATTGGTAGTTTCTGTGCCAACACTTGAAAGGCTATTCTTTGCATATATGGTTTATACTTTATGCCTAGTTGGTCTTTGTTAGGATTTTGGGGGATTTCTTTCAAGCTACCAACCCTGAAGTGGATGATACCACACTTTAAAAGTAATGTTAAAAAATTAGCAAAAAAAAAAAAGTATTGTTAAAAAGATTTGATCTTTCCTTTTGTCGTTTTAATTTTGAATTATATGTAATATTGGACTTTTATTTTTGTCAATAATACTTGTATTTTTAAAATTAAATAAATTTATCTCATTTTACTATTTAAAAACTATCAAATTGTTATTTTATTTGTATTTATAATTTAAATTAATTAAATTATTATAAACCTTTTTCTAATCAATTACGAAACACGTTTTATCGTGTAAGATTATTCTAATATGATATTAAGTCTCACTAAAATTAACTATATTAAATATTTAGAAAAAAAAAACTATACCGTTTATAATAATTTTACTTGAATATAATTATTTCTAGTAAAAGATAACTGTAATTTAAAAAATAAACATTCTTTTAATCAAAATTTATCTACTAAAATATAAAATTTTACTTAGAATTTTAAAAAATATCTCAAACCTTTCCCTCTTCAAGTGTTAATCTAACATTTTATAAAATTCCTTAAATTTTATAGATAGAAAACAATAATTTAATAATTTTAGATAAAAAAAAATTGACAAAAGAACATAATTGACTTACAAATTTTGAGAAAAAAAAAAACTTATACACAATCAAAACTCATCAAAAGGGTAACTAAATCCATTAAAAACATTAAAATGATATTATTCTTTTAATTAATTCTTTAGAATTGAGAGAGAATTCTGCCTAAAATATTCCCTCACAAGCAAATAAAAAAGTTGTGGTAGAACTACTCGTAGGAAATATCTTTAAAATCAGTCTTTCATATATTTTTTTATCATAAATAACTTAAAGCCAGTTTTTACTAATCAATGCATGCATTAAACCAAAAAAAAAAAAAAAAAAAAAAAAAACTCTTAACCTTTTTATGTGATAATTGGAAAATAATTGACTTAAAACTTTTATTTTACTTCATGTTTGGGATATAGATATACCCAACACACTTTCACGAGTGACATGTCTTCTTACATCCTAAAAGGACAGCACCACCCAAGAGAGATTCATAAACTGGTGAATTGGAATAGCCCCTCTGCTTCGGAATGGGACGTTGTTTCTCCTTAAATCTCCTTCTGCCCTCCTTAGACGATAAGCCATGTTGACCTTTTTTGTCTGCTTGATCACGATACTTTATTGTTCGATCAATAATTTTCAATCTTTTTATATTTATAAACATTCTCAATTATTCAATGAAAAATCATTAGATACTTTTTTATATTTTTTAAATAATAAATACACGTACCTTTTTATTTAGAGAATGTTTATGTAGACCCTTCAACGAAAATTACGTAAGAGTTAACGAAGTTTCAACCATTATCCAATCAGGCCCTTAATACTTATTTTGTAAAACAATAAAAACATTATTAAATTATGCATGCATGTTCGACAAAAAGTGCCTACCCTTTTTCTACGAATTAGTTGCCAACATGTTCCATAATGCAAGCGAACCAAGGACTCTAGAGACACTACACTACTCTACTAAGATATTAATAAATAAATAATTTGTTTGTTGTTTTTCCTTATTGTTATATAATTTTGGTACCAACAAGGACACATGCTGAATTAACAAGGGATGCTTTTTCAGCAGCGTCACGCATCCACTGCCGAATAGAGAAAGAAGGGATCACGTTGCCTTTAGTTTTAATCTGTGTCAATCATTGATTTGAAGATTGGAACATTAACAAATATTATGAACTGAAAAAGGAGTTCAGACCTTACCCTAGGCCAGACAATGGCACATGTTTAACAAGCCCTGGTGACTCACTCATATCAAAGTAGGAAAAGCCTAAAGCCTTCAAAAGAAGCACTCTTTACTTTGGGTGCATTAAATCTTCCCCTCTTGCTCACTTTCTTTCTTGTCACTACACAATAAATTTAGTAAATTTATGGGACATTTTGATAGTACCACATGTTTAATAATTTGTTAAACTTATTGAACCCATTATGGGGACATTTTTATGTGCAATCAATTCCGATCATCATTTAAGTTTTTATTTTTTTCCCTTTGTTTCTCCCAGGAAATGGAAAAAGAATCCCTTGTATGTGAAACCGAATTTAGCTTTGAAGATGGGTTGGATGATTATTAATCTTTGGATTAGACACCTCCTTGTTCTACTTGCTAAAACAAAAACCCTGTAGTTTGAGATGAGATGATTTACATCAACTTTTCATAAAGGGAAATACTTTCCATCTGTATCAAGAATCTATGGTTTTCTAATGACGGCGACGTAAATTTCACATTTTAAAAACAAATCACGAAAAGAAAGCTTTATCTCGTGCGATCAATTGTTAAAGATTGCATTTTATTTTCAGAGTCGACATATTAATCTGTTCTCAATAAAAATGTTAGAAGATATCTATAATTAAGCTTTAAGGTAGACGTAAATATTATAGACATACGATATTATTATGTACACGCAGCGTAAATGTGTAATATCAAGGGGCCAAAACTAAGGATGATGGAAAATATATAGTACTAAATTGCTTATGTCTTCTTTTCAAGAAACACGAGAAGGGTGAGGGCCACTTGCTACTCTTGGCTATTTTAAATTATCAAACTTTTTATATTTAACTATCAATAAAGGTATGGTTGTGAGATTTGAACGCTTACAAGTTGATAACACAATCAGGCTGGCAAGATACAGCAGCGAACACGAAACTCCAAATTTAGTGGCACAGTTGCCTTCAAATAAATATTTTTTCCCTTGTCGATAATTGCTATTCATTTCCATTTGGAATTTTAAATGCCCAAGTACAGATTCGCTTTCATTAGAAGGATGATGGGTTTAAGATTCAGTTCTTGGTATTTTTAATTCTCACGTCTTTTAGCTCAGAGTATTCTCTAGAGCCCACAAAATTTTTTACTACTAGTAGTAGTTATGGTTTCTTTGATAAGGACTTGTAATTATCTGCAACATAAAATCAAACCAATTTACATTTATTCGATAACTGAGAAAAGGAAAACCGACTAAGATTTTGAACTTACCAAATCAACAAAATCAAAATAGAGATATTTTCTCAAAATGCTCTTAACAAAGTGATAAGGGTAGAAATAAAACTCTCAAGAAACTTGGAAGTGGAACAGGGCTTTGGCCGAGGCTTCGGTTATGTCCAAATTTGTCCCTTACCTCCCTCCTACCCACTTGGCCTCTCAAGGGCCCACTTTATTGTACCTACCAAACAAAGACCTCTCTCTCTTTCTCTCTCTTCTTTCTAGTCATGATCTTGACTCGAGTCTTCTCCCAACCCTTAATCCCTTATCCTCAAGCGCACTAAGCTCAATATTTTCCACTATCAAAGCCCAAACCTTCTATCAACCTGTTAATACCTACCCCAATTATTTAAGCTTCCAATTCCACCTCAAAACCCAAAACGCAAAACCAAAACCCTCTCCACTTTCTTTTCTCTCCCTTTTCACTCGCTTACTCACAAACCCATTTTCTTATTTTCTCTTCTCTCTCAACAAGATGACACGCACGCTCAGAATTCTCAAATCCGCTGACAACGCCACCGCCGTCGCGGCGGCGCCGCCGCCGGAGGCTGTGGCCCTTGAGTCAGATTTCGTGGTGATTCTCGCGGCCCTGCTCTGCGCCCTCATATGCGTGGTGGGACTCGTCGCCGTCGCGAGGTGCGCTTGGCTCCGGCGGGGCTCCGGCAACGGAAGCTCTCCTCGGCAAGCTTTGGCGAACAAGGGGCTGAAGAAGAAGGTGCTGCAGTCGCTTCCCAAGTTCGCTTACGTCGATAGCAACCCGAGCAAGTGGGTCGCGACGTCGGAATGCGCGATTTGCCTGGCGGATTTCGCCGCCGGCGACGAGATTCGGGTGCTGCCGCAGTGCGGCCACGGGTTCCACGTCGCGTGCATAGACACGTGGCTCGGGTCCCACTCGTCGTGCCCTTCATGTCGGCAGGTTCTGGCGGTGGCTCGGTGCCAGAAGTGTGGGCGGTTTCCGGCCACCGGCGGCGGAGTCACCAGAACGGCGGTGAGTGAACCCGAATTGAAGTCCAGAGAAGACGACAATGCAGCTAATAATAACAATAATAATAGCGGCGGTGTTAGTGGGAGCAGTAACATGGAACATCATCATAGCCACCAAGTTAACATTGGTGGTTTCTTGCCATGAACATAAAAGTTGTAGCTTTTGTATTTATTAGTAGTTTTTTTTAAAAAAAAACTTTTGTACTTTGTAATCACTTTAAGTTAATCAAAGAGATCGGAATTTGGGCATTTTTTTTAAACTTTATAAATCGTTGCTTATCTTGCAGAGATTAGATTAGTGTATGTAATATAATAATGTATACATTTGTGGATTTTTGCGTAAAAGGTGTAATTAATCTCAATATAAAAGTTAAAAAGTGTAAAAGAATTTGTCTATTTATTTATTTTACTCCATTGGTTATAAGTGAGAAATGATTGTGTAAGAATGAAAAGTGAGAAGCCCATGCTTTCCTTGTATCGTTGAATGATTGGAGTATTGCCTTTTTAATTATTTCAAAGGAACGAAGAGTTTATAAAAAATACAGGGAAAAAGACAAGTTTGCTTATCGTGTATATTTCTTTTATCAATCATAGAGAAGTTTATCAGAGAAAACTTAATTATCAATATTTAGTGTTATCTTTTAGAAATAATTTAAAAATACAATTTAAATTATTATCATGTAAATGAACTTTTTCCAAGAGTTAAATTTAGAAATTTACTAATTTGATATAAAACTATAATGAAATTGTTAAAACCATTGCAATGTTCAATTTGAAGATATCCAGAATATTCGAGTTGCGAATACATCATCTGTGCACAATCGCACACCCACGGTAACGCAAAGCATTGATTTTGTCGTTTTGACGAGGGTAAGTTAAGAGGTACAAGAACTGCAACGTGTATCACGTCAGATAATTTGTGAGTATTTTTTAATCATTTCCCTCTTATTTCCACTTCTATATTTCTTTAAAAGATTAAAAAATTGTGCTGTTAATTTAGAAATAACGTTGAGAATTATTTATTTGAAAATTGCATTCCTGATAAGCACAATTGCAATTCTTTAACTTTGAGTTAGTTAAGAAAAAGAAAACAATAAACTTCTAGAATAAAATATTTATAAGAAAAAAATGCTTCTTGCATAATTTTAAGATTACATTACCAAAATTTGATTATAAAATTAAAATAAATACACAGAATCCAAGATTAACATTTTTTAAAATATAAAAAATGCATATAATTAATTACGTGTGATTAACATAATTGGTATTTAAATGTATGTATCATTAACATGAATATTTTGGAGTTGAGAAGTCATGTCAAAGGCATTTAAAGCAATCACGTCTTAGGAGTAAATAAAATGCATAGTCACCAACTTGACAAACAATTTATGAAAAGGAAAGGCTGCACTTCAACCAACCAACGTTAACCAGCATCTCACTGCACTGCACTTATCCAAACAAGCAGCCAAAGCGCAGTGGTTTTCCAACTTCCTGTGTGTCTGTCCCTGCTCCACCTCTTTCTCTTTGTTTTGTTCCACATCAATACCCCATGTTGTCTTTCTTCTTTTAAATTTAAGTATAATATTGCATTTTTATGGTATGAGTTATCAAAACAAAATTTTAATTTTTATTTGAAAAACACTTCAAATTTGTCTTTATTTTCTTACTCTTTTTGTTGGGTACTAAGCGTTCCCTACTAAGTAAGTACCGATGGCATTTATGCCAATCGGTCATTCAATGGGAATCGAGTTAATCATTTTCCTTAGTCAAAGGGAATCAAATTGTAACGTTTATTATTCATCCCAAGTGCTGACCATCTTGGCTCTATAAGACTAGCACGCAACCTTCTTTCACTTGTACATCAAGCTTGATTTCCACTATCCGTGGATCCTCTGCACTGCTTCATTTTTATTACCAAAAAGAAAAATGCTTTGATGGGCCTAAATCAAAATGAAATTAAAGGGAAGAAAAGACAAAAGAGGGACATAAAGGTAGCACATGTATCCATTTTTTTTAAGGGGTTAAAAGAAAAAAAAGGTGGAGATGCCCTTTGGCAATATGGTCCTCTTTCGCATCTATCCCAATTCCCATCTACTCAAAATCTCTCTAATGGGAGACTATATAAGAGTCCGGACACACCAATGATGCCTATAGAAAGCTGATTATTGATGGCATCTCTTACTTTTCTTTTATTTTGGTGGGACATGTGTGACTCGTTAGGCCCCACACACCATTTAGCTTCCGAGGTTATCCTCTGTTCTCTCCTATTGTCAAGAGTGAATGAACAACTTTCTCCACAAAAAGTTCGAAGTTGAAACTAAGAAAAGCAATAGCCGCTATCTCCCCTTAATCCTTTGGATACTTGATTTGAGAGCACCAAGTGTGCTAGATATTATATATTATGCACCCAGTTGTCACTTTTAATTAGAGCTAATCGCCCTTCAAAATTTTGAGTAGTTTAACTTTCATCGAATTCAATTGAAAATTTTATAAATTTATATATTCTGAGATAAATTTAGACCGATCAAGTTGAAGAGACTCGTTTCGCTAACTTTACTATTAATTACACCCCTCCTCCTCTCCCAAAGCCACTCTTTAATCAAATTGTGATGAGGACTGGTTAACTTGCTGCTTTGCCTACTTTTTCGTTTTCCTACTTTTCACAAAACTTTAGTTTTAGTTAGTACATGAACGTGACTTCTTGGAACATGACATATCCGCAGGCAACTTGTTAGCTTGCATTTCATGCTACCTACAATTTCTCCTGCGAACTTACTAAACAAGTGGGGGTCAAATTTCAAACTATCTTATCCCTTTTAAGCATTCAAAGTGACTAATACCTAAATTGACGATGGAATCATGGCAGAGGCATTCTACACGCCTTCCGCAATCTTAATAAAGGCGACACTAGCACATTAAGAATACACTTATATGCGTGAAGCATAATTGGTAATTTTGCTTCTACTTCCACGCTTTAACTGTGGCTTGATGTTAAAGAATAACTTACTTCATTTAATTAAGGGAGACTAAAAGTGGAAGCACGTAAACCAGCTTACTTATCAATAAGGACTAATCAGTGGTTGAGTGTGGAAATTTGCAATTTTGTCTTATAGTAAATTGTCATTTTGGTTTGTGTGTCTTTTCAATTGCATCACGTGCTTATGTCACAGCCTATCTAGGTGTTGTTCACAGCAATACCAACTTGTTAAGTGCTATGAACATGCTCAAGGCATCTTTTATATAATATGTCCTTTTTGCTCCACAAAATATGAGCTACTATACAGCTATGTATAGGACAAGATAAACTAGTCCTTGAATCATGTTCAGATTTTCTGGAGCATTCAAGAGTAGGACAAAATGGAAGGATAAATGAACACCTGATGCTTGAGCAGGACCAAGTGGTGCTTGTATAAGAGTATTAAGAATGGCATTCTTCAATTACCCTTCCTTACATTATAATTGAACCTCTAGCCAGCTTTACAGCCATTTCCCTTCTTTGAAAGTTAGGCATCAATCTTATGCTTGCATGCATATTCCTAAAGTGATATATATTTAAGAAAATATATATTTAGTTCTTACGATTAAAACTCATTTATAAATTAGTTTTTATATATAATAAAAAAATGTACATTTTAATATATATATATATATATATATATATTCCATTGTGTTTTAATCTTTATTGTTATAACACCATTAATAAAAATTATTGTTTTCTAACGATATTATAATATTAAGGAAGAAGTAAACTCTAATAAAATACTCATGTAAAAATTAAAATATAAGTTTTTCAGGTACAAGAATGAAAATTATTAAAAGCAAATGTATACTTCCAACTTATGATTTATCATTCTTCAAATAAGTCACTCTCGTGGAAGAAAACCAAGACACTTGTTGATCACAATTATGACTCATTAATACATAAAACAGAACATTGTCAAAGCAAAATATCAGAGCAATGTGAAACAAGTCATATTATATTTAAAACAGCTATGGAAGGTCTACATTTGTCAAAACTGGCATAAGAAGCCCGTGAATTAATAAACCCGATACTGTGCTCAGTGCATCATTCCAAGCAGGAGGTTCCTTGATGGTTCTTCATCCCCCAATAAACTAGTTTCTTCAGATTCAGATATTCCATATTCAGCGAACTCCGAATAAGGATCAATCGCGGAATCTTCAAGCTCCAGCAATCATCTTCAGTGTTCAGCATGAATTGGATGACCTGGAATTAGGTCCACTTTATTTCTAACACATAATATCTCAAAAGTTTTAAATATGAGTGCATAATACCCAACCTTGAACTGCAGTTAGGGAAGATAGCTGCACATGATGAGAAAAAATAAAGGTACATTATATGAAATGTCACTGCCAATATTCTGCTCACAACATTCCTGATGTTAAATAATTAACAATATAACAAATTAAAGAAGAGTTAAGTGAAGAATGCCGGCATCACTCATTTCAAAAACCATTACCGAAGCATCTAACTGTTGAAATAATGGCAGGTTTCCAACAGAAAATTCATCCTGAAGATTAGCCAGCCATCCATAAAGAAACATCAACAGTATAATACTTAGTGGTGCAAATATTCCAACTGTTCATTCCATCAAAGGCGCACTAAGGAGGGGAATCAATCACTTGGAGAAAATGATTCATGATAACTGGTAAGCATATCCATAGACATTTAGTTCAGATGTTGGACCATAAGCATCTTCAACATCAAATAAAATTTAGCATATGAAACACCAAATCAGAAATAATAATAGAAGTAACATGGCATGAAAGTGAATGAACACGGGTACCAAGTGCATTATACTTGGACAGCTTGGTTAAAATCCATACATGAAAAGAAACTTTTATCGAAACTATCACAAGAAAAATATCCCTTTATGATGAAAATGTGATTTTAAACCAAATTTTAAAGCTTAAACAAGAGCAACCAGGCTTAATGGAACAATAACCAAAAGGGAAAATTTGCAAAATACTAAACTAAAAACCTGAGCGTTCAGTAAAACCCAACTAACTTTTTCACATTTGGAGAAAACCCATTTGAAAATCTGGGATTGACACAAATTCATGAGTAACTTAATAGATAGGATCGTACGTTCCGATTATGAAGATGGCGGGTCGATCCCCCAGAGGAATCGGGATTTTGGTGATTGATTATCATTCATTATCAGTTGCAAGCTTCGATTTTGGTCTTTATCAAACGATTGATTTTCGATTAGAATGTTTCTGAAAACCCTAATGCTTTATTTTTGTCTCGATCATGGTGGTCGTCCTCTCCGTCGGGGTGCAGCCAGCAGGGATCTGCTATAATGGCCATGTTCGCTACCTGGCTACCAATCCTGTTGAGCCACGTCGTTCCTTATGAGTATTCTAAAAGACTAAAAGGTCAAGATATTTTTTAATGAAGAAAGGTAGTTTCATTATATATAGTATTGCATGTAATTTTTTTTTAAAAATATATCCCGCAATATAATAAATAAATAAATAAATGTTATTAAAAATTACATTAAAATATTTTAAAAATTATGTAAAAAATATATATTAATATTTTTATTTAAAAAGTTTAATTTATTTACTAGTGGTGTCAGCTTGGTTAGAATTAATGGGTTTGGTAAAAAAAAAAAAACAAAAGAGAGTGAATCATTCACCAATAAAAGTTTTTAGGATTTCCTGAATCAGTCTATAAAAAATTTTAAACGAAAACATTGTGTTACTATTTCTTACGAATGAAACTTAGATGTAATCTTTTAAAAATTTTAATATTATTTTTAATTAAAATGAAAATTTTATGTAGGTAATTAACACAATAAAGGTTAGTATTAAATGTTATGCAGTAATTATTAAAGTAAAACTTTAATTTTAATTAAATAATATTATTTAAAAAGTTAACATATTGAATCTAAATTTTGTCTTTTTAATGGCTTCTTGCCATCAAAATAAATAATTAATTAGAATTACAGACCAAACAATTGCAGAAGTGTTAGCAAATAGAATTAGATTGGTTTAAAGAAGAAAAAGTTTTCTAATCTAGTGTTATCAGTTTAGTTTTAAATTTAATTCAAATTAGAGCATCTCTAACCCAAAAATAATTGGAATTGTGTAATAATACTTTTTATAATCTTACAAAATCTTTATTGCAAAATGCCATTTTCTTCATTTATATATCTTGACCAAGTATCAATGCCTTTATTGCAATAGGGTTTAGGATTGTGATTGTGTTTGGGTTTTATATAGGATTCCACTGTTTGTACTATAAGAACCCGAAAGCCTTCTAACCCAAAAAAAGAAAGAACTTGAACCTTCGACATCGATTTTTCGGCGCAGGGCATTGGAAATGGATAAACAATACCCACTGTACCAATTGCCATGTATAAAATGGATTATTAGTGAAATTTTTGGATGAAAATGGAGTTTTTTCAGAAGTTAGTGTTACCTAAACTTATGCATTCAAACCATTCTCATAATAAAAATACCGCAATCCAGTTCTTGTATGAGGCAATTAGGTTAATGTATCAGCGTTAGAGTAGAGTTCTTAGAGTTGGATATAATTAATTTTAAAATAATAAAAGAAAAATTATAAAATGTCATTTTTAAAATGCAGAGGAATTTTGATTGTGGGATCTGACAACACTAGTGAAATCAAACCTTATAAATATTAAAAACATTTACTTGCATTATACAAAAATTTTACTCATCAAATGCATTCAGGTTGTGTAACTTATCACCTGTAAAGATTGTAAATGAATGTGGATCAAAGTAGAAAACACAAAAGAGAGACATCATTATAGAAAACACAACCATTATGGTGACAACTGGTAGGTGCTCAGAATGAAAGATAAAAGAATATAATACTCTAAACATGAATCAAATTATGTATAAATAAATTACTAGATTCTAATAATTTCTCCTAAAGCACAAAAACGAAACTCGCCAAACATTTTCAGTCTTCCACCAAATCTTCTCAACTCATTTTATGAGGAATCAAAACCAACAAAACTTAAAAATTTATGGATGATCGACGCTGCTTCTCCTCATGATGATGATCATATCACTATTCACGGAGACTTCAGCCTTTTATTCCCATTGTGGCAGGATCAGTACCACCAATAGCAAAAAATTCAATTATAACTTCTAAAGGCATGCCTTTTGTTTCAGGAACTTTCATGTAGACAAATATCCATGAAATGATGCAGCCAACAACGAATAATGCAAAGACACCGGTGAGGCCCAGAAGCTGGAGCAAGTAGGGGAATATTAAAGTGACAATCAAGGTGCAAACCCAATATGTGAGGGAAGTCAGGGAAATGCAGATTCCACGAACACTTGTTGGAAAGATTTCTGCACATACGATATTGGGAATCACACCGAAGCCCATGCAGAAGACACTTTCATAGACCACAACACTAACTGCAGTGATTGCTGCATTGATGACAGAATTGATGTGGAAAAACTGCCGGATTACTAGTACCAGGAGACAAACTATCAAAACTGGTACTGTGTACAGCATGATTGACCTGCCATGAGAAAACATACGATGTCATTGTCACCAATTTTGTTATTTGAGTTAGGTAACTATGCATAGGCATATATACAAGAAACTTAGAGAGTTAAGCGAAGCTTGCACTACTAGGACACCATCTACATTACAAAAGTGTATCCTATCAAATGGCAACAACAATAATACAACAAAATAAAAAAAAAAGAGTAAGAAATAATTGTGACTGTAGAAATTGAACAGCCTTGTAGTAATTATAATGCTGTAAAATGGGTGGCTAAGACTGCATAAATAAAATTCAGGCCAAGTCATAGTTTAAACATACCTCCTGCCAGCGATATCCATTAGTCTTATGGCAATAGCTATACAAGGAAGCATACAGAATGTTGTAATGACATTTACAAGAAAAGAACAAGATGTTGAACTAATGCCCAAATTTGACAAAAGAGCCCCTACTCCTGCCTGCTCAAGAATCTGGGGAGCGTAGTATAGAAATCCATTTATGCCGGCAGCCTGCAATATATATTAGATTTTCAGAATCAGAGGGGATGCAGCTAGAGTGTATATACAAGTGTTCATCACAAATATCCTATGCTTCAGTGAATTTTAAATTGTGAGGAAAAGAACGCCTAGAAACATTATGTACATAGCATATAGCCAAGAATTTTGTCAAAAATGTCAGAAAGATGAGATGAGGAAAAAGAAAGGAGAGCACAGGGCAAAAGAACAAAAAGGCTTGTTTAGTTTGGGAAGACATTTTTTGCTTTTATTTCCTGCTTTTCAACAACAAACAAAAATGTTACAGTGATTTCATTTAGTTTCATGTTTTTAAAGATTTGCCCAGCAAATGGTTGTAATTATTAGTAAAAAGAGAACATATAAAAAGAAATGTTTTCTCAAAGCAAACAAGCCCTACGATTCTTGGGGCATTGTTGTGTAGAGCAACAGCAAAGTAGATAGTAAATTTGTATATTAAAGGATAGGATAGGATACCGCTTCCAATCTTGAGTTAAAGTGGGTAAAATAAAGATAACATTTGAAGAGGATTAGTAATTGTAAATGATCGTATCAACACATACTAAGCTCATCACTATTTATCTTCACAACTAATAATCCTCTATGACATTGAGACTGATAAATATATAAAAAAAAACAACTTCCTCATAAGGTATTGATCTTCATAACATAATTCAAAACCCTGATAACCATCAAATTTTAAGAATGCATGGGATATCAACCATAACAGGATACAGTTCAGTCAACAGAAATGATGCAATACGAATACAATGCCAACTAATTGTACCTGCTGAAGAATTTGAAGTCCTATTCCAACAATCAATGCACGCTTGACTCCTGGTTCCAGCAGAGCTTTCCACTTTGGACCTTTTGCAGCAACTTCTGGCATATGCAACATATCTTGAGTACCTAGAACTGACTGGCTAACAAGAGCAGCAGCCTGATAAGCTTCACCGCCATCTATAGGTATGTCATAGCCAGAAGTTGAAACAAATGAAACATGTTGAGATTGAGACATTGTAGCAGGGTCTGCGTGCAAATAAACCCTTTGGAGTCCTTCTCTTTTCCCAGCACCATCAGCTGATTTATAAACCAATTGCCAACCTCCACCAATGTTTGTGTTTTTAGGTGTTTCAACAGCATTCCCATGGACCAAACTACTATTACTTCTCAGGCTGCTAGTGCTCCTCATACCTAACATGTCCTTGGATCCATGAGCCCTATCCTTCTCACCGGCACCACCTTGAAACGACATTAGTGGAGCGTGCAAGTTGTCACTGGTACCAAAGGGGCTGGACTCTGGATCTCCTGTACTGAAGATACTGTTGGCATGATGAATTAGCATACTGCGTGAACCTCCACCATCAGGGAGAGTATTCTCATGCAAACTTCCAAAGAGATTGACAATAGGATCCTTAAGACCAGCACCAGCGAGCGTTCCAAAGCTTCCTTGCTGAGACAACATACTACGGGATATCATGCTACCTTGTCCATTCACCGGTTGAGCAACCATTGTAACTCCCTCATTGGGACCATACAACTTTATATAATCTTTCCCTGCTTCCTGGTTAACAAGAAGCTCACTAGCCGGAGCTACTACATACTCTTCTATAGAAGTGGCTTCACCCCCAGGGCTTAGACCCTCTGCCAGCAAAGCCAATTCCCCTACACATCAAAGTTCACTCCTAATCAGTAGACAAGTATAATTCAACAAAATATAAAACAACCAACAATAACTGCAAATTCAGCATCACCTGAAACATCGTCAACACCACGAAGCCTTTTCAGAACCTTTTCAGCCTCAAGCAATCTACCTTTGCTAACAAGCCACCTAGGAGATTCAGGCAAGTAAAACACAGCCAGCAAAAAATAAGCCACAGAAGGAATAGAAATAACTCCAAGCATGACTCTCCAACTTGGCGAATAGGTCAACGACATTGAGAACACCAAGATGTAAGCTAAAAACATTCCACCAGAAGATGCAAACTGTGTGAAAGTGTTCAATTGGCCCCTGATATCAGCTGGTGCCACCTCAGATATGTAAAGAGGAGTAAGAGAATAAGCAAGACAACATGCAACCCCATCCAATATCCTCGACACCAGAACAACAGTGACATTAGGAGCCCACAACATTACCAAACCACTAAGGAAATACATAATCGAAGATGTTATCAACATAGGACGTCTTCCAACCAAATCAGAAACTGTCCCAGAGAAAATTGTCACAACAGTACCAGTTATAAATGACATAGACACGATTAGCCCTTCAAGTGTAGGATTAGTGTCCAAGTTGAATTCCTGCTTGATGTAGGTCATACCCGCTGCAGAAGGGTAACAACGTGTTTGTTTAATCTTAGTATGAAATTTAACACACTTATTGCAACATTATCAACCATTATCTTTTTTTTGTAATTGGGGTAAACATTTTAGCTTCATGTTCTCAAACCATAAAACACTAGAAATAAAACAGTACTTGAGAGAATAAATGATCAATTACAGAGAGTTATGATCATACATAACTCAAAAAGCACTAGACACAACATAAGTAGACGAAAAAGGAGGAAGAGATAAAATAATAAAAATAAAATAGAAAACAAACCTGCAATTGTTGAACTATCCCATCCCATGAGCAAATTCCCAAGGGTAGCAGCAATTGCAACAATCACAACCTCCATCATTTTCTCAACACCCCTTTAATCTCCTAGAAAAAAAAAGCCAAAATCCAAACTCGATCACTTGCACCCAAGTTGAAAACTTTGGAACTGATTTTAGATCTTCATGTGGAATATGAAAATCTAGACCAAGTGGGTAATCAGTGTTGGCAATATTATAAGTGATGGAAGAGTTAAAAGAACGGCACTGTACATGTTGGACTGTTGGTTTCAGATGGGTACGGTTTGCATCAATATGTCGGGAAATTTGTTTTTCCCCTTTTTTCTAAATCCAAGAAATATCTGACTCAGACTTAGCTGTACGAGGGAAATTTACATTTTAATAATTATTATTTATCATCACATGATAACATTAAACATTAATTAATTAAAAAGTCAAAAGAATGATCCAATCCATTTTTTCTATGGAGGATTTTGCTTCCATTTCGTGACAACCACGTGAAAATGAATTGTATCTGTGATTGCTGTGACTGAGATGTCGCCACGATTGCATTTCCCACGATTGTGATTAGCATTTAAATTGACACAGTAAGGGATGAGACAAAGTACTAAAATAGCTTCTATATGTGATGAATGCGTTTATATTATATCATAAAATATAACTAATTTAATTATTAATTTGTTATATTTTGAAAACAATATATTTTATATCTCTTTCTATTTAAATTATTTGTGTGCCTTTTTTTTTCCTTTCCTCGTTGTGCCCACTGCCAAAAAATAAATGAAATGATTTGTGTGCCAGCCAGCATCCATTAAACATTACTTCACCCTATTCCTTTGAGTTGATTCATCAGTTGATGATTTGATGTGCTTTTATTTAAATTATTACGTGGCCAGCAAATAAAAGGTTTTAATTTGAATTTTATATTTTTAAAAAAGACAACAATTCAAAAATAGAGGATATTTCATTATTAGTCACCATCTCACAGAAAGTTCAAAATCGCAGAAACCGTTGAGGCTATAATCTTATCATGCCACATGTTTCACAGTCATTAGTATCACATACAAAATTATTAAGTGCATTTCAATAGAGAAATTTCAAATTTGTCATATTTGGAGAGAAAAAAAAGTTGATATTTTTTCTCTTATTTAAGAATGAAATTGATATAATGATACATACGTTAGAGATTATGCTTTACATGAAATTATCTGGCTTAATTGATATCCTTGAACTGAACTAAACCAAGTGGGTGGTGGCGTCACCATATTAGTATGTATAGAACATAATAAGGGTGATGTTATGATGTGTCGTTCTAGTGTAGCTTGCAATATTTATAACGAAAACGAAAATTGCTTCACCCTGTCCTTTTCTTATGGATATTATTGGAACCAAATACCACAATAAGCCACCCATTTTTTTAGTGTATCCATCCTTTCATTTCATTGTCTTCTCCATCAAATAAATAATCACTGTATCTTTTCTGTTTATTATTATTATTATTATAAATATGTATTTTAATTTTTTTTATCATAATATTAACTTGTGTTCTATTGTTGAACTCTCTAAAATATTCTGGAAGAAAGAATAGTTCTTTTGGTACAGCATAGATTGTATTATCGAAGATTACAAGGACACGCGTCCGATTCAAAAACTATTTTTTAAGGATGTTAAAGAACAAGACAATTTATCTCCTTTCTTTTCATAGGATCACATGTTTCAGTTTCAAATCAAATATACAAATCTTATAGTTGAAATAAGTCTCCAATATTGTTATCATATTGATTTATTACTGCAGTTTAATTATATATTCTTTAATTATCAAGCGAGTTGATTAATGAACACATGATTGTTTTAATTTAATTATTTATTTTAAATTCTATTGTTGAATTACAGGTTAGATGTTTTAAAAGATAATATTTTACTGTTATTACTGGTTAAATAATTATTGAAAAAATTATCACTAATTATCATCTTACTTGATTTAAATATGATTTTTTTATATAAAATATACACGTAATTATTGTTTGATTAATAAAAATATTTTATATTTTGATTTTTAAATATAAAATTATACTTTGTTTTTATTCTCTTGTCTTTTAAATAAAGGAAGTAGGTGGAGGTGAGAAGAAAGGGAAGAAAAGAAGAAAATAGATCCCAATTGCATATGTAATAGTTTTTCCTTAAAGGAAGGGAAAATGAGGAATAGGATAGGGATTAGGGAAGGAGCATTTTTTAAAAATAGCTATTAATATTATTTTTGTATAACAATAAAAACTATTTCTTAAACGAAAGATAATAAAAACTCAACAAATTGTTATAAAAATTTGCTCATTGTTTTTTATATTTTAAATAGGAGAATTTTTTTTCATTTTTTTTACCAATTCAAAATTTCAATTAATATATTTTTATTATATTTTTTTAATATTCTTCTGTTTTTTTCTTATTTCTTTTGTGCTTATTTTATGTCATTAAAAAAAAAGGTGTAATGTTCCCTGATCTATTCAACTTCAGATTAAATTAATTTCTACATAGGATTTAGAAATATAAACTCTTCAACAAAAGTATGGTTTGGAACTTTTTATAAAAAAAAATATTTTAGAAACTATTCTTTTTACTGTCCCGATAAGTAATTTTGTTTACAATTAATATATCTCGATTAATTTAAATTTTATTTTTTAGTTGATATAATAAAATGTTTATTATCAGCAAACCTGATATTTATTATTATTTAAATCTATAAATTTTATTAAATTTTAAAAAATGTATAATATCTTTAATTATTTCATTTAAAAAGTATTTTTATTTAATGTCATCTATGTATACACAAGAAAACCACTAATTACTACTATTTTTCATCGATGGGAACTGACCGCTTTGAAACTTTTAAAGGTTGCCTGGTTTCAGAAAGTGTATTTTATTTTTATTTTTTGTCTTCATTATAAAATATTTAAATAAAAAATACTGGAAATATTTTTTCTATTTTCACCACTTTTTATAAAAATCATAAAACATAGAAAATAAAATAAATATGACACGATAGTTTTGTTATTAAATATAAAAACAGTAGCACTCTTTAGATTTAAATTTACTTTGGGCCTTTTGGTTTGGGCATTTCATGGGCTTCAAAGAAAAGGCCCAGGGCAAGCATTACAAACAACCCAATTAAGCAAGCAGCATTACCACCCCAAAAAAGAAAACGAAACATTCAACTATGGAAAACCCACGAAAATGACTGTGGAAGATTCAGGCCTATCATGCATATTTCAGACCTTTTTTTTTTCTTCTAATTTTCAGACCTTCTTTTTTAATTAAATTATATATAACTATAAAATGTTTCTTTATTTTTATAATTTTAAATAATAAATAAATCAATTCTAAGCATATCTTCTTAATTTATTCATCTAGAATATAAGAAATTTGGATGATAAATATAATCAAAGACACTTAGAATCAGTTTGAAAAAAAAAAAAACTTCTTAACAAATATTTATAAGATTAACGTTAATCAAATAGATAAAATGATCAATTTTTTTCGTAAAACTATTATTATTTTTATCTAAGTTATGAAAAATTCAATTGAAAAGACTATTTAAAAAGTTAAAATACATAAATTAATTTTTACTGATTTTTTTATAATTTATTTTATTTTCTTTTTTTATAAGTATTTGCTGATTTTTCTTAAAAATTAGTAAATTTTTTTTTAGTATTACACCAGTATGATTAAATTAGTATTTAAAAACAAAAATTTAAATTTTGTTACAATATTATTTTAAAATATAATAAATATTATAAACTGAAAAAGTGGTAATTATTTGTATTATTGGAAATAAATTTTCTACTATATTAATTAGGATTAAATTAAAGAGACTTTTTTTAAAATTATGAAAATTTAAAATAAAGAAATAAATACTTAATATAAAAAACACATAACTTAAGAATAAAGAATATAACTATTTTTAAAAATACTGACTCGTATCTACTATCTAATATACAGAGGTAGATTAGAGCATAACATTGAATAAAAGGTCAAAATGAACTATATTTAAAAAAAAAAAAGAGCAAGTGAATAAACTTTAAATAGTAAAGTCTAAAATAAAAAAGTTATTTAAGTGATTGGGCTGATTCAGGTAGAAAAAAGACAACTAATGACCAAACCCATAAAAATTATTCGAATCTGAAATAAATAAATAAAACAATTTGAATTAATTTAATTTAGATTATTGAATGATTCATTAAACACCCCGAATCACTTCCAACCAGATGTTAGCATTTACTTTATACATGTTCTTATAAACATTTTAATATCAACAAAGACGCATTAAATTTTTTAATTGTTAATTTGGAGAAAAAGATGTTTTGAAGTATAAAATGGAATCAGAAGAGCATATTATTGCGCAATTCACAATATTAAGCGGAAAGAAAGGTATTTTTTTATTCTTGAAAATTCTCAGTATATATATATATATTTTTTAATTTTGAATAATCAAAGTTGAATTGAGAGGTTTGAAAGGGATTGTTTTTTCAATTCACAAAACATTAAATAGATAAACCTCCTTAGTAATATTTATCTATGAATATTGACAAAGAAAAACATATATAAAACTGAGGTTAAAATTACAGTTCTATAAAAATTAAATTTATGTATACAATCTTCCCCTCCAGTGTATTAAGTACATAAACTAAGAAATGTTAAAAACAAATTTTCTTTCTTAAATGTTCCAACTATTTTATAATACAAACATTATAATAATTATAAATTTAACAGGTTTCCCTTCTATTGCTTTAATAGTAAATTTTAAAACATATATTAGAAAATTTATTATAGTATTTACAAATAAAATGAATAATTAAATAAGGTTTATAATAAAGTTCCTATTTTGGGGGTAACTGCCTAACTGGGCTAGCTTTTCCGGAAAGGCCGAAGAGGTTCTTGCAATAAGGTATATTGGGTTTTACATTTCGTTAGAATCAGATTCAAACAACTTCGTGTCACTCTGACAACCTCAAATTTTGTTCCTTTCTCTGCCCAGAAACGCACGAAGGATCAAAATGCTTGTCTTTTCCTCTCTTTAGTGGTTGGCAATTAAAAACACGTGAGTGTAAGAATAAATAGAGTTGGAGTGTGAGTTTCACACTAAAGTTAACAACTTCCACCATTTTTGGGTGGCTTGGAGAGTGTCATGGTGATGGAGGGAAGAATCTGTGAAGAATTAACGCCAAGGTATTATGCCCTTTGCGGCATTGGAGGAATGCTCAGTGCTGGCACCACCCATCTTGCTATTACTCCTCTTGATGTCTTGAAAGTCAACATGCAGGTGCATTTCAATTCATTTCATTGTGTTTGTTGTTAGCCAACTTGTTCCACATATTGTGTTTTACTTTGTTTTGATTATGTGAAAGAAATGGATAAAAAAAAAAAAACTTGGGAATCACTTTTAAGTTTACACTTTTGTGACACTTTTGCTATAGCAAAAAAGTTGAAAGATTGGAATTTTCGGGCTGCCCTTAATTATATAGTATGATATTGAGATGGGATTATGACTTACGGGATATTTTGTCACTCTAATGTGTAGAAATGATAATAGTTGATCATGTTGTTGGTTTGATCAAATGGTGTTGTTACCTGTAGGTGCATCCAATTAAGTATTATAGCATTTCCTCTTGCTTTACTACTTTATTGAGGGAACAAGGGCCTTCTGTTCTATGGAAAGGTTGGACTGGCAAGTTCTTTGGATATGGTGCTCAAGGAGGATGCAGATTTGGTCTCTATGAATATTTTAAGGGGGTTTATTCCAATGTATTGGTAGACCAGAACAGGAGTCTTGTTTTCTTTCTAAGTAGTGCTTCTGCTGAAGTGTTTGCCAATATAGCTTTATGCCCTTTTGAAGCTGTTAAAGTGAGGGTTCAAGCACAACCCTGTTTTGCTAAGGGTTTGTTTGATGGCTTTCCAAAGTTGTATGCATCAGAAGGCACCCGAGGGTAAAGAAAAATTCGATACTTTAGTTTCCTATCTGGTGTGTTTATGTCTTTTGGGGATCTTTATGGTGTGATCATTTATCTTCTATTCTATACTGTTTGCAGATTCTATCGTGGACTAATTCCACTTTTGGGTCGAAACATTCCATGTAATTTCATAATCTCTTGAACCTTTATTAATTCTACACTGGTTAGGGTAATATAATTATCCTTAAAAATCAAAGAGAAATCAGTAATATTTTCGCATCTGTATGCTGGCATGGCTGCCAATCTATCCTGTGCAATCTACTGACATTATTAATCTTTCAGAATATTACTGAAATCTTAACATTCTGCTTTCTTTATGGTTTATGTTTTGTATCTTTAACATTCATGCTCTACTTAACATCCAGAAAAATTTTCCTTTTCTTTTGTTAAATCATTATGTTATTTTACACATTGAGGTTTTGGCTACCTATTTGACCACTCAGGTTATAGGCATTATTTGCCTGCTGATTAACAATATAACGAGAAATGTTTATTGATAAAATAACAATAGTCTTCTTTCAATCTAAGCACGCTGAGTATTCAATTATACTTTGAGAGTGAGTATTCAAATATACATTGTTCCAATTTGGGACTATGTTCTTGAAACAATTAATTTTATGTTCTTGAAACAATTAATTTTACATTCTTGGATTAGCATGGTGATGGAATGTGTAGTTTCATTGATGAAGAGCTATAACACTAGCTATTGTCCATAAATGAACTGAATATTAATATTCTGCTTATTTCTTGAGCAGTTTCCATGGTTATGTTCTCAACATTCGAGCATTCTGTTGATTTTTTGTATCGTAATGTTGTCAAAAGAAAAAAGGAGGAGTGTTCAAAAGTACAACAACTTGGTGTGACATGTTTAGCTGGATATGCAGCTGGATCTGTTGGTAGCTTTGTTTCTAATCCCGCTGACAATATTGTATCTTCTCTTTATAACAGAAAGGCTGATAGTCTCTTGCTGGTATTTGTTTCTTTACGAAACAGTTAAAATACTTCCTTGAGATAGTTCTTTGTTTCTGGCGTCATACTAAATGTGCTCCAATTATTTTGTGCACAGGCTATCAGAAAAATTGGGCTGGCCAATCTATTTACCAGGAGCCTTCCTATTAGAATGATGCTTGTTGGTCCTTCTATAACTTTGCAATGGTTTTTCTATGACACCATCAAACTTTTAGGTGGCCTGTAAGTGTTAATATTACTCCCTAACTTTTACTTTGCTTTGTAGTTTTTTCCTCCCTGTTTTATTTAATTATTATATACTAATTTTGCATCTACCAAGGCATTTTGTATTTAGTCATAATTATATTTCATAATGTACTCTCTTTCTCTCTCTCCAAAACCAAAGGAAGAGAGCAGACTGGAGAAGGATTTAGAAAATTACTAATTTAATGGAGAATGTAACTCTTTTACTAAAACAAAATGTACAACTCAATGTAGCAGCAATTTGGTCTGAAATATCTATAAAAATTTTCAGTTCACAAAAGTCTGGATTTCAAATGTTGATACTTCGGTTCAAAGATAGTCACATTATTAGAGAGGCTTAGTAAGTTTGGATCTTGATAAATTGATAGCAGAAACTCAAACCATGTATGTGAATATTTTGTTGTCCACATGAACAATATCTCATTTGATACCGAGTGAGGAATCATATTCTTGCTTTTGCATGCATTTGTATTGTGTATGATTCACACTATATTTGTATCACGCAACAGTTTTTTGTCTTCAGGTCTTGACTTACGCTGGATGTGCTATATTTTAAAGAGTGAATGAGTCATTTGCATTAGGCTTTGCTTCAGAAAGAAATAAACTTTATCTTTTGGCACCAGTATATAAATGGGGATATATGTCTAAATTTAATGTCTAAAACATAGAAAGCAACAATTATATAAACAATGTCATCAAGAGATAGCATTATTTGCTTGAGGGGCTGAGCAAACTGTAAAGATATAAGCACAGCAGGTCGTGAAGTAGCCTTTAATGGTTAAGAATACAAAATATGATACCTTTGATCTCTTTCTAATTGTAAGAATATTAAAGAAGTTTGTAACAACAGGCTATGATCTTTGGCTTTTCTAACTTGAGCTGCCTTTATAGTAATGTAGGGAGCGTATAGGTGCGTTTAACTCATCCAATCTATTTTATGACTTGCTATTTAGCATACCAAAAATTTGAAAAGGCTCTGTTGTAGTTAAGCAGGTTGATGTGCTAGGGTTGCTGTAGTGAAGGTATTAAGTAATATTATAGATAAGATGGCTCATTAAATTATACTATAATGTAAATGTAATAGTGATTTTCTAGGTTTATCTATCTTAGATTTATGCTGTCTTAGTAGTACTTTTTATATTGTTCTATTTAACAAGTTCAGAATCAACCCAAACATCAATGGAATCTAAGCCTTTTGTTTCCTATATTTATGTTTATTCACCTTGACGATCAAAGGAAATGATGTGCTGAACTAACATAACCTTTAAATACATATTCTCTATTTTTTAAAATCAATCTTTGTTTTGAAACCTTGCAGGCCAACTAGTGGTGAAGTTAAAACTGACTTGAGAGATGGGGCAGGCTAGATTCAGAGAAATACTAATCTGCAGTCACACTTTTCAGCTGACTTGTATGATTGCAAGTCATTTTATACTACTTACTATACACTGGAGCAGTTTTGTGGTAGCTTTTGTTTTCTGCTGCCATTTATTCGTTTTGAATTTGTTATTATAGCTTTCATTGAAGCCTTCAGAATTTGGTTACCAAAAAGAACAAGCCCATTTATATTCTCACGTGTAGTGTACTAGCATACTAGGAGTTACCCAATAAAAAGGAGAAAAAACAGATTTACTAGCAATGTTTGTCCTAGCAATTTTACCAGATAAGTTTTTGTAGCATGACACTTTCTATGATCTACTTTTCAACATTCTCTTGTTTTGACATTATTTGAGTATGGTGTTTTTAAGTTTTAATATCTAAAATAATAAACACTTCACCACTTTTAGCAGTACTTTCATTTGTGTGTAAATTTTAGCAAGTGAATCATAGAGGAAACTATTATTGGAGCTGTAAATAACAGGAAGCTCATGGCTCACGAGCATAATAGGCAATAGCACATTGTGAGGGAGCACATTGTGTTGTCACCATTCACCAGATGTCCTTAAAAGCTCAGCGTGACATGGTTTGTAATTGAAGGGGCAATATCACTATCAGTTTATGTGACATGTTGTCACACTATGATGTCAATATCAACTTTGCTTTCAAGAACACGTTGGGTTGGTCCCGCTTATCTACCGTCCGTTGTTAACTCAAGATTCATGATCATGTCTTGCCATGTTGTGGCCTAAAGAAAGGGTGATGGGTCCAACTCAAACAACTCTCAAGACAAAGACAAATAACTGAATGGTTAATACCAAATTAGGAAGTCCACGCCATAAGCTTTATGTTTATATCCTACTGCGCCCAAAAATAGTAGTACCATGCAAGAATCCTTACCCTCTCTTTGAATTCATGAGAAAATGAGTGTACTAATTCAAATAATATCCATTTTTTCTACTTTGTTTCTAAGTTAAATTCGTGACTTTTCCTTTTTAAAAGCTGAGGAGTGATTCAAGGAAGCATTCACGGGATTCTTGTAAAGTTGTTACTTTATTTAGTTATTATTTTGAAAATGCAACAACAAAACTGTTGTCTGAGAGTTCTTTTTCTGAACATGTATTTGTATAAGGTAGTTTTCGACTACCGTAGTGCTTCATGGATAGCCATTGAATATATTTTTAATGTCAAATACTGCTAATTGCTTCAAAGATACCTTTAATCTGTAGCAAATGAAAAGAAAAATGTTAATTACACAATTTATAAGAGTAAAATAATAATAATAAAAAAGGTAGACACACACCTACACCTATAGATGTAAATCATCATATTTTTGTGTTAAATCAGCCTATTGCACAGAGTGTTTGAATGAGTGAAAAAAAAAATTGTTATGAACAGTTGTACATTTGCATATACTCTCCTGGCAAGTGACTGGGCAGATACATCTTGGAGAATCCACCTGGAACTTAATTAATTAGGATTAATGTTCAGACTAACTAATCTTATCCCAAAGCTTTTAGATCTCAATGTTTCCTATTAGACTGAAATAATATTTTCTGTTGGAGATCTGCTACATCAACTTAATTCTTTTGAAATAACTACCATTAATACCAAACTCTCTTTAATAGATTTTGTTTTATTTTTTTACATTAGCAAAGACTGACTTGTTTCTATGCACTGTGCATAAATGTGACTCAATTAGTGTGGAGATTGTATGGCCAGCTAATTTATTTAGTTTTCAAACCATATTCTTCATATGAAACATTTCATTTCTCTCTCTCTCTCTCTCTCTCTCTCTCTCTATATATATATATATATATATATATATAGGTTTAAAATTTTGTATAAAGATTAAGCATATGAGTGATATTTTATTTTTAATAAAAAATATTGCTTAATTTTTTATTGATTTTTTAACCTGTATAATATTGTGTATGATAAAAATTTATATACTGTAAACCCTCATAAAAAATTGTAACATTTAATATTGTTAATGCATTAAATTCTATAAGTTTAAATAAAAAAATTTATATATAATTTCTTATTTTGTGTAATATTGTATAAGTTAGAAATTTGATTTTTTATTATACTTTTCATTTAAATAAAAAAGGAAGTTAGTTGTGTATTCCATGGTAATCAATAATGTCCCATGCTTGATGCTTCAATTAAATAGTGTTGATATAATGACAGTAACCTAAAAATCTCATCCCAACAGAAATGTATCAGTGAGATGAACAGTTGTGCCTCAAAAGTATTTATTACTTTTTAAGGCTTTCCCCCTTCTTTTTAACAGGAGAAAAGCAAACCCATCATTGACAATAATAATATTTTGATTGCCCAATTAGCACTTGCTGGCATCATTGTTAGTACCTATTCTCATATACTTCCAAAGGCATTTGCTTGTCAGCCCCTTCATTTCTGTTGCATTGTTTTTGGTTAATATAAGACATTCATGTTAGAGATTTTATGATGATAAATTTATAGGTAATATTATAAATAATTTTTGTTTTTTTAGTTAAATTCAAAGTACATAGATTATTTTTTTTAATAATTACTTTTTATTATATGAGTAATTAAAATAAAAATTTAATTAAGAAATGATGCTATATATATAATTAAATTTTGTCATTTTTATTTATTTTTTGAAGAAGATAAGGAGGATAATAAAGAGAATAATTGTAGGTATAGATGAATTAAAATCAACTGTTTTTTGTTTACTTCTTTTTGTTGTCTTTTAAATAGAAAAAATGTTTTAGTAAAAATAATGTTTACCCTCTTAATTTCAGTTTTTGTTGTTGAAACATTAATTTTTAAATTCAAAGAACATATAAAAATTATTTTAGATATATATTATCATACCTACAACATACTTGGTAACAATTATTTTAGGTAAAGTAGTTATTTTTAAAATTTTCTCCAAAATTATAAAATGAAATTAAGCAATTATGTTTTTAAAAATAAATTAAACCAAATACATATCAATTTAAGTAAATAGAAAAAAGTTCATGACGTAAAGTTACAATGAAGTTCAAAGATGCAAATAGTTTATAAATTGAAAAGTCTCCTACTTTAAACTTTTATATTATGATTGTAACTCAGGTATATATATGGCATGCATAATTACAACATTGTAAAATACAAGAAATTTGTCATCGATGATTGTATTGCTTATTCTATGAACCTCATAAATATAAAAATAATAAGCTATAAGAGAGCAGAAAGAAATAATTGTATAATATATTGTATTTTTTATTTTTAATTATAAAAATATTTATTAAATAAATAAATTTTATTTAAATTTTGTAAAACAAATCATATAAATGAATGAAGATTGAATTTTTTTTTGCACAAATTTTATCTTTAAATATTTAGTTAAATTCCACTGGTTTATACTTTTAATTACAAGAAACTAATTGCATTAACTTTAAAAACTAACTTTTTACAAAAAACTAAAATTAAAATCTCTCTCTCTCTCTCTCTCTCTCTCTCTCTCTCTATATATATATATATATATATATATATATATATATAATATTTAAGTCAATAATATAATTTTATTTTTTTCTACTAAAATACGTCAAGTTGTATAATTTGGGCACCTTAGGGTCCACATAGGAGGCATAGTAGGATTATGACCCTGAATTTACATATACATAGACTCATTATGGTGTAATTAAACAGGCATGAAAGCACCACTTGGGTATCTTATTCTGCCACGCCATTGCATGCAATGTTTGAACCCTCTTAAGTTTGACATTTAAATGGAAGAAGCAATGAGCTGAATCTAATGTTATGTCCCACCAATGTTTGACATTTACTCGGAAGAAGCAAAGAATTTGTGGCCTCCATCCCTTTCCCAGCTGCCAAGTTTGGAGAAAAAGCTGTCTTGAATCTTTATTATTCCTTCCTAAGGAGAGGGATTCATTACCTCTGTTGGACGATCTTGTGGACCCTTTCCATAAACTCTAATGGAAGGAATCATCTTTCAAATTTATGTAAATACATATCTACAAAGTTTAATATACCTCATATATAATTGGATTCTTTAATCATAATGATTACAATTTGATTTTTATCGTCTATTTGAAAAACAATTATAAAAATAATTGAACGTTATTTAGCAATTTTTGTATTTTTTACATCGATTGAGAGAGATTTTTTTGTACAGAAAAGAAATAAGATTTATGTATTTTGATGATAAATTATGATCAATGACATGTGGTGTGAGACCATTCTTCAAACATTGGTCAGTTAAGGAAGGAGGGTATTATAGGCTATTTGCCAAACTATCTTCTTCCATGATGCCAAATTCTCATAGGTCGTAGCCCATTCTTAAAAGTTCCATAGCAACCAACAAAAAATAAGAAATAATTTGTGAAAATTCAAGCTTTTTAAGTTTCTAACATTTTAAATACTATGCTTTCAATTTTAATCGATGTTCCTAAATAATTCGTTAATAATCAGTTTTTTATTCGGAAGTTTGCTTATGATTTACCCTTTCACGAGAAGCAAAGGTGTGATGCTGTCTACAGAATCCAACCAAAATTAAGAGCAATAATAACAACACATTCCAGAACAAAAGTCTAGTTAGGACAAGGTTACTACAACTGGCAAAAGCTCTAAAGCTTTACCCATTTTGTTCTTTATAACTATATTGACCTGAGTCTAGGACTTTTTCTAGTAATCTCTATGAAAGGTTATTTATGACCCATTAACATTATGAAACATGTAAATAATGTTTTCCAGCTGCCCACGTGATTAAATGAACCAAGATGGCTGCTAAGTGATTAACTAATCAAATAGGATGGCTATGGTTTATATATTTGCCACTTTTTCATTGTTAATATATTTTAAATTTCTTCCGATTAAAAGTTCCACCAAAGTAAATTTCATTCATATTAGAGTGCATTAGCAAAAGTACAAAAGTTAACGAGATGGCATAATCATTTACTGAAAGAAGACATTCTCTGAAAATGGTACAAAGGGTAACTGTAATTGGTTTAACAATAGAGTGAAGTTACAATTGTACATACATAACCATAGTACATAATCATCTTCGGTTTCTCCCCCAGTATCCGTCTCTGTTTGCCTGTTGGACTGTGTACACTTCTACTTTCAAGACAACAGAAATACAAATGAAATAAATAGAAAATTCAAATTGTACAAGGAAAAAAAAATCAGAAAATATAGAACAAGAAATCTACAATTTTTACCGCCAAGTCAAGCCAAATTATAACAGCCTACGAAGACTGTCAATTCATTCTCGCACGATCCATATCTTTGCATATTATTGACACAGTCTGAGATATATTTGTCTCTATTTTTAAGTGCATATCCCTGCCACATAGGAAAATAAAAAACATTAGCAGCCATGTCTTCCCTCTTTGCCATCATTCCCTTCGAAGAAATCTAACCATGCAAGTATTGAAGCTAGTTTAATCGGACCAACAAATAAAATGAATTAAAGTAAAATAAATCTTTTTTTTTTCATAAATTGAAGCAATTTATGTACATTAATATTTTCATTTTATAGGGTATTTATTGAGAATTTTTTCTGGATTGGCTTGAGCCTAAAACTACTTCATGATTAATATCCAAATGCCAAAATTTTGTAGCGGCTGTATAGACCTGGAAAACAACTCAACTTACACATGGAATCTCTTGCTTGATAAAAATGGTGTCATAAAATGAAATCAGGCTTTCACATAATCAACCCCATCACGCTTTCTTTTGTTAGACTTTGAAAAGAAGCAGATCTGAGCCCAACTCTTTTTCTGCTTAAGTGGCTGTGATTTGACATCTTTCTTTTCCCTCTTCTCCACAAGCTCAGCCATGTACTGGACAACAGCCTAAAATGCACAAATGCATGAAAATTAAGATTCAAAGAACAGAAAAGCCTTCATTAAAATATCAAAAGATAAGAAAGTTACCTGTGCTCCTTTCTCAACTATATCTCTTGGTGGAACTTCAAGGGGATTCTCTTCGACTCGCAGGACGCGTAGTCGTGTGAGCATCCTAAATGAATCAGGAAGCACACGTATCTGATTATTGCTTATGTCCAATTCCTCAAGCATTTCAAGGTTGCCAATGGATCTTGGTAAGGATCTCATGTCAGCAAAATTGTTTCCTATGTTCATCTTGACAAGGGATGTGGCAAAACATAAGCTCTCAGGCACTGACTCAAGCTCATTGAAGCTCACATTAAGTTCCTTCAGGTTTGTTAGAGATGACATTGTCGTAGGTAGTTGTTTGATGTTATTATACCGCACAGACAAAATCTCTAGGCTCTGAATCTTTCCCACAGCTTCGGGTAGTGCTTTAAGCCGGTTATAGTCAACACGAAGCTCTCTAAGGGAAGAGCAATTCCCAATAGAATGTGGAAGCTCTTCTATATCATTTGTTTCCACATTCAGTATTTTTAGGCTAACAAGTGACCCTATAGAGTCAGGAAGTGCTGAAAGCTGATTTGAACTCAAATCAAGCTCCTCTAGACGTATTAACCTGCTAAAAGATGCAGGCAAAAGTGATAACTGGTTTCCTCGCAGATCAAGATAGACCAGACTAAGGAGATTTCCAATAGAATCAGGAAGCTCAGTGATTCTATTGGAATGCAAGTCCAATCTGGTCAGAGATGAAAGGCCTCCAATTATGGCAGGTAGTGCCATAATCCGATTCTCTGACAAATCAAGAGTGATCAAACTTGATAACTTCCCTATGGAATCGGGTAGCCAATCAACCTGGTCCATCAACTTGTTCTGGAGCTTCAGATCACGACTGCCCTTCTTAGCAGAAACTTCAATTAAGCTAGCAAGTTTGATCAAACTCAACTTATCACCATCTTGACCTGCAAAACAACATTCCATTAGAACAAGATTCCCTACTACAATTCAAGTTCAAATATTTGTAGCTAAACAACTAAAAAAATGGAATTGAATGGAGAGTGGCATATATGTTTTACCTGCACTAATTGTGGATTTTAATGATGAATCCAATATATTGGGTTTGGATTGGATCGTGGGTTCAATTCCATATGCATTGGAGTAGAAGGAGGACTTGGACTTCTTCACATAACTGTCATCTCGTGTGAACAATTCAGCAGCCTTGCCAGGTTCTTTCTCTGCATTGAACAAGCTAGCAGCAGCAGCAGAAGGAACTGGTGGAGGCTTATCAAAACCACCCTTAGAACCCGAACCAGAAACCGAACTCTTTGACAAACTTGTAGAAACCGTGGAAGCAGAACCATTGGAATAACTTGTTTTGCGAGACGTAGAACTAGAAGGAGAGGAAACACACTTGGAAGCCCTCTGAATCAATTCATCAAACAGAGAGTGAACGTTTTCAAGATCAAGCAATTTCACAGCCTCCCTCTTCTGCTCCTTGCTCTGAAAATAAACCAAATTCTTCTGCATCTCTTGGAGAATCATGAAGAGCTCTTCAGGCACATCAGAACCCTTGGTTTGTCTTGCTACGGATTCAAGCCTCGCTTGGTCTTCTTTCTCAACGTTCACGATCAAACTTTTCGCTGCTTCAACTTCATCAATCCCAGGTCTAGTTGGCAAAGATCTATGAATCCTCATTATCTCTTCCACCACCCCATCAACCGAATTCCAACACTCCATCTTACCCACCAATACCCAGATTCTAAATCACCGAAATTTCAAAACTTCAACACCATAACCAACACCCAATTCACTAAAATTCAAGGGTTGAACTTTCAAGTACAGAAACAGTACCCAACAAACTAACCAGACAAAGTTACAAAGCTTCACAGCCCATTGTTATTTTTATTACACAATAGAATAGAAAGAGGAAAGAATCTGGATTTGAATTGAAAAGCAAAGGTGAAGAAGGGTTTTGTTGAGTTGGGAGAGAGGAATGAAAAGGGGGCGTTTTGAGAATGGGATTGTGACGGTTGAGTTGTGAGTGTCAACAAGATCTGCATACTCTCTCACACTCCTTTCCTCTTCATCTTCCTCTTCTTCTACTCCTCCTTTCCTTTTGTCTTATGCACCACTTTTCTTCTTTCCCGATATACCCTTCTCCCATTCCTCAATTAACCACACCACCCCACCACTCTTGTTATTTTTCTTTTCCCCCGCCGCGGTTTTGTTAACTGCTTCATCCAACAACAACTGCTCTTAGTTCCAAATAGGAATTAAGAATACACAATTCCATACCGAAATAAAATAAAAAATGGTTTTAAGACAGTAAAAACTTTTTTTTAAAACCACACATAAATTTTTTTGAATATGTAATATAGATATACGTATTAAAATTTACACTGAAAATAATTTAGATAGTACAAATATAAAAGTGTATAATAAAGATTAGAGTAAGTTTCTAGAAAATATTAAAAGAGAGAATAAATGGAATGGGGGGGAACAGGTGTAAGTGTTGGGAAGGGGGACACGTCAAGGGTGTATCCAGCTGGCATTGCCACTACTCACGCTAATGCAATAACCCTTTTCTGTGGCTAAGCCAACAAAACAGTGCAACACAACACGCCACAGGTAGATTACTACATTTGTACACTCTGTTACTTTATTTTTATAACCTTATGGTTATGGTTGTTAAGGTTGTGACCACCAGTGTGTGGGAGAGAAAGAAGGGTCATGTTCATGTTCATGTTCATGTTCATGGGCCTCATTTCAATAGAATAAAAATGACTTTTTTTTCTTCTGAATGCTTAAAAATATCTATAATTAAAATGAAAAGAAGCTTAAAATGAAATTAAGTTGAACTGTGATGACAGAGTTGAATAATAATTTTATGTTTGTTTCTCTCTCCTAGGATGCTTGACATCATAGTCGTCCCATGATCTACACTCTGATATCGCATTCAGGCTCACGTGCTGTGCCATTAGCTGTCCCCTCACCTTCAGGCGAAGCCCATGTAGATGTTACCTCTCTGCTCCTACACCTATTTAGTATATATAACAAACCAACCACCATCATCCTCATCCACTCCTTCGTGGGTCACACTCATTTCACAGGATATCTCCTTTATTCACATTCATTCATATTCATACATACCCTTCTTCTTTCTCTTATCTTGCTCTAGCCCCTGTGCCCTCTTACCATGTGTAAATCATATACATACATATCTCCTTTTATGGTAAAGATAATTTATTGCTTCGTTCAGGAATGTGACATGTTATGGCAATGCGAGCAAAACTCGGCTGCACCTTTCACCTCTGTCTATTATTCTCTGCCTTGCCCCCTTATCATTCATCCAATCATATCTATCTGTTTATTTTAACCACATCAACTCCACTGCTACATTTTCAAATTTAACACAAGATATCAATTCACCACAAAGACAAATTCCACTGTTTATCTGTTCATTATTTTAAAATTAAATTTAAAAAGGAGAGTTTGTATATTTATAATTAAAATGGTAACAAATTTTATAGTTTTTAATCTTAAAACTTACTTTTAAATTGAATATTTTGTGAATATTATATTCTTAAATCTTGTGTTCTGAAATAAAAAGAAAGTGAAAGGAAGTGTTTGTAATCTCTTTGAATTTACTTATTTTTATTTATTTTCTTCGATGAAAAAACTGTGTTTTTTCAAAATTTTGTTTGACAAAAAATCTTCTTCTTTTAAGGAGAAAAGAAAATTGAGCTAATCTAAATACTACCTTAATTTCTTCAAAAAATATAAATTTGTTGACTTTGCAACAAGCAAGCCTTTTATGTTCCTGTTGAATCAAATCTTGTCTGCAAAACTCACTTATTTAAAAATAATAATAATAATATTTTAACAAAATACACTTTTAAAGAATTAGACTAAATAATATTACGTGATATGTGGTTATTGTGGTTTGGACCAACATTCTATTTATTTTTATTAAAATTTGAATGAATAAAATTGATCTATTTCAACTCATTTCCACATTTTAGTTGAGCTAAAAGAAGGGAGGGTCATAGGACCTGTTACTGCTGTCCCAATTTTCTTCTTATTAAAATACTTTAAGAGCATTCTTCTTGGGAATATTATAATATTTTTTACATTTTAAGTACACTTCTTTCTTTTGCATTTTAATCCATCTAACTATGTTAAAAAAATATTCAATTGTTTTCACTCTTATTTTTATTAGTCTAAACACAATTTATTTTACTTAAAATCTATTATATTTCATTTTACTGTCTAAACAAAGCATAACGGTTCTAAAACACACACTAAGCAAGATTTTAAAAATTAATGTGTCTAACACATTGTTCAATTTTTCATGTGTCACGAATGTTTTGAACTTCCAAGTCCGTTGATGACATTTAAAAGCACACTAAACATAGATTTTATTGAAATCAAATAGTTTGGTTCTCTAGCTGTTTGAATTGCACTAGAAAACTCAAGATGTGTCTGTTGTAAAAAACTAATGTTCGTAATATTGACAGCAAAAAAATATGATTTATTTTTTTATCAAAATATACTAGAGCATATGAAAAATTTTAAATTATGCACCTGTTGATAATTTTTTGAATTGTAAAAAATGTTCACATGTATTCATACAGAGACTAATACTCTTACATTGTTGATTTTTGTCGCAAATTTGCTTAAGATACATAATAATATATTTGCAGCGGCGTTACCAACATTTGGCGGTAGTTTTACCAACCTTAGTGATAGTTTTACCAACTCTTATCATAACTGTTAGTTTTGTATTTTTTCATTTTGTCAGTAAATAATTGACTATACTTTCAACAATTAAATTTTAATGTATTATTAAATAATAATCTTTAGTGTGTTATTGTCTAATTATTAATATTCTTAGTACCAACAAAAAATATAATAATATTTCACTTAAAAAAATATTATTTATTTAATAAAATAAATTTCACAATCTTAATTATTAAATAATAAAAATTTTCTTCTACAAAAAATAAAATACTCGTTAGTATGTGACCTAGTAGGTTCAATATTAAGCCAGTAATAAAATTAATAATCATAATTTACTAATCAAGATTGACATCTAGCAACACTCCTCAATGTTCATATAGCATTAAGTAATATATTTTACTTCTAAGAACCATTAAAAAATAATATAATATTTTTTTTCTATCCTTACTGCTCTGAATTAACTCTAGAGCATGTTATAATTTGTTAATACTCTAACAAGTTAGTTTATCATGAATGACTTAAGAAAACACATTTCTTCTTTCATTTAATTACCAACCAAGGTCTTAATTTAATAGAGCTCAAACTTATTACTTAGAGTTGATGGATCTCCTCTTAAATTATCATTAATCCTACAAATATTTAATTATATGCAATATCTATTCAGTTAGTGCTCTAAAGTAATAGGTGTCCAGAATTAAAATATAACAAATGACTTGATTATTATGATAATCTCAAGTCAAAAGAAATTTTATATTTGCTAGAGAATTTTTTATTGACAATTTAAGGTAATATTAACCATAAAAAATTCTCAGTTTGAGTCAGTTTAATGACCACATCCATATATGCGTCATCTATATATGTAAATTAATAAATGAGATCTATTAATATTCATCCAATAAATACTATCACATATATATTAATATATCTGGATTATTAATGTTCTATTTACAATAATCCTATGATCAAGACAATTTAAATTAAATTATAAGAGACATATTTTTTATTTTTATAATCCCTGTTATGAAAACAAGTCTTTTAATTTAATCAAGGACATTTATCAAATAAATTATTATGTCAAAATAGTGTACTTAAAATAAAGAAAGAAAATAATATTTTATTATTATAATTAGAATAATTTACACGATAACTTTGGTTCTTGGGCATACACACTTATTCCTATTATTATCTTGGGCATTCTCTCTTCTTCCTTCACCGTTTTGGCATTGTTTTTGAAATTTTATGTTCTCCACCAACCTTAGGTGCACAAACTCGAGGATAATACTATACAACCTTGAGGGGATACATTCAATCGAAGTTTTGCTTGCAGCACATTAAACTTGTTCACTGTATTGCATATCAAAAGGTATATAAGTTAGAGGACTTTAGACTAATCATGTCTAAAACATTTGAAAGAAATGTGTCTGCGAAACTTGTAGCTCAAATACTACTCGTTATTTTTTATTTCTCTATCTTTTAATGATTGACAAAGAAAAAAGTATTTAATCATAAAATTAAAAAAATATTAATAATACAATTTTTAATTATTAAATAGAATTTATTATAAATTATAAAAATATAAATAAAACATTAAATTATGATGAGAATGAGTTAAACTTAATATAATTTTATAGTTTTTAATAAATTTAAACTAACAATTAAGAATATTAACAAATATGTTGTGAAAAATTATCTAAAATTTTAATAATGAAAAATAAGAGACTCAAAGATAAATTTTAATTGTGCCAAACGGCTACATGAGAATTAAATGATCCCTGTGCTTATTTAAGAGATGTCCAAGCAATCACATCATCATCTGCCTATTATTTTATTGAGACTAATTTGGGTCAAATGCTTTCCCTTTCTATTCCAAGAATTTTGAATGAATACATCGTACAGTGAAATGTTAAATGCTATTTGATATTTTAGTACGGAAATCAAAAGTATGAGATTAAGACATAAAATAGATGAAGTTACTATACACTCAATTTAAATACACATTCTTAATTAAATGAGAATTTGTTGCTTAATTCATACTTGATCAATCTTAAATACTGAAATTGAAGGTAATAATATCGAAGGTTCATCCTTCAGGTTACTTATTTTCCTCCCTTATCAAACAAGGATATGTATCTTAATTATAAAACTAAAAATAAGAAATATACTGCACGTCTTGGTTAAACTTATCGGAGAGAAACCTAGGGCATATAGGTTTTCTCATTCAATCCTTTATGTTATTTTTCTATTTAACTCTAAATTCAATTTCCTTGTGATTACCAATCATTCATACGAATACTATTAATACCCAATGGTCATGCAATATTAATATTCTTTTCTCTAAATTAACATCCCAATGGTCATGCAAGACATCAATTTAAGAAAGCTTAAGGAACCTATGAACTTGTTAATTTAATAACGATTAGAAGAGAAAGATTGGTTTGGTCCACCTAATCCTTTGTCTCGTTTTACCTATAGATCTATTAATTAACTGAGGTACGGTCGCCTGACGATATAATTAATTAGGATTAAGAAAGGAGCGCAATAGGATAAGATCTAATCACAAAACGAAAATCAAATTTAGATTCAAACATCAAAATTTCATAAATTCATGAACAATAATTCTCATAACCCTAGCTATGGACTTAGTTACTCATGCTAAAGAAAATAACTAGAACAATCATAAACAAAGCCATAATAAAAAACAAACTAGAATGAGATGAGTTCCCGGCCTTCAAGTACGATAGCTCGAAGCTCCAAGGCATGT